GGTGATGAAGTCGACCGAGACAGAAGACCAAGGGCGATCGGGAACAGGGAGCGAGGCAAGGAGTCCGTAGGGCTTGTGACGGGAGTGCTTGTTCCGCTGGCAGGTGTCGCATCCGGAGACATACTCCTTGATGTAACGACGCATGGTCGGCCAGTGGAAGGTCCGGGAGACGAGCTCGAAGGTCTTGGCGACGCCGAAGTGGCCGGCGGTCGGCGAGTCGTGGCACTCGACGAGGATCTTGCGCTTGAGCTCGGGACATCGGGGACGCAGACGAGACCTTCAAAGAGCAGAAGGTCGTTGTCGACGGAGTAGCCGGGACAGGAGGCAGGGTTCTTGAGGACTTGGGACAGGATCGGACCAAAGGTAGAGTCCTTCTTGAGGCTTGACTTGATGAGGGACGGCGATATCCTCGGACTCGGGGGCAACGGGAACAGCTCGGAGGGCGGAAACGAAGAGTTTTGGTGGCAGCAGGGTCTGGGTGTTCGGGGAGCTACGGGAGTCACCCCCCTCCTTAGGGAACTTGTCCTTGCGGGAGAGGGCGTCGGCGGCATTGTTGAGGGTTCCGGGTCGATACCTGATGACGAAGTTGTAATCGCCAAGGATCTCGGACCAACGGACTTGGCGACGGCTGAGGTTGCGGGAGGTCTGGAAGTATTCGAGGTTCTTGTGGTCGGTGACGACCTCGGTGGCTTGGGAGGAGAACTCGAGGTAGTGTCTCCATTGCTTGAAGGCTGCGACGATGGCGAGAAGTTCCTTATCATAGATTTGATAATTCATTTCTGCATCGAGCAGCTTCCGGGAGTAGAAGGCCACGGGGTGGAGGAGGCCTTCGTCGTCGCGCTGACTGAGAACAGCGCCAAGAGCATAGTCAGATGCGTCGGCTTCGATGACGCACTGACGCTCGGGGTCGAAGTGGCGGAGGACAGGACCGGTGCTCAGGCATTCCTTAAGCTTCAGGAATGACGTTTGAGCCGAGGGAGACCAGGAGAACTTGATGTCCTTCTTCAGGAGGTCCGTCAGCGGGGTGGCGATCTTGGAGTAGTCCTTGACGAACCGACGGTAGAAGTTCGCCAGGCCGAGGAAGACTTGGATGTCGTGGGCAGATCGGGGGATCTCCCACTCCTGGATGGCCTTGACCTTGTCGGGATCCATGGAGATTCCATCGGGCGAGATGATGAACCCGAGGAAGGCGACGGAGGACTGGTCGAACTCACACTTTTCAAGCTTGAGTGAGAGTCCGGCGTCTTGGAGCTTGGTCAGGACTTTCTTGACATGAGCCTCGTGCTCGGCAGGATCGGAGGAGTAGATGAGGATGTCGTCCAGGTAGACGACCACGAACTGGTCAAGGTATTCTCGGAGGACATCGTTGACGAAGGCTTGGAACGAGGCAGGAGCGTTGGTCAAGCCGAACGGCATGACGTTGTACTCGAAGTGGCCGTAGCGACAGCGGAAGGCCGTCTTCCACTCTTCACCTTCAGCGATGCGCAAGAGGTTGTATGCGCCTCGCATGTCGAGCTTGGTGAAGATCTTGGCCTTGCCGAGGTTGTCGAACGTCTCGGCAATCAGGGGCAAGGGACAACGGTTCGGCACGGTGATCTTGTTCAGGGCCCGGTAGTCGACGCAGAGACGGAGGGAGCCATCCTTCTTCTTGACGAACAGGACTGGGGCACCGGCAGGGGACTCGGAACGGCGGATGAAACCCTTGGACAAGTTCTCTTGGATGTAGGTGTGGAGGGCGTCCATCTCCGGCTTGGAGAGGTTGTAGACGGGCCCAAACGACGGGGACGCACCTTCGACCAACGGGATCGTGTGGTCGTAAGGGCGGTGCTGGGGGAGCTTGTCGGCCTCGGACTTGGAAAACACCTTGGCAAAGGACGAGTACTTGGAGGGGACAGAGGGCTCGGCCTTGGGCTTGGCTCCAGCGTCGACGGAGCAGAGGGACAGGACTCGGGCAGCATCCAAGAGGAACACTTCCAGGCCTTCCTTCTGGACGGCGTGCTGGAAGGGGATGCTGCCGATCAGGCTGACGCTGGGCAGGGACTGGGTCTTGGTCTTGGTCTTTGGGACGGCAGGAGGCAAGGCAGGACTGGGCTTGGGCACGGCAGGAGGCAAGGCAGGACTGGGCTTGGGCACGGCAGGAGGCAAGGCAGGGAGGATCTCGGGCTCGGCTGGGGACTCGGCTGGGGACTTGGCAGGAACGATCTTGGACTCGGGCAGGGACACGGCAGGCTCGGCGGGGACCTCAGCAGGGGACTCGGCAGGCGGCTCGGCAGGGCTGGACCTAGAGGACTGTGGCTCGGGAGAGAACGGGGAGGCCAAACTGTGGATAGAAGGTGCAAGGCAAGAAAATAGAGTCATGGTGCCAGTCAAAGTAGGGCTTGTGTTTCTTGATCCAATCCATACCCAAGATGATCGGGTATGAAGCCAAGGGAATCAGCGCGAACGAGATTTGTTCATAGTGGCTGATGCCTGTGATCATAGAAACACAAACTCCAAGACTAGACTCCATCGAAGAACCATCGGCAAGAGTGATGACGAAAGAAGTTGCAAAGGTGGGGAGAGCGTGGGTTGCGGCGAATCCAGTGTCCATAAACGAAGTAACCGCGCCGGTATCGATCATGGCGGTTGCCCGTATGGACTCTGGACCGCACAGCAGAGTCACAGCGAGGGAGGGCTGACGTTGGATGTCAGGCTCGGGAGGCGAAGACGAAGAAGCAAGAGCAGTGGAAACGGTGGCAATGGTGACGGGGGCAAGATGGCAAAAGGCAGAAGAGTGATTTACCGTGGAGACATTTACAGGAGGAAGATTTATGACATGATTGACGCCTAGGAAAGCTCCTCCGACCTTTTCTAGGCAGAGAAGTTTTCCTGGTCGTCAAGTTTATTCACATCAACGACAGCCAAAGAAGCATCGATGGCAGCCAAGCGGGAGGATGCCTTATTGGGGCAGCGAAGGGCAATGTGCCCTTCCTGCTTGCAATAAAAGCAGCGGTTGGCAGCACGGAGGGCGGCCTTGTCCTCGGCGGTCAGCCTGCGAGCGGAGGCCTGGCTGAGGTCCATGGGCTGCGGAACGTTGAAGGCTTGAGCGGGGCGAGGAGGAGGAGCAGGAGCGAAGGGGCGAGGAGCCGGACGGAAAGGGAGAGGAGCCGGACGAGCAGGAGCAGGAGCAGGAGCGGAGCGGTGGTTGGGACGGCGGGAACGTTGGTCCTCCTGGCGGTTGTCGATGGCGATCGCCGCTTGCATGAGATCTTCGAGGTTGTCGAAGGAGCGGCGGGAGAGTTCGTCTTGAACCGAGGGCTTGAGTCCACTCTCGAAGTGGAACATGAGAGGGTCTTGGGACCAAGTGAGGAGGTGGACGGCTTGGCGGCGGTACTCGGCGGCATAGGCGGCGGCGGAGGTGACTTGGTAAAGCCTGACCATCTCGCGAGCAGCGGCGATGGTGGGCTGGACCTGGCCAAAGGCAGCACGGAGCCACTCGGAGAAACCGGCAAAGTCACGGATGGCAGGGGGAGAGCACTCGGGGTCTCTCTCCAACTGATCGATGTACGGCTGCATGTAGTCTGCAGCAGTACCATCGAGATAGGATAAGGCGTAGAACACCTTATCCCTTTCAGTCTGGAAGAGGGGAGGGTTGGACACGAAGGCCAGTCTGCAATGCGAGAGGAAGGCATTGCAGCGGCTCGGGTCCTTACCAGAGAAGCGATCAGGGGGACCTATCTGCCTGGTGGCAGAGTTGCGACCAGCAGGGTTGTCCTCGGGGTCTTGGGCAGGATCATCGACGTCGTCAGGAACGCCGAAGTAGGGGCGACCTGCACGACGGATCGGGGCGGGAGCGGGAGCAGGAGGAGGTAGCTGGGCCTGGTAGCTGCGGAGGGCCTCCTGGACACTGGCGGCGACCACTTGGCGGACATCCTCTTCACGGCGAGCCAGGACCTGGTCCATACGATCGGTGATGCGGTTGAGCGCATCATCCTGATCGTGGAGGAACTTGGAAAAGTCCTGGAGAGAACGGGCGTTCTCGGCGGACTGGATAATGACCGCACGGATGGCCTGGAGCTCGGGCTCGGAAAGGCCAGAAGGGGAAGCCATTGGTAAAAGAGATAGAGAAGGGGACGGGGCAAAGGCAGGGCAAGTGGGGGGTTGTTGAAGGTCTTGCCAAGTGTCAAGACTGGACAACGGGGCAAGCAGGGAAGTGCGCAAGAGTCCTAATGCAAGACTCGAACGTAGGGAGAGGAGCGGGAACTGGACTGGGACACAGAGTGTCAAGTGTGAAGCCAAAGTTTTATTCTAGATCCAAGGCTTAGGATACTAAAAATACAAAGTGGCAAGACGAAGGCAAAAGACAGAGGCTGGTCGGAGGGCTATTTATGCGAGCGCCAAGGATCGACGCTGCAGAGCGAGGGGGCAGGAGCGAAGCAGCGGCGGGGAGGGCGAAGCAGCGAGCGAAGCAGGTGGCGGCCGTGACTCGGGATCCGTGAGTCAGCGGGCGTCAGTGGCGGCGGCTTGGCGGCGCCAAGGCGTCAGGCGGCGTCGAGGCGGCGTCGTGGGCGTAACCCATGACCAACAGCAAGGGAGCGGGAACGGAACACAGGCAGCGCGCGTGCTTGCGGTAAGACAACAAGGCAGCACAGCGCGGGAAACAAACAAACAGAAGGAAGGGAAAGCACTAAGACAGGCAAACAGAAAGGAAAGGGCAAGGGTAAAGGAAGGGAGTGGGCAAAGGCAGAGGGTGTTCATGACACTATGTTGCTTCATTAGAACCTATCTGTCGCGGACAGCCGCCACAAAGGAGTCTGCTGGATTCTACTCCGGCATTTTCTTTTCCGTTTACTTGTTTGCCGCCTTTGTCGGCGCAATTGGAGGTGCTGCTCTACTCTCGGCTCGAGTTGATAAGGTAACGAGCTGGGCGGTCCATGCGCGCAGACCGAGCAGCAAGTTTTGATGATCGTGCTAACACCTGCTACAGCCGGAGCAGCAACCTCCGCCAAGCCGCTGCCGTTTTATTGACCCGATCGACGCCGACTCTGTTGGACTGTTCAGGGTGTGGTCTTCAAGCTTCTGACGGGAATCGCCTCAATCGGATTTCTGCTGCTGATTTACCTGTGCTTCACCGAGGAGCCCTCCGAGGGAATCAAGAAAGTCGGTGGCGAGAAGCAAAGCACTCTGACGCGCATGTCCAAGACGGCCCGGAAGATTGCCAGTCCGCGCATGGTTGCATTGACGCCAATGTTCTACATGCAGTCGGTTCAGCAAGGTGAGCGACACCCGAGTCCATCATGAGAGCAGCAGGGGAGCGTGTCGGTGCTGTTTAGCGAATGGCTGTCGGATCGATGTAATCAGCCCTCTCACACTCCACCTGCTCCATTCTGGCATCCATGACATCTGCAACATCGATTGCCACGGCTATAGCCTTCTACAATGCCACCTTCCCCCTCTTTATCGCAAGCTTTCACGATCCAAACACTGATCTCTCGATCAAGCTCTATCTAGCTGGAACTTTGGCTCTGGCGAGCTCCTGCGTAGGTTTTTTCTTTCCTTCGAGCTGGGGCTCCTCATGCTGTACGTCGCACGCTGACATGCTTTCTCGCATCCTGAACTCGATACAGGTTGCCCTGGTCTTGACCAAAGTTGGATATAGGCTTCGGTCTCTCCACCTCTTATCGGCCGTCTGGGCAAGTCAAGCTCTGGCTTTGCTTCTAGTCCTCTTTCTCCGACCTGTCAACAATCTGGCGGCGCTGTTTCCTATCGGAATCATCCTCGGAGTGACCGACGCGGTAGGTCACACGCCTATGTGTGGGGCAGGGAGACCGTTGCTTTGCGCACATAGGCACACTCAAGACCCAGCCTATGTTTTGCATGTCCATTTACTTGGGGCTTGGCACTCTCCCCTCTGCTTTCTCTGGCACGACTGCCCCCTCTCGGCTCTCAGGTCATCCGCACTCAAAACTTCATCCTGATCAACGAGATGTTCCCTGAGGCCGCCGACACACCGTCTGCGTTTGCATGTTTCAACTTTCACCAGTCTCTAGGCCTGGGTATATTCTTTATATCCTCAAAGTACTTGCTTGGCCCCGACCGAGTGCCGAACATGGCGGTCTGGGTGCCCCTTCAGATGGGCATATTCTTAATTGCCGTGATCGGCGTTGGCATGGGCCAGCGATGGTACTCGCCCAGATCTCAGCATGCAACCTCTGCGCCGCTTGAAGAAGTCGTCAAGATCGAAGAGGACAGCCTTGGGATTGCCCTCGATGATACGATCGCCACCCGCGATTCTTCCAAGATGTGATTCTATGACGTATTCTTCTGACCGTAATCGACCGTGACACTGCGCAGGGTGTTTGATGTACCCGACCTCAGCCTTCCGGCGCTGACAGACAATCCCCGGGACAATCCATTGTCGTTCGCGCACCCCAATAGAGACAAGATGATTGCTGTTCCACAGTTCTTCCGAGAGGCCAGTGCACAGTGGAGCCATGTTCCGGGCGGCATGCCATTGTACTGCAGTACCGTGATAGATCATCGAGAATATTGTTGGTGATGGCACTGCAGATCACAGGGAAAGAGATAGCCAAGCAGGATCACCAAATCGTGCGGCTCGGCTCGGCTTGACGCGGCTTGGCTCCTCGACACCAGCCTTGTGGAGCCAAGTGCGACTCCTGCCAAAGCATTTGGACCAGAAAGGGCAGCGAGCAGCCTATATTGGCGCAGCAAATATCTCTACATCTCATCACGGCCACTGTCAAATGCGAGCTGGGTGCTGCTCGTGCGAGTTGCTGTCTTGTCATTCCTGTTGGGTCAGTTCTTCTTCCGGCTCGAGTACCACATCTTGATCGTGGAATCTGCCGAGCACGATGCTAGCAGAGCCTCTGTCGGGTGGAAGTTGACCGCATATACCCGGTCGGTGTGTCCCTCGAGCTTTTGAACCAGCTCGCTCGTTCCCTAGTGGAAAGGGCGGGTGAGAAACTCTGCAACTGACCAGACCAAAGCAACGTACGATCCTTTGTTGGCTGGGTCCACGCCACACCCACACAAACACAGCGCTGTCGGCCCCAGCGACCTCACATTCAAATCCATGAGTCTACTTGTGAACCTGCATCGCAACTGCATCTGATTGAAGAGCTCACACACATACACACCTCGGCGCCGCCAACACTGTATATATACACAGATGGATCGGAGCTTCCGGTTGCCAAAAGAATATTGGGCTCTGCCGACTTGTCCTTGTTCGTTCTGGGGTGAGAGGGTGACGCCACACTGATGTCAGCAGGTTCCGGCTCGCAAACGCTGCTGCTACCGGACAGACACCGCCCGGAACTAGAGGACGCGAACCACTTTCTCGATCAGAATACGACAACGTACCTATTTCCATCGCTCGATTCTGTTTCCGAGTCTTTGAGATAGAGCAGATCGGAGTGCGAGTTCGCTCGCTTGGCGGATCCAAGGCCTATAGTGATCCAGACATACGTGCGGCTCGGTCAATTCTCGCTCCAAGCAGCCTATATCAGCATATGTTGGTGTTGGTATTGGTATCCACCTTGGCCGTCCCGATAGTGAAAGAACGAGCTCTTGATAGGCCAGTTCTTGTTCTTGTGACCCTTGAGTGAGTGGATCAAGCGCTGGGCACTCGTGGGGGGCGTGAATCCCCGGTCGTAAACACGAATGACTACCGGCAACACCCAGATTTGAGTTGGATTCAGGGTTGGATTCAGTGACGGGCACGGCATTGGGCGGACCGTTAGTATTGCTGCGTCATAGCGATGCAACCTCCAGTGAAGCCTTCTCCATCGTCACTTTGTGTGGTTAAAACTGAGCCACTGCCGTCGGAGGGGCTTGCGGCTGCCCGTACTCTCCGCGGTGGCCCGCGTTGATGCTCTGCGACAAGATCTCACCGTTGTCGTAGCTATTGACGGCCATGTATCGAGGCTCATCGTCCGCTGCAATGTTTGGTTAAATGGTACATCACTGAGGTGTGCTTTGGTGTGGCCCGCAGGACTCGTGGCTGCTCCTAAATCAAGGCGAATGCCTCTCCGCTCCCGCATGACTCTGGTGCCATGGTGATTGCCCCGCCGTATATGCACTCACATCCTTGTTGTTGGCAAACTGTGATGTGCGATATCGGTTTCTTGTTGCCTGGATTGTCGATCGACAGAACCGACTTGCCTGGCCAGCAAATGTAAGCCTCCTTAGTGAGAACACTGCAAGCGACAGCCGGCGCGGACACTGACCAACCGACGTCAACGTATAGGAGAGGGATGCTGTGCCAGAGCCAGAGCCAGATTGAGCAAAAGAGCTGCTCTCAAGCTTACCCATTCGATAATCCCAGGTCTTTATGGCCCCAGCATGATCCGCCGCCATGACGTACGAGCCATCTCGATACACATATCTGCACGGTTGATCCGGATCCCATTAACGATCTAGTCGGTGTCCGAGGTGAACAAGCAGCAAACATGGCCGCCGCCGATAGGCCCGGGACTAAACTGCCGCTCATACTGACATTGAGTTGATCATGGCCGAGTTTTTGATGCTGAGCGCTTCGCCTGGTTTGCGGCGATCCACCATGCCCAGGATATTCCGACTTGTTCCATTGAAGAATATGTTTTGGTCTGCGAAGAGAAAACAGGGCTTAGGCCCGTAGCCGCAACAGCCCGTGCATCATGTCGACGAAAGACCAGCAACACTTGCAGCGCGAGCAATAGCCGTAGGGCCAGCGTCGATATACCTTGTGGGTTGAACATGACGCATTGAACAAAGCCGTCGGTCTCGAAAGAGTCTGCCAGCTTGCCATTCTCGAGATCCCAGATATTGCACGTTTGGTCGTAGCCCCCCGACAGGAGCTCCGTCGAATCGGTTGACCAGCAAAGGTCCGAGATGTTGAGGGTGTGCTTCTTGAAGCAGTGCATCTGTGTGGCCGCTCGCCGGTCAGATCGACAGCCGGCAGTCTCGCCCCAGCTCCCCTGGTATGCTCAGCAGAGTTTCTCCGGAAGTGCGCCATCGATGGTTCGGTCGAGGACATCGGCCCTGGATGTTCACCGGAGCCCTACCTCTTTCTGTGTGGCCATTGCGTCCCATACTCGAACAGTTTTGTCAAAGGAGCCCGAGGCGAGAAACTTTCCACAGGGAGAAAACTGCACAGCATAGACGGCCCCGCTGTGGCCCTTTTGGTTGTGTTCGTTGCAGGGTGAGTGGCAGGCTCATCTTTGGATATCGGAGTAGGCTGCCTCGCGGGGACAGATCGGGGCGAGAGCTTTCATCTCCTATAACTTTGGATCCTGGGTGCATCGGCCATGGTCCTCTGGCGGTCGGAACGATAGCACGCCAGCTGCACTGATTGCTCTCTCTTTACCTTGAGCTCATACTTCAGCATAAACTGCCGACTGTCCTTGGACACATCGCGGATCGTTGTCGGGGCTGATCATGGTTCGGAAGATGGTTAGGCAAACGACGGCGCACAGAGGGCTCTGGTCGATGCGGGCACCGTTGCGGTGAGCGCTACGAGCAGCATGCAGGAAAAATACGCACCATAAACCTCGTCTGCACCGCTCGCCGCCGCGGTCGTTGATTCGAACAAGTCGCCGATGCCGGTCTCGGCCACCAAAAAGTCGAGGGTAAACGGCTGGGCCTTGAGTGCATACAGATTGTATTTTGCAGAGAGGTCGTAGAGCGATTTTTTCAAGGCTGCATTTTCCTAGAGCTCCAGGAGAGAGGCACCAAGCGCCGTACCGCTGGGGATGAGTGCACAGACGACAGCGAGGGTCGATCTCATGCATCCTTGCGCCGATGGAGGCGACATTGGGCTGCTTGGCTGTGCGTCTGAGCTGTACCTTTTCCAGAATCTCAACCCTCTGCTTCAGAACACGGGCCTCCTTATTGACCTTTTCTTGTTGCTCTCTCAAGAAGCTGTAGGCACAGATGAGGGATATCGCTGGCATTGAGCCTCACGTCGCAGCGAGCAGCCTTGGGTCAACAGCCGCCATGTCTGTTGGGCCGAGTCTGGCCGAGGACTTTGGCTCTTGGATCGGGCTGACGATCGACTTACGCCTCAGAGCCCGGCTGCTTCGTCTTTGGAGCGGGCTGATCCATGTGTGGTCTGCGGACGGATGGAGGCTCGGACAGCAGCCGCCCTCTTGCCAGTTGTGACGGGATGGCCAAGGCAGATCCGCATCCAAGGGCGAGGCAGGGCGGTGCAGCCAAATTCAGCGCGCGTAAAACGCAACGGGGCAATTCGCACTCTTCCTCCGCTGGTGACCCAAACTGTTCTTCTGGGCGAGAGATCACTCCGGTCCATCACTCCCAGGGACAACCCGCTTTTCCAGGAGCTGCAATGCCATCGGTTGCTGTACAATTCGTGATTGCGCCGTCAATGCAGCACACAGGTCAGTAGTGACGACGAGGACCTTGACCAGGCTTGAGCGATTTCTTACAGTTTACAGCGAGTCGAAAGCAATGAGACACATTCTCTCTTGCGGATACAAGCACGTCGCAATTGAACCATATCTCATCACGCACACGAAGAGAACGACCGGTGGTGAGACCGTCTTCTTGCTGCCTGTTCCATGATGGCTCATCCATCACAGCAATACGAACGCCGATCGACAGCATCCAGCCAGTTGATTGCTCAGCATCATGCAGTCCACATGCACAGTGAATCCCGTTCCTATTCGGGTGGACTGCCTGACTCCTGGGCTATGGTCGATTTCATGGACAAGCGTCATGGACAAGTGTCATGGACATGAGCGGCTTGGTCATCATCGAATCGATTGCGACACGATTGGATTGCCACTTGTTGGTTCAGAAAGAAAATTGCTCCAATGGCCTGCTGAAAGCGCTGTATATTGGACTTTGTGTGGAGGTATCAACTGCCGAATGCCGCCGAGACAGGGAGCGGGCCATTTGCTCAGAAGCGTCTGTTGCGGAACATGTTGTAGAATGAAGATGTCTGTCGTCCCACTCGTCAGCGAGGTTCCGACACTCGAGCCGCTTCTGCTCTTGCACAGGATTTGAGGCATCACCGCCATAGCCATGGCTGCTTACCGTTTCGCAGTCGGCTGCTTCGCGTATTTGAATAGCTTCGGGGAGCCACTCGATGATCTTCTTGATTCTCGTATCTAGTTGTCGGAAACCCCAAAGGGCCTCGGCTCAGTACCGGGCTCGAGGCTGCTGCGATATTGTGACTGTTTGCCTGCGTCAAGCAGGACTTACCGTGGTTGGGATGGGTGCTTAAATACTCCAGGCTCTGTCCGCTGTCGTCGGAGTGCTTCATTCGCTGGCGTGCCCAGGGTCACAAAAGTCAGCTCAGCCCGATTCAGCAACTATGCATGTTTATTCGGCAGCCTCTGTTGCTGTACCTACCTCCCACATTTGCGCCGCGGCCCTGGGATCGTAGCAAGCTTGTGCCATCAGCTTGAGTCCTAGATGTGTCAAGGCGGAATGGCCCCCATCAGTCAACTTGCAGCGAGCGGCCATGACTAGCGCGCGGTTCTTACCAATGTAGTCAGCCTCGGTCTCACACTTGCGCGAGAATGGCATCTGTGGTTGCGTCGGAGGTGGATGCAATCCGTCCGGTCAGTTTAGGAGGCCGTCAAACGAATCCAGATGTGCGGATGCAACAGAAGCCTACCGCAATTCCAAAGGTCGTCAGGATTTGTCCAAACAGAAAGCTGGTGTCCAGGAAGGTCGACATCAGGACCCGGATCAAGAAAATCACCTTGGTCCACGACATCTTCTCGGCCGAGTGACGAGCAATCTGGTGGGCCATCTCGTGGCCAAGGACTGCCGCCAAGCCGTCCTCGCCCTGAACGATTGGGAGAATGCCTGTGAAGACAAATATTTTGCCGCCAGGCAAGACAAACGCATTTCTCTGTGCGTGTAGACGGGTGTTAGGATCTCTGGGGAGTGGCCAAGTCTGCCGCGCGAGGCGCTTATTGATGCCGGCTCGGCTTACCTGCGGATCTTCGACGACATAGACCTCCCATTCAACATTGTTCATGCCGCTGACTGCAGCGACAGATCCGCCAAGACCAGACGCATGTGGTTCGTAAGTTCTACTGGCAGTCTCTTGTGGTGCTGTCGTGGCCGGTGATATTGACGTTGCCGTTGCCCTTACCTTGGATAATGCGCTGAGCCACTTTCCGAACAATCACCGAATGCGGATGGTTCCACGGCAGGATTTTATGCTGATACTGCTGAATGACGGAGTGATAAGCCTCGCGGCCCATTTGCTCCTCCTGTTGTTCGTACATCGGGATTGTCGTGGGTGTGGTAGTGGTCAGAATCGAGCCAGACAGAGAGGTAGGTCCGCCAGGTGCGATGCATTCTCACTCCGTACCTGTTCCGGCGTCATGTCGATGAATCGCGTCCGGCCTTCCAGGCGGCAGTCACAGAGAGCCAGTGCAAGGTTCAGCCAGTGCTAGCGAAAGACATCTCGGCTTGGGCAGCGACACTCTGCTCGGGCTCGGGCTCGGCGCAAACGACTCACCGCTCATCGGAACAGTCTCAAGGTGGCTTTGGGGCGAGACAGGTGACATCAGGGGATGAGCATTCGTATCTGCCAGCCAAGGCAGGCGTCGGGAACCACATGGTGTTCGGTCCCGTGTGTTCACAGTCACTTTGGCTGTCTGTCGCCCACCTCAGATAATAAATGGTGCAGAAGGTCCCCAGAGCACCGGATACGATCCAGAACCGACGGGTCTGATAGAGCGGGGTTGAGCCTGCAATTGAGATCCCACAAGTGGCGAGGGTGTCAGGCGCGGAAAATAGACAGTGTCACTCAGACGAGCTTCTCGACTCGATGGATACCGACGGCTCCGAAAGTACTGATATCCGTTTCGGTCTTGGAAGATCTCGATCCGGGCGGGCTGCACTGCCGGATGGCTTTCTTCGAGGCTCGTGCTGGGCGATGAGGTCTGCTTGCGGGGTCGTTGGAACGGCGAGCGGGGCGAACGCAGCGTCGACATTGGGCGCAGCGCGACGGTGCCCAGCCGAGCCAGGGGGCTGCCGAGGCGTCGGCCGAGGTACGTGCCGAGATGCATCATATGCGGCAGATTCGGTGTTGGAGCTGGGCGATGGTGGCAGCAATCGTCGTGCTTGGGTTTGGGCGGCGTGCGGATGGACATGGCTGCGGTCACGCGACGGTCACGCGATAGTCACGCCTGTTGCGCCACAGCTGCCACAGCCACAGAGAGGCTGGCCGGGTGCAGCCCCAGCCCGCCAGCCACGCTGTGGCTAATTAATACCGTGCTGGCCGGCCTGCACAGAACTGCCAAATGCGGGCGCACACGCGATTGGCCGACAAAAAAAAATTTTCGTCCAAGGCGGAGCTGCCCCCCCCCCCAACCCATAAAGCCCAGCCCTCGCCCGGTCGCCGCCGCCCCTCGTCTCCTGCATCCCGCTCTCCCGCTTGCACACCCACGACCTCAGCCAACATGCTTCTCTACCGTGACGTCATCTCTGGTTCGTGCCGATGCTGGTGCTTGTCTGCCGCCTCCCTGGGGCTGCCCAGGATCTGCTGACCGGGCAGCTGCGCCGGTTCGTGGGTACACCCCTGCGACGACAGTGGGATCTGCGTGGGGTTGTGGCTTGTCTGCCGCCGATGGGCTTGGTTGACGGGGTCGTTGTGCGGTGTGCTAATACAACTGACTCCACCAGGCGATGAGATGCTCTCTGATGCCTACAAGATCATCGAGGTCGATGACATTGCCTACGAGGTTGACTGCAAGGTGAGGATCTGCCATCACGACCCCCCTTATCGCTTGCTGTTGGCTGGCTGTGAAGCATCGGCCTCGGAGCTGCTTCAGATCAGCCGAGCGCACTTGCTGCCAAGTCAGCCTCCGGTGCAGCGGTGGTGCCAGCATGAAGCGATCCAATCATTCAGACTGACATGTGGGATCTGTGGCTGTTCCAGACCATCATCATCAAGGAAGGCGAGGTCGATATCGGTGCCAACGCCTCTGCCGAGGGCGAGGATGCCGAGGAGCTCGAGGAAGGCGCCCAGTCCGTCAACAACGTCGTCTACTCGTTCCGCCTCCAGTCCACTGGCTTTGACAAGAAGGGCTACATGGCTTACCTCAAGGAGTACATGAAGGCCGTCAAGAAGCATCTTGCCGCTACCGACCCCGAGCGCGTCCCCGTCTTCGAGAAGAAGGTCACCGCCTTCGTCAAGAAGGTCCTCGAGAACTTCAAGGTGAGCACCGCGTCCGGTGTCTCTTGGGCTGTGTATTGGGCTGTGTTTGGCCGAAAGCGCCGGGGCGGTCTGATCGAGCGGGTCTGCCAGAACTGGTCCAGCTCCGCTAACAGGGCTTGTTCTTTTCGCTCACTCGCCCATGCTCTTGTAGGACTACGAGTTCTACGTCGGTGAGACCATGAACCCCGAGGGCCACGTCGCTCTCCTCAACTACCGCGAAGATGGTGTCACCCCATACCTCACCTACTTCAAGGATGGTCTCAGCATCGAGAAGATGGTAAGCTAGCGTGGCGCTGCAACAGCTCGGCATGGTGAACTGTCTGTCGGCGTGAGGGAGGAAGCGAGGACGGCCTGTGATGGTGTGGGGATTTCCCGGCGATCAAGTTCGACATTGCTCTCCTACTGACCCCGCTCTCTGATATCCAGTAAATCGTGCCTCTGGATCTGCTTCGTCCTGACCCCCCTGTTCAACTCGGATGGCTCTTCCGGTCGCATATGCCGATTTTGTATTTGAATACAGCATGCTCCGAACAAAAACGGGACTGAGTGCGTTTGCGTTCCTTCACACCAACCCTGCCTTCAGTGGAGTGATCCGTGGGCGACTGGGTCGGCTGTGTTGGTTAGGCCTCTTGGGAGACACTGTTTGGTGATAGCGGATGGGTGCCGGAAACGAATCGTTGCTGGGCTTGGTTCCGGATCAGGCTCGGCGCTGGTTGGGCCGCCGCCCCAGCCAATCGTTGCCGGCCGTGTCAGAAGACACGTGGCATTCTCCCGCCTGGTTTTGGGCGCCGGGGCGGGTCAAGAAATGGCGATCGTTCGCCGGTGGACAGCGCCGGCCAGGTCTGCCTCTCGGCCAGCGCAATGTATCCCTGTCTGTCGTCGCTGCTCCTTTGGACATCGCTCCTTATCGTCTCGCTGCTGGCCAGGGCCGGCTCGGCCAGCCCGCAGGTCGAGGCGAAAAAGTTCCTTGACGAAGCCAAGGTCCATCTGTCTCAGGCGCGGTACCACGAGGCACTCTCTGCCTACGAATCCGCCATTGGTACGTCCCGGCTCGCTCGCAGATTCCGTTCGCGCATGCGGGCGATGCCCAGAAGACCCGTTAGGCCCGTTAGAAAGGCTTCCAAAGGCTCTTGCGGAGCCAGCGCTCGTGTGCATTCCCGACAGTGCCCCGAGCCGATCTGCGCATGGACGACTCCCCTTCCGACCAACCCGACCCGACCCCACCCGACACAAGTCAACAGGGCCAGGCCGAGTTGGCCCAAGCATTTGAGGACTATCCGAATCTGCGCGCCCTGTGTTCTTTGAGTCCTGGAGCACGTCCACACCGCTGGATTCTCGCGCATGCAATTCGTCGCGATCGCTTGCTCACGCCATATCATATTTTCGTTTGTCTACATGGGGCATTCTTCTCGGCTCACAGCTATTGACCCTAGCAATTATATGACCTACTTCCGACGAGCTGCCACGTATCTGAACATGGGACGAACGACTCCGGCCATTCACGATTTCAGCAAGGTTCTGGAGCTCAAGCCTGGCTTTGAACAGGCCCTCCTCCAGCGGGGCCGACTCTACGCCAAGGACTGTGCTCTCGAAAATGCCTACAACGACCTGTCCAAGTATCACGACATCCGACCCAATGACGAGGAAATCGATAAGCTGGTAGGTCGGGTGCGGAGTTTGGACGATGTGAAATACAGCTGCGGAGGACATTGGACGCACGGTGTCCTTTGAGCCAGAGGCGCCGCTTCATCCGTTGGACTGAGCCCCAGTATGCTCGTGTCATGGCTAACGGCCTCGTCTCCGCAGATCGGCGATATCGTTGAAGTCAAGAGAATCATTGACACAGTCGACAGCCTCATCGCCAAAAAGGCCAACGACCAAGCCATCGATGCCCTCAACCGGATCATTTCACTCTGCCCACTCCATGTTCAGCACCGTCTCAAGCGAGCCGAGCTCCACCAGCTCAGCGGCAACAATGAAATGGCCATCGGTGACTACAGGTGCGTTTTATGGAGCATGTACAGCTTGTGTGGGCGCTTGATTGATCTGCGTGGCTCGGCGTGATCTGCATTGAGATAGGATGGGCATGCAGTCTGAGAGGTATGTGGGTGTGGCTTTGCACAAGCGCTTGAATGCGTTTAACTCATTAATCTCCTTCGTTGCCCAGACGCATCGCCAACATCCAGCCCAACAGCATCTCGATCCTGATCAAGCTGGCCTCGCTGCAGACCAAGACTGGAGAAATCAGCCAGGCGCTGGCTTCGATCCGCGAATGCCTCAAATATGACCCCGACCAAAAGTCGTGCAAATCTACTTATCGCGAGCTGCGACGACTGGATAAGGGCCTGACTCTGGCCGACTCGCTATACAGCAAATCCAAGTGGAGTGATCTCAAGGACGAGCTCGAGGGAGACCGCGGCTTGCTGACCGAGGTTGACGTCTTGGGCGCGCGTAACCTGCAGATCAAAGTGTTTGGCATGGCTTGCAAAGCCTATCGGGAGCTGAAAGACGCGAGCAAGGCACTCGTCGCCTGCAACCGACTGCTACAGCTGGATCCTGAGAACTTTGAAGGTTTGTTGAATCGTGCTGAAGTCAAAATCCTGCTTGAGGAGTATGACCAGGCGATGCACGACTTCCAGCAAGCCAATCAAATCAACGGCCAGGATCGTCGGGTAAGCAATGGCAGGTGGTCGCTTGCGGGGCCTCCGATACAGGGCGTCTTATTCTGATGTGTCCTCTGTATCGATGGGCCCGCGATGCGCTGGTTATGTGGACTTCCGGTCTTGACATCGACTCAATCTAACGGCGCTGCTTGCTGGACTGGCTGTTATTGCGGCGTATGATGCCGTCGATTGTTCCTTTATCAACAGGCACACGATGGCTATCATCGCGCACAGAGACTGATGCGACAGGCCTCCCGAAAGGACTACTACAAAATCCTGGGTGTTCCTCGAACTGCTTCGAAGCGTGAAATCAAGAAGGCCTTCCGCAAGCTCGCTCAAGAGTGGCACCCCGACAAGTACTCCGGTGATCTCGACAAGGAGTCCGTAGCCAAGAAGATGTCGGAGATTAACGAGGCCTACGAGATCCTCAGCGACGATGGTGGGTTCTGCTGCATGGCCTTGTCGGAGAGTCCGCAGCCACGCTATCACTGCGACATATGCGGGTCCTCTCCCACGTTTCTGGCTGTTTGTTGTCACCCTCCGCCATATCGCTCACCAAAGGCGCACGTCCCCTTCTATGGTTGTGTTCAGAACTCCGACAAAAGTTCGACAACGGCGAGGATCCTAATGTAAGCCGGACAGTGACACATGACTGCGTACTGTTTTGGGGCCCTGCCAGACCTGCTTTTGCGCTCCCACTCACTCTCGATTCGACGCTTGCAGGACCAGTACCAGGACCAGCGAGGACCCGGAGGCGGTGGTTTCCCGTTCGGCAGCCATCCGTTCTTCCAGGGCGGTCAGTTCCACGGCGGCGGTGGACCTTTCCACAGCCAGCAGTTCCATTTCAACTTTTAGGTGCGGCCGTGTTGACGTCGGAGGCGAGCAGGAGGGGATCCACGGAAATCCTGAGTGCCGTTGTTGCGGCCACTCTTTTCTGCAATACACCACAACCACATCAGCGCCGATTGTGCTCCTCTCTGTTTGCGTTGATACGGGCTGTGGTGCCTGGTCGATCGCCCTCGATTTGGCTCGACCCGCGCCTCCCAAATCGCTGGTCGCACCGCAGCGCGTCTGTACGACCGTTCCTCCGCGATCGCCATCGCCACCTTCGTGCGGGTCTCTCCTGTCTTGTCTTGTCTTGTCTTGTCTTGTCTGCCACCGGCCTTGGCCTTCTTTCCTCGCTCTTGATCCTCCATCGTCCCTGCAATCCCCCCGATCGGCGACCGGCCCTGCTACGCCTGTGTTTGCAGAGGCTGCGTCCCTAAACTATGCCCGGCGGCCCTCCCCTTCCGCCTCGGTCCCCGGCCTCGGACTCCCCTCATCCCGCCGATCCGCAGAGCGCCCGATACTTTCCTTCGTTCCAAAACTCGGTCCGCCGCCCTTCGGATCCCCAGCCCCAGTACCCAAGTCAGCCCGAGTTCCAGCAACAGTACTCGCAATCGCGCCCTGTTTCCTATGCGCCATCCAGTGCTTCCCTGCGATACTCGTCGGGCTATTCCCAGAATGGCCCTCAGCAGCAGCACACCTATTCTGCGAACATGCCCTACAATCCGACAAACACGTCGCTCTCGTTTCCTTCGCCCCAGCAGGCGCCGACTGTCATTGGGGCGCCTCGAAACTCGAGTCTTCCTCAGGGACAGCGGCCTCCAGTCTCGCCCGTGGGCGCCAGCGAGGAGGCGTTTATCAGCGCCCAGTTCGATGCCTTCCTGCCTACCCTCCGAATCGAGAGCCCCGGCGCAGTTCAGGGTCTGCAGCAGCTCCCACTCGCTCAGAAGAAGGAACTTATGCAGCTCGTCCAGAGCGCTAGTCGCGAGGAACGGGAGAAGTACCTGCAGTACTTTCTCCGCAGACTGACGCGGCCGAGCAGCAATGACCACGGCGACATCCAAGGCGCCCCTCCAGCCATGACCTACTCGCCTTCCTTGGCCCAGGCTCCGTCATCTTCTCCATACTCTCCGGGCTCGTCGACATACTCCCTGACCACGTCGCTGCCCGCACACGTCTCGGCTGTGCCTGCTCGCTCATCGTCCGCATCGACCCATCGCTCGTCCGGGTCGCCATACGCAGCTCCTTCCAAGGCGCCGTCGCTCGCATCGGCAACAGGAGCCCGAGTGGATCCTCGGCACCTATACGGCATCGAACTGGACGAAGAGTATGACAGGACGATGGTGGGTATTGTGCCTGTCGGGGTATTGGCTTGGCCTGTCTGCAAAGCTCCATCTACGCGGCCGAGACTGAAGCGAGTCCCTGTCGCTGACGGCCATGTTCTACGGCTGTTTGTTCGTTAGTGTCTGAAAGGCATCGATTCGGTGACGAGAGAACAACGGCTGCGGGTGCTCTCGCCCGACCAGAAGCGCGACGAGATCAGGCAGTTCAACGATGAGCAAACGTCCCGAGCAGCAGCCCAGCCCCAAGCGAGCTCCAAATCGGGGCTTGCATCAATGGAGAGCTTGCCCAGCGACATCTACCGCGACGAAAAAGATCTCAATGGCGATGCTCTGCGCCGAGTCTACTCCTATGTGCTGGTACGGTGGCGGTTTTTTACCGCGTGTGCCCAATACACATGCACGCAACTCGGGCCCGGTGGTCGATTCGACTCACCTCGCAGTTGGAGGCATGAGTCCCGCGTTCGCTAATATGGAGTGAAACCGACTCTTTCCCGATAACTTCTGGCCCGCGGTTAGAGCCATCTCGATCTCACCGAGACAGCCATACAGAGCATGCTCTACACCAAGTCCATCAAAGACATGCGAGACCAAATCCACTCGTTCAAGCTCCGGTATCTGACTGGGCGCCAGCCCCAGACCGGATACGAGCCCCCAAGGCTGCCTGAGCGGCCCCACACCGGAGGCCCACCACGGTCGATGCCAAATCCTCACGATTACGACTTTGATGCGGATCCGGAGTACTACTTTCGCCAGTTCACGCTTTGGTAAGCATCATGACGACATCAAAGCGACATTATGCCGACACCATGACGACACCATGGCGACATCGTACCCAGCATCTGTCCGCGTTTGCAGACGGCTCTCAAAGTGGCATGTGTTTCTGTCGCCGAGGTGCCGCAACGACGACTGAGCCGAGGTGCCGCAACGACCGCTGAGCCGAGGTGCCGCAACGACCACTGAGCCGAGGTGCCGCAACGACGACTGAACCGAGCTCTGGCCATTTTTTTCTTTGTTGCTGCACGGCACCATAGGAATCTATCCCTTAAAGCTCTCCAGAGGCATCTTGGCACCTTTCGTCGCCGTATCCAGCGCTGTGATGAAGCGTGGATCAATGCGTACTTGCTCTGCGAACACCACGCAGGCAGCGTCGTCATCCATGGTATCGATGCACTAATTCTGCTATTGAGGCGGATCAGCGACCATCGCAGCTACAGCCTGCAGCGCACGAGCCAGACTCACATGAGAGTCTCATACGCGGACCAGATAATCGAGGACAAGGCTCTGGCCGACATCGTCGACTGCATCCCGGTTCTGATCTCCTTTGATGCCGGTCGAAGAAGCCTTGGTCGTTCGCTGGAGACTTTCCTCTCCGAGATCGTCCGATGCCTCGAGTTCATGTGGCCAGGCGCAACATCCTCCAAGCCGCAGATCACTGATGGGGAGCTGGAAGACAGTGTCGAATACAACAACATAGTTCTCCGAACGCGAGTGGCATATCTGCTTCGACTTATGATTATATCCAACCCACGATGGCACAAGTAAGTAGCTCTTGAGCCAGAGACATTGTGTTGCATCATCCCGCACCTTTGTGCTCCAGCAAGCTCCCTCCCCACTCTGATATGCACTCGTCTTGTGCATCCCGTTCATCTGGCCCATCTCGCTCGTCGTCTGTGCACGAATCATTCGCCAACTCAATTCGAGCCGACCGTCGATTCTATTCACGTTGGCTATCAACGACTGTGCCCACGGCTCATCTTGTATCGTGTTTAATATCTCAGACAGATACTCGGGACTCTGGCGGCGTATGCAGCCAACAACAAGCGCCCGCGGTTCATCCGTCTTGTCAGCTCTCTCCGGACACCGTTCCTCCCCGAGAACGCCCTCCGCACAGTATCGCCGAGCCCAAATCGCTTCTACAGCACCAACCCCGAGCTCAACAACACGCTCCAGAATATCGAGCAGCTTGACCCGGTTGGCGATTCTGAGATCTTGGAGCACATCTGGCAGTACCGGACCGCAATCCTTCTCCTCCTCAATGGCCTGATTGGCGAATATGAGACGATTGTCGAGCGCCGTCGCCTGAGACAGGAGCTAGAGACATGTGGTCTACTCGATCAACTAAAGGTACGACAGCCGCCTCTGCTGAATGCAGTCGCCCATCCTGCGGTACCTCGGATCTGATGTGTTTCGTCTTTGCTCGGTCAGTGGCTGAAAGGTCTGCGCTTGTCAGACGAGGCTGCCGTGCAGATTGCCATCTTTGAAAGCGATATGGAATCCGACACGGAGGACTTTACCCAGGAGTTGAAGCAGACGATAAGCACTATGGGGTAAGACCCTTTGGCCCATGCTACGTTATGGCGGTCCAAGTGAGTGTTGACCGATATACTGACCACTTTCCGCCCATGCTCCCCCCCTCGAACCTGTTATCAGAGACCCCCAGGAGGAGTTCAAGCGGATCCTGGGCCAGGCGGAGCATGGTGCCGATCCGCAGAGACTGAAGCAGCTGCTCCTCTTAACCCTCGGCGAGCTCCGGAAGCTCATGGCGAAATTTGGACCGATCGGCGACAAGCCCGTGGCGGCAAATGAATCAGCGCTTGAAATGCTCGAAGTGTGGGAGCAGACGCTCTCGGCCATCACTGAGACCGCCGATACCTGGATTAGCGCCGACCCAGGCACTGGTGGCGATGCAGTTGGTTACACGGCCAGTGATCGCACCGCTCGGTTCAAGCATCTGTCTGGACGACTGCAGGGCATTCTCGAGGGTCTCAGTGGCGAGGACTTGCGAGACCAGTCGTCCGACGGTGCTGCTGAGCCAGTCGGCCGCGGTGCCATCAAAGAATACGTCCAGAGACTTGAAGACCTCCAGCAGCAGGTAAGCGTCATGAGGCAAGTCGTTCGTGTTTCTCTGCCTGGTCGCTGATAGCCTCGCGCCTGCCACGACACGCGAAGCGGTGGCCATAGTGGCAAATCAATGGACCTAATACCTGCTCCGCGCACTGACTTTGTGGCCTCGGAACCAACAGTATGACGAGGCATTGAAGCGTGAATCCATGCTCCGAGGCGAAAATATGCGGCTCAAGGCAACCGTGGGCTCTCCCGAGAAGCTGAGCGAGATCTTTGAGGAGAATCAGCGGCTGCGATTGGCAATCCGAGAGTCGCAGCTTGCTCTGAACGATCTGTCTGCTGTTTCTCCAGGAGAGAGCGAGCAGCTTGATAGGGTCAAGGCTGCGCTGCACAAGGTCCACATCGACCAGCTTCCTGATATCGAGCTCGCTCGAGCCGAGATCCTGGGCTCGGGCCCGAGTTTGGGTCCAGGCTTGGGTCCCGGTCTGGGTCCAGGCCTGGGAGGCGAGTCCGAACCCAGCAGCACGGGCGCCGACGATGCTGCAACCAAGCTTAGTGGCCTGTCGCCCAAGGAAAGCGAATCTTCGGCACCACCACCCCCGGCTGTTGCGCCTCCGCCACCTCCAGCCCCGCCTCCCCCAGGGGCTCCTCCCCCACCGCCGTTTGGAGGTCCGCCACCTCCGCCTGGGATGCCTGGGCTCGGCCCCGGTGGCGTTCGCAAGCTCCACAAGACACCGCTGCAGAAGAAGGTCGAGCCGTTCCGGTGGAACAAGTTCGCCAATCCCAACATGATCAATGGCACGATCTGGCAGAATGTCGTGTCGCATGCATATCCCGACTCCGGGGATGCATGCTCTCTCGATATGTCCGAGCTTGCCGATCTGTTTGCTAAAGGTGAGGGGGGTCTGTCGATCATGCGTATTCGGCTCCACAGGGCTCTCTGTGGGGCAGTGCGGCCGAACCATCTGCGACAGCCGACTAAATCACTGCGACGGGTCACTCTCGATCTTTCCTGTTCATCTACAGAGGAGCTCGCGCCAGCCGCAAAAAAGATCATCGAAAAGAAGGAGCTTTTGTCTCTGCTGGACTCTCGCAAATCACAAAACATTGGCAAGTGCACCGAGGAGTCGGCAGTGTTATGTGTTTTATGCTTGCTGAGCCTGCTAGCTGACGCCACACTTTTGTTCTGTTTGCAATGTAGGCATCTTCCTCAAATCGGCCAAGCTTCAGCTTGCCACTGTGCGCGATGCACTGTGGAAGATGGAGGACAGCCTCATGGCGCCCGAAGTTGTCTCGCGCTTCTGGAGCGTTGCGCTCTCAAACGAAGAGGTACGGATTCCGCTTTCAGATCGTGCTTTTGATAAGCCCTGTATGTCCAACGAAACGCTGTGAGATATTCCGAGCGACTAACCCGATCCCTTCTTCACAGCTCAGCAAAGTGTTTGTCTACGATGGCTCGCTGGATGAACTGGACGAGCCAAGCAGGTTCTACGTCCAGATCCGGGACATTCGCAACACCAAGACCCGCCTGGAGCTCCTCATGTTCAAGGGCCAGTTCTTGAACGAGCAAGAAGAGGGCGCTCGTGTAAGTTGCTGTCCGAGCTGGCGTACTTGCAAGATGTGGCGCGGGCTGTGAACCGGCGAACCTGCGAACCTGCGAACTGGCGTACTGGTGAACTGGCGAATGGCTGGCGGTGTGGGAGGCTCTACTGACGTGCCGTACACATTTGGATTGGGTTTCGTTCGGAACTGCCTGGCCCGTCAGACCCTCGACACCATCGCCTCAGCCTGCCAGGAGCTTCGAGAGAGCAATCGCCTCTCCCGAATCCTTGAAATGACGCTTTTGATCGGCAATGCCCTCAACGACCAAAACGGATCCTGGGGCAATGCCTTTGGATTCAAGATCGACGCACTCTTGAAGGTAAAAGCCACTTTCGGTCAAAGGCTCGGCAGGGATCGTCGTGCACAGCATACACAGCACCGACAGCCTCGGGGTCTATTCTCTGCTACCTGCTCGCCGGGATGATCACGGATCATGCGAATCGGTGCTTGCTACTAGAACTGGGTCAGGGAGCGCGCGATTTGAGGCTGGGTTGCTCAGTCCTGGGATCGGAGTATGCGCTAACTCTGTGTCTTGCGAATTCTTGTCGACCAATCGGCTTGGTGTTCGCCTGTTTGCTTGGACTATCCATGCTTCCAGCTCAGGGACAAGAGAAGCCGCAACAAGTCGTATCCCACCCTCCTGCACTATCTTGTCAAAGTGCTGCACGAGAAGGATCCCGACACGCTCGAGTTCTTATCCGAGGCCGCCAGCGTCGAGACCGCAGCAAAGGGTGAGCGATTTTGCAGGAGTCCATCAGCCTTGCCCTGGATTTTGTCGTTTCTTTGTGCCTCGCCAGCTTACCATCGATGCTTGCGTGCCCTCCTCGATCGCTTGCGCAGACGACATCGAGGCCGTCAAATCCATCATCGAGCGCTCCACAAAGGAGCTCAAATCGGTCCAAGGCGAGCTTGAGTTTTATGACTCTGAGCCCGACTACGACGCCCAGTATCCAGAAGACGAGTTCAGGCGGGTGATGCGTGTCTTCTTGGACGAAACTCAAGCCAGACTCCAGGAGATGCAGAAGCAGTACGAAGCCACCAAAGCCAACATCCTCAGCACCCTCAAGCACTTTGGCGAGCGCGAGGAAGAGTGGCACAAGATGGGCAAGTTTGAGAACGCACCGACAGCCTTCTTCCGGATCTTTGTCCAGTTCTCGTCGGAGATAAAAAAGTGTCTCCGAGAAAACGCGAAGCAGGAGGCTCAAGCCCGAGCCCGAAACACTCCGGCTGCTGCTGCTGCTGCCCAGCAGCGCCCCGAACTGCGGCTCAACGGCATCGTCGATTCGGAGTCGTTCCAGACGGCGGTCGAGAAAATCGCACTTGAATCCGCACCGAAGGGAACGTGAGTATATCTGTCGACGGGACTGACTGGGTAGCAGTGCATACTGCGGCGACGTTGCGAGTCGCGGCACTTTGAGTTGCTTCGACTTTTGGGAGAGTCGATGGTGCTCAGCGTCGGACCACTGAAGGCCGAGTGGGGAACTTGCAAATGGCTTTAGCGTGAACTTGGTGTCAGGCTTCGCGTGTACTCACAAATCCGGGTTTGCGATTCATTTCTCTCACTGCGCGGCGCTCCAGCCCCATGTTGCTTGCGCCTCCCGTCGAAGGCGCCATGTCCAAACTGAAGCCCACGAGCTCCCACGGCATGGCATTTTCGCAGACGTTTACTGTTCGTCACGGCAAATCGGTGGGAGTCGGTCGTGTTGTCGATGACGCTTCTCCAGTCTCGGGCTTGGACAGCCAGGCGGCGACAGCGTCGCCGTCGATGGCCGACAATTCAGCCAGCATACCGCAGCTCCTGGCGGTTGGAAGTGTCCTCCAGGCCCGCAAGACGATCCGACGTCTCACCACGATGCAACAAGCACGAGGCTCGCTGGGCTCTGTCCGCGAGCTGTTCGAGGAATAGACAAGGCGCGGGGACTGAGCGGTGGTGTGTGTTTAGTCAGTTTGCGCTGCAAGCCAGCTGTCGGGTGCTGAAAGGCCTGCGGCGCGGCTATGGAGCGAATGTCGCATGTCGACGAATGTATGTGTGTTGTGCCAATGTAATAAACCAACGACAAAACCACGTTGCCCCATGTTACTGTACGTGAGCTGCATCTCTACACATGGATGGGCAAACGGGATGTCCTGCATCTGGCAAGTCATATGCAATGAAATCGATCACCTCGACAGCCTCCACAGTTGACCTACACACGCTGATCATGTTAAACGCCGGTTAGACATTGCGATTCCAGACTCTATGGCAGATGCATGTGTATTCTGGACCCAGAAACGGGCACATTGTAAAATGGTGGAGAATCGATGATTAACCAAGATGAAAGAAGGGATCGTGGGTGCACGGCAATCTCAGCGCCTTGGGGCACCTCCAGCGCCATTGCAGAGCAGTTTTAGATGGTAACCAAAAGACAATGGTGTGGCGGACATGGAACCGATAGAGTGCAGAGAGAGAGAGAGGGCATATGTTGGTAGTGCGAGGAGATGGAGCCTCGCTGGGTTGCGGATACCAAAAACATGATGAAATTAAGGGGAGCCTTGTCGAGGGCTACGCGCCAGTAATGCGTCCATAGTTCGTGCCTTGATGGTATCATATCGGAATGCAGTGTGAGTACCGCACAAACCGCAGAGGCGATGGAGACATCGTTCCTGGGTCGGAACTCCGTCTGGCGATGGCAGGAGTCTCGGGGGAGGGGGGGGAGCGCCAAGCTCCTGACCGGTTGGGTGGTTCCGCAACCGCCATTCACTTGCGAATCTTTCTTCTTCGCCAGCGAGCGTCAAAGGATTTTTTCTTGGACAGTGTCGGGGCGACAGCAGCAGCAGCATCAACTGCAAGTGCGTTGGCTGCGAGTCCGTCCTTGAGAGGCTTAGTCTCGGGGAGAAGCTTTCGGTATCGGCGAGCCCAGATCAAGTCGCCGTGTTGGCTGGTCTGGTTTACGATTGCGGCGATCGAGTCCTGGACGCTGGGCCGCAGAGCGAATTCAGCATGATCCAAGTCCCAGAAGGTGGTGGTGTTGACGTCGTGGCTGGTAAGGTACTTGTGGACGCTTTTGGCGTCGATCAGATTGTCCTTTCCGGAGAGAATGACGTGGGTGCTCTCGCCCTTGGGGAGGTCATCCGGGAAGAGCACGGTGTCGAACCAGTGGAAGTCTAGGAGGAGTATACAGGTCCAGAGCGTCAGGGACCGCCGCCTCCTGATCACTGGATGGATCGTCCTGTGTCGGGCCCAACTAACAGCATGCTCCTGACCATACGAAGATATAAACAGCATGCAAGACCATAGTCTTCGAGCCGGAATCCGGCGCAGCCGTGAAACCCACAATGACCACCAGCTGGGTAGTTATGGCGACAAGTATTGACTTACTGCGGGAGATGTAGTGCGAGGTATAGAGTTCGCGGGAGGCCAGCCAGTGCATCAAAAACTCGTTCGCCTTCTGCTCAGTGTTCTTGCCCGGAACGCGGTAGATAAAGTTGAAGGCCAGGCTGGGGTGGAAGCACTGGACGGATGTGGGAAAGGGTGGGCGCGGACGCGATCCAAGTGTCAGCACAGAAGGGATCAGAGTATCCGACCCAGCCAGCGAGCCAGCCCGAAAGGAGCACGACTCTGGTAAGCTTACCTTGAAACAAATGGGGTCAATCAACACAACGGTATCGACCATCTTGGAGTGCTTGACGATCCACGAGCAGCTGCAAGGACAAGACGTTGGTCGGCCCAGGTTTGTGAGCATGGATGTGCCAAGCAACACTGACGGGATGCAAGAGGGCAGGGCGAGCTGGAGGCGCTGCAATTCAGCGGGATAGGGCTGCATGGCGACATACTATTGCGTTCCGAGGCTGTGGCCAACAAAGTTTGCGCTCTTGAATCCGTGAGCCGTGAGCATCTCCTCAATCTCGGAGACGGCGTGCAGCATTGTGGGGGCGCGATCCACCAGCCTCATGCTGACGAAAGGCAGCTCGACGAGGAACATGGGACGCTCAAAGTTTGAAGACATGATCTGTCGCAAGAAGACCACCGTGGTGGAACGAGCCGGAATGAGACACCGTCAGAGTAGACGAGATATGGTGATGCGCGAAGCCAAGGGTGATAATACTGCACAGTGCTCTCCGCATGGCGCGCGCTTCAGCTGTCTCAATCCAGGGCAACATACCTTGTATATGAGCTGCGTGTAGCAGAACAGACCGCCACCGATTCCGTGGATGAACACAATCGGAGAGAGACCTTGCTGCGGGTTCTGGGGCGCGTAGAGCCAATAGGGGACGCAAGGTTCGGCCGATTCGGGCTGCGGCGATGCGGTCTCGTTCTTGATGAAGCGGACGAAGCCGCAATATCGGAAGAACATGAACGCCAACGACTCGAGAACAAACACGCACTGGAAGACACATATGCAAGCACGTCGGTGGCGCACAGGTAAGCCGACTGAGTTCATTCAATAAGACGGCGCACTGCCTGGCGCCATGTGACAAAATCACACCAGCAAGCTGCCAGCATGCACGAGTACTTACGGCATAGACCAACAGAGGCTTGGAGAAGGCTTCGATCTCGTTGAAGTTGAGTTTGACGGTTCTGTCAAGCGCATGTTCCCAAGCGACGTCGACAGCAGCGGTGGTAGCGTTAGCCACATGAATGGATATCGGCATCACGAGCCAGCCCGAGACGCAACCATCCCCGGCTCATGGAGCGTGAGATACACTCTCCGAACATACCCGATCGCTGGATTTGATGGCTGCTCGAGACGCACGTCCATGCGCTGTTCGATGACCGAGACCATGTCGTTTAGGAGAGCGCAAGATGGGACACCCTCGATGGTGTCGTCCGGGTCGGGGATCGACGGCAGCGAGAAAAATGCCCAAGCGAGCCAATCCCGAAGATTGTCGGTGCCGATGTACTTGATCTCGGAGGACTGAAGTTGGCACATCTGATCGTCCTTCCAGAAGAACCAGCCAGCGACCATGGCACGGAACTGGTCCGGAGTGTCGTTCTCGTTCATGATGCGGGCAAAGAGCAGCTTTCTGGAGGGATAATGGGGTGTCGGTATGCAGGGCCGGGGTAGGGACCGTGTCAGCGTATATGGACTGAACAGAGTGACTGTGCGATGACCTGCGAGCGTGGCAATGCCACCCACAGTGCCGGTAGGCGAGAGTGCTGGGATGGAGGGCTTGCGCGATGCAGGATCTGCTCATTGGGGCAAGCTGCAATCCGCAATGGCACACCGACATGCGCCACCGACAGCACGAAATCGATCGCGGTCGAGCTCGGGCGGTTACAGGGTGCTTCGATGCAACAGCAGGAGCAGGAGCAACAGCAACAACGACATGCTGTCGCGGGGAAGGACACAGAGGGGAGGGGGGCACTTACACTTGGCGCAAGGACATGCGGGGAGCGTGCTTGGGAGCATCAAACTTGTTGAGGAAGTAGCGGAAGCGGATGAAGAATGCGGCCTCGAGGAGCATATAGATGGGCAGGACATAGACGTACAGGAGCAACACAAGGTTGCGGGAATCGAGAGAGGTCGCGATCGACGAATAGAGCGATGCTGGGTACATCGACACGGTCGAGGTGGCTGCAGGACGCAGCGGGAGGCCGTGCTGCGGACTGTGGCATGCGGGTGTGTTGAAGTGCACAAACAGGTTGTAAAGATAGAAGCTCGAGTAGATCAGCGAGAGCGGACCGATGCAGTCGACGAGGAAGGTGGCCGAGCGCAGGGCGAGGTACTTCAAGGGCGAGTGGCCGATGGGCATTGCGACGGCGTCGACGGCGATGGCGATGGCGGTAGATTGGGCGGGCTTGGGCGAGGGTCGGGCGAGGATGGTGCGGATGGGAGCAAGCGCCAGGAAGCAATGTCGGATGGTGGGGAGGGGAGAATACCGGGTGGTGATGGACGCAAGCAGGCAAATCAAGCAAATCAAGCAAATCCAGAGAATCCCGTTCTCCGCGGCGCAGATCAGGGGCATTTATCGTCGATGGAATGGGAGCGTGAAAGCATGTGCGAGTGGTGGGGTGTGTACTATGTTGTGCTGTGCTGTTGTGTTGTGTGGTGTGTTGCAGCGTTGACAGTGTATGAGTACTGTGCTGTGTCCACAGTACTGTGCGTTGCTGGTGTATTCTCCCCATCCTTGGCTTTCCCTCCACAGCTTCTGCGCCGTCGCACAGTGTCGCACGGCGACTCATGGCCACGCCCCAACCAAGGAGCACATGCCCCGCAGCCAGTGTGTGCGCGGGCGCCTTGCGTGCTCATGTGGGCGGATCTCGGCCCGCCGTGTTGCACAGGCCTCCCGATTCGGCATGTCTTCACGTGAATTTGCTGCCGTCGCTCAGTGCGCGGATTGCCAGCCCACAAATCCGATTGGCCCGTGCTGCCAGCGTGACCGGCTCGAGCCGGCGAGGGCGGCTGGATCCATGGACGCCAGAGTGCGGCTGGCCGGTCTGGCCGTCGTGGCCAGCCGCACTCTGGCAATGGCTGCGCACGCGACCTCGCCACAGCGCCACAGCACCGCCAGCCCAGCGGGAGAATGCCCACCCAATGCCGCTGAGAAGGACAAGTCCGTTCCCGAGACACACCAAGGCTGCGAGGAAGAGGGAGGTGGAGTATAAGGAGGAGAAGGACCCGGAATGCCCAGCGACATCGAGTCAAACTGGGCTGCACCAGGCTGGCCCATCGATGCGGGAGTATTCCGTCGGCAGCATCGACCGCCGCCCCAATCGCAGCGTCGCGTTTCGCTCCCCCGGTCCTGTTCGGCCCTCCCGCTGGCCGTGTTCGCCTCTCCCCTCTTCCTTGCTCTGCCCCAGAGGCGACTCTCGGGGATCTCTCAACCGTCTCCGATCCCTCCCTCACCTCATACCTGCCGCTCCAGCCGATCGCTGTCGCGTGCCGTCTGCCCAAGCCCAGGTCGCCCACTCCCTCCTCGGATCCTCAATCTCCCTTCCGCCCTTTCTGTTCGAGGCGGGACAGCCGTTCGAGTTTGGAGGACATCTTGCCGCAGCAATGGCATCGACTTTCGTCGGGCTTGATGTTCGGCTGCAACACAAGAGCGGCACTCAGATCTTGGGCCGGGTCCGGAACATCGACGTCTCCACGCAGCTCCTCTTGCTCGAGAATGGTGTGTGGATCTCCGATCGTGATGCAGCCGAGGCTGCCCCTCGCTCGAAGCGTATCGGTTCCGGAACTGCGGCGATCGGCCAGCTCAGAACAATTGCCGAATGGCCGCATTGGCTCTGCAGCCCATCCTCGGTACCGGCTGCCCATCTGTCCTCCACGTCCCTAACCCATCCATCGTCCTTCTCCCTGCGTGTCTTCAGTCACAGTCATCGCCCCACACGGCCAAGAGATCCGTTTGCCGACTTATCAGCTCCCTGGCTCGGACATTGTCGATATCGAGTTGGCCACCCAGCCTCCGGGCCACTCGCTCGCATCCGCTCGGCCGCTGTCTGACCCCAGTCCCCCGCTGCACCCCAGCCCGGCTCAGGCCCTCGCTGCAGCTTCGGATCGGCAGGATCGCTCGTCAGTCACAGCCCCGACCCAATCCAACCAGACATTTGTCGACCCGGCCATCCTCTCGGTAGGGCCCCTGGAGCACCAACTGGAGCACTCTCCGGTGACATTCGTTCGGACCGATGCATTCGCATCCGTGCCAGCGATCCCGCCAACCAACTCCCCCACACATCCGCACGCATCCCCTTGCCAGTGCCTTGGCTGAGGAACCCGGATTGGCGTCTCCACACCCGCTCCTGACAAGCTTCCGCATCGCATCTCAGTTCTCGGTCGGAAAACCCGATGGTCTAGCACAACCCGCTCCTATCTCTGGACAAGCCCCTCCGCTGGCACGCTCGGTAAGGATCGTGCTCTGTGCCATCATCATCGCCACTGCAGTGGAGACGGCTGTCTGGCACAGCAAGGATGCAAATGCCAGACAGAGCCTGCAACAACACTCACCCGATTCACTCGCACCACGATGCCACTGTATCGTTCCAGGCCACAAGTGGAGGCACAGCCGATGGAGCAGGGCCCTCTTTCCCACATTCCGCCGAGTCCTCCCTGAACTCGTCCTCTGCTGTCCTGAGCAGCTCCCTCCAGAGGAAGGCCGCGTCTCCTGCGATGGCACGATCAAAGACGGGCAGCTCCAGGGGATTGTATGCCAGCCCTTCGAGACCTCGCCAGAGCCGAAGCCGGAACCCAAGTAGCGGCGGGAAAAGCACGGGCTCACCAAGGAGAAGCCGCGACCCTGGGCTCGGTAGGTCGCCAGCAGCGCTTTCAGCTACAGATCAACATGTGTGTGGTTGGTGTATCGTCGCGGCGGTGTTTGACACAAGACTGATTTGTCTTTGGCCATCCCCCGACAGATCGCCGGCTCAACGGTCCTCGATACGATGAGAACCAGTGGGCCGACAGCGACGTCGGCGAGTACACCGACGATTTCGACTTTCAGTCGTCGCTGCAGCTCTTTGACAAGCGGAGCATCTTTGCCGAGATTGCCTCGTCCGACTCCAAACCCGCCGACCATCTCCTCGTCAACTTGAACCGCCGCAAACCCCAGTCCGCAAACATCGGGCAGATCAAGCTTGGCATCCGGGAGATGGCCCTCAGCGGAGACGAAACCGGCAACGACGCCGAGGTTGAGAGCACTGAAAATGAGGAAGATGGCATCATCGACGACCAGTACCATGGCCCTCTGAAGCGGACAAGATTCCGCACCTATTTCGGCACACCCGTGCCCTCCGTAACGCCCTTTGAAATGGCCGAGATCGAGAGAATTACCGGTGAGAGCCTGACGCGATCATTCCCGTCGCTCCGTCGCGCTGCTGAGGAACGATCCGTGCACAGACAGCAAGTCCTGTGGTTGGGTGGTCTTCATTGTGTGTGCTTCGCAGTCGCCAGTGCTGATAGGCGTGTTCTTTCTGAACTGTTTCGGTCGCTTCCCCAGTAACGGAGACCGGGCCAAACGAAGAGCAACTCATCGAGAACGGCGGCCGAGGCGCGGCTATGTTGGTGCTCCAGGCTCTGGGAGGCAGCCGGCGCATCAAGCCGGGCAATCACAACTCCCCGCCTATTGTTGCGGTTCTTGCAGGCAATAACAGGATCGGTGCATATGGCTTGGCTGCGGCTCGACACCTGTCAAACCACGAATGCCAAGTGATTGTCTGTCTGATCGGAAGCGATGAGGATCTCTCGAACGTAGGTCCACGCTCTCTAGACACTACAGCGGCGCAATATCGCTGAGAGTGGCAAGCGCTGTATGCACACAGATTGCCCTGTTTCGGTCCGTCTCACCAACGACAGACGTCCTTGTTCATCGATCCTGCTGAGCCACTGCTGATTGAGGCTGCACTGTTGTAGTCGTGTTGTCTCCGCCAACGTCCCGTCGAATTGGGTTGTGCTGCCCGTTGCTGACACCATGACACTGTCGATCCTGCCCTTCCCTAGACGGTCTCCTACCAAAGGAAGATCTTCATACCTACGGGCGGGAGCATTGTCAGATCTGCCCGAGAGCTTCCTGGACTTTCGCAACCTGTGGACCTGATCATCGATGCCATCTTTGGGGCTCAGCAAGGCCTGCTGGATCTGAACGAGTCGGAGCGGTTCATGGTGTCGGGGATGATCAAATGGGCAAACGACAACAAGGCACCGACCCTGAGCCTGGATATTTCCTCTGGCATCAACGGCGTGGTTGGTACGTGCATCACAAGGGCATGTTGGGAGATTGAGGGAGGTGGGCACAATTCGAGTAGTTGGCGTGGTTGATGCGGGTGCGTTTGGGAGATGCTTGGGGCGATGTTTGGGGCGATGGACAGCATACTCGTATGGCACAACGGGCTGTGATGGCCGTTTGTCGCCCTCATGCGGGCATGGCACCTGTGCGTGACATCTTATCCTCGGCTCTTTCACCTCTCCTGTTCAACTCACCTTGGCGTTCCTCGGGCCTTCCCCGGCTCGTCGCCACTGCACTGCGTTACAACCATTAGGCCAGCCCACTGCCCCCACCAGCTACATCCATTCGACATGGACCCTGGCCATGGGCCTCCCCAAGACCGGAACGCCGTCCCGCGAGATCTCTGGCGAGTTGCTGCTCGCGGACATTGGCATCCCCAAGATTGTGTTTCAGAAGCTCAGTCGCAGCAACGGCCCAGCAGCCGTGCCTCTCAACATCAGCGCTGGCGCCAGTCCCGTGGGCACGCTCGGAGCACGCTCCATCGGCAAGATCCGGTACATTCCGCCGTTTGGCGACAAGTTTGTCGTTGGACTCGAGGAGATCCCGCTGGGGGAGGAATAGCCCGACCCCTGGATGCCCAGATGAAATCGGCACTGGACGCTGCATTGTCTCGTTCGTGAATGTTTGTCCATGGATGCTGTCCATGGTCTTGGTCCTTGGACTCTGCTTTTCTTCCTTCCCCTCTCCCGCCCTCCCTCACATACACAAACTCTATCTATCTCTCGGTGGCTCACCATTCCATTGTGCTCTCTGCATTGCATCTGAAATCTCACCTTGACCATCCCAGCCTTTGCTGTGTCGTGGGGAAATGTCCCTATAACGAACCGGGGCTAACCAGGGTGGACGCGGATATCCAGCAGAGTAGCGCGCGACGGATTTGGGCTCAGTCCATTAGTCCATCCGCTGTAGCCTGTGCCGAGATGGCACACAGCAAGCGGAAGACTCGATCGGTTGGATTTCGTGGTGCTCAGGGTTTCGAACTCCGCCATGCCTGTCCGTCCACGTGGCAGTCGGAGTTGGCTGGTCAAAATTGCCTTTTGTGAACAAATGAAGCTAGGGTTGGGGCGAGCAGCCAGGGTTCCGAGCGAAGCAGTCGCAGCCCTTGCTCTGGTGTTGGTTCCTGGGCGACGACACCGCAACTCTTTCCACCATCCATCCATCCATCGATCAGTCCACCCATCCCTTCTCCCTTCCATCTGCCCCTCCCCGACCGAGCCATCCCCCCCCCCGAGACTGCCGGTGGTGGAACTCCAATCAGCACGGCCGAGTGAAGAGCTGCAGCAGCTGGCTCCATCCCGAACTTCAGTCGGCCGATCCCTCATCCCTGCGCTTCCCCCGTGCCAGCTGGATCGGCGTTGCTGCGACGCAGCTGGGTCCTCGTTCGCACATTCGACTGCGGCAAGACAGATCGCCACCACGTCGCTCTCCGTCATTGACCGGCTCAGCCACACAGACATTTCCTGGCGTTTCCGGACGGGCTCGGGCATCTAATTCCCCCCTCTCGCTCTCGCTGAGCACCCTCGACCGTCCATCGGCTCCAGCCCGTTCCCCCAACCCCCCAACCCGACCGACCGGAATCACACCTCCCCAGACCCTCTGACTTATCCCTCGGCCATGATCGGCGATAATGATAGCGCTGCCTACACGGCGTCTCCGTCGTCAGCGGCCGGATCCAAGCTAAGGAGCTCGACGGGGCGGCCAATGACGACGGGATCAGCCGCTCTGGCAGCCGCAGGACACCTTTTGTCTCCATCGACCTCCATTACACCGTCGCTCTCGACTCCCCAACCATCAACTGCAGGCTCACAGCTGTACCCGCCGACATCGTTTGATCTGCCAAGCCCGCCACCCCAGCCGGCATATCCGGCGAGTCATCATCGCAGCCACAACCACAATCACGCCCACAGCCATCACACCCATCACAGCCGGCATGGCCATCACCATCCCTCGCAAGCCCATGCACCTTCTTCATCAGCACCCGCCGGCGTGCCGTCGAACCAATTCCAAAAGTTCAAGCGGTCCCGATCTGCCACACATTCGCTCATGACCCATCCCACCACGCCCATTCCCAACTATGTTCACATTCCCAAGCTGACGCATTCGCTCATCCAACATGTGCGTCCCTTTGCTTGCTGATCTCGTCTCCTCCTCATCCTCATCCTCACCCTCGAGGCTGTGCTGACACAGCTGCTCTTGATACTGTTGCGCTATCGATGCGGCCAAGGAATGCTGCTGTGTCGAAGCCTGCGAGCGCACTGCCGACTCATCCCATGGCGCTCATTGATCAACCCCCTCCCGATTTAGGGTGGCTTTCAAAGCTGCCTGGTATCTCTATCGCCTCTTTGCTGATCCGCTTGCCTCTATCGCCATTCGTGTCGTTGCCTGCTTGCATACACTCGGTATATAGATTCTTGAAGTCAACGAGCAGTACATCAACATTCTCTTCGAGGCCCAAAATAATGGATGGCTGGTCGATCAAGACATTAAAATGTACTCGTTAGCGAGAGCCTCGCCTGCTTTGATCTACTTCTTCCCTGCTTCATCACTATGCTTGGCTGTCCGGCGGCCTCATCGCATCAGTTGATCAAGCGGGCTGGGCTGCTCTTTGGCGTCCCTGTCACGGACGACTTCGCATTGGTGCTAATGCCCTCCCTCTCCTTCGCTCGGCCGTGTTGGTGTTCTCTGCCAGCTATCAAAAAAGACTGCAAGCAAACCTACTTTGGCTGGCGAATGCGGCAAATGAATACCGACTCAGGGTAAGGTAGCCGCCTGCTGGATGGCGTAGGCTGCATGAGCTGTTTGCGGCTGTGTGGCGACAGGGTTGGAACCTGCATCGACGCACTTTACCGATCCGCATGGATCACTTTGGCGGCGGTGCACACTTCATGTCTTGCTTTGCGGGGTGATCCTATCCCATCCACGCTCGATGCTCTCCTCCCCCCCCCATGTCCATCGTCCATGCGACTTAATCCGACCACACAAATACCCATCAGGCGTCAAGTTCAGCATCAACCGACTCTGCAGCCCGGGGCTCGCAGTCAAAGTCTCAACCCACACCAGGATCACCGCCGCTCATGGCCCCGACTGATGATTCGCAATGTCGCCTGTCCGAAGGAGTGCACCCACAGTCCGTCGACGAAAGGATCGGCAGCATTCTCGAGCTCATGGGAGCGCCCGTCCTTGGGCTCGACTCCAAGTCCGATCCATCCGACTCGATTGACTATGTCCCCGTACCGCCATTTGTGTTTCCGAGCCAGCACGACGTCCGGCCGATCCAGCAGCTGCAGCAGCACTACAACCAGTTCGAGTATTTGGCCCGCCGCGAAGCCAGCATTCTTGGATACATGAATATCAAGAGTGCGGCCGAGGCTGGAGGACGAAGCGCTGGGGCCAGTCGTCGCCGAGATGTAGCTGAGAGGACGGCTGATCTCTTGGATGACGACGAGGCCGATGACGACAAGGACGACGAGCATGAACCCGGGTATGGCGCGCCGGTCTCGACGGAAGACACCGAGGGGGAGGGCGAAGAAGATGATGACGACGACTATGTACCCGATGAAGAGGACGATGCGGACGAAGACGAGTCTGAGGAAGAGGGCGACGACGACGAGGACGGCAACGGCGAAGGCGCTGGCGATGCCGAGGCCATCACTATCGACGACGAAGACAGTCCGGCGCCAAATGGCGATGTCGACGGCGGCGCCGATGTTGATGTCGGTATTGAGATCGATTCCGATGTCGTGGATTCCTCGGGTATCCTCGGCGGGATGGGTAGCAAGATGGCGACGGCTCCTTCTGTACAGTCGACGCTACAGCTCGGCGTGCCCAGCCCGCAAATCCTTCATGCTGCCCTCGGCGGCTCGGCTCACCTGAAGAGCGATCACAGAGGCAACGCCGAAGCCCACGAAGCGCGTGCGCCTGCGCCGATCCTGGACGACGACTTTTTCGACTTTACCGATGCGATCCAGATGCCCGATGCGGACGACGACCCGTCCACGTTCTTGTCCTCCCAGGGCCTCGGCGACAGGCTCGACATGGCTCCATATCTCAACTCGGAGGATACGCCCCAGCTCTTCGGTGCGCCGCTGGACGGGCTGCTGAGTCTCGGCGGCACGGATCCGATGACCGAGGGCGTATCGGAGCTCTCGATGATGACGAGCGAGACCGGCTTGGGCAACAACGACGAAGCCGAAGACGACGATGAGGATCCTGCATCTGGCGCGATAACGGGCGGGTATCAGTTCGACGGATTCTTTTCGACACCAATGGGCGGCGGCACGGGAGGCGAGGAGCTGTTCTCGGACCTATTTGGAGACATGTGGGATCGCAGCGAGGGCGCATGAGGCGGCTGCGCGGATGCTGCGGGGCTGGCTTGCGATGTTATCAGTCGAATAAACAACGAGACATCGTCTCATTCAGACAAACACGGCGTAGTCGGACCATATCACACACCCTGTCAAGTGGGCACGACGGGGACCAGCGAGTCGCTGCAGATGCAGCCACTGCAGGTCAGGGCAAGAATACATACCTGGGAAGAGGGGAGGCAAAGAGCAGAGCAAAGAGTAGTATCGCTGGTTTGGGTGCCAGTCAAAGCCGTCCAGCCAGATCGATCAACATCAACCAATCCACAAGCCATCAGCGTGTGAAAGTGTCCCGTTTAAACCAAGTGCCGATGCTGGGTGGTTCGTCTGGATCGAGCCACATCCATGCCGTGCGACATGGCGTTCCTCTTTTGGCAGGAGCCGTCCCGATCCATCCACGCGCGTTTTTGCCGACAGCAAGGCAGCAGTTTCGGCACGGAGGGTTGCGTTGCGGGTGTGGAGAATCTGCTCTGCAGGTGTGGAGAATCTGCTCGCGGATCCTGCTGCGAATACGGAGCAAGTGTGCACCGAGCGCAGACCCAAGAGCGCAGACCCAAGAGCGCAGATGCGAACGACGCTGGGCGCTGTGCCGTGTGATTCTCCCTGCACAAAATGCTCTGGCCGGCGCTGGTTGGCCACGGTCCCGAGAGTCCCGAGAGTCCCGAGAGCGGCCGAGAGCAGCCGAGAGCGGCCGAGAGTGGCGCGCCTCGGCCAGCAGCAACCGCGTCCGTGCGACGCTGCTGCAGCTCGCGTGCTGGCAGACAGTGTGTCCAATGCCCGAGACAGACAGGCGCTGTGCAAGGGCCTGTTACGCAGAAACACAGTTTGCATCTCAGCACACAGTGCGCGCAGCCACTGACGCTGCCATGGGCACTGCCATTGTCACAGACGCCTACGCACCTAAACAGCCGCTTGTGCGCGCCGCGCGCCACTCGCCACTCGCGCACGCCCACGGCCCCCCGCCTGTCCTGCCGCGCGCCGCCCCTTCCCCCCAGCGTCGCCTTTTTCGTCGCTTGAGTCATCTCGTCTGGCTCCGCCGGTGATTCAGCGCCCGTCCTCTTGCCTGATCTGTCCTGAGCTGTCCTCTCGTCTGATCGGTCCTGTCGCCCTCCTCGCTCCTTTTAAAGCCCGCCCCGCCCACCGCATCTTCCCGGCGAGCACCTCCTATTTTGAGCCGTCTCCCCAGCTGCCGAACTCGCCTCAGACTACTCTCAGTCGTCCTCCTGGAACGCTGCTTCCATCTGTCTTTCCACCCTCTCCTCTCTCCCCTTGACCTGCGTTTGATACCGCCGCTGTCCTCTGTCGCCATGGCCGTGCCCCGCAAGACCGCCCGCTCTGTCGATTCGGCCCTGGATCTCTCGGCCTCGCCCTTCCCCGCCAACATCAACACCAACAACCTGCCCTTCAAGGGCCCCTACCCTCCTACCAAACCCTCCGATGTCGGCTTCCCCACCCTCCCCAAGAGCGACGACTTCATGTGGGAGACTTCGGATGAGCCCCACGCCACCCGCCGCAAGATCATTCTCCAGAAATACCCCGAGATCAACAAGCTCATGGGCCCGTGCCCAAAGACAAAGTACTCGGTCTTCTTCCTCGTCACCACCCACTTTGCCCTGGCCTACTACCTCAGGGACAAGATGTGGACCCTGCAGTTCTGGCTGCTGGCCTACTTTGTCGGCGCCACCATGACCCACTCGCTCTTCCTCGCCATCCACGAGATCACCCATTTCCTGGCCTTCAAGTCGCCTCTCTACAACCGGCTCCTGGCCTCCTTCGCCAACCTGCCGATCGGGTTCCCTTACTGGGCCGCCTTCCGCGGCTACCACCAAGAGCACCACAACATGCAGGGCGTCGAAGGCATCGACACTGATCTTCCCACGGCTCTCGAGGGCCGCCTGTTCAAGTCGACTCTTGGCAAGCTGTTCTTCTGCACCTTCCAGATCCTCTTCTACGGTATGTCTCACCGCTCGCTTCTGTCACCGTTAGACCTGTTGCTGGTCAGAGATGCGCCTTGCTTCTGCTAATGAGCGACCCGCCAGCCTGAATGGCTGAATTGAAAGTATCTGTGTCGCCCTCTCTGGCGGGTGCTGCCCGATCTTGCGTCATGTTGCCTCCGTCGGCGCTCACTTCTCACGCTCCTCGCGCTTGCTGTGCTCTCACACCACTCATCTTCCATCCCTTCCACTCGTCATCGGTGCCCATCACAAACAGCCCTCCGCCCCATGATCGTCAAGCAGCAAAAGTTCACCAGCTGGCACGTCTTCAACTGGGTCACTCAGTTTGGCGCCATGGGTGCCATGATCTACTTCTGGGGCATGAACCCGTTCTGGTACTTTGCCGTCTGCACCTTCCTCTCGGGCTGCCTGCACCCCATGTCCGGCCACTTTATCGCCGAGCACTACGTCTTTGTCAAGGGCTTCGAGACTTACTCGTACTATGGTCTCCTGAACCTGTAAGCATCGCATCCCCTTCTCGAGCATGATGTCCCCGCGCAATCACCCTTTGCTCGCAAATCATGTCGCCCTGTGCACCGTTCTTTCCGCTACCGATGCGTCCGGCTGCTCACCCGTTGCGCTACTGCTGCTTTCATAGCCTCGCCTACAACGTCGGCTACCACAACGAGCACCACGACTTCCCCAGAATCCCTGGCTCTCGTCTCCCCGAAGTCCGCCGCATTGCCGCCGAGTTCTACGACGACCTGCCCCAGGTCAAGTCTTGGGTCATGACCATCGTCAACTTCATCATCTTCCCCCACATCACCCCATACAACCGTGTCAAGCGAACTGTCAAGAAGCAGTACACCAAGACCAGCGGCGACGCCGAGTAGATGCATGGAGGCCGCCGCGGCCTGGCGGCTGGCAATGTCACCGTCGCTGTCCGCGTGCTGAGTCACCCCCCTCCTCTGATCCTTCTATCACCCTCCTTCTCTGTGCATCAATCTCACCATCCTCCATCTAGAACCTCGAGATTCTCCTATGGGACGCCACAGAACATGTTTGTGTGCGTGTGTGCGCTTTATGCTACTACTATTTCATCAGACTGTTGCAGTGCTCACGGCGAAGCGGGGCTTCTCCCTGCTTCCGAGTGTCGACCTGTGACTTCTCTGGACCATGAATATACACACACGCTCATTCATCATTCGCGGAGTGAGGTGTAGAGGCTCCAGGGTCCCATGACTGCTTCAGCGCCGCGGAATCGGTGCGGCCTTGAGCCAGGATTAGTAGATCGGAATCGACAGCCAGTTCGTGCAGATGCCGTTGATGTAGCTCTTGAGAACAGAAAACTGCGGGGTGAAGAGGTGCAGGCCGTTGATCGCGAACACATTGGTGCCGTCGTCGTCCTCGTTGTACTCGCGTGAGAACAGCTCGGCATAGCAGTGGCGGACATCGCACAGGCTTTCCCGCAGACCCAGCAGCTTTTCGCCACCGTCCATGAACCGCATCAGCTCCATGAGAGCCACGATGGATTTGGCGAGGCAGTGCTGACGGAGAAATGAGAAGAGCGAAACTGCCGTGAGACTGCAATGCCGGAGCAGCTCTGTATGCTGACTTGGAGGCCGACAAAGCCAAAGCTACCCGCTCCCCCAATCGGCGCAAGGGCCTGCAATTCCAAACCTTGCCGTTCGAGGCCATCACCTGGCAGCTCGGATGGGTGACCGGGTCGACAAAGCCGCCGGGCATGAGGTCCTTGACGACATACGAGAGCCGGTGGCCCCAGAACTGAACAACGGCAACTTCGTTGGGCTCGCACAGCCGCTGGATCACCGGGGCGTGCGATTTGTATGCATGGGCGCACCTGGGATCTTGGGGCCCATGGACATTCCAGGGGACATTCCAGGGGACATTCCGGACGGCCAAGATATACGGATGGTTCAAGCAGACAAAGTCAGTTTTGTCACCAAGACCGAATGTGAGAGCCTGCCGGGCAAAGATCGCCTCTGTTTCCATCATATCTCCACGAACCCAGAGCATCTTGGGCTGTCGGACCCGCCCTTTCTTGGCCATAGAAGCTACGCAAAGCATCATGCCTTTGACGAAGCGAAGGAGAGAGACGGCGCAACGAGGTCCTTGTGCCGGACTCCAGACTCACCATTGCAGGCCGCCTGCAGGATGCCCTCAAAGTACGTATCGGACGAGAGACTGGTTCGGGTGGCGTCTCCTACACCACAGTATCTGAGGATATCGGCCACGTACTCGGCGACGGCGCCGGCGCACTGCTTGGGCTGGCTCTTCACGATCCCTTGCGGTTCATCGGCCGCCTTGACGGGGTTTGGGTTGAGCTGCGGGGTGGATCTGCATCATGGATTCGCGCTGGCATCAGCAGACAACCACCAACGATCGCGCTCGCTTTCATTGGGAAACCCATGCGTGCCGCAAATACACCGGCCCGAACGTACCTGACGGGGAGTGCCATGGCGAGAAGCACCAGGAGAGCGATTTTTACAAGCCACATGGCAGCAGTGTAGTTTGCGAGACTCGAGATTCGTTGCAAACAGATGATGGACGCGGGGAAGCAGAACACAGCTGTTGCGACGGCAATCTCCCGCCCGGCTCTCCGTCGTCGCAACTCATATCCCAGGCAGCCCTCAACCTCCCTCCCTCCCCCCAGCCGCGGCAGTATCGAGTTGCGCGGCGCTGGGCAGGAGCTCTCCGGGCCAAGTGTTGAGGCTGGAAGGAATGGCGCGAACTGGACAGCCCGTCGGCCCCCGGCCAATCGAGCGAGACGATGCGACTGTGTGAGTGGCGGGATCGGCGGCAGCAGTGCTCTGCTGTCCCAGGCAGCCGAAGAGTCCCGGCGCCGTGATTGATGCAGGGAATCCCGAGTCCGCCGATGGTGCTGAGGGGGGGGGTTTTCCCAGACATCCTCGGGCGCGAGTTCCCACGCAGACCCACACCCGAATCTCGCCAGCAAACCCAGCATCGGCCGCAGTTTCCGTCATAAGAATCGACACCGGAGCAAAACCACACCCATATCTCGCCGTGGATCGCCTGCCGAACAGAATACGCAAATGCCACGCGTTTTTGTATCGAACGTTGACAGTGCCCTCGGGCACAACATTAGCCGCCTCTTCAGCGTAACGGCCGTTGGGTCCCGGAAGGAGGAGGAAAACAACGAAGAGGAGCTGCCCGAAGATATCGAGGACCCAGACAAGCCCAAAGTAACCGAGGAGAAGCAGAAAGAGACCTACTCGGTCGTCGGCACATTCAGTCCGCGAGTTCGGACCATCGACAACGACCCGCTGAGCGATCCGGCCCCGGTCGTGACGGGGCATATGTTCGAGACCGGGGACAAGAAGCGAGACGAGATGCGGAGGCTGGCCATTGAAAAGTTTGCGATCATAGGCAAGAAACCCAAGTGGGTTCAGGAGACTGTCGGGGTAGGTACCGGCCAGTGTCCGGTGCGGGATTGGGCAGCATTCCTCAGCGTCCCTTGCGCTTGCTGAGATCCGCCAGGGTCTTTGAGCAGCTCAGAGGCGTTCTGGCGTTAGTAAGCAAATGCAGAGTATGATGAAGTGCGTTTCTTTGTAAAGACTCTTTGGCCCGCAAGCTTGACCGGTCAGACATTTGTGTATCCAGGAAACACAAGAGTCATTGCAGGAAGCGCTGCTCTCTTCCGATATCATTGTCTACGACTTGATCACGTCGTGTGAAGAAGCCACATGGGCCATCGAGAGTAAGTGGGCGAGGAGGCCAATGGCGCCAATCGACCAGAGCACGGTGCCGAGAGGCTTGACCGGAGTCGCTTGCGCCACGTGCTGGTCTTCCCGAGACCTCATCTGAACGACACAGCGTCGCAGCACCCGCGGACGGAAAGGGATGAATATGCTTTGGTGCTGAACCACATAATGGCCCATACCCATCCTGAATAACGGTCCCCGCTTGCATCGTTGGATCGTTGCGGTCGCGCAGTGCTTTCGGAACAGTCCGAGTCGTTCACGAAGCCCAAGATCTTCATCGCAGTGTCCTCCATCATGACTTGGGGAAAGACAAAGATGGATCACGTACGTGTTCATACCTTGGTTCTCTACGAGACCGGCAGCGATGAGCGTGGCGTAGAGCCGTGCTATTCGAGCGGTGTGGCAGCCACCTGATTGACCGAACTGGAGTAATCTCTGGCGATGCTGATGACCGTTGTCGTTATCGGTGCACGGCTATATGCAGGATGACCCTGAAGCTTTCCTGGCTGAGGACGAATACCGCCGAAGAAAGGCGCATCCCAATTTCAAACTGCATATCGCGGCCGAAAAATCCATCATCAAATTCGGCAAGAAATCCAACCTCAAGACATACGTGCTTGCCTCTGGTCTGGTGTACCATTCAGGAGACAGCATCTTCCACTATCTCTTGAAGGTACGGAAGGGGATGTTGACAGAACCGGCCTGCAGAGGAGCGAGCGGTGTCGGGAATATGGCCGGCGGCGGTGGAATGGGTCGCCGGAACGTCGGGATCAGCGAGGGAGCAAAGATTGCATATCTCTGCAAGCAGCCGGTATCGCACACATCACGGCCGAGCTTCAAAGCCAAGGAATTATTCTCATGGCGATATCTCCGCCGTCGCTGAACCATGTGCAGGCTGGGTGGCACAACGAGGAGAAGCTGATATGTTACGGCGAGGGAAACAATATTCTGCCCACCATCCATCTGGACGACCTATGCAACATCGTTGTCGAGGTGGCCGACACCCAGCCTGAGAACAAGTATATGCTTGCCATTGACGACTCGAAGCACTCACTCTATGAGATCACTAAGGTCGGTTCCAGTGGGTCTCGGTCGACTGCATGTTGGGGAGTAGCCGAGTCGTGCTGTTGTCTGACCGAGTGCTTGCCTTCACGGGGGTGGGGAATCACAGGCCATCAGCGAGGCACTGACGACCGGCAAAGTCAAGAAGGTTCCAAAGGAGCATGCATTTCTGTACCACGGGCTAACTCAGTCCGATTACGACATGCTGCTCGTCAACTTGAGGCTGGAACCTGGACATGTCAAGGACATGTCGTTTGAATGGAAATATGAGGTGAGGATAGTTGCACTGGCCAGCGCTCGTACCGGCCAATCTGAGCACGGCCGATTTCACCAATCGAGGCAGTCGGCCAGCAACCATCACACCAATGCCCGTCACCGTCGACATCCGCATGCACTTACATTCGCACGCACTCGTGCGGATACGTGTTTACAACACCATGCTCTGATACCGACAACAAACACAACTCCGTTTCTCAGTCGGGTCTGGTCGAGAATCTGCCACAGCTTCTGCAGGAATATAAGGATGCCCGCGGTCTTTCTCCGCTCAAGATTGTCCTCCACGGACCCCCGGCCTCCCGCAAAACCTTCTTCGCCAAGAAGATTGCCGAACACTACGAAATCCACCTGATTGAAGTTGAAAAGACCGTCCAGGCGGCGATTGATCGACTGGTACGTTGCATCAGCTAGAGAATACGGGATGAAAGGGACATGGTGGCTCGGCGGTGTTTCAGTACGGATGTCGTGTCCGAGCGGTGGATACTTGGGACGCTGGGAGAGCACAAGGCCGTGGTGTGATCAAGGAAAACTGATAGCAGAGTGCTTGTATATCGGCGGCTGTCGCAGGAGAGTCGGGTCAACGGCTCGACCAACGCAGACGAGCAGGAAGACGATACCGAGGCTGACAAGGAGCTGCTGGAAGAGCTCAAGGAAGCAGCCAAGGCCAACAACGGCCGTTATCCCGAGGAGCACATCATCAACTTCATTCGGGAGAAGCTGCGATCGATGCCCTGTCGCAACCAAGGCTATATTCTCGACGGTTTCCCAAACACCCTTGAAGAAGCCACACAGCTCTTCCGTCGTAAGTTGCAGGCACATGCCCGCGGCTGCGCCTTGAAAAGCGGGCGAGATCGATGGGCTGATGTTGCCGATTCTCACGGCTGCCACATTGCTTGAACCTCTGCAATGTGCCGTCGTTCCTGCCCGGGGGGGGCGAGATGCTGGCATGCCGTGATGCTCTGTCGAATCTACTTGAGCCTCGCTCTCCTTTTGGAATCGATGCCCGTGCTGCTCCTTTCCCGACTGCTCGACTGTGCTCCATACTGATGACCTTCGTGGCCTCTGCCGCCAGCTGCCCCTGAGGACGAGGGCAAGGACGACAAGGGCAATCCAAACGTTGACGATCTCACCATACCCGAGTTTGTGCTGACGCTGGAGTGCTCGGACGAATACATCAAAGAGAACGTCATGGCCCTGCCCGAGTCCGCAATCGCCGGAACCAAGAACGCCGAGGAGGCCCTTGTCCGACGACTGGAGGAGTTCCGGGCCATGAACACCGATGAAAACACCGTTTTAAACTATTTCGACGAGCTCGAGATCCACCCGATCCCGATTGCCGTCGAGAACGTGGCCCCCGAGGACGTGATGGGCACGATCATCAAGCACATTGGCAAGCCCCATAACTACGGACCAACTCCGGAGCAGCTCGCAGAGAAGAGGCGGCTGGCCGAGGAGGCCAAGGTAACGACACAGATGCGCTGCATAGTGTGATGCTCCCCAGTTGGCCGCGCCACCTGGACAACCTGACGAATTCCAATCGATACTGAGGCTATCCACCACGGTACGATCTAGATCCGCGAAGCTGCCCTCGCCGAAGAGGAGCGTCAGAAGCGCGAGAAAGAAGAAGCCGAGCGACACGCCAAGGCCGTCGCCGAATGGGTATGGAGAGGGATTGCCCGAGCAACAGGACAGATGGCGCATATTCTGTTTGGCATCGATGCGGAGCAATTCGATTCACTTTGCTGCCACACCATCCATCTCCAGAATGCCCGCATGGAAGAAGTGCGAAAACAAGAACAAGACGTCCTCGAGGCACAGTCGGTGCCGCTGCGCAACTACCTCATGAAATTCGTCATGCCGACCCTCACCTCGGGGCTCATTGAAGTCTGCAAGATCCGGCCAGAGGTACTTGGACATGATGGTGGCGCGCGACGGCGATTCTCCATGTTGGCATGATTGTCCAAACTAACGGCAACCTGTTGGTGCGCAAAGGACCCGATCGACTATTTGGCCGAGTATCTTTTCCGGGTAAGCACGCGATACCTTGATATATACCACACACCGCTGCAGCTTTAGTCGGGTGCTCGGCTGACTGGCTGACCGACTGACTGACTGACTGATCAACTGGCTGACTGGCTGTGGTGTGTGCTCGTTGGTTGCTTGACTCTCGATAGAACAATCCAGAGAATTCGTCGTAGGTGACAGGAGCATCCCGCGGATGAGATGCCCATCGGACACAATGCCAAAGGGCATTGGTTTGAAAACAGGGTGCCCCGATGGACTGAATGGTCGAATCGAGCTCGCGGCCGCCCTGTCTCTGGCTGTTGAATATATGTGTGCATCCAACATGCTGCAAACAGGAGCTGGTCTTGCTCGGCCACTTTGGCGTTGTCATGCTCGCTGCGGTGGCTCGATGGCGGGGAGCTCACGCATCTCCGTTATCAATGACGAATGAACGTGTGTATTCACGACCCATGGCCGACTCAGCAGCAGAAAGACCTCCGCCTCGCTGTGGCTTAACATGCTGCGAACGACCTGTGAACATATGTGCCGCGATGCAATGCAACGCAATGCAACAAGAGCGAGGCAAGCGATTTGCGCGATGCAGCAGAGCTGAGCCCAAAATTACAATTCAGTGTTTTTTCCTTTTGTTTGCCCGCTTGAGGATCAAGCATAGAACAGAGACAGCGGCTCACATCAGCCGCCAACAACGAGAAGAGATCGAAACGGAACCGCGACTGCAGGAACTGGGGCGTCTGTCTCTGGATCTATGCTGCCCGCTCGGCCAAATATGCAACCGTGGCCTCCAAGTTATCGTTGTTCCTGTCAAGTGAGTGAGTAAAAAAGCACAGGAGACAGACGCATCAGTATGACCCAGTTACTCTGGCTGTGACACTACAGCAAGAATCATGCCGCGACTTTCCGTGCTTACTTTTTCAGTGCTGCCAGTGCTTCGCCTGTGAATTTCCAGCGAGATTGATGGATAAAACCAATTAGTGCGGACAGTTCGTTCGAGGCAGCGCCATAGAAGCACCATCCCGCGCAGTCTGGCTGCATGACGATCATACCACAGTGGGATTCCAGAGCCGGTCACTCACCTTTCTCAAATCCCATTTCAAGTAGAGCGTCGAGGTTTGCAGACATCTCTTCCACTTTGCCCGCTCCGGGAGCAGGCGAGGCACTACCGGGCTGGGGCTCGGGCGCTGGAACAGGAATGGGCGAGAGCGCAGGGATCGGTGCCGACGCTGGTGCCGGAGAGGACGTCGCCGGCGCAGTTCCAGTGGGTTGGATGGGCGACACAGAAAATGCGTCGTTGAAACCAAACGCTGCGGATGAAGGGGCCTCGCTCGACTTGAACGAACCAAAGGCGTCGTCCAGATTGGCAACGGGTGCCTGGCTCCCCGAGAAGACCGAGTCAAAGTCGGTATCAAACTGGTTAACGACCGGCGTGGAGCTTTGCGATTTGGTTGGTGTCATCATGGCCGTCATCCGTTTGGTCGAGCGCCGCACGTTCGAGGGAGGCGCAAAGTTGCCAAAGGAGGCTTCGAACTTGAATGCATTTTCGTTGATGCCGTCAAAATCAGCGACAGGAACCTCAGGCACGCTCTGCGGGGCCGCTTTCCCGGTCGATCCAGAGAAAGCGTTGCTAAGCTCGGCATCAAAGTCCAGCCCATCCAGCTTGAGCTGGACAGGCTCAGTCACCACCGCCGATGTCGACGCTTCGGGCGCGGGAGCAAAGGCCGCGGTGAAATCAGGCGCCTGGCTGCTCCAGTCGTCAAAACTGAAGGTTTGGTCGACGGCAATCTTGGCGTTGGGAGCGAAGGGATCGTCTTTCTGGAGCTCGGGGCTCTGGCCGGTGCTGGCCAAATCGAACGGATTAGTAAAGTTGCTCTTGAAGGGGTCGTCGAGCGTGCCTGCAAAAGCACCGGCATTGGCTGGCGCGGCGACAGCACGGGTCTCTGTCGCCGGCTGGAACGAGCTTTCGAATTGGTCAGGCGAGGGGAACGAGGTTTCAAATGCCTGGAGATCGATCTTGGGGCTGGCGTTGCTGGGCGGCACGGGGTTGCTGCCAGAGATACTCGCGAAGACATCGTTCAGGTCGGCGGCGTTGGCCGCAGGCTGCGAGGGCAGTTTTGACTCGAAGCCGGCAAAGGCATCATCAGCCAGGAAGGGGTCCGAGGCCAGAGAGCCACCGGGAAGGCCCCCGGCGGCTACGACAGGGGATTTGCCCAAGCCAGGAGCTCCCGCAGGGACAGTCGAGGGGGTCGCCGAGGGCTTACTCAAGGCAGAGCTCTTAGGCGCATTGAACTTCATCAGCTCTTCAAACGAATCCTTCTTCTCGAGCTTGGGCGCAGCACCCTGCGACAGCGATCCAAAGGCAAGCGACTCAGAGGAAGGCGCGCTTGTGGGCCTGCCCTGTCCCTCCGAAGACTTTGTCGGCTTGGACGACAGCGACGGGACAGGAGGCGCGGGGTCGCTGGAAATGCGACCAAGGGCCGGAGGCACAGCCTCCTGGAGGTTGGGGGACACGGGCAGAGGAATGCCAGCAGCCACCGACGGCGAAGGCACGGAAGCTTGGGACAGGATCGAAGCCGGCTTGGCAGCCCCAGAGACGCTGTCGAACGAGAAAATGTCCTTCTCGACAGGCTTGCTGCTGGGCTTTGGGGTCTCAGCGGCCTTGACGGCGTCAGCCAAAGCCTGGCCCTCTGACACAGCCCTCACGAGCTCATGCTGCTTCTCGACAAACTCGGCCTCGAGTCTGGCCTTCTCGGCCTTGCTCTTCTTGATCCGCTCGCGGTCGCGGTGGTTGGCGGCATACTGTGCAGCCACCTGCCGCTCCAGGGAAGTCGATTTGGCACGCTCCTCCTCCAGCTGCTTCGTGACGGCGTCCAGCTCGGCCTGGATGCTCTGGTGCTCGGCATGAGCCGATTGGAGAACCTGGTTGTGAATGTCGCTGCTCTGGAGGACCGACTCGATCTCGGTTTTGAGCTCCGCAATCTGTCGGTGGGTTTCGGTCTCCAGAGCCTGGTAATCTTCGATGCGCTGCTTGAGATTGTGAGATTCGGCCAAAAGCTGCGCCTTGGCTTCATCCAACTTGACCTTCTCGGCATTCACGAGCTGAACGGTGGCCTCCAGACGTGCCAGCTCTGTCTGAGCAATCTGGAGGGTCTGTCGCTCGCGGAACAGCTCAGCCTCGGTATCTTGGAGATACTGGATCTCGGAGTCGTAGGTGGCCTTGGTCTGCGAGAGCTTGACCGTGAGATGCAGCTTGGTGTCGTTGGCCTCGCGCAGCTCCGCATCCACAGCGGAGCGCTTGGCCTTGATCTCCTCCAGATTCGGGGTGATGGCGTCGATCTGTGACTGAAGGCTCTGAATATCGGTCTTGCGGATGGCGAGGTCATGCTGACGCTTTTCAAGATCAGCGGCTTCACGGCTTGCGAAGCTGGCATGGCCAAGCGGAGGCACACTGACGCTCGAGCTGGCACCACCGAGCGCAGGAAGTCCGCTGAGACTCGAAAGACTGCCGAGCGTGCCCTCTTTTGGTTGGATAAAGCGTTGAAGAGTCAGGCCCCGGGTTATTCAGACGCCAGCGAGCCAATATACGGCACTCAACGCTGCTGTTGGTGCCTGCCCAGGCTGAGCGAGTGTGTCCAAACCCCACAAGCAATGCAAGCAAATCACTCACTGAGAGCACCGGTCTCCTGAAGGGGCTTGGGAGCGCCGGCTGATGCGTTGGATCCGTCAAAGTCGAGGAGCGAAGGCGTGCTCAGGGCTCCACTCAGACCCTTGGACGTCGACGACAGCAACGAGGCAGGCAGGACTGCAGGCACGGGGTTACCGGCCGAAATGTGCTCGATCAGCAGCATGGCAGCAACAAACTCGTCTTTTGTCAAGCGACCGGCCTTCTGCACATCAGCGAGATCCCTGCGAGAGGGGACACGACAAAGCAGTGAATGTCAGCGGGAATGCAGGGCCAGGAAGGCTTCAAGCGCAACAGTAGCATGGAACGAAGATGGGCAAGATGCATACCAAACTTGCGCCAATGTCGTGCTGGGGAGCTTGGACTCCATAAATAAAGGGTAGGCATCTCCGCCTGAACCAGTTCGCACAAGTTAGCAACAGCCTGAAGCCCATCGACAGCCCTCGATCCCGTGAGCAGCAAGTATATCCAGCTGAGTTGGCGACAGGGGATCAACGACGGATGACAACAGCCCTGGTCTGTCTCATGTCCCACGCTGCGGCCCCGGGCCAGGTTGCTCTTGCGTATGCCACATCCAGCACAATCCGATCGCCATCACCACCAACAGATCAGCGTATTGAGATGGAAACCCACATACCGGTCAGGAAGCCCTTCCTTTCGCTATCCTTTTGGTCAAAGATGGTGCCATACTTGACTCTTGCCTCGGGCGTCAGCACCAGCGCAGGCGAAGGTGCACCGGGCTGGGGAGTCGAGAGCGCCGGGTTCGAAGTGGAAAGACCCGATGTGGAGAAGTTGGCTGTCATGCGGCGGCTGAGTGATGCTGTACTGCCAGACTGCTTGCTGGGAGGAGCGCCAAGGATGGGGCTTCCGGGCGGCGAGTTCACATTGCCAGCACTGGCCGAGTTGGCCATCGACACAGCGTTGAAGAGCCCAGGGGGGATCGAGGTCGGCACAGACGTCATGGCACCAGATCGGAGCCTCGAGATGATGTACATGGCAACCATGAATTGGTTCAAGGTGAGCTTGCCCGTGCTCTTGCTGTCGACCAGGACCCTGCACCATGAGATACGTGAAGGCCGTTTGCTGCGTCAGATACTGTGCTGCAGCCAGAGATCAGCAGTCGGCTGTGTCCATGATAGCCTCGTTACAAGGTACTTGCGCTCCTCAATTCGTCGGCCGAACTCACGCCTGCACCCACTCCAATACCCCCTTACCACACGCTTCCAAGGACATCCAGAGGCAGGCCGGACTTCATAAACACCTCGCGAGCATTGTCGCCCGTGACCAGGCCGTTGCTTGGCTGGCTGGCAGAAAAGGCAGCCAAGAAGCGCTCACGCTCCTCAGGCAAGATAGTGAAGCTGCTACCGGTAGCGTGGGCAGAAAGACTGCCGGTGCGGTGCAGCGGCATGGTCTGCAGGCTAAACATTGGCGCAGTTTCGGGAACGATGCCCTCGAAGGTGGGCAAGGGGCAGGCTGAAAGATGCCAAGACGGACGAGGTGAGCGAGACTGCGTCGTCAGCAGGTGGATCGCAGTGGGGTAGAAAGGCGGTGCAATGAAATGGAGGCCAGCTGTAGAGCGCACCTGTTCCCAGGGAAGCCAGGCTGGCCGGGCGGCCGCTCTGGCTCAGGGCAATCAACTTGAGAGCCTTGTAGAAACTCTCCCTGGTCAGGAATGCCTTCTTGTCCGGATTGGCCAGGCTCCATATCTGCCAGCAGAACGACCAGTCGATACAAGTGGGTGGTACACCAGAAATGATAGGTCAGAGACAAACAGGCTCATTTGGCATAGCTCTAGAACTGAATGGTCTCTGTTTTCGCTTCTCAAGGAGGCGATATCCGCCAGAGGAGATAGGGGGAGGCAGCCAGGAGTTGTCCACGGACGACAACAGCGACCTTACCTCGCCCAAGACGTCATGCGAGAGCTTGGACTTGGACATAAACGCCACAGCCAGCGGGGGAGTAATGACGCCCTTGCTGTCAACATCGGCAATCTTGAAGAAGTATGAGAAGGCCGAGAGCTCCTCCTGGGTCAGGGGCAGACCGAAGGATTCCAGAGCCGGTGCTACAGGATGGAAAGCCGGGGAAGCGGATCCGTTGGAATCGCCACAGATCAGGTCAGCTCCACGATTGTGTCATTGCGACAGATATCGACCAGGCAGAGGCGACGCCGGCTGGGTACCTGGAGCCTTCCTTGGCAAAGTAGAGTGAGACTGGCTCTCGTCGATTCCAGCGGCTCGCATCGGTTAGCGGTGAAGACGGACGAAGCAATATGAGATCGGCAGAGTTTTCGGGTGGCTGTACGAGCAGAGAGAGCGCGCTTGTGGTTTCGGTTTGTACAGAATACAGGGACACGAGGGTGCAGATGGGCAAGATATGAGATTCGTTCGCAGAGGCGAGCCAGAACGTCGTCGCTGATGGTTGATGGGTTGGACGACGGGTGGGTGGCGGGTGATTGCGGGGTGAGCCACAAGGGGCAAGAGGCGGGACGCGGCACACCGGCTCGAGCCGGATTTCATCTGCGGCTCGAATGGGCTGCGCGGCGGCTGGCGAGCTCCATGATGGCCAGGCATCGTTTGGCTGGCCGCCCAGCATCGCCAGACCAGATCAGGGCTCGGGGCGACTGCACCAGCGACTGCACCAGCGAGCTCCACGGATCCAGAGGCTGGCCAACGCAGCATGCCAGTGGACTGCCCTGTTTGTGACCGGCAGTTTGATGCATACGGCCCGGAATGCCAACAGCACGTCGAGGCGCACTTTGCCAGCGACGACCAAGTCCCGCTCGACGTCGACGCTGATCACTACGGCGATCTGTCCGAATCCGAGTCGGCCCTGCAACAAGCCGACTTTAGAGAGTGCACATACGGCACCTGCGAGAAGCTGGTGCCGCAGCGGCAGTGGGAGGCGCATCTTCTCAGTCACATCCAAGTGCGTATTCACTGCAGCGAGGACGTTGCCGGCGAAGGCACTGCCTTGTGGATGGAAACATTGCTGCGTGCATGGAAGGCATGGAAGGCATGGAAGGCATGGAGGGCATGGAGGGCATGGAGGGCATGGAAGGCATGGAAGGCATGGAAGCGGCAAGATGTTCACGCATGAGCCCGCTTCCGAGTTTTCAATACTAATTGCTGTACCATGGGCCGCCATGAGCAGGAGCAGGAGCAGGAGCAGCAGGTGAGTCGGAGTGCAGAACATGTCGGAATGCAACAAGCCTCGACCAACAGTGTTCTGATTTGCGTGTGTCCGCAACGCAAGGCCGATTCAGCAAGCGTACCCGCAGGTGATACGACCGCTGAGCAACAATTGGCTATTCTGGAATATCCGGACTGGCTCGTCTCGATGTTCATCGGGGAGAGCAGCCTGCTCATCAGCAACCTGTTGCCATGCATAATCAGGAGCATCAACGCCGGTCCACCTTGGCTCGAGTCTGCCCCATGGGACATCGCCGCCAATGTCGATGATATTCAGAGTGCTCGTGGCAAACATGCGACTGAAGGCACAACTGGGGACCTCGGTAGCGGTGCTATCGCACCCCAAAACACAAATCCACTGCACCGGTACGGTTGCATCTGGCTTGTATGCGTTGGGCACTTGGTATACCAGCGACATCGGAGTCTTTATCGCGGTTCTCACGTTGTCGCTTTGCTAATGCCACAGATCCGAGTGTCGATAAAAAGTGGGGATGTGGCTATCGAAACCTACAAATGCTCCTGTGAGTCGCCTGCACCAGAAGCGAGGATTGGTGTGGCGTGTTTGGAATCCCGAATACTCATCTCTCCGGCTCCACAGCTCTTGCCTGCTTGGTATTCCCGAGTATGCCGACGCCTTTCGTGACAAGCCACGGCTTACAACGTTATCCAGCGAAGTGCCCACTGTGTTTGAGCTCCAGCGCTGGATTGAAGAGGCCTGGTTCCTTGGCTTTGATCAGGTATTTATCGCAAACCAGCGACGGGCTTGTCCTTGCGGATCGACACGGGAATAGCCACTCAGTTACCGCGCTGCCGTAACGGCCGCATCCTTACTCGAATCCTCGCTCCCAGGAAGGAGGCCGTCAGCTCCACAACTGCCTTTACAAGACACGCAAATGGATCGGCGCCACAGAGATTGCCGCACTTTTGCTCTCAGTCGGCATCCGGCCCGAGCTCGTCGATTTCTACAAGCCCAGCGGGCCATCCGGAGGACATCCCAAACTGATGGACTACGTTCAGAATTACTATGGTCAGTATCGATTTTGCAAGCAATCCCAGGCCGTGTTTCGACGCAAAAATGGCACACTCAACGATCCCTCCGCGGCGACTGTAGGATCCGACGAAACGCGGGGAGTTCCTGTTTTCACGGCCAAGCCCCCGTAAGTCTGAGAGCGCCATCGACCAAGCCCCTGACTCGGCATCGGGGGTTGCCCAGATCGTGGTTTGGCCATGGGCTGTTTGGCCTGTCGACGCTGCCCATTTCCTTAACCCCGTTGCTCTCTGCAGACTCTATTTGCAGGTACTTACAAACAAGGCTGCCGCGGGCTCTCGAGTAACAGCTGCCCTCCATGGTCACTTAGGAATGGGCTGCGTCCTAATCAATCGATCGGTCGTATGGGACAACAGCATCAGGGGCACAGTCGAACGATTGTTGGTATCGAAACAACGAGACGAGGAGACCGAAGCTTGATTGTGCTCGATCCGGGCAAGCGCATTCCGGACCAACTGCTCAACAGGGACAACTTTTCGATCCCAGAGGTCTTTCGTCCGCTCAAGCTGCTCAGGGTCACCGAGGATATGCTCAAGGAGCATCAGCAGTACCAAATAGTCTGCATCAAAGACTCTACCGTGGGTTACCCCAGTACAGAGGAGCAGCAGCTCCACATGACTTTGAGGAGCATCCGGATCCCGTGATAGCCGTGACCTATCGCAGCGGCATCGGGCGATATCGGTAGAGATCACTGGCGTTTGTTTGGCTTGGCCAGCCGGCCTGCCCTGATTCGGTGATCTCCCCTGTTGGCGGCCTGGAGTCTGGGCCAATGGCGGGCAACATCCGACGGTCTGTCTGCGTCATCTTGGGCCGGCCTCTGTCGTTCGGTCGAGGCCGCCAATAAAAGCTGTCGCCGGGCAGCCGTGCAAGATAGGATGGGCCATCGGGCTCGGGGGGCTCTTGCAGTGCCAGCCGCACTGGCCAATAAGCTCACGTCAACCTTCGGCTGTCACCGGGGCAGCGATTGGCCAACGGCTCCGCCACGCCAACCACGACGCGTCACTTCATTGACAGGTCTGGCGCCACCGACCCGTCCTATTGGCCCTGGAAGCGCCAGCCATACAGATGGCGCGGTGGGCGCCGTGAGCCAGGGACTGGCAGCGAGGGCTGCAGCGGCGATCTGGCCCAGGACCCATGCGGCGGGTCCAGATATAAGCGGCCGGCGGCCGGAGCACACCCCGTGTCTGCCACTCAGCATCTCCTCGCCACAACGGCACCGCACTTGAGATCCCTCTGTCCTGGACACGCAAAGCAGCATGCTCTCTGTATCTCGAGGATTCCAGCTCCTTGTGGCATTGGTGCCGCTCGGATGGATGGCATACATGGCACAGGGCCGCATCGGCATGAACATGACCAACAGTCTCTCGCCCATGGACATCTACTATATCGCATTTGCGCTGTCGCCCCTGGTTGTCTTGTGCGTCTCGGCCGTGCTGCTCGACAACCCTGCTGCCGATGCACTCTACAAGAGCAGTTCAAAGACTCGTTCGTCGAGCCGAGTTGATCGCTTCCTCCATCGCATTTGGAAGCCACGATGGCAGGTCTTCAAGGGTCGCTTTGCCGACAAGTCCTATGTCGGCAACCCCTGGTCAACGGCCGAGCTTGCGATACTCGTTCTGCTTGTGCTGTTCAACCTTGCGTGGATTTTTGTGCCTATCATCATCCGCATGCTGCCTTCCCCTGGACGTGCGCCGCGGGTCATGAATCTCTATCGCTGGGTGCGCTCGATCGGCGTCTGGACCGGTAAGTCCATCGCTCCCTGCGGTTAATGTGGCTTGGACAAGAACTGCCGAGTAGCTTGATTTGCATTCGGAGACAATATGGCGCTTCAGGCTGCATGCAAACGGAGCGCGCAAATACAGGCAGTGTCTCTTGTCAAATCGGTGGCTGACATGTCTCGGCCTCTTTCTCGCTGGACAGCCTACGCTGGCTTGTGGGATGCAGGCCTCTGTGTCTTGTTTGCGATTCGCGAGAACGCCGTCATGAAGAACATCCTTGGCAAAGATGCCGGCCAGTACCACCGCGTCATTCGCTTCCACATTGGCCTGGGCTACGCCAGCTTTGTGATGGTCACCATCCACTCGCTCTACTTCATCATCGACTTTCTGTACAACCAAGAGTTCTTTGAAGAGATGTTCCCCTGGCTCTCCAACGGAGGTTATGAAAACTTTTACGGCTTCCTCTCGTGGCTGGCCTTGATTGCCATGATCATCACATCGGTTTACAAGGTGGGCATGCAGACACAGCGGAGTCGCATTGAAGGGTGATCATCTCGATCGGCGACGCGCTGTCGTCCTGGGACTTGCGCCACTTTCTCTGGTCGGGTTGCTCCATGCCATTTTGTTTTGCCTGTCTGATGGGCACCAACGCCAATGCTCTTGCGCTTCCCTAGTTTGCGTACTCACATTCTCGTCGTCCCACTGTCTCCAGATCCGACGTTCGCGCTACAACGTCTTTTACTGGACCCATCAGCTCTACTTCGTTTACTTTTTCTGTGCCTGGATCCACATGGGTTCCTACTGCATCTATCCCGTCATCGGGCCTTGTATCTACTTGATCTATGATCGACTGAGGCCCCGCCTGGGCACCAAGACGGAAACCATGGCGGTGATCCGCAAGACAATCTCGGACTCCATCATCGAGCTCACCATCCCCATCGGCTCGGCCTGGAGATTCACCAGTATCTATGCTCCCGGCGACTGGGTCAACATCCAAGTCCCACAGATCTCCAATTTCCAGCAGCATCCGTTCAGCATCGCCTCGTACTGTCTGGACACACCCAATGCCATGGTTCTTTACATTAAAGCCAACGGCGCGTGGACCCAGAAGCTTTCCAAGCTGATCGCCGAGCACGAGGACCGGGTTGAGGTCCCCATCCGCGTTGACGGACCATTTGGCTCTCGCAGCACCGACTACCTCAATCTGGATCACCTCGTCATCGTCGCGGGTGGCTCGGGCATGGGCGCTCTGATGCCGTACATCCTACACTACAGCATTGCTGGATCGGCTTCTGGGAAGCTCACGCTGGTCTGGACCGCCAAGAAAGAGTCCGATATCCTCGCCTACGCCTCATTTGTCCGCGAACTGGCTGACGAATCGTCGCTGCTGCACAAACGAGTTGACCTGCATCTCCACATCACTCGGTCCGAGGCCGTCGTGAGCGATACTCCAGCCACCCCCGGTTCCCCGAACGACTCTGAACTCAAAGAAAAGCAAAGCCTCGGCCTCATATGCGATACTCCGAGGGTCATCAAGTCCCCACGCCCTCTTGCCGTTCGCTGGCTGAGCATCCGAGACCGCTCGGGCGAGATTGCCTTGGCGGTGATGGTCTTTGGGTTTGCCGTCCTGGGTTGGTACCTCGGCATCCGTCTCAACTTGACCGGCCCAGCAGCTCAAAAATGCAGCGCCAAAACAGCATTCAAGCTCACCGGCCTCGATCACTTCCTCTGCTGGTACTTTATGCCCGCAGGCAGTCCAGTGCTCTCGATTCTGCTTGCACTTGTTGGCGGTTTGGCAACCACAGCGTGTGCCAACATCCTGCGCTCTCGTCGGAGCGCGACCGCCTGCTCGACGCTTTCTGCCGAGTCCGACGAGACTCTCAACGGACGATACTCGAGCGAGATGCTTGCCGCCGTGCCTCCATCTATCTACGTCCACAAGACCCGACCAGACTTTGCGACGCTGTTCCAGACTCTGGGACTCGAGGAGGCTGGCGCCAAGTCCCAAGTCGCCGTCATGGCCGCTGGTCCCGAGCGACTCATGCGACATCTGCAGTCGATGGTTTCGAGCTCCAAGAACATCCAGTGGTACCGCGAGTCCTGGAAGGTCTGATGGGCGCGACATCACCCTGGTATCGATCAGTCACTTTGGTATTGATCAGCCAGATCGCCGAGCGTCGGCCAGTTGCACCCCTCCTCCTTGAACTGCTCGACCCAACTCCAGGCATCAACGGCACGCGCAAACTCCGGTCAAATCTTTGGCCGCAAGAAACACGAACCACCGATGCATATCGCTCAGCACTCGTTGCTGTCATGAACTTCACCCAAGCCAAGATCAAAATCACAAATTTGCCGACACCGCTCTGCACAAACTCTTCTCTGTCCATGCGTTCCAAATTGTACCATTCCACTCATTTGTTCACATTGTATCTGCCCCGCACTGCACAGATCTATGACACCTTTCCATCATCCCCATCGATATGAACCAAACCCGTGCGCGTGTTGAATACATTGATTGCAACATAGCACCGTTCCCGATTCGCGCGATGGGATGGGCAAGCAGTTAGTCCCATCCGCCCTGTCCAGAGAACTCAGATGTCGATGTGGGCTGCAGCATCGAGGGATCGAACGGCGTCGCTGCCACTGCGGATGTCGCTTGCACAGTTCCTGACTTGCGCCCCTTGTCTCCTTTGGCATTGATGACTGCGACCACGCCGGATCGATCAGAGTCGTTGTGATGGTCTGCCTTACCGGCACTGACGCTGGACTTGGTGACAGGAACGGTGGCTGTACCCGCCAGGAACGATGGCGCCGAGGAGGCTGGAGATGGTGTCGGGGGCTTGGGCTCGAGATTCGCCGCCGACTGATCAGGTTTCCTGGCAGACTGAGGTCCGGCCACGGGTTTGGATACCATCCGAGGCTTGGGGTGAAGACTGGGCTCGGACACGAAAAAGTCGTCCTCGGTGCTCTTGAGTGATTTCTTGGCCGACGGTAGCTCTCCTTGACGGGAGTTCCGCTTCCGCTCTCCCGAAAGCGGACGCTTAGAGCTCGGCACCTTGGTCAAAGTTACTGCTGCTGCTGCTTTGGAGTCCTTGGTCACCTTGGCCGTCTCTTTAGCCTGCATCTCCATCTGCTTGCGGATATCTTTTCTCTTCAGCTTCTTCTCTGGTTCGGTGCCCAGCAGATGCAGGGGACGAGGTCCCTGGCCCTTGAAGGTCGATGGAGTTGCCGGCTTGGCGGGTGCATCCTCCAGCTTCTGTTTCTTGGCAGGCTTAGGGCGCTTCTCCGCCGCGGGCTTGGAGTGCTTTTCGCCACTCAGACCGACCTCCTTATCCTCGTCTTCAGGCACCGGCTTGCGCTTCTTGGCGACCTTTGCGGGCTGGGCGGACTGGACGGGCTCAGCCGTCGCTTTTTCGCGCTCCTGACTCTTTTTCTCCTTGATGATCTTTTTGATCTTCATGCTCTCGCGTTTCTTCTTGCGCTCCTGGAACTTGGGATCAAACCGGTCGCCATCGAGGATGCGGAGGCTCGGGAGCATCTTCAGAATCGACTCGCGGTAGTTCTCCTTCTCACAAATTGGGTTGCCCTTCAGGTTGAGATGGGTGAGCTTGATGAGCGATGACAGCGGAGCAATGTCAGCGAAGGTGGCAATCTGGTTCTTGCCCAAATCCAAGATCTCGAGTGACGGGAGGAACCGGATTGTCTCGGGGATGGACGAGATCTTGTTGTCGTTCAGCCGAATCTCTCGGATCTGGCTGTTCTTGGTCAGGTCCGGGAACTGGTGGATGTTGTTGTGGGCAACAGAGAGCTTTGTGAGCTCCGCCAACGAGCCAAGCCCCGAGATGGCGTCGATTTTGTTGTGAGAGAGCACTGTTGCAGAGTTGAAATGAATCCGACTCATTAGACTGCTGGCAGGCTGAATCGCTGGTACAGTCCGTCGCTTGATCACAATGCGTGAGCAAGGTCGGGAAACATAGCAACGCTGTGGGGGGGGGGTGCAGCGATAGATTCATAGCTTCCGATTGCTGCGCGATGGCCTACCGATGGTGTTGAGCTTGGTGAGTTTGGTGAGGTTCTCGATGACTGTTATGCTGTTGTTGTTCAAGATCAGTGCCTTCAAGGATGTGCACGACTGAATGTGGCTCGATATCCGGGTGACTTCATTGAAACTGAGGTTGAGGACTGAGCCCGCATATGCCGGATGGATTGGACAAGACGGCGGCTGTGAGTGCATGCACAGCGTATCTCGAGGGCCCAGCCGCCATCACAAGGGAGACGACGGCTCTGAGTCAAAGGAATCCGGGACTATCATCAAACCAGCGGCTCAGGGTATGGATATCACGACAGTACCAGTCAGGTTCTTGAGGGTCGAAAATCCCTCCAGGGTCTCGAGCTTGTTGCCCTTCAGGGTTAGGTACGAGAGCGCCATATTGTATTTGATGCCACTCAAGGCATCAGCATGCCGGATATCGTTTTCCGACAAATCGAGCTTTCTCAGGTTGACGGCAAACGAGATGTCGTCAATGTGGGTGATGCCCATGCCGGAGCAATTGATGTCCTTGACATCCCGCAGATTCTGTCCAGGACATCGGTCTCCAAGGTTGGCCGGGGTAAGACGCATCGGAGAAGCACTTTGATAAAGCAGAACCTGTGACAAACAGGTATGCGCTGCAGGGCAGGCCCATTTGCGGTTCGGGATGGAACAGCTGTTAATGGTGGATCTCGAGCCGACGGTCGGGGCTTGATTAGCCGCGACCAACCCACAACAATGCCTCGAATATCGAGACGACCCGATGCGATGCGCACTGGATATCGATATGTACAGACGGGCTTGGAGTTTGATGCTCAAATGATAGACGGCAGAGCGGTTGCTGCGGTCAGGTCTATTGCGTGGATGCGGCGGGCTGGGCTGATCAGGGCAGATGCGCAAGTCGCAGTTGATGCAGATGATCCGCCAGATCAGCCAATTCCGGGACGGACGGAGCACCCCGCGCCAAAAACAAAAAAATTGCGCAGCACCACGTGTGTGGCTTGTGACTGGAGCACCCTGGCATGATCGAGGGGTTCTGTGGGAACATGTGCTGAAAGAACAATGGGACACATCGTCTCGCTCGGACAGAAACACGGCGTGATATCACTGGTTCGGGGGCCGATCAAAGTCGCCCGACTCGCACAACCCACAAGCCATCCGTGTGAAGATGTCCAGTTTGCTGTATTCGTGGAAGGAAGTTGGATCCACACATCCAAAACACACCGATAGTAAAGTGGGCGGCTCTGTACAAGCGCTGCAGTGCATGAGCAGCCCGTCTTCTCCAATCTAAAACCACCACACATAGAAGAAGGCAATGTTTCCAAAAGGAAACTGAATACAGATCAACCCGGGATGTCCGACGATGGGACCGACTGGCGAAGATTCTTGGCTGTGGACGACGAGTGGAGTGTCAATGCTGCGGCATGAATCGTGTGTCTGGACATAGCGGCGGGCAGAAACAGCCAAAACTCGCTCGCAAGAGTAGCTTACCAAATGTAGTAGTTGGCGCGATCGGTCGAGCACGAATACCATCCGTTGTGACTAGAATCACAAGGAAAGTTCAGCCTGGGAGTCGGCGATGGTAAATGGGATGGAGAGACAGTTGTGCTTGAGCGAGATTGGGAGGAGCTGGTGGTGGAGGTAAATGTTCCTGATGGCGCCACCACGGAGCTCGAGCGTGTGCTGGTGCTTGATGAGATCCAAGAGGAGGATGTCGATGATTTAGAAGTCGTACTACTTGGAGTAACCGATACCTGTGGGCCTGGAGAAGATAGTTGTGCCGTAGGAGCGGCTGAAAGCGGGGGCGAAGTGCTTGAGACCAGCAGCGATGAGTTGAGGGATGATGATGATGATGATGATGATGATGATGATGATGATGATGATGATGATGATCGTGATGGTGATGGTGATGGCGATGATGATGATGATGGGGATGGCGATGGTGATGGTGATGATGAAACAGTGATTGAGGCCACGAAACTGAGTCCCAATGAGCCGCTAGAGGATGAGACGGTAGGTGACGGGATAGGGCTGAACGATGCTGTTGATGATGGTGTTCCGGAAGAGGTTGATACCACAGACACTGATGTCGATGTCGATAGCGATGTCGATAGCGATGTCGATAGCGATGTCGATAGCGATGTCGATAGCGATGTCGGCAGCAAACTAGAGCTTGAGATGCCAACGGTTGTGCTCACAGTCGGCAAAAAACTCGAGATACTCGATGTTGCTTGAGTGGTTTGAGTACTTTCTGTCGCCGAGGCATTCGGCCCGCTGCTCGAAAGAGAAGTATGGATATCGGCTGAAGCCAAGACTGTGACTGATACTTGGCTCGATGATGATGATGGCACTATGGATTAGAAACAACAATGTGAGCGGATATGAAGCCATCACGGCCATTGCGTTGGTGATGTATCTATACGAGTGTGGAGCGGCCGATTCGGCTTTACCTGATGACTGCGATCCAGTTGGACCGATCCCAGGCGACATGGAAGTGCTGCCTGAGGTCGGGGATTGTAGCCCACTTGATATCGTTATCAGCGGGATGATCGATGTATATGTGGACATTGTCGTGCTTGACTGGAGCTGCTGAGCGGACGAATCAGAAAACACAGGGGCCGAAGAGAAATTTGTCGTGGTAACTGTCGAATCAGGTGGCAGAGAGACCGTGGCGCTCGAAAGGACAGAAGTAGTCGAATCGATGAATGCCGCGGTGGTTGAGCTGGGAGAAGTTGAAGTGGTCCAGCTCGAGGTGACCGGGATGCTCAAGCTGAGAGGAACCGAAGATGTCGAACTTGACGACGGCCCAACTGAGCCGACAGATGCCGGGGTCGTTGAACTGGCAAAGTAAGTACTTGCAGAGCTGGACGATGTTGATATCGTAGCGCTGGTGGGTGTCGGCGCCGGGCCAGATGTCACTGTCGCCGATGGAGGCGGCGTCGTCGAGTTCGATATCGAGCCAGAGGATGAGAGTAGCGATTGCTGCTGGCTCAGTACTAGGCTCGACGACGCAGCCGTTGTTGACGATGGTGAAGTGATCACGGGTGACGGCGGCGACGGCGACGGCGATAGCTGCGATGATACCGTGGCATTAGAAGTGGGGATAGCGGACAATGTTGACCAAGTCTCGGATTCGGATGCCGCTTCTGTCGTTGCGCCGGCATTTGGCGATGTTGTGCTTGTGGATATGCTGGTCGAAGCCGAGATTGAAGCGGTAGACGTGCTTGCAGCTGTTAAAGACACCAGTGTGGACGAGGATACTGCTGTGGATGAAAATTCCATTGTGGACGAGTTGGTTGGAATAGCTGCTATGGTTGATGTTGTTCCGGATGCCAGATTCTGGACAGGCGGCAGGCGGTTCAGGCAGGACTGGGCGTCAACCGACCACACGAGCTCGCTCGCGGTGCTGGAGGACCGGGGCGAAAAGCAAAATGGGTAGACAAAGAGGCCCTCCTCGAGCCCAGCGACGCAGAGGGCAGATGAGTTGGACTGGCTTTGGATCCAGGTGGCCTGGGCCAAGGTGTTGGCAGACCATTGCTGCGATGCATCAGAGCTGGAGTTGCATGGGCGCAGGCCAAGAGTGTAAACGGGGTTCGCAGCGCCGACGATCGAGTTGAACAGAGCGGTCAGACACAGGCCGGATGTGTAGTGGACCAGCTGCGTGGACTGGAGCGACCACAGGGTGTCGTTGCAGGGAACTGTTGCCGCCGGGGAGGCCAGAAGGGTCACCTGTGCAATACAGAGGTGTAAGAACCACAATCTGAGGCGAAAGGGCATGTGCCATGGCTGGGTAGATCGGGGCAAGCAAGATGCCGACGAGGAAGGGGTTGCAGTCTTACATTCTGATTGTCAGTTGACGCGAGGTAGAGCGAGCTCCATGTATTTGAGATCAGAAACGGCGGCAGAGTCGAGGGAGACCGAGTAGTGCTCATGGCGAGATATGTGGGAGGCCGACTGGGACCGAGGGTGCTGCCCATCTATATGTCTGGCGGCTCATATGGACGCAGATCAGGGCGGCGAAACGCAGATCGGCCTGGCTCAACCGGAATCGGGGCGGAGCGCAAGGGGCAAGGGACATGGCAAGGGGATATGGGCGGCAGCCGCAGCGGCATGGTGGGAGCCATGGTGAATGCAAGGAGAAAGGCAGGCGAGCCGTAAACGGCGGGATCGTGGTGTCGAGACGAAGCGGTGATGGCGAGGAGTGGTATCGATAGCGGCAGTGAACGGTCTGAGTGCATCGACGATGGCGGTATCAGCGATATCACAACCTCGCAGCCTGGACAGACGGGGCAAGTGCGGATCAGAGCGACCGAATGCCATGAGCTCTCGGTGGTCTTGGCGCTGACGGTTGGCAGGCCGTCGTCGTTGTAGGCAACGAAAGAGCAAAGCCCGCCGGCAAAGAAAAAAGAGACGGGAGATCCGCCCAGTGGATTGAGTACTCGGCGCGGCCTCCTGAACAACCACAATAACAATTACAACAACAACAACAACAATAATATCAACAACAACAACATCGATGCCATTGGCGTGGACAGCAAAACTCCAGAATGCAATGTCGCTGTAGCGGCGACAAGATGCACTGCGGCAATTTCAGGGACGCTTTCGAAACGGCCGTCGTTGGCGAGCGCCGATGTTTTCCCACTGCTCCGACCAAAGCGCCTCTCGTCGCTGCTGGTTCTGCCCCTCAGCGCCGTTGCTGGTTCTGCCCTTGCACGCCATGGCCCTCAGCCCACCACGCCGCTCGCGCAGGCTGGTGGTCTGCCGCTCGCCCGCTTGCAGCATGGGCCATCACGGCCCAGCCGTCTTCAGCGGCAGGGCTTTCGGACACCCCACCCCATCCGCACTCGGCCGCTTCCTTGCCCTGGCTTGAGCTGCCGCACGGCGTGCTGTATGTGCAGCGCAAGAACCCAGCTGCAGGATCGAGAGCGAGACGGCGATTGCGACGGTGCAATCAGAGGAAACGCAACGGCCGAGAGGATACTTGGCAACCAGCAACATATTAACAACCAGCAACATATCAACAACCAGCAGCTCATTAACAACCAGACACATCAACAGCCATCGGCACATCAGCAGCTCGCTGGCCCTCGTTCGTCGGACTGAGCGAGCCGAGCCGCCGAGGCACATCACAGCAAGGCGCCCTCCAGCACCATTGCCGCTCGCTGGACTGTCTTCCGGACGGCCACAGGCCCAACCCCCCGGCCGTCTCTGCCATATATAGCACCGAACTGCATCCCCTGATACCCGGTCTCAGCTTTGCACCGACGAGCTTTCTTTCCACCAGCGCCTTCGCATCCCATTGCATCGCATTGCATCCCATTGCATCGCATTGCATCGCATCGCATCGAATCGCATCACAGCGTCCTCCCTCCGGCCAGCTCGCGCGAATCCAGCCACCCCTCGTCGATCGTGTGCATCTTCCACCCTGACCAACACGCCCCCCTGTCGGCTGCAGTCGTGCATCGATCCGTCTCATCCCAACTTCCACACACCCACCCAGGCGTATCGCCTCTGCCATCCATCTCCCTCGCGGCATCAGACCTTCCCGATCTGTCTTCGCCGCCCCCTCCGTTCATGAGACTGGAAGCCCTCGCAATGCTTCCCTCCACCACCGCTCTGGGCTCGGGGGACCGACCAGCAACCCCTGTCAACAAGTCGCTGACCTCGTTGCTGCCAACCCAATCCTGTCCATCCAGCTCCTTGGGTTCTCCCTGTCGGCGCCCGTCGCTCCAAGTTGGCTCGGTCGCTGCTGGGAATAACCTTGGGTCCATCAGCCAGAGACGGGGCTCATCGGCCCTGACCCTGTCGCTCTCTCGCAAGGGCCTCTCGCCCCAGCACCAGGAGCTCAAGGACCTCCAGAAGAACCTGAACCTCAACTCATCCCTGCAGATGGCCTCGTTTTGCGGCGAGCAGCTCTACCATGTCATTAAATTCCGTCTCGGCCCCAGCGTTGTGCTGCAGCAGCCCCAGGTTGCAGAGCTGCGGATACTGCTTCTCGACATCTTTGCTATCTTCAAGACCGTCGACTCGGGGCGAGCCCATGCCTCCATTGATATCACCGATGTCTTGAAGAAAGTGCCCGACTCCCTCCTGGACCAAAGTCTACTGCCGCTGCTCCGGTCGCTGGACCAATGGATCCGTCGCAACCGCCCCGAGGCATCAGCCCCGTCCTCGCCCTATCCCGGAGACCAGGACAGAGCCGTCCTGCGCTACGGCGTTCGCTCGCACTTTTCAAAGGCCATCGGCGGCTCGGCCGCCCTGGGCGACATCTGGCTGTCGAATCTCGTGCTGCAGGCTCTGAGGGAAGGAGCCGCCACAGACTTCCTGGCCGAGCCGCTCTTGTCGCCGTCAGCCTTCAAACCCGACTCGGCTGGTGGGCCCGTGCGTCCTCGTCGCTTCTCGCGGAATCGTCAACTCAACCGATCGGCCTCCGAGGAGCTCATTCTACAGCGGCCGCCCAGCGATGTCACTTGCGTCCTCAAATCCGAGTCCTTTGACGACGAGATGCCCGATAACGATGGATATCCAGGGTCGCTCGACTCCACGGACGCAAATGCCGAGAGTCTCTTTTCAGCCCGCCCGTCCAGCCCCGGTTCTGGTAGCGACGGCCTCGGAAGCCCTACCAATGGCACCGGCACAAGCACGGCTGGCCGGATCGGCGGTATCGCGAGTGATGCCAATGTCAATACCGAAACTGCTCAGACAAGCGTTGCAGGCGGCGGCCCTCTGTCGCCTCATCCCACACACCGCTCGCAGCAGCAAGAGAATCCGCCAACACTCATGTCCATCAAGCTGGACCAGCTCGAACAATGGGTCATCCAAGTCCTGCGGAATCCAGAGGGCTACTCGGTTGTGGCCCAGAACCGGGTTGCCGAAGCAATGCACATCCTCGGCCACCCGTCAAACCTCAAGCCATACATCCGCAAGTTTTATAACCGCGAGCGTACCGGCAACGGAAATGCCATCGCCGTCCATACTTCACCGCAAGTGCGGCTCTCGTCGCTCATTCCGCACTCACACGACCTGCTTTCGGCCCTCGACCCAGAGCATTTGGGGGTCTTCTCGTCCGACCATATCCGCCAGACCCTTTGGCAAAGCGATGAGGAGTGGTGGCGATGGCTCGACTGGATCAACTACAACACAAAAACCATCGTCGATGCCTACGGCGCCGTCTCATCGGGACTCCTCTCGAAGCGCGATGAGGGCCTGAAGGAAAAGCAGAGCCGGTTGCGGGCGCCGACAACGGACGAGCTTCTGTTCCGGGAAAAGACCCATATCCTAGACATCATTGGCCGATTCTACCGACAGACCTTGGCGCCATCGCCAACCGCAGAGGTGAGTCTTGGCCATCACTATCGTGCAGAGTTTGTGGAACGCGAAGAGATGCGGTGCTTGGGAACCCGCAATTTGCTGAGATGCGGTCGAATATCTGAAATGCGGCGGCCTTACTGATGCGCCATGTTCATTCCTGCTCCCACCAGACCAACGAAATTATTGCCCTGTCGCTCAATGTCTCGCGGTCCTATGTTCGTCATCAGCGAGCCCTCATCGTCGAGCCAAAGTACCAATGCTGGTGAACGATCTGCCGGAAGCCACATCTCCACGCGGCCTCCATCTCCAACCAAGAATCTCATTTTTCAGAGCGGGAATGAGCGGCCCAATTCGCCCTCTCCACCCTCTATCCCTCGACGCCATCAGACTCAACCGCAGCTCCAGCGTTTTATCCAAAACCACCGATCGCTCGATGTCAATTACTTTGCCTTGATAGCCTGGTGGCTTGGCCCCGTCGCCGTCGTTTTACTTTGTCGTCGTACCCCGTTTGCTGTCCATCCGATCCCGATAGAGCTTGCAGGCCGCAAACATCCTCCTCCTCATCCGCACGATGTCGCTTGTCCATGTCCTTTGTCCACGTCCGTGTAGCTTTGACCGACATAGCTGCAGTCTACGTCCGCACTCCTGATACAATACACTAATCGCTCACAGATATGTTCCTGGGGCGGGTTGGTGACAAGCCCCGCGTGCCCCCGTCCAGAGGAAAAGGGCAAGACGGCAATGCCATTCAAAGTCAAAACGGAAGGCGGTGGCCGCGTATCTATGTAAATGGATGAATCAATCTCTCATACAATTCATCGCGGGAGCAGTGGCTGTTGTGAGACGACCCAGCGGTGGTATAGCTCGGAAAGATCGGAAAGATCGGAAAGCTCGTAAATTAAGAGCAAGCTTGAAGGACACATCATCAGCATCAAGAAAAGGATTACTAGCAACAGCAATAGTCCCACATCTTGCGTGTGCAAAGCGTTTGAAAAGCGTTTGAAAGGCGTGTGCAATCACATGGCTTTGCGGATTACCACAGCTTGAATCGCTTTGGGAAAGGCTCTCGGAGGTCGTCGTGGCTGGTTGGATCGGATCGATGGCCCGACTTTGTGAACTGCAGACCGTCGCTGTGCAAAAAGTTTTGTAGTTGGCGAGTCTGGATGGTTGGGGAGTGGACGGGCGATCCTGGCCAGCTGGTTGTGCCGAGACAATCTTGGGTAGCGATGCGCGGGGAGTTGGGCCATCGTTTAGAATTATATTCAACAGAGCTGAAGCCGGACTCACCACACCAAAGTGCCCGACAGCCAATTCAGCACATTCGACCCACTACCCAACCTCCAGGATCATCCACAGCATAGCAGGCGTACCTGTGAGTGCGAGCGGCTTTGGCGCCGCAAAGAGGTTGCGAGCACAAATCCCCGAGATACCAAGGGGTTTGACAGGAGAGCCTTTGATTGCCGCAAACGGACTCGAGTTGACTGCTCCTGTATGCGAATGGCGAGACTTGCGCTTCGGAGTCATGTTTGCGAGCGATTTTTTCGTGGGCGTTCTTTGGCCCAATGCCGACACGAGCAGCGCATGGTCATGGATGGCCTCCTCGAGGGTCGGGTTGGTTCGCCACAGCGCGCTTTCGAGCGTCAGTACAGAGTACGACATTGGGGACGGCGATGGCGATGGGGACGACAGGGGTCGTGCCGAGAGCGGGGCATCTCTGACGAGTCCGTTGGCATACATGAGCAGCTCGGCAAGGTTTGAGGCCCAGTCACTGTTGGCCTGACGGACGGGCGTCGAAAGCAGAAAACTGGCTTTGTTGTGGTCGTGGGAACTCGACGGGCGTGCAATCTGGTGCAGACCCACCAGCACCGGCCCAACCACGGCCGAGAGCCGCACGGCCCCGAGGATGCGAGACTTGAATGTGGTGCTGCTTCTACGCAGCACTTGGCACAAAAAGTCGAGCAGAAACTGGAGGCTCTGTCGACTGGATGGGGCCAACAGCAGCAGGCAGTCCCGGAGCAGCCGGATGGTACTTTGGTTCGGATGGCAGATCCGCGAGCCTGGCAGCCGCTGAGACGAGGAGTTGTTCAAGGCAAGAATGCCTGGGGGCGGGAGAGATGAACCGGCGAGGCCCAGACAGAGCGAGTCGTCAATATCATGGCCGGGCGTGAGGTACTGTATCGAGCTGCTACGTCATGGTGATGCAATATCGCGGGCTTACTTTTGAAGGCGACATGCAGTTCGGTGTTGAGAATGGGATCGTCTTCCTTCAGAAGGTTGAGCAACACCGTGCCGACCTCGATGCAGTCGGCAGGATGTAGTCGCTCGATAGCTCGGGGTGCTCCGTCCTGGTCAATGGTCTTGCGGATGGCAGCGATCTTGGCAAAGTCGCCCTGTTGGCGAAAGAGGCCTGGGTTGTCGAGCCCGTGGGCTTGCAGAAACTGCACGAGGTGATGTAGCGCCGAGGGAACAAAGACATCCAGGTGGTGGATATAGACAAAGGCCGGCGGTGTGGCCCTGGAGTCGCAGTCGAGGTTCATGCTGACCGAGACAGACTTCTGGATCACCAAGGCAGCATTGATCACCCGCCCAGAGATGCGTCGGCAATTCAGTGGAGGCGAATGAGTTGGAAATTGGCCTGGTGAGCACAGCTGCTTGGTCCCAGCAGCAGGATCAACCGCTTGGTCCCGGCAGCAGGATCAGCCGTCTCCAATACCCCAGTTGCAGCACAGCCAGACTATGTCGACTCACATGGCCCTCGAATCGCAAGCGGCTCGTCGGGGTCGCCGGCGGACTGCTCTTGGCGTCGGTGTTGTCGAGGCCGGGAAAGGGATACTGGATGTCGACATAGAGAACTTGCTGCAGCCTCTCGATGGCAACTGTCTGGGCGACGGCAAGTTCCTGGGAAGTCAGGTCGTTGACGCTGCGGGAGCGCGCGGCCCTTCCCTTTCCTGCAAGGGCCATTCGACATGCAGTTTCCAGACATCAGCGCGGCGATCGATGGCAGCAGCAGCAGCAGCAGCAGCAGCAAAGCAATGCGGATCGGCGGTACTCGGATCACCGCGATTGCAGCAGAAACATGCCCACGGTCTCCAGGACGATCGTGTGAAGTTTTGTGCCCGTCGCGGCGGCCGAATGGATGGCACGGATTGGGTATTGTGCGAAAGGGCATGTGGAAGGGATCAAGCCGGTGCAGATCGACTGCATCAAGTGAACGATCCCGTTCACACGCATTGCTGCGGGGGGGGGGAGATCGTGGCTGCCCGGATCGTTTCGTGCCGGCGATACTCACCATCCAGGTCCATGCCTGAATCTGCCTCGCGGATCTCGAGCTCGTGTCGCCGGCGTTTCTTGGTGCCCTTCTCGGGCGAGATGATCATGGAGCAGATGTCCAGGGGAGGAGGGCTATCGATGTTTGAGATCATGGTGGACAAGGACGGCTGCCGGATCACACAGAGGCACTCGACCGAGCAGGACTGGACCGGACTCGTCAGAGGAGGCAAGGAAAGGGAATTTGCTCAAGGGTCGGTCTGGCGCCCAGCATGCCCCAAGGGTCGAGAGCTCGGTTGCAGGGGTGACAGCGATCGCCCGGGGTTGGGCTGGCTTCGGCCGCCCTTCGAGCAGGACCCTGGCAAGTCGGCACCGAGGGGTCTTTGCTGCGAACGACTATTCGGCGACCGCTCGACGACTGTGCATATACCCACTCTGCCATCGCGCCGAGGTGCAGAGCCGGAAGAGTCCATTCAGAGATCTGCTAGATTAGCAAAAAAAATGTATTTCCAATCTTTACAGCCACACTGTACATTCCACAAACAGCTCCCGATGGATGTTTAACGGTTGGACTTGGCAACACGCTCGAGCTCATCCTTCTTCTTGATGGCGTAAGAGTTGGCAGAGCCCTTGGCGGCGTTGATGAGCTCATCGGCAAGGCACTCAGCAATGGTCTTGACGTTGCGGAAAGCAGCCTCACGAGCGCCAGTGGTCAGGAGGAAGATGGCCTGGTTGACACGGCGGAGAGGGGAGACATCAACAGCCTGGCGACGGACGGTGCCCTGGGAGCCAATGCGGGTAGAGTCTTCGCGGGGGCCGGTGTTGATGATGGCATCGACGAGGATCTGGATAGGGTTCTGGTCGGTCTGGAGGTGGATGATCTCGAAGGCGTGCTTGATGATGCGGGTGGTCATCAGCTTCTTGCCGTTGTTGCGGCCGTGCATCATGAGGGAGTTGCTCAGGCGCTCAACAATGGGGCACTGGCGGGGCGAGAAGCATGGTCAGTCCACGACGGAGGAGAGACGGTCGATGCATCGGTTGCGTTTGACTGAGGCTGCGCCTGTCGTTGGCCGTAGAGCCCGATATCTCACCTGTCCCTTGCGGAAGCGCTTGACCTGGTAGCGGCCAGCGGTGTGCGAGACGTACAAGGGGCGGATTTGGAGGTAATCCTGGACACAACATCAAAGCCACATATATGATCAGATCGGTGCTGCTGGGAGACGATGGGCGTGAGACGGCGGGCGATTTTGCACCACCACGAAACACACCTGGACGGAGAGATCCTTGATCTCAACATCATCGGAGCTGTTGCAGTCAGGACAGACGGAGACACGACGGTATTAGGTTTGCTGAATGCGCTCGGCTGCCACGGCTGTTTCCAACGTAACGTGTTCCAGCACAGCAATTACCTCCACTGGAAAACAGGGAAAAACAACGAATGTTAGCACGGCTGGATCTAGCACAACTAATGTGTTCCAACACAGCCATGGAAGGCGTAGCGACGCTCCGACACACTGCCCGGCTGGGCCGCCAATGGGCTCGAGACCGTACCTTGTTGAAGAGCTTGATACCGGTCTGCTCGCCCTGGATCTCAGCTGGGAGGAAGGACATGGCTACACTGATGGTTGAGGTCCCGATCCAGCAGAGAGATTGCCATGCGAGCGAGTGTTGTCGTCGAGAGATTGCCCGAGCCGGTAAAGCAGATCCGTGACGTGTATATGTGTCGCCGATTCGATCGTTTTCCGCACATCCCGCATCGAGTATCCGCGAAATGATGAACACAAGTCGATCGGCCGGTCGGTTGGTTCCAGATGTCAGCGAGGGCGATGCATCCGATCCGTTATCAAAAACCAGTTGTGGAAAGTCGAGATATTCCGCATTCGAGTCGCACCGAGGCAGTACATAGCGATATCGGGTCGTCCGGTGTCAGGTTTGGGCGTCCGATAGAACAGAGGTTGGAGGTCGAGCGTCAGCGATACCTATCCAGCAACACACCCAAGCGCAGACGCAAGCGGCCGCAGGTCATACGACGGACGGATGGATGGGCGGGTGCATGGATGGGCGGGTGGATGGGTGGATGGGTGGATAGATGGATGGATGGATGGATGGATGGATGGATGGATGGATGCCGCAGTCGTCGTGGTGGATGCCAGAGCCCCGTCCTGTCCCATAGCCGATTCGCGGCATTTACCTGACTGAAAAGAGTGCGGGTGAAAGAGGGAGCAAAACATTCCCCGACCTGTGTCGAGCCAATACTGCCTTGCCCCAAGCAGCCAGCACACAGCCGGCCGCCAGCCGGTTCGAATCGATTGATGCACGTGCAGATCACATGCATATCCAGTGCGCCGGCCAATCCCGCGCCGCCCTGCCCCACAGCCAGAGCGTGGCTGCCTGCTGTCGGCCACTGATGCCCTTTCGCGACTCGCCAGACCACCAACCTCCTCTGCTCCAGCATCGCCAGCGCAACAATGTTCAAGAAAACGGGCGGCCAGAAGCCCGGGCCCAAGATCGGGTTCGCCCTCGGAAAGCCCAAGGCAAGCATATGGCAAGACAACAGCGACGACGAAAAGAGCAGCCCGGCTGATCCGCCGCTCAAGCGCAAGCTTCCCTTTGGCGACGACAACGACGACAACGACAATGACAACCAGGCTGCGGAGAGTATCGCAAATCCACCCAAAGCGGCGCGAGAGTTGCTGTGGGAGGACAGCGACTCGAGCAAACCTGCTCGAGCCGACCCTCCCGCGGCACCGCCGGTCGAGGAAGACGATCCTCTGGATGCTTTCATGGCCGGGATCTACAACCAGGCCCGAGCAGAGGAGGCGCGCGGCTCGTCTGCCAAGCCTGCCGTCCGTCGAGACGATCTGGAAGAGGAAGACAATATCGAGAGCTATATCAAGCACATGAAGAGCAAGGGCATCGAGGTTGGCACCGGTCAGGCCGAGGCCCGTCGCGACGACGATGTAGACTCGGACGAGGAGGTCTATGCGACAGCCAGGGCCGTCGACGCAGCCAATGGCGACGACGACTCGGACCGAGAGGCCGGCCCCGCCAAGAAGAAAGAGGGCGACGTCCTTGGGAGCGTCAACCATGACGACATCAAGTACATCCCGATCGAAAAGAACTTTTACGAAGAGCATGCCGACATTGCCGCTCTGAGCGATGAGCGAGTTCACCAGATCCGCTTGCAGCTAAACATGAATGTCAGCGGCCACGATCCGGCGAAGCCCTGCATCTCGTTCGGCCACTTTGGCTTTGATGAGGCGCTGATCAACAACATCATCAAGCACGGATACACCGAGCCGACCGGCATCCAGCAGCAGGCCGTGCCTGTGGCGCTTTCTGGACGGGATATCATTGGTATCGCCAAGACCGGAAGCGGCAAAACAGCGGCTTTCCTGTGGCCCATGATGGTGCACATGATGGTAAGTGGCGCGCTGTCGATCACCAAACGACAGTCGGAAGCGGATCCCATAGGTTGCTGTGTCGGATGTGCCCCGGAGTTGCTGGAGGCTCTGCAGACCGGGATGTGCGGGTGTGTGGGTGAACCGGTGTGCGGTGCAGGGCCAGCCGTTTCGATGTGGCTCAGCGTGCTTGGTCCGGTCGGAGCCGGCATGATACACACAAGCAACCGGATGGCAGAAACGGAGGACTGAATCCTTCCGCATCTCTGAATCTTCCTCCTGTGGCTGTAGGATCAACCAGAGCTCGCCAAGGGCGACGGCCCCATCGGTCTGGTTCTGGCTCCGACGCGCGAGCTTGCCCAGCAAATCTACACCGAGGCCAAAAAGTTTGCAAAGTGCTATCAACTCCGAGTATCCGTTGTCTACGGCGGCGCCTCCAAGGGCGACCAGTTCAAGGAGCTCCGCGCCGGCGGGGTTGAGATTCTCGTTGCCACACCCGGCCGACTGATCGATCTGCTCAAGATGAAGGCCACCCATCTTCAGCGCGTCAGTTTCCTCGTTCTCGACGAAGCTGACAAGATGTTTGATCTGGGCTTCGAGCCGCCCGTGCGGTCCATCTGCAACGCCATCCGACCGGACCGGCAAACACTGCTCTTTAGCGCGACCTTCCAAAAGAAAGTCGAGCGGCTCGCCCGGGACATCCTCACCGACCCTATTCGCATCATCATCGGCGGCATCGGCCACGTCAACACCGACATTACCCAGCACGTCCAGATCCTCCAAGACGACACCCTAAAGTGGGACTGGCTCATCACGCGCCTGGCCTCCTTTGCCGTCAATGGACATGTGCTCATCTTTGTGTCGAGAATCGTGGGTGTCGACGAGCTGTCGGCGAATCTCAACTCTGCCGGATTCCAGTGCGTCAAGCTGCACGGCGACCTGCTCCAGTCTGAGCGAGACCAGGTGCTGCACGACTTCAAGGCGGGCAAGGTCAAGATCCTGGTGTGCACGGACGTCGCCGCTCGTGGCCTGGATATCAAGCAAATCAAGACGGTGGTCAACTACGACGCAGCGCGCGACATCGATTCACATGTCCACCGAGTTGGTCGAACGGGCCGCGCTGGTGAAAAGGGCGTGGCCTACACATTGGTGACCCAGAGCGAAGACAAGTTTGCCGGCAACTTGGTCCGAAACCTCGAAGACTCGGGCCAGCTCGTACCGAAGGAGCTCATGGATCTGGCTATGAAAAACGGATATTTCCGCAAGGGCCGCATGGGCATTTCCGGTGGCCGGGGTGGCCGAGGAGGCCGTGGCGGGCGAGGCGGCAGAGGCAGCGGTCGTGGCGGCTTCCGCGGGGGCATTGGAGGCGACAGCAATCCCAACATGGTACCTGTCGGCGGCGACAGGCGTGGAATGGGTCGTGGCGGCTATCCCGGAGATGATGCCCGCGGCTCGTCATTCCGCGGGGGCGCTGGTGGCTCCGATTCCCGCGGAGGATTCAGGATGGGCTTCAAGCCAACTCAGTTCCAGAAGGCTTCGTCGTCTGCCGGCAGTTCCACGTCCTTTGTCCGGAATCCAAGACAGTAATCGAACGAGGATGGTCATATCCGCGACCGGGCAGTGCCAAACCACTGCTGCCCACCTATCGCTATCGGATCCCACCCCATATGCACCATTCTTTGGACAGCCGCTACCGGCGGTGCCGATGTGTTGATATACAATATATGTGCTGACATTCTCGGTGTATATCGCAGCGTATATCGCGGTGGGTCTTGCGATAGCAAGGCTTCAACGATCGCTAGAACGACTCGATGGCGATCGCGAGCAGCCAGCATACAGAGTTGGGGATGTGCTTCCGGGGGGGAGAATACTGAAGGGTGTACCAAGAGTGCTCGCTGCAACCAGTCGCCCGGCTGGATCGAGAGTCTTTATTCCTGGCAGGCTCTTCCAGAGACAACATCCGCAGCGGGATTCAAGATAAATGAGAGAGTTCGAAGCTCACGAGCAGTGCAATATAATAGTGCGCAAAGGAGCGCACTTTTGAACAGGATCGAGAGCAAGCAGTCATCGTCCAGGTGAATTACTTGTGGTCAAGGCCGACAATGTCGTTCCAGGTCTTGTTCTCGCGGTTGAGGATTCGGGTGACCTCGTCCTTCAGATCGGCAATGAGCCCGGGGCCCTCGTAGGCCATGCTCGAGTAGAGTTGGACCAGACTGGCGCCGGCCTTGGCGAAGCGAATGACATCTTCGCCCGTCAGGACACCGCCGCAGCCAATCAGAGGGACGGAGCCGCCGGTGATCTTGTAGAACTTGGACAGGGTGGCTACAGAGAGCGAGTGGATGGGAGGACCAGACAAACCACCCATTTCGCGAATCAGGCGGGGATCTGGAGAGAGAGATGCGGCGGGTGAGCATGTGTGCGAGGTTGAGGGCACTGTGGCCATCAGCCAGTTCATCGAGCAAGCAAGCTGTGGAGTACATCGTGCTCCAGGACCGGTGCCAGACAGAGCCACCGGCACCGAATGCATCGCAAATTCGCCCAAACATCACACAAGCGCTGACAGGGCTCACGTACCACTCTTGAGAGTCGCGGGACGACTGATGGTGGTGTTGCTGATGATCACACCGTCAATTCCGACCTTCATGACCACTTGAGCAATGTCGTCGAGCTCTTCATCCGTAAGATCGGGCGCAATCTTGACCACCACGGGGGGACGATGCGAAAGCTTGTCGCGAGAGTCCTTGACCTGTATCCAGACCCGTGGCATTGGAGCAGGAGGGTGGAAGGCGAGATGGGTCAGGAGTGGAGCCATGGGAGTAGTTCGACGACAAAAGCGCATGCCCAATGACAAGGCCCAGGAACACCAGCCTGCAGCGTACCTCTTGCATCAGTCGCTCCATGGGCTCACGGCGCTGCAATGCGCGCAGGCCGGGGGTGTTCGGACTGCTGATGTTGACGACAATATAGTCGGCAAACTCGCCGAGCTTTTCGATGCCCTTGATATAGTCGTCGTCGGAGTCGGCGGGGGAGGTCTTGTTCTTGCCGAGGTTGACGCCAAGCAGTCGGTTCTCCTTGAGCGACTTTGGCAGAGACTCCGAACCGGAGGCGCTGCGGTAGAGGAAGTTGCGGATACGGGATTTGAGACGGTCGTAGACGGCCTGGTGGCCCTCCGAGTTGAATCCGTATCGGTTGATGACGGCGCGGTCCTCTGGGAGGCGGAACATGCGCGGGAGCGGGTTGCCTGGCTGTCAGAACATGACAGGGAACGCATACCAGCAAACCGGTTAGCAAATCGACGGTTGGACTCTGGCGCTGCTGCCTGCTCTTGCCAGACCTGGCTTTCGCAGCAACAGAAGGCTGACGCTTACTTGGGGCTGGGGAGTCACACTCCCGATTTCGACGGCGCCAAAGCCAACGCCGAACATGGCATCGATGGCCTCGGCATGCTTATCGAATCCAGCAGCGAGGCCGATGGGGTTGGAGATTTTCTTGCCCCAGATCTGTGAAGGCGGCATAGGCATGCGAGTTAGGCTTTGCAGCGGACATCCTCAGGGGGGCCGCAGGTGCAAGTGCAAGTGCAAGTGCCGCCTTATCCGGCCGTACCCAAATTCAAGTTACCGCACCAGTCTGCTGCCAAGAACCCAGCCAAATATGCGCCAATCGCCAGAGCAAGCACCTGATCGTTCGTGCACAGTCCTAGCGACTCGGCTATCTACCGCGCGAGCGAGCGAGAGAGCACGATACGCACTTCAGTGGCAAGCACATCGCTGTCGACTCCGCGATCGACGGGGCAGAGGTGATATTTGGCAGCCAGAATGGCGGCGCGATGGGCAGTCTCAGCGTCGAGCAAAAAGTGGATGGTCGGCATCAAGATTCCGCGGTGGACCCAGGCGCGGGAGTCGTATAGATAGACGGCGGCGACACTCGCGGCCGAGAGTCCCACGGCAAGCTTGGCCCACGAGCCAAGCGACGAGGACGACGATGCGGTGTGTGCGGTTGAGTAGGATCGGAGGACCGATCGGCTGGGGGCCCTGACGGCCGCGAAGGCTCGCAGCAAGGTCATGGTAGAATGGTGCCGGGTAGTTTGTGGGTTGTGCTGGGCTGTGTTGTGCTGGGCTGGAGCAGCGGACTCGCTGACTGCGATAACGACTGAGGATGCGCAGAAGGATTGGCAAGTGCAGGGATGCGTGACGGGGCGGGATTTTTCTTTTCGCGTGACGGCGGCAACCGGGCTGGATGAGGGCTAGGCTAGGGCTAGGCTAGGGTTGCGTCAGGGCTGCTGCATCACACAGGGCTGTGCTGCCCCACACGCGTGGCGCTGCAGGGGCCGCGCCGACGCGACGCGCTCCCGACGCACAAATCACCACCCAGCAGTCACGGGCACATTGGTGCCACAGAGCGCGTCGCCTGGCTGTGCTCCTGGCGCGACTCGGCCCATTGCCACAACGGCCGCGACAGCGCCACACAGCAGCCCATGTACACGACCCCTTGCTGCCGTGTATGTGCATATGTATGTGTATGTGTATGTGCAAGTGCATGTGTACATGTACACTCCTTGGCGCGTTCGCCCTTGTCGCTTGCCGTGACATGTCTGGTCCAGCGCAGACTTGTTTCAGCCGTGTGCTCGGATTCCTCCTGCCCACTCGCCTCGGTTCCGGGTGGGCAACTCTTTCGCCTCAAAATCCGTCGCTGTCTGAGACGTCGCTGCTCTCCCGCCTTCTCTCCCGTCGCAGCAGCAGCACCACCAGCAGCACCAGTGCATCAGACGCTTCCTCCCCTGTATCCCCCCCGCGCCCATGCTCTGCCGCTCCCTCCTCGTGCTGTTGGCCGGCCTGCTCCTCGTCCAGGCCCACGGCGTCGATCTGTCGCTCCAGAAACGACAGGTCGCAGCCAAATCCTATCCGCCCTGTGGCACATCGCCTCCCTTCGACCCGGCCTGGTCGACCTTCCTCTCGGGCGCACTCGACACCGGTGCCGACATCACGGCCTGTGGCAACTCCAAGACCTGGTCTCTGACGTGAGTCTCAGCGCATCGAGCCCGCGCAAGCCAAAGCCCAAACGACAGAAGACTCGGCGTGGATCGACGGTGCCCTGTATCTGCCGATGTCTCTCCCATTCGGCACTCGGTGTCGACTCCGTGATAGCTGCGCTCATTCTCGTCCCTTGATCGTCTCGTCCCTCATCGCAACGCTGCCATATCACCCCCAGCTACGACGACGGCCCCAGCGAATACACTCCTGGTCTGCTGGACCAGCTCGACACTGTCGGCGTCAAGACCACGTTCTTTGTCATTGGCTGCAACGTCGCCAACAACCCCTCCATTCTTCGTCGTGCCTATCAGGCTGGCCACCAGATCGGGTGAGGCTCTCGATCGACTGCCCTGCCAGTCTGCTGGGCATTCCTCAATGATGGCTCGCATCGGCCTTGCTCGTGGACCTGCTCGTGGACCTGCTCGTGGACCTGCTCGTGGACCTGCTCGTGGACACGGCTTCGACTCATTCTCTCCTTGTCTCTGGCCAAACCGCTGTCCTGCCTCGGGTTCCGGCTCGTTACTGATCGATCCAACAGTATCCGTATGTATCATATCCATCAACCGTACCGGGTTGATTTTTGGAACTTGCGCTGTTGTTGTTGGTGCCATAGCAGTGACTTGCCCCAGTATCACACAGTAATGATCTGTTGGCGGTGACTTTATTATCGCTTAGACACCTGGACCCATCCCAGCCTTCCAAAACTCACTTCCGAACAGATTGGTACGCGTCGAGCCCTGACTACATATCAGCGCTGCCCGTTGGTTTGCTGGATGGTGTGGATATGGGCGGAAGACAGCCGTTGTTGCAGTGAGTAAAATCATGCCCGACACTGATTGCTCCCCACACACATTTGCTTGTGCCGACAGTGGCTGAAATCATGTGGACTGCCAAGATTATTCGGGATATTACCGGCCAGACCCCAACGTACATGCGGCCTCCTTGTGAGTACCGCTACTGCTGCAGCAAGCATTCTGGCAGGCGAGAGTTGGGCTCGGGCATGGCATGTCCACACACATTGAAGCCAACTCCCGCGCAAGGCTCTAATGCGGCTGTCTCGCTGGCCATTTGCTTGCTTAATCTGCTACTTTCACACTGGACCTGACCTCCTTGCTGCTATGGGACCCAGATGGCGATATTGATGCTCGCGTGCGCGGACTGCTTCACAAGATGGGGCTGAAGGTCGTTATCTGGAACAGAGGTTCGTGGTTCTACCATGAGGTCTTGGCTGTGTGTCGTCACGTTCATGGCGCTCTCAAGCAGTGCCGTCCTACAGCTTCAACTCGTCGATTCGTCCGCTTGATGCGCTTGGTTTGGCCGCACATCAGTGCTTATGCTGTTCTACATGTGCCCGCAGATACCGACGATTGGGAACTCCAGACTTTCAACCCCAACGCACAAAACTCGTCGCAGGTTGTGACTCCCACGTCTGTGCGTGCTTCCATCAGCAGCTGGATCGCATCGCCGCCAGCCGAGGGCATCATCAGCTTGGAGCACGACCTCTTCCAGCTCCGTAAGTGGCATCTTTCATTCATCTCCGCACATTGTGCTCTGTGTATGGGTAGTGCTAACCGATCCCCTCCCACCTCAATCGTGCCTGTGTGGCAATACTTCATGTCCTGTTTCCTGTTTGCCCATGTGTCGGACCGTGGTTCAGCCGCCCAAATCGCGGGCGAAACGCTGCAGCGAGTCAGTATGGCGGGCTTCAACATCAACACCGTTGCAAGTTGCGTTGGCACCGCGCCATATAACAATACCGCGATCGAAGTGATATTCAACCCTGCGATTGCCTCGAGTCTTTCCAAAGCCCCATCAACCACTGCATCCGCATCCGCAAACTCAACGGCCACTTTGACCGCAAGCAAGTCGCCTTCGTCGTCGCCGTCGCCCAGTGCTGGATCGATCCGAGCCAGCCTTGACTGGAGCATCATTGGCACGATTGCGCTGGTGCTGTTGTGCTCGCAGCTTGATGTATCCAACGCCTTCTGAAGTGCGCAACTAGTCTGGGGCTCAAAAGGTTGGGATCTGGATCTTTGTCTGTGGTGAGGGTGAGAAGGCAGCCAAGCATGTGCATCTGTCGCAAGGAAGAGTCTGTGGGCTGTACTGCCAGGATAAGGGGCTTGATAGCACTCAGTCCCGCAGACAGAGTGCTCTGTCCGAAATATACGCATTGTCGATGATCGCCCAGCCATGGCGGCAGATCGCATTTGAACCATGTACTCTGTTCTGCCTGTGACGGCAAGTGTGCAAGAAAGGGAGACGGGAGTGGACTATTTGGTTTGATGATGCGATCGTCAGTGCATCCCGTCAACCATACATACACTCTGGCCGCTCGCTTCGACAATGTGCAGTGATGTCATGGTGGTCGAATCAGACTCCGTAATCCCATCGACCACTCAATCAGGCGAGTTGTGGGAGCCACTGTCGATGAACTGCATCCTTTGCCCATCTTGCGCTGGCTTTCGATCGAGCTGACCTTGACAACGAGAACGGCTTACTTTTCACACGGCCGACTTTCCCCCACGTCGTCGTTTCTTCCACACATAGTCGTCCAATACCCAACTCACGCACCCAGTCTAGTGCAGATCCCGAGATTCAAATCCGTTGGCCCCAGATACAAGATCGGCTCGTTCAAGATACAGTCTGTCTACCCCCCCCCTGTCGAAACCGGATATTGATTGCTTCGAGGACTCGGTACCTCGAGGATCCAACATCATACTCCCCCGCATCGAGCCTCTCGACTGGGCTGCAGCCTCCAAAGCACCCTCGGCCTCGGGCCTCAGAGCAGCTTCTGCATCACACTTTCTTGGACCCCATCCACCCACAAACCAACCCCACGAACCACACGGCCGAGGGTTTCCTGAGCCGGCATGAATGTCACCACCTTGACACAGCACTCGGCCCTGGTCGCCACGCTATACCAAACTGACGCCTTCAACGGATTCTGCTGCTGCTGCTCGGCCATCATCCTGGTGATGATGCACCGGTGGCGGTTTCGACTCAACGATGCTCTCTGGGCGCAGCTCATGACCTTCCTGGACTTTTCGAGTGTGACGCTCGTTTGGATCCTGGAGCTCGTACGGGACATTCTCTCGGACTGCAGCGCAAACTCGGGGTTGATGGTGGCTACAGTCCTGATGGATCTCTCGGTAATGGGCTGGCGGCGGGAGTGGCTTGGAGAGCTATGAATCGGTGCTTGTGTCTGCCGTTCCGTCTCAATCCCACTCAATCTCCGCCTCCATTCCATTCCATTCCACTCAACTCTACCCACTTGGATCTCGTCCCACGCTTGCACTCTGGACCGAACCAGAACGTATTCCGGATCTGCTACGTGGTCTCACGGTACTTTTCGGCACACCAACCGGACGATGTTTCTCGCTTCCGCAGCGGCGCATATAGCGGCAACTCCAACGTCAATGTCTCATGGATAGCGGGCAGCCAAGACCACGGGCAGAGCTTTGGGATGCAGCATGACGACGGCCACGAGGTTGACAAGGAGAAGGCGCTCAACCACACCCAGCAGAAACTTGCGTGCCTGAGTCAAGCCAAACTCTATGCAAGCGCATCCCTCCTTCCGGATAGCGGGGCAGCTAAACGAGATGGAGTGCCGCTGAAGAGGGCCCTCTCTGTCAACAGCACCCACAAGAGCACGGGAGAGCTGGACTCGGACGAGGATCTCCCCAAGCAGTATGGTACCCTCCGGGGCGCCCTCGAGAACCGTGCGCCTCCGACAATTACTTTCAGCACCGACGGAGGCAACGTTTCGGGATCGGCACCCGCACCCGCAGCCGCAGCCGTGGCTGCTCCTGGGCCTGAGCCAGAGGCTCCAACGGGATTCAGCCTCTACAAGCGCATCAAGAAGTGGCGGGTGGCCGTGATTTTCGGCATGGGTGCAATCGAGCTCGTATTTGTGGTGATTCGGCAGGCGATCATGTGGACTGTAGTGGGAGGTATGTGCTGTGCTGCATGGGGTTTGGCTGTGACGGGGTGCCTGGCGAAATGATGGATTGTTTTTGGCATGGCGATAGGAGCTGCATCCCATGTCAGCATGGCCTGCGGCAAAACATGACGCCAACAGGACACAGTGCCAACGCAATTCTCACACAAAGCCAACGCAATGTCAACACAATGTCAACGCAATGTCGACGCAAAGCTGACGTGGTGTCTTCTCGATCCCACCTCAGGCACCGAATGTCTCAGTATCCAGAACTCGCCCCTGGTGCTGGAGGTCCTGGACGACCTCTTCACAATTGTCCTCCTCGTGATCTCCGGCTATGTCGTGGGCAAGAAATCGTTCTCGCTAAACCCGCGATCGTCGAGATACGAGGCCAAGAAACGCTACTATGCCACCTTTGTTTGCGCTAGCATCCTCCAGGTCCTGACATGCATCTACCACATTGCCGCCCTGAGTGTGCAAATGACACCGTTTCTGGAGGTCACCGCGCTGCGATATGGTAAGCTGGGTTGGGAATGAGAGGAGCAAAGGGGGCGCATTCAACTCGGATGGGAATAGTGGATTCGACGGTGCAAAGTCAGGCAACGACGGCCGATGTTGGGCGTGGGGCTTACTGGAAGCAGCTGTCCTGTCCACATGCATGGCAGAGTAACATTTTTGTAACGACTTGTTCATTGCAGCCAAGTTCATCATGGTCATCAGCGTCGTCAACAGCGTCACCAAGAGTATCAACACAACGCTGTAGCACACGGATGCGGCTTTCACCAGCAACATCAAGCCATTGGCGCTGCATTTCTTCCATTTCCGTGCAGGCTAGTTGTGCTTGCTTGCTTGCTGATGAGCATTATGGCGAGGGGACATGGCTATATTCAGCAACCACAATCCAACAGCAGCAGTAGCGCTGTGGAAAAGAGAAAAAACCTGGAACTGCTAGTTCCATATCAAATGTCCCTATTTCATTTTGTGAGAACGACAAGACGCCATGACAAAAAAAAAAATAATCCAAACCATGATGAGGGGAGGAGGATAGGCAAAGGAGCTCTGGCGGCTGAGCGGGCGGGCTCTGACATGCAGATTGCACACGCTGGTGGAGCGGGAGCGCAAAGAAAAAGACAATGATCAACTAATGTACAACAAGAATATGGGCCAAGGAAGGAAGCCAAGGGGTGGTGCGACTACGACGGCATTAGCGACGATCCGAGACAGAGGAGATTGGAAACCCTTTATGCAAGGGGATATGAGGAGCGGCAGAGCAGGGAGGAGGAAAACAAGGTGGGATCAGAGGGGTCGCGATGATGAATATGAGGCCAAGCCAAACGGCAACCGCGGAAATCGAGGGGGCGGACTGGCCGGGGAGCTGCCGAGAAAGGGACAGCCACAAATGCGTTTCTGGAAGCGGAATTAGACAAGGTAGAATCTGGGCAAAGCAATGCTACAAACAAGGGGAAGCAGGGGGGGGGCGAGCCCAGCATAGAAGATCGGTGTCGTCAGCAAAGTGTCGGGGAGGAGTTTGCTGTGACGGGTGGGTCGGCTGAAGCCGTCGAAGGGCCTCAAGCGAGCCCCGGTTGGACTGATACAAATAAAAGTCGGCTGTATGGCTACAGCACAAGCGACTCTCCAGGTGCAGCCGCCAGGGCAGGTGGGGTCTCCGGAACTGGCTCAGTGCGTGGGAACGACCCGGCCTCCGTTTGACATTTGGTCCAGCTCGTCGTAGGCAGTGTCGTCTCTCCGGGGAGCATAGACTTGCTGGACAAACTTTGTCTGTGCATATCCAGCCTTGGGATCGGATTCAGGGACGCTGCGGATGGACGGAGTTCGAGTGCGAGCAAAGGCCGGCAGATCCTTGGTGTGGTGGAGCGGGAACATGCCAATCTGCTCGTTGGAGAGATTGACGCCCTTTGCCCATCCGTCATGGAATCGGGTCCTGGATGATGCAAGGAAGGAGGGGTCAGCGTGTGGAGACGAGGCCGACGAAACAGCGCCGAATGACTCAGTGTTGCGAGAGTCTGGGTCACGCCCGTGCCGACAGCCAGAGGAGCTCTGGATGCGGATATGGCAGCACCATGAGATGCATGTGCATCCCCAGACGCATGCCATAGCACTCGGAATTCACTTACTCCACAATGACAATGTCCCCGACCTCAAGAGTAATTTCATCGGGGCGCACGGGGAGGTACGATGTAACGACCATCACCTTGGCAGCCGCCATCCAGACGGGGTTGATCGCCGGGGCCGCAAACTGGGTCTGGAGCTTGTCCTTGTCGCTCAGGGGATAGACCGTCGACGGGTTGGGCAGCGGGATCGAGGCCTTTTTTGAGGCCAAGTCGTCGGGCGAGACGGGGTGGATCTGAGTGGCGAGCTTGGCGTAAGGGCCAGCGTTGGTGGGCTGGGCCAATGGCGACAGGTTCGGGACGGCGGGGCTGCCCTTTTTCAAGAGGAAGGGCGGCACGCCGGGGAAGAGCTTGGGAGAGGTTGGCTCGGAGAGGTTGTCGCTGAGGATCTTGTGGGTGGTTGCCTCGAACTTGAAGGCAAAGTTGCCCTGCAGACCGGCCATGGTGCGAAGAGCAGAGGGCGGAGAAAGGGAGGCGGGAGGATGGAGGGGAGGGAAAGCAGAGCCGAGCAACAGGCCGAGAGACACCAGGAGGTTATAAAGCGACGAAGGGTGGACGGCGGCCTGAGCGAGACAGGATGAGAGCCGGTGACGGCGACAGACGGGAAAGGGAGCAAGGGCCAGGGAGCGGCAAGGGCGGCCCACGGGTGTGGCCTTGTGCGGGGGGGGGTGTCGCGTGGGGACTGTGGGGCGGCCTCGGGAGAGGTGTGCTGTTTGGGCCGGCCGAGATGTGTTTGTTGATGGGGGTGGCGGCAGCGTCGATGCTGGCAAGTTGTCGATGGTCGAAGCGTTGTCGATAGGCCAAAGGAGGTGTCGATGGTCGAAGGAGTTGCAGATGGTCGAAGGAGTTGCAGATGGTTGAAGAGTTGCAGATGGTCGAAGGAGATGCCGCCATTGTCCTGCTCGCAACTTGTCAAAGCGGCAAGTCCGCAGTCGCCCATTGGCCACAGAGAGAAGCACTCCACCGGCGTGATACAGCGCAAGCGACCACTCGCGGCGCGAATACAGCTCAGCCTTGCTGTGAGCGGGTGGGGGACCGACCGTGCGAGTGTGGATGGAGACAGCCCGCGACGGGTGGCGCTGAAGCTGCACAGAGCACCGCTGTCGCAAATGGATCGGCGAGTGGCACTCATGAGTGGGCGGAGACAATGGGCCGGCGGAGCAGGAACAGTGGGCGAGCAAGGCAGGTCACGCCCAGCCAAGGCGGACACACAAACAAACAGACATCAGCGCACTGACACGGACAGACAGACTGAGCGATGGGCAGGAGCACATCGGCACAGACAGACAGACAGCAACACACAACAGCCGCACCACACACCGCTGTGGCAGCACAAACAGACCCTCGCGGCGCACCACTCAACCCCGCCGGCCGCCTCCTGGCGGAACTCTGGCCCGGCCCCGGGCGCCGCGCAAATTGGTGCGAAACCTGTGGCAGCCCGCTGGCCAGCTGCGCAGCACAGACAAGGAACGGCGCGCTCAGGCGACCCCTGCTGATTGGTGGCGGGCGCGGCCCGGCTGCGCCGCAGCAAGGGACGGCGATCACTCCCGGGCAGTCCCGGCAGCCTCCGGCGCGAGCCGGCACACAGACAGTGGTGCAGCGCAGCGACACAGAGCACTGCACCGCCTGCGACAAAGACAGCAGCAGACTCAGCAGCCACGTGAGCAGCCGCATTCCGCCAAGCCGGATCGATCCAGGCGCGCCTGTCCCCGTGGCCGCCTGCGCCCGCGCAGCTGACCCTGTCCCACGCCTGGCGGCGGCGCTGGCCTGGTCGGGTGAGCGCGCCTGGGCTGCGCAGCTTGCTTCTGCGCGAAATGCGGAAAGGCTCAGTCTGCGGGCTTGCGCCTCTGTCTTTGCCGTTTGCCACCGGCACGGGAGGTCGGCATCAACCGGGCTGGAGGGCAATCGAGGGCAATCGAGGGCGGTCGAAGCCAGCGGAATCAATGTCAGCATCAACAGCATCAACAGCGTCAACAGCAGCATCAGCATCAGCATCAATGTCAGCATCAGCATTAACAGCAGCGGCGACAGCGCAACCCAACGAGATAGTGGCTGGGGGTCCCCGGCGCGTCCATCAAGTGCAATGTCCCTCTGTGGACATTTCGATTGGCGACACTGATTGGCGACTTCGAGGGACAATCTCGATTGACGACTTCGAGGGGCAATCTCGAGGGGCAATCTCGAGGGGCAATCTCTCATTCCCCTGCGAGCTCGTGGCTCGCTGTGGCGATTCCCACTCCTGCCGACGCGCCCTAATCTTGGCCCCTGTCCAACCCAGCAGCCACACGATACATTCGCTGTCGCCGCCACCGATGTCGCTTGGGCTGCGTTGATGTCTCGATGTTGGATTCTCATTCCCCATCGGCGCCTTGGAGAAGCTACATCCGCCCGAACAATCAACCAAGCCCACAGCAGCACTTGCACTCCAGATACCCCCCCATCTCGGAACGTTGTCTCCCGCTCCAGACCGCCAAAATGATCCGCTGTTCGACCCGATGTCCGGGTGTTCTGGTTTCACATGGGCCCAAGTCCTGATCCGTTGTGGCTTGCCTCGCCCCTCAGATCGCTTTTGACCCGTCGATCCATCCGCCTCCGCATTTTTATCTGCATTGTCAATCCGGCTGCCCGAGTCCCATCCCCATACTCGACCATGAGCCAGCACTCCTGCGCTCCGCCCACCGAAGATGCCAGCTTAGCCGTCCGACCAGCCCGTCCTGGAAAGCCTGTCGGTGATGTCCGCGCCAAAGCCCCTGCATCGACCCTGGGCCGTGTCGTCGGCAGCCGAATCACCCATGCCTTTGTCGCCTCCGCCCTGCTTCACATCATCGCCCAGCGACTTGCCGTGCCCTGGGTCCAGGCTCGAGCCGCAAAAGCCCTGTCACCCGGCGACGCACTGTATTTGGCCCAGAAGCTCCCCTCGACCGTCAATGCCCTCGTCGTTGGGCTTTGTTCCTCGGCCGCCATCGCGTCCGGTCTCCGAGACGGCACCCTGTTTTCCTCCACTTTTTACTCGGACAACCTCGACAGAGCCTTTGCCAACCAAGCCGGCTTCATGCTCTACGACATGTGTGTCATGGCCCTGCATGGTCGTGAATCGGCCTCCGTCTGGATCCACCATGTCTTTGGCTTCCTGGGCACATTCCTCATTCGGATCTACAAACAGGGGGCTGGCGTCCCAGGTGTGTTCGCCCCGTCGGAACTCACCGTCCTGGTCTCCAACCTGCTCTGGGCAGCCCGAAAGCTACCCGATAGCTCCCTTGCCGCGGCATCGGTCCAGGCCCGCCTGCTGCGTCTCCGGGCTCTCGTCTTCCTTCTTATTCGGTTCCCCGTTGGCCCGTATGTCATTGCTCGCTTTGGGCGCTCGCTCTTGGACCCCAAGGCCCCCTTCTTCACCGACCGGCCCACTCGCCCGCTTCATTCCGGTGCCAAGGAGAGCCAGCAAGACGAAATCCTCGCTCCCCTATCCAGTGTCGTTGTCTTTGGATGCTTCTTCAACACGGCGGTGTTCACTCTCCTCAACACCAGCTGGACCATTCAGGTTCTCCAGAGCCTCATTCGGACCTCTCGCTCCGAAAAACCCATCCATCACATCTAAGCATCGCATCAGTCAGGGGTCTGTTCTCTGCATGAGCGTCGCCCTGCGACCCCACCAGATGTCTTCGAATATAGTGCCTGCGTCGAGTCACATCCGTCATCGGCTTTCCATCGATTTGCCGCCGATCAGCGCAAAGTATCGCCCGGCCACTTATCCCAGGCTGAGTGACGGTTCTTCCTTTCTGCCGTTCCGCAGACCCTGGTGGCATCGGGTGCCTGCCTCGCCCGGTTCGTTCGTTCGAGTCGAGTGCATCCATATCTATTGAGTCGCTCGGCAGCACTGCCCAACAAGAGTGCTTTATCCGAGCAGCCATCCACTCACGCCTCCATCTGGCCGAGTCGGCAAGAGAGAGTGACTGTCAAGAGCCGGCCGTTTGAAGGCATGTCCAATCAGATCGTCAAACCGTCCGGGGCGTTTGCCGGTTGCTTGGTCTTGCTCGCCGCAAGATGTGCCCGACAGTGCCGGCTGTGGCTCATAATCCATACCGATGTGACTCTGTTGTGGGGCCGCCAAGTGCTCCTCGACTTCGCCACCACTAGAATCATCATCAGAATCACCATCAGAATCGCTGTCCGAGTCGCTATCGGAATCGCTATCGGAATCAGACTGGCTCTTTGCGTTCGGGGCGCTGGGAGTTGTGTCGGAAACATTCCGCTTGACACCCTTGACAAGATCCCCAAGCTCCTCCAGCGACCGCTCGTATCCGGCATGCAGCTTGCGGATCTGTTGCTGGTCGAGCTTGTCGCGGATCACTTTGCTGGACCGATCGACCTTGCGCACGACCTCGCGCTTGAACCATCGTGCCTCGCGGCTCTCCACGAATGTCCAGGCGTCGCCCTCTCTCCCGGCCCGGGCGGTTCGGCCGATGCGATGGACGTAGGTCTTGGCGCGGGTCGGAACGTCGTAGTTGACGACTGCACGGACGCTTACTCCGAGATCGATACCTCGTGCCATCACGTCTGAGCACACCAACACCGGGAGCTTGCCGGTCTGGAAGGCCGAGAGCGTACGCTTCTTTTCGACAGCAGACAGGTCAGACGAGAAGGCTCGGGCATACGTCGTTGGCGTGTCGGTGGCCTGGTTCGAGTTGGGGGTCGCTTCTTGCTCGGGGCCATCGTCGCTCTCGTCGCCGCTATCATCACTATCGTCACTATCGTCGCTGCTTTCGCTACTGTCGCTGTCGCTGTCGCTCGATGATTTGAGTCCTCGGTATTTTTCGCCAAAGAGCTGCACGAGGCCGGCAAGACGATGGGCGGCCTCCACCGACTTGGTAAAGACCAGGACGCCGGACGTGCCCAGGTTGAAGAGCAAGTGCAGCAGCAGCAGGGGCTTTTCGCCGGCCGATTCAACGACAACAAGGTGCTCGCGCAGCGTGACTGGAGCTGCGTATCGAGATCCGTCAGCGTCGGCCTCGGCCTCGTCCTGGGGTTCAAGAGCCGCTGATGCGTCCAATGTCGATCCGGAAGGAGTCTCTGCGCCACCGCCGCTCGACAGGAGCTGCATTTTGGAGACGGCAATGTACTTGGGATCATGCAACCGCAGCGACGCAATTTTCTCGGGGTTGCGAGTGAGTGTCGCCGAGAAGAGCAACTTCTGGAGAGGGGTGTAGTGCAGCAGGCCCTGGCATTGCACTTCTGTTTGGGTGGTGCTTGCACTTGCACCTGCGCTTGTGCCTGAGGATGCTGAGTCGGCTGCTGAGTTGCGCAGTGTCCGCGCGGTGTGGACAGGAAGGCCCAGGCTATCCGTTTGCAGGGGTGCTCTCGAATGCTGTTGATGCTGTTGCTGTGGCTGCTGCTGGCTTCCTTCCTCAGCGCGAGCATCAGGCTCGTCTGCGCTTGTCCCCACAACAGATTGATCACCGCCGGATGGGTCCTGGGTTCCGTCTCGAACATGGCCACCCATGTCGACTCGCTTTTCGTTGCTGTGGTCTGGGGCAGACTCGGCCGCCTTCAGCACATGGACCAGCCAGTCGTTGTAGCTTTGGTTGAGCAAGCGGTCGGCTTCGTCAATGACGAGGAAGCGCAGATGGCGTAGTGTGAATCCCGGAGTGCCCCGGAGGTGATCCATGAGCCGGCCGGGGGTGGCAATGACAATGTCGACTCGACTCGACCCAGCCACGCCCTCAGTCGCCACATCGTCGGCGTCGGCGTTGACGAGATGGCTCTGCTCCAGCCCGAACGATGTCTGGCCTGTGAGTACAGCCAGCTTTAGGTCGCTTCCCTTGATGTACTGCTCAAAGGTCGTGCGGACCTGGCTGACCAGATCCCGGGTCGGCAGAATGACCAGGGCTCGAACCCGAGGAATGATTCGCGCCACCAGCGTCTCGACGATCGGGAGCACATAGGCCAGAGTCTTGCCCGAGCCCGTTGGGGCCGACACGCAAAAGTCGCCGGGCGAAACAGGCGCCGACGAGAACCGGGTACAGAGTAGGTGAGGCAGGACGGCCTTCTGGACCGGGAACAGGTGGTGCACTGAGTTTTCCTCGAGCCGCTTGATGATTTTGGGCGACAGGCTCCATTTGGGGTTGTGGATCGAGGACTCGTCATCGTGCGTGAGATACGGGGAGATGGTGATCGGCTGGGCCAGCCACTGAGGCAGCCCTGACAACTTTGTGGAGGCTTGCTTCTTGACCTTGGTCGCCGGGCCGTCTGCACGGGTTGAGTGGTCGCTGTTCGGTTCGACTGGGGCTTCGACTGGGACGCTGGTGTGGGCTGTATCGGCATCTACACTCATCGCATCTTCATCTTCCTCTTCGTCTTCCTCTTCGTTTTCTTCGTCCTCTTCGTCATCGTCATCGTCATCCTCATCGTCTTCTTCTTCGTCGTCCTCGTCGTCCTCTTCATCGTCCTCGTCGTGATCTGCACTCTTGGTTGTGGGTCCGCCCTTATCTCCGGCGCCGTGGTAGTCCACCGCTTGTTTCTCGACGCTTCTCAAGCTGCCCGGTGCGGGCCTGAACGGAACCGTACCGGACAAATCGCCCGACCGATCCGACGCGGCAACTTTGCCGGCATCATCAAGAGCCTTCTTCTCTTTCATGCGCTCGAGTCGTTCGCGATACTTTTTGCCGCCGCGTTTGGTCTTGGTTTTGGCCGCTCCTTCAGCCTGCGCCGAGTCGCGAGTCTGGAGCGCACTGATGCGGGCCAGTCTTTCCTGCTCCTTCCGGGCGAGCTCGTCGCGCTCCTCCTGAAGCCAGGTTGTCTTCTTCTTGCGCTGCCATTTTTGCTGGGGAGACGGCAGCAGCTGTTTTTGGCTGTTGGTACTGACGTTGGCGCGCCATGGCCCGGCTGCGGATGGTGGGTGGTCTTGCTGGTGGTGCTGATGGTGCTGGTGCCGGTGTTGGTGTTGATGTTGTTGCTGATCAGCAGCGGCGTTGTGCTGGAACCGGCGGTGTGTACCCTGGGGCGATGTAAATGACATGTCGGCCCCGTTATCCTCAGAAGCGTGGGAGAAAAGTGTGCGCCTTGGATCTCTATGTCAAGCAACAGCGAATCGGATTTCCGCCGTGGGGCAGCGAGGTGTTGCTGCACAAGCCGGTCAACAGGCGTTCGCGATCTGGGTCTGCAAGAACGACAGCCAAAAAAACCGAGCGGAAGCCCGAACGCGGCGATCATGTGAGCGTCACACTTCTGGGTCCAGCCTGCGCCACGACCGGTCCAGCCCAGGGCCAGTTGCACATTTCTCATCCAACGATGAGCACGCAGGGATATTGATCGGGTGTGTCCGCAAGAGTACTCCCAAGAAACGGCCGCGCATGACATTTGATCGCGGGTATCGCCCGGACACATGGTATATTCTCCAAAGTCGATCGAGTTTTGTTTTGGCGGATCCGCGGTGCACATCCAAGAGGGCAAGCCCGAGCCCCGCCCTGAGCAACCATGCTCCGCTCAGCGGGTCATTGGGCATTGAGCGGGCCATTCCGACGGAGACTGCTCCGAGAGCCACCCGCCCTCCCTCTCCCGCCCTGAACTGCTCTTTGTTTTCTCCCAAACATCCCAACGACCAGATCTGTTCTCAACTCTTGGTCTGTTTCCAAGCCCAGACTCCCACGCACTCCCTATTGTTCGTGCACTATCCGTAAGCGCACAGCCTTTGCCGCTCCCACCTTCGCGCTTGCACACCCCACCAAGCCATTTCCAAAGCCAAAATGGAACTGCACACGAACGTCGATTTTGGACACAGCAGTCCGATCGCTGTCGCCGCAGAAAAGCAAGGTATTTTCGGTTCGGTTCGGTTCGGCTCGGTTCGGTTCGTGGGACCGCCCTCGCCCTACAGCAATCTGGCTCAAGTTTGGTTTGTTTCGGTTCGGAGAGCATCGTCTCATTCCCGTTGCGTCTGGCCTGGGTGCGCTTGGGTGTGCCTGGCCGGACTTATGGCTTCATATAGGCGACGCCAATGCAGTCGAATCGGTTTCCAGCTGGCTGCGGGGCCACGGGTTTGACGAGGAGTTGATCCACATCTTTGAGCGAGAAGAGATCAACTCGTGGGAGGTCATGCAGGCGCTCGAGCTCGAGCACCTGAAACAGCTCAACATCAAGGCCGGCACCGGCATCAAGATTCTCATGGCCAAAGGTTGGTGCAGTCCCCCTCCTCGGCTCCGGCCGCCACTCGCTGTCCGGCCGATCCTGGGCCATGCGTCCTCCCTCGCCCCACTCCTGCACGTCCGAATGGTAGTCCCGCCTTGCTCCTGAATCTGGGTGCTGTTTCGGACCCGGACGGCGGTCGTCCGATCGCACCTGACGAGTCGCGATTCCCACGCTCACCATCCCGCCACATCAGGCGACTTCCCAGGGCCAAAGACGAGCCTCAAGGAGGACAGTTCCAGCGTAACCATGTCCCTGAAGGATCTCAAGGCCATCATTGGCGAAATCTACGGCTCCAGTGAGCGTCCGATCCGAGCTGATCTTGATCTTGACCCTGGCATTTGACGCTGGCTGATTTGCCCAAGGGAGGACACGGGGCTCTCAGCGCTAATCCAAGGCCATCTCCGACCCTCTGTATCCCCAGAGAAGCCTTCGACTGTAGCTGCTTCAACTGCTGTCGGCGCTGTGGAGAAGCCGCAACGCACCGCCGATGGATCGTAGGGATCGAGTGAAACGACTGACGAGTTGCCGTGCTGCCGTTTGGCCCGGGCCATCTCCAGCCCCCCCGCTCTGATGAGAGCCTGGGCTGGGCGCCCATGTGAAGATGCACGCTCGATCGCCCCTGATTTCATTTTTTACCTTTGCGTTTGTGTCTCCGAACCACCGGTGTATTCTTCACTTCACAGAAAGTCCAGCCGCGGAGTCAAAGCGAACGCTCATACTTCCGGCCCCGCTCGAAACGATCCGCCGAGGGTCATTGTGGCCCACAAGGGCGAAATGCAGGCCGTTCGGGTCACGGCCGTGGCCTCAAAATCCAAGGAACTGCCATCGGGAAGCAACAGACATGGCGAGAATGGCGGGACTGCAGCGCGAAAGAAGCCCGCATCTGTCTCCAACAGTGAGCACACTCTATCCAGCCAGGTCAAGGCCGAGCCCGCCCAGAGGGTCTTTGTCAAGGTTGCTAAGGACGCCGAGAAGCCCAGAAAAGCCGCCAGCACGCTCTCTGTATCTGAGCGAAGGAATATCGCATCCAAGAGCACCGAGTCTGTCGTGTCTGCCAGCACCACCGGCAGATCCAAGCTGGTGGCCAGGAGCAGCTCTGTTGTGGGCTCCAAGAAACCAGAGCATCCGGCTCAGCCGGGTCAGCCGGGGCATTTTGCGGACCACCGCCATGACCACAAAGCCGGCTCTCATCTCACCCTGCACCATGCTCCGGGCAAGTCTCCGAATGAAAAGCCCCCCTCGACGATGCATCTTTTCAACTCGACTCTCTCCCCTGTTCGGTAAGTGTCCCTCAATGCTCGTGCGGTCCGCTCGTGTCGCTGTCGGCGTGAGCCAGCCGACTGAACCTATTTTATGCCTCTGTTGTAGTGCGGATGCTCTCGACGGACGCCCCACCAGCATTCCGAGTAAGTTCGAACCCGCAGCAGTTGCAACAGTTGCAACAGACAGACGCATGGATGCGACCAAGTATATGTTGCTAACCCAAGTGTGATTCTCACATACTTGGCCCCATCTTCTCCAGCACCTCACGGCACAATGAAGAAAAGGCTGCCGTCCCAGCACTCATCGGTTTCGATCCAGCAGCCGGCTCTTTCGGCTCAGCCAGGAGTTGATCGACCTGCCCAGGAGCAGAGAACTTCCAAGCCGTCCTCGCGCGCGAAGTCTGCGTCCATAGCAACGAGCGACAGCGCCAGGGCCACATATGCCGAGTCTCTGCCAAAGACAGCCGATACCGGCCGTAGCCGTAGCCGTAGTGCAGCGGCTAGCATCGATGCTGATGTTGATATCGACTAGGGTGCCAGCATCGATGTTGATAAGAGAGTGTATGGGTGTTGGGGGCAAGCCCTGGTTAACGACGCAGGCCCACTGTATGCACCCAGCCATTGATTCCAATGCCGTACCCAGGACACTTGCCATTTTCCGGTTGAGTTGCGGTCTGAAAACGCTTGCGTTGCATAGGCAACACGCAATACACCATTACCAGGGTGTACCGCTGGAGTGCCAAGCTCGTTCAAAGAGTACGCTCGGAGAGATTCGTGCAAGTCATCCTTCTGTTGGCGATGGTGAACTGAGCGAGAGACCGGGTGCGTCTCAGATAGAGACCGGGGGCATCTCCCTGCCTTGCCTCCAATACTAGGACGGTACTTGGGACAAAGCACCAACGTGTGCATGTTGCAAATAGGCAGCCAGCTCGAACAACGAAGATGCTCCGTTTCATTTGAACACTGTCCTAACCATCAACTGACGTATTGCTGGAGCCCGGATCGCCGAGCTCAGCACCTCGCCGGTGCATTCCAAGCGCAACAGACCGACTCGAGTTCCCACCAGGGCAGGGAGCTTCAGGGAGTCGATCGTGGCGACCTGATTCTTTGCTTGGAGGCTGCTGGAGTGGCCAGTGTTCGCTGCCTATGGACACAAGATATCACGGACTGCATGTTCGATTGAAATGGGACAGTGGCTCGTATATTCTAGAGTGGCCCGCCTCGCTTTGGGCCTGCCGCATCGACCCGAGGCCATCGAATCACGCCGAGCCATTCAAGACACAGAAGCTGCTCCTCGCGAGCAGTCGGCGCTTCCGACAACTGTTTTGAGTGCCTGTGGGCTCAGAACGGACAGCTTTGACGCACCGTCGCTGCAGTGAGGCTCTGCTCGGGTTCTGCCATCCCTGCATTTGTCCTGGGCACCAAGGACGCTGCGTTGGCACCGGCCAGGACCATCGGCGAAGATGAGGACGCCAAAAGCGAGTCCCAACACCCACAAGTGGAGCCGGAGCGCCGAGAGTCTCGGCGACAAGGTACTGCAGACGAGCTTCTCGACGAGAACAAGCCGATGCCTGAATGCTGGCAAAGCCCCACGCCGTCTCTTCCGCTCTAATGAACAGGACGATGGCACCATTTCGTTCTGTCGCGCGCGCCATGCTCACTGCGTTGGAACATTGAATAGAGCCTGGAGAGAAGAATTGCCGAGGTATTGGTGGCAAACGAATGCAATCTACTTGCTGCCATCTGCAATGGCGCTTTCGTTGGCGACACGGCCGCAAAGGTGTCCGTCGGGGTGATATCGCTGTTGAAGATGCACAGCGAGACGTCGACGACCGAGTTCCTGAAGCGACTGCTGAAAGCCAAAATCGAGAGCTATTGTGAGTGTGATCAGCAGAGGCCGAGGCTGCCTACGCGATGGTTCGCAGCCCCATGTCGAAACTCTGATGCACTCTGGACCAGAAGCGGTTCGTAGACAGAGATGGTCCACAGGGAGATCCTAGTCGCAGACAGATGCCACTAACAATACCCTGCAACCTACTCCGCCAACCAAACTACTCATCATCACCATGCGACTCGACTTCTATGGCGGCAATGTGCATGTCCATGATGTCTGGCCGCTGCACTTCCACGATGCAACACTGTGCGGACGCTTGCTGTTGAGACCGCCAGTGAAACGCCAGAAGGATCTTAGCGACATTCTTCGAGACAACAGGTATGGTATTTCCACAACACCTTGCTATGCAAACTTCTGTCCCAGCCATTGAAATGCAGCTGAGCCCCAACCCTCTCGCGCCTTATGCTTGGCGACAGCATGACATCAATGCTACTCAACACCTTTGCTCGGTCCGAGGGCTCGCATTACCTGAGCAAATGTCTGCTGATGCCGATTTGTGAGATCCACAAATTCTCGGACCGATGCGAGATTGACCCTTCCAAGATCAAGCCGCCGTTATCGGCGCCAAAGGATGGCAGCGAAGCGGGCGGGGGCACCTCAGAGGCAGCAGTGGAACACACAATCGGCTCCAACATGCAGAATCTCAAGAAAGCCGTCGTGATGATCTTGCGGAGCATCAAGGAACACCACGAGGACTTTCCAGCCGAAATGCAGCGACTATGTTACTTTCTGTGCTCCAAAATCACAGAGATCGAGACCTATATCGGCGATGCTGCTCGGGGAATTAACTCACAGGCCGCTTTGCAAGCTCTTCCGTCTGCGTCCAAGACGGACGGGGATGGTGGTGGGAACCTGGAAGTTGTGACCGAGAACAGCCGGGCAAGCCGCAGCTCGGTCAAATCAGCAAAACAAAAGGTAACTGTGCAAGTCCAAGCGCACCGCAGAAAGGACAGCATTGACTGCGGGGCGTGCGGAGGAAGAAGACTGCAGAGTACTGCCATTATGGATAAGTGCATGGCAGGCTGGGCGGCAGCCAGCATTCCCGGCAGACGGCCAGTGGCAGAGTAAGGAGATGGTAAAGTCCACCGGGCTCACAATCAATCGCGATTCCCACGCCGTCCAGACCAAACGGCTCTCGATCTTCAAGCGGAGCCATTCGAGAAGCGACAACAAGGTTGATACGGGCCAGGTCGGCGACAGCAAGCTCGCCGAAGTCGAGGACGGGGCGATGAAAGCCAGCCCAGCTTCTTCCGTCGACTTCAGTACCGCCAAAAGCGTCGAAAGCGAGTTCAGCTTCACCGAAGATGGGCGGCGCAACCACCAGAGCCAAGACAGCCTTGCGTCCATCAATATCCACGACGTTGCTCGGCAAATGCTTTCACCCTCGATCACCACGACGCCGCCGCCTCTCCAGAGCCGCTCACGTCCTAACAGCTTGCTGCTGAGCTCGGGGGCTTCCAGCGTGCGCGAGTCAACGGCGACCTCATACCAGCACACGCTCAGCATGGCCGAAAGGCTTGTCGGGACGTTTCTGTTTCTGAGGTTCTTCATACCAGGTAGGGCCGGACCTGTGCTAGTGCATGCTGGGTCTGCAGATATCCAGTGTTGACTCTCTCCGACACATCCCGCCCTCGACCGCCGCCTCCGGCTCGGCAGCCATCACAACACCGGATACATACGGCCTGATCCACGACAAGCTGTCGGCCGCCTCGCGACGAGGATTCATTCTCTGCGGCAAAATCATGACGGCCCTTTGCAATGACGTTGAGTTTGGCTCCAAGGAGGTGTGCTTGGCTCCCTTGAACTCGTTTCTGAACGACCACCGGACCGACATCAAGGAGTTGATCCAAGTTGCATCGGGGATACCGGGCGCCGAAAAGGTAGCGCACACGGGAGTGACTACGAGTCGATCGCTGGCCGCGTTGCTGAACCTGTCGGGATGGAGTCATCTCAGACAGACGACCACGCCGCCCCGATGAAGCTGCATTGTCGGTGATGCCGCTCCATAAGAGCTCGTGCTGACGGCGATGCCCGTCCCTGATCCGATTCTGCAGGACCGCATCGTCGGGATCGAGGAATCTTCGAGCGAATCCCATACCCCAAAGTCGGCGTCAGGGGCAGACGCATGCATGACTCCCGTGCGTCTCTCCGACATAATGTACGCCAAGCCGGTTCCACTCAAGAGCCAGACATCGCGATCGCTTCCGACGCTGCTGCAAGGGTCGTCGTGCTCCAGCGACATCAAATCCGCTGGCGCCCCCACACGGTCTCGGACCGAGTCGAGCGAGTATGCCGAGGCAAACGCACTCTTTGTCTACATTGGCCACTCGCTCTCCAAGATCGAAAAGGAGCTCGAGCTGTATCTTCAGCAGCTGCCGGTCCACCAGTCCGAGGGAATCTCGAATAACTTTATCGAGCTCAAGAAGCTGATCGAGTCCAGCTCCTACTGGGATCGATCAACGCAGCCCACGGACAAGTCGGCGGCCAAGCTGTCGCTGTTGTCAAAGTTTGGCAAGTTCCGTCTGAAGAGCCTGTTCTGATGCAGCCCTGCCGAGAATGAGCGGGGATCTCCTGGATGGCATGCTCGCTGCAGACATTCGACTCGCGCCAGTCAGCATTTTCCGGTTGCTCCATCACCGTTGCCGCGGTTGCTACCGCCGGCTGTCAGCGGCAAGTTTGCTTGGGCCGTATCGTCCTGGAAGCACGAGACCGACCTCCGTGGGCAAGGCTGTCGAAGCTGTTGGGCGGTGATACTGCTCTTGGACACACTGGGCTCGACATGTGTATCCGTGGGCCAGAAGACAGGCGACCAATACCATCACAGAGAGAGCACCCCGTTTGTAACCGCTGTAATACATCACTTCATCGCACATTTCCCTCATGGCCTTGGCCACGCCTTCTCGACTTGGTGGTAGATTGGCCAGTGCTTTACATCTGACGCAGCGTGTTTCGAGCTTCCACGGACAATAGCCAGTGAGCATGTTTGCACTTGGCCACACAGCAACTGGAGAGTCGCAAACCAAGTAGTTGGAGGGGGGAGAGGGTCAGGCAATGGGTGCGGGGGCTCTTGGGTGGCGTGGCGGAGTCTCACAGCACGGTATGTCCATGTTACGTAACGGCGAATGCGGATGTGTGCATCGCTGCTGCTCCAGCGAAAAGGCCGCACTATCAGCCTCGACGGCCGAGCCAGCGATGGAGAGTAGATGAGTGGATGGGTAACGGAGCTGGGTTGGGGGGGGGAGACCTTAGGCATCAAAGTCCAGGAATTGCTGGAGGCGATCAGCATATTTGGCCGAAAACTGGAAATACTGGTCATCGTTGAAGCGATCGTAGAACTTGGACGTGATCTGATAAACGCTGTTTTTCAGGACTGAGGATGTAGGCGAATCAGGGCATCAGTGTCGGGGCAGCGGCCGTGGCAGTGCGATGGCGGCAGAGGGCATTTGCGGTGGTGACAACATGGGCGCTCGGACTGAAGCGCACATACCATCCAGCAATATCTCGCAGTCACGGTTCTGCTTGTATCCAAAGAACTCAAAGAATGTAGCGAGTGTCGATACGCCTCCGATCAGCCGATACGCCTTGACACTCCGGATCTTTTCAAGTGCATCGATGCACCGCAGCAGCGACTCGATCACCTGCGGCACGCTGTTCTGGACATATCCATGCGTGTCCAGACCAACCGACATGATGCAGAGCGTCGACAGCGCTGCAGCGAGGGAGCAGAGTCCGATGAATGATATCAGTGCAAAGTTGGCGGTCCCGCCACCACCACCACAGCATCGCAGCCAAGGTACAAGGGTCGGGATCACGATGTTGCAGTCGCTGAAACATCGCAGCTGAGAAGCCCTCCACTCCAAGCCAAAGTGGTCCACTTTGTCGAGCACGGTTCCCATAGATCCGACCGGGTGGGCCTCGCCATCGACGGAGCAGCCGTTCAGCCATTGCTTTGAACTCTACCTTGGATCGACCAAATATAGATCTGAATCTTGCTGAACATGGCTGCTTCTTTGAGACTCGCCTTCCAGTTTCCGAGAATGGTGCCCTCAGCTCTCTTAAGGATCACGACCGAGATGGCATCGATCATCTGCCAGAGCGTCTGTGCATCTTCTAACCGCGGGACAGCGCCCTGATCGACAACGCGTGCTTTGGGCGGTTGGGCAGACGGCAGCTGCTCGCCGCCCGCGAGCCGGGAGACAATGCGGCGTTGAATGGGCTCCGCGGGCCCAGTGGCGGTAATTGGCTTGGAGGAGATGCCGCCGTTGACGGGATCCTCGGGTCTGAGTCGGTGCCGCAGCGACGGGTGGCGCTCTCCCTGACCAAGCGACGGCGGCTGTGCGCCGCTGCCGACCAGGTCTCCGTCTCTTGCCGGTCGCTTGGCGTCTGGCTGAAGGACGTTGAGCGGCTCGAGGACATTGTCGTCGTATCCGCGCAGCTCGTCGTCGGATCGGTAGACAAGCTTACCAAGCTTGTCGACAAAGGCCTGAACCTTTGACGGGCTGGGGTTGTGCAGCCTGGGGTACGCAGTGGGTCGCTGAAAGCCCGTGCTTCGGGATTGTAGCGAGGTTGCTGCCTTTGCGGCTGTGAATAAACGAGCGGGAGATATATCAGAATCAAGGGGCGTCCCAAGCGAATCAACATACAGACAATCAGGGTTCGAGACGTACTTGCGGTCGTGGACGACTTGCTCGTCTCTGCCGACTTTTCCACTCGAGTCGACAGATCGTTGATGACCTCGAGGGAGCTCGAGAGAACGATCTCCCAAACAGATCGGTGGTCGTCGAGCTGTTGTTCGGTGTATATGCAGCTCTTTCTGGTCTTATCATAGCGAGCGATGCTCAGAAGCTCAAGGAAAGCAAAAGCCTGTCCAGGATAAGGCACACTGTGTCAGCGACAGACAGAGACACGGCAAACGGAGTCTATGCACGCCGGCCACGGGATACGGACCTTGGCTGTAGATGCCTTCCGCAGCGTCAGCCCGTCCACCAACTTGTTGACCGAATCGGGCATGTACTCTGTCGAGATACGCTGGAGAGGAATGAAGGGAAGCGGAGGACTGTGAGCAATCGAGGCTGCGACGAGATCTCGACGAGTCACCAACAAGACATCGTCGCTGCTGGGTGGGGCACTTACGCTCGTAAATACGACCTCAAAGATGTGGTCGACCATTTGCCAGACCGCAAATGTCAAGAACCCGCTGCGGAAGCACTGCCACAGCACCAGGATGCCGTCAAAGTTCGCCAAAGGGGTGAATCTGCGAGCAGTGCTCACTCTGAGAGTAGACACGCAGCGAAACAGGCATTGACCTTAGTACACGACAAGAGCGGCAGGAGTGTTCGCAGGGCCACGGGAATGCAAGCCAGGGCTAGGCCTGGGCTCGGATAATAGAATGCCATCGATGAACCGACACACAGTCCCTAAGGCGATCCCGAGCCCAGCCAAGGGCCACTTCGCCGTGTGTCCGGAGAGACCAACCTCTGGGTTCCCGCAAAGAGCCAAACCAGGAACCAGTAGAATCGTGGCGCCAGCAGCGGATAGAGGACGATGCTGGCACCCAAGTAGAGGGCAGCCTGGAAGGCGCTCGCGGCCACAATGCGCTTGATCTTGCTCTTGATTCGGTGATACGCCGATCGCTGGATTCGTGGCAGAGCAACGGCGGTGAGAGCAGACTCGCGGGCGAGTGGGCAACGTGGATCAAAACAGCGAGCAATCATGCGCACGTATGACGGTTCCGAAACGGCAAACCAACTCACGTTGATGGATGGGAAGTGGATCTGGTCTCGACCCAGGTTGACACAATGATAGAAGAGCCCCAGGAACATGGCGTGATAGAGCAAGAAGGAGTAGTTTTCATTCACCACCCAGGGCTTGTAAATACTTTGTTTGGGAGGACGAAGAGGAGGAGGAGGAGGATGTGGAGGGAGAAAGACACACATTTGTTAGGCTCAGCTCCAAGTGCTCGCACAGCATGCAGCATCGGTGGCAGTGGTGTCGTCAGCGGCCCGCATCTCCCCGCCTCACGTATCGCACATTCACTTACCCCTGCGGATGCAGAATGACATCGCGCCGTTCAAAGGAGCAGAAGACTTTGAGGAACGCAAACTGAATGACGACTCCCGAGAAGGTATAGAGCAGCAGCGACCACTGCAGGTAGTTTGCGATCGTTTGTCGGATGCTAGCCGAAGCCTGGCGCTCCACTGGAGACCCGTGTCCGAAGAGCGGCAGCAGATGCAGATTCGCCGGGGGTAGAAGCGGGTGAGTTTGACACAGGGGCAATCGACATTAGTCAAGGCGACAGATCGCTGTGGACATGGGCCGAACAGAGCAAGCGATCGCGCTCCGGGTCGACGTTACCAACCTGAGAAACGGAACCGCTTCAGGAGAAGCAGGGGCACGAGCGACAGGAAGATCACAACCGAATACACATGGAGCCGCCAGTTGAAGAGCCGCTTGAAGAATTCTAAAGAAGCAAAAACGGAGTGGTGTCAGAACAGAAGGCGGGTGATCGGCGGGTTAGCAAGATGGGAGGCGTTTCAGACGGGATGCTTGCAGCTGGGCCAACATCACGAGAGCAGATGCATTGGGCGACCAGAGAAGCCGAGGCCATTCGAGCTCCAGAGATTCATGGACGTGATCTGACCTACGAGTCTAAAGATCTTGCTGGGCGCCACAGGAGCCGAAATCACTAATTGCAGGGCAACGACGGCGCCGAGGGCCAACGGCAGCGATCGGATGAGCCGCTGCGTCAGCTCGTGGCCCACGATCGATTTGTATGCCGACCTGGCAGTGTTCTGGGAGGCCACAGGACTCATTCCGGCGGCGCAGGACAGGTAGGCGAGAGAGATGGAAAGCTGGATCCCGGAGACAGAGATCCGGGCGTGCGGAATAGGCAGTGTCCAGAGAGGCCGGTGCGGATGCGTCCTGCTGCAGGGCCAAGGCCGTCGCTCGGTGGTTGGTGATCTGTTGGCCGGCTCGGTCTGGCCATTGGCTTTTTGCGTTTGTGACGCTTTTCATATCGCCCAAATATGGGCGGCTCGAGTGCATTTGGTCGCCGGCTCGATCCATCGCTCCCGGCATCGCAGCCGCTGCCATTCCGGTCCGAATCTCTCTGCTCAGGCGGTTTCCTGCCAGGACGTCGACCACAGCCCAAGCCAGACCAGACCGCCATCTGCCACGGGCAACGCAAGATGGACTCGCCCGTCGCCGACCTGGACTCTGGTAAGCAAGGCTTCGCAGGCACTCATCCGAGGAAGACGTGTTTCTGGCGGATACGCCCGCTGGTTTGGCCCATGTTTTCGCCGGGCGTCGCACTCGCCAGCACCACCGCCGACAACAAGCAGTCCGGAGCCTCACCGAGACCCCATTGCGTTCTCTGCAGCCTGGAGAGACTGGAATCCATATGATCAAAACAGGTTTGACGACATCACGGACGTTGTATATGCCGCCACCGATGCCATGCAAGTCGGGCAGCTCGTCCATCATGCCAACTTTACTCTGTTTGAGGCCATGTCAGCCATCGAGGTATGCTGTCTCCACCAGACCAGGACATCGCCGACATGGCTCAGAAGTCGCCACTTGCCCTCACTAGCAGCTAGTGTCCAATAACTCGCTCATCAATGGTTGCTCGGTCCGTGGGCAATGACAAGCTCCTGATCCACAACTCCTGTCTTTGTCGTTGCATCCGTCCCTGAATCCGCCTTTGCGGCTGGATCCTCGGCCTCACATGTCAGATCATGGATCCCAAGATGGACTCGGGCATGGATTTGCCGCCGTCGATCGGGGAGGTCAAGCTCACGCCAGACGAGATTGTCTTCCGCACCGTTCCTCCGTCCGAGGAGATCGGGATCATGGACGAGCTTTTGGCTCGGGAGGTCCGTGATCTTATTGTCCTCGCACTTGTCTACAGCAACGCCTTGTGATCCGTCGCCTATCTCAGAGTTAACCGAGTTTGCGTCTGGCACGCCAGATGTCATGGATAGCCGGCCATATGCTGTGTCAAACGGTCTACACTTGTGTGTTTGTGCATCGACCCCTGAGCATCCGGTCCCGCTCACTCAAGCCGTACGTCGTTTCGGTTTTGAAGACGATCCGCCTGATCAACACCGATATCATCGGCCGGTTTCTGTACGATGTAGGTCGATCAGGAATCGCTCGCTCGGGCGGTGTGGATGGATGCTGCCAAGAACTCAGGCTTACTCACCACCATCGGTTCTGCTCGGCCATCCATCTGGCGACCCAGGACGAAGACTTTTCCGCCGACACCGCGGGGTTTCCGTTATGCGAAGAAGTCTCGGCCGAGCGACTCCTCGAGTCGCTCAAACAAGCCGAGTATAGTCTCGAAACGATGCTGGAGTCGGCTAGATCAGCCAAGGACGCTAACGTTGGAACGATGGCTCCGCAAGGTTGGGACGGAGCGAGGCGATCAACCATCATGCAATCTTCCTTGACGGAGATGTCGTGGCGAAGCTCAGAGCTAGCCGCTGCGATTTATGAGCCGATAGTGGACGCGATACGGGCGCAGACGTTCTCGGTGGATAGGCGCAGGCATGTCTCAGGAAAGCAGGGCAAAGTTGATATACCCGTGGACCTATCTGGCGCTGACGAACCCCTGCCTCTGGTCCAACAGGCGAGCCTAGTGAGAAAGCACAGTCGGACTCAATGAAAGCATCAAGTCGACACAAATACACCGAGGCGATACTGCATCGGATACGCTTCCGCCAAGCATTCTACTCGTCTTTCCTGGCGATATCGGGCCAGCAGGACCGGGCGCTGATTGTTATCCATTTACAGCAGGCCTTGGCCGAGTTGGATATGATCGAAAGCAGTCAGCATCTTGCGGCAGACGTGGGCTGTAAGTTGTATTGTGCGAGACTCGTGAAGACATCGGATATCGCTGGAATCGCCATAGCGCATTTGCTAATGCTGCTTCGGGTCGGATGTGTTCGGACAGATGCATTCGATCCCCTGGTGACTCGGAAGCTGTTTTCTCACGGACTCCCACGAGCCTTGAAGGACATTTCCATCCATGATTTGATAGGCGCTTGCCGACTGATGCTGAGTCAGCTTGTTGAGGTGTTTCAGATACCATCCGACGCCAATGCCGAGATGCTTCAGGTACTTTGGCTGCCGTCCGTGACCCAGTGTTCGTGATGACCACCTACCCCAGTGACGACAATCCGCCAGTTTTCGAACACTGACTCTTTTCTCCAACTGCTTGCAGAGGTTCCTTCACTATCGAGCGCGGCGAGCGGACGTGCCCAACATCATTGTGCGATCCTTGACTCAGGTGAGCCCTTTGACGAAGGAGCCGCCAAAGGTGGTTCGTGGTATCCAGCAGCAGGCGGTATCGGTGTGTGTATGTCTGGTGATCGTGAAGAGAAGCCATTTAGGACGCTCCAGAGCCGGTGACAGTCTTGTGTTGCTCCACATGCTCTCGTCGCGCCTCGACCATGCTCTAACATCGTCCGCTGTGGAATCAGAAAGCTTTCTTTGCCGATCCCAGCCGCATCAACGGTGCTGAAGGATCCGAGTTGATCCGGGAGTGGATCACTTCCGAATACCCGACAGTGACGTACTTTTCGATCCGGCACGACGGACTCAACATCCTCATTGAAAACTTTCTTGCAGTCGCCAGCAAGGTAGAGAATGATGCAGCACACAGCGTCAACAGCGCAACATCGTCGGCGCGATTGTTCTGGCGCCTGAGCAGCAGAATCTGCTCTGTTGATCCAAGTTCATAACCATAGTGCTTTGCTTTGCAGCAACTATCCAATATCTTGTGCATGTACTCGTACAACTCTGCGAGACAACGCCGGCGCATGTACAAGATTGCCCTTCTTTGGGACCAGTTCCAGGCCGAGGTGCGCATGCGGGCGACTCTGTCGCGAGAGAGCTTTGGTTGGCTGGTCGTCGGTGATTCCAAACGCACAGGCGGACAGTTGCTTCACCAACAGCACGATCGAGCCAGCTACTGCGAATCAAGTCTGATTTGAACCGTGTCTTTGCAGGCGGAACAGCTTGACATGGAGCTGCAAAACTCGACCTTTTCGGTAAGTGGTGCAGCGGTGATTTGGCTCTGGCGATGATCGTTCCTGGTTCAAAGTAGCTGGAGCAAAGGGACTCGAGATGTCAGTGTGATGTGCAGTCCAGTCCAGTAGCGATCGTCATCGCCTCGTCGAGGGCGTGAGACAGTCGCATCTTGCTCTTTGTGTGGATGCATAGCCTGTCCTGAGCCCGATATTGTCTGTATTTCGCGCCACTCACCATAGCTACGGTCGCTATCCCTGCATTTTGTGTCGATGCTGTGGGCCTTTCTGGGATTTCCCGGAACACAGGCCGAATCCCTTGGAGATCTGTCGCCGTTTTTCCTGTCGTCGTGGGTGTACGCACAGAAACTCGAAATGTTGACGTGGACGATGGCGACGGGCTTTGAGCAAGAGATCTATCGCCCCTACGAGCTCGTGATGGTGTTCTGGTGAGTTGGCTTGGAAGCGAGGCAATGCGGCAGCAAGTCAGTGTGAATTGACTTTGTAGATGCAGGCTCCTAAATTAAGCTGGTGGCGGGGGGACATCTGTGTCGTTGGCTGGCAGGTACATGATCCATCTCTATGAATGTCAGAGCGAGCATAGCTCTCGCAGCGATGGTGTCACCCTTGAGCAGCAAGAGTTCCTTCGCTCCGAGCGACAAGCGACTCCTCTGCGAAGCTTTGATCAGCGACTTGTGCTTGGGAAGAAGCATCTGGTCACGGCGCTCTTCCAGGCAAGTGCATGAATGCAACAGCACGGGCATACTGCAGCCAGGTGTGGCCACGACCGCCAGCGTCTGTTGCTGACGGTCATTGGCGCTGCCACAGATCTCAACGCTGCTCCATCGACTCGGCAAATTCGCCAAGCCGGATCCCGCATTCTATCGAGAGGACATCCACTTCCAGAATCGATTCCGATTTTTCACGAGGCTGTCATCGCCAGCATACGGCGACTATTCCCAATACCTTACCAGCATTGAGGCGATATCGCGTTTGGTGAGCACAAATCTGATCTCGATGGGACCGGGACTCGAGCCGGGGTGCGAGCATATCTTGGTTTGCCCCGATTCCTCAGTTGTTGTTCGGGCTGTTGGACCTGGTTCCCGATGTCTCAGCCTTTGTCGACGGTCACTCGGGACAATTGCACGTACTGACAGGCTGCTGAACGGCCGGCTCCCTGCAGGATATCGAAGCTGTCCTTGAGCTGGGGCGGTTCAACTTGGACAAGGCCAAAGGCTACTTTGAGGGAGCATCCGATATCTACAAGTCGTCGAGTCGCTACTTCGTGCCTGCGATCCAGGGCGATGTCGAAAAGGTCAGCGGAGTGGGGGTTTGCAGCAGGCTTCCATCACTGTTTGAGGGGCAGGCGACTGACCCGCCAACGGCCTGCTTTCTGTCGCCGATGTATTCAGGACCTGGCCGCCCTGATTCAAGTGACCACGGCGAATCGAGCCTTGTTCGAATCAGACAAGATCGGAGCCATCGGGGGTTACGACTGGACCAGCCACCGAGTCTTTCCTGTGGCGCTCTACAAGCCCTCCTGAGAGAGAAGTCGTCGATCCAGACCTGGACGCCAGTCAGCGGTGGTGCCAGAATAGAACGAGTGCGACCAATGTCTGCACGGCTGCCCGATGCAACCAGAAGCGTGCGGGGCGTTGCGGAAGTTTGGTGGAAGAATCGGCGGTCCATTCCAAGTCCAGGTCCAGGCCCGTGCCCACCACCAGTGGACACGCTGATGCGATTGCCAATGCGATTGCCGATGCGACTGCGAATGCGATTGCCGACTTGCGCATCGGAGGGCGGTGGCGACAGCAGCGCTGCTCATGCACATGGCGGTGACGCCGATGCTGATGCCGTGCTGGTGCTGATGCCAAATCGTTGTTGTGAGGCGACGGACCCGTGACGCGCCTGCGTGGCGGTGGTGCTTCCTTGGCGCGGGTGGCGAGGCTTGTGGGACTGCAGCCACAGAGCAGCAGGCCACAGCCACAGGCGCTGTGCGACGGCGCGGCTTGTGTGACCTCGGATGCCAATCGCCGCACAGAACTCCTGCACAGAACTCGCCGGCTTGCCCCCCTGTCCTCGTCTGCTCGCAAAAGCCTGTCGGTCCTGCCCCCTTCCACCTCCGTCGCCCATCGCCTTCGTCTGCACGTCATCCTGGCTCCCGCATCTGCCCTGCTAAGCTTTGTTGAATGGTACAACCAGGGTAGGTCTCCTCGGCGTCGGCCTTTCTGACCGTGGCCCGGCTCGGTGCACCCACGCTCCCTCCTTCGCCCAAAGTCGACTGTGCCGTTGAGCTGCGGCATTCGAAGGCACTCTGTCTATTGTCATCGGTCTTGCTGCCCCATGAGATACTCGATCTGCCTTGGGATTGCGGCCCGTCTGGCATCTCGTTCAGCATTGCCAAGGTGCCCTTGCGTTCTGTTGCTCATCCGCACCGACCCTTGCTGCCGTCGCCGCTCTCTTTCCCGCTCGCTCGCCAACCGGCTTGGCTACGATTGCCCGATTCAGCTCCCAAAAGGTCCAGCTTACGGGTACGACAGTCGTTTTTCGCCTCGATTTCATCTGCACCGTGTGTCCAAGGGACCAACTCCTCTGTGCGGTCACATACAGCGCCATTACGGAGGTTTTGTTGCTACTGCGTGCGCTTGGACTTGGCTGCCCAGTCCCGAAGTCGATCCGGTGACTGAATGTCTCACCATTGTTTCCTATCTTTGTCGGGTTGCGGCCCTGGCCATCGAACTCCATCGGCAATTCGTGGCTGCCTCTCGGCTACATCCTCTTCTGCTGGATAGTCATCGCCGCCGATGGCTTGATCAAGCGGGATGTCTTTAGTAAGTCCAGCTCGATCTGGGACAGCGCCCTCGCTGGCTGGCTGACTCCGGAGCTCCACAGCCAGCCACGAGATACCCTCTCGGCTCACCCCGGAAAGCCTGACTTTGGTTTGCCTGTATTTCTAACCAATTGCATCGCTGCACCTCCCCCCCTCGCTCCTGCATTCGACAGAGCTCCCTGATGCCTTTGTCATTGTCACGTATGTGCTGTGGGCTCTCTGTTGCCTTGCGTTTCTGGCCTGTCGCTCTGTCGTCTTGTTCTGTTGCTCAGTTGAACCTTGGATTCGACACTGCCAGCCGGTCTGGCATGAGTCGTCGTCCGCCTGTATTCATGTCTCTGTTTCCATATCGGCATCCCCAACAGCGTCGATGGTGAACAGACCCACACCACTTCTGTCATGAAGAAGACTCTGAATCCGTACTGGAATGAGCGGTTTGAAGTGTAAGAAGTGCTGTCGGCTCCGCTCTCGATTCGGTGGCCCTTCCGCCAGCCCTGTCGACCCCGCTCGCTCAGGCAACTTTGCTCCCGCACCTAACTAACGCTTGTCCCGCTCCCAGTAATGTCACCAACACCAGCGTCATTACTGTCCAGGTGTTCGACCAGAGGAAATGGAAGAAGCAGACCAACCAGGGTTTTCTCGGCGTCGCCAACATCCAAGTCGGACAGATCTTTGATGTCGCTGCTGGTGGTGATGGTGAGTTTCTCGGGATCTCCTGTCCGTTATTGATCGATCGCGCCGACTGATTAATCTGCTTCCTGCTCCTGCCAGAAATGCTCACCCTGGAGCTCAAGAAAGGCAACTCGACCGAGAACGTCAGCGGCAAGCTGATTGTCAACCTCTCGACCTTCAACACCACCGTCAACCAAGAAAGCCCTGTCCGCCCCACACCTCCGGCTCTCCCCGCCAGCAGCACCATTTCGACCTCCAACCCGCCTCCGGTTAGCATGGCCCCGAACCAGTCCGGCGCTTCTGGCTTGAACATCCAGGCGGCCTCCCAGACCGTCCCACCCCCCGCACATCATCACCCAGCCACGCAGCCCCAACCTGTCATCCAACCCCAACATACCGTCCCTGCCCAGCACCCCGTCCACGCCCAACCCACGGTGCAGCCACCACCGATTATCCACGCTCAGCCAACGGCTCATCCCCAGCCTGTGCAGATGCCCACTCCCTCCCTGCCCATGCCGCAGCCCCAACCTGTCGCTCAGCTGCCGCCCATGCAAGCCCCCCAACCGCGACTTGCCGTCGTCGACAACTCCCCACTCCCCCCTGGATGGGAGCGACGACAAGACCAGCTTGGCAGAACCTACTATGTCGATCATAACAACCGTCTGACCACCTGGACACCTCCTGTGTTGTAAGTGCCCCACTCTTGTGCTTTTTCCCGCCTGTTAACTTGTTTGCGCATCCGCTCTTGCTGCGGCCATTTCTCTTCCGATTGTGCCTTTCATCGTTTGGTACACAGCCCTGAGCCAGACTGCCTGTTTCCATGCCTTCCGCCAGTGCCCCCCAGCCCCAGCCTCAGCCCCAGCTCCAGCTCCAGCCGCAGCCGCAGCTCCAGCAGCCACCGGCTGTCCGTCCCAACCAGCCTACGCCAACTAGCACAGGACCTTTGCCTTCTGGATGGGGTACGTCGTCGTGATGTCTTGACGCGGCTCTCTGTGGATGTTGTAGCTCACCTGGCTTTTATCACCGATGCTCCTCGTCATACGCCTCCTCCCTGCAGAACAACGCTTCACTCCTGATGGCCGAGCCTACTTTGTCGATCACAACAACCGAATCACCACTTGGGTCGATCCTCGCCGCACCGACCAGCCCAGTCGCCTCCCTGCACAAACCCCGACCACGCTTGCAGTTGCCCTGCAAGAGTCCATCGCCAGACTCGGCCCCCTGCCCGGCTCGTGGGAAATGCGCATGACCAACACCGGTCGAATCTATTTCCTGGATCACAATGCCAAGATTACCACCTGGGACGATCCTCGTCTTCCCTCCTCTGTGGACCAGTCGGTGCCGCAGTACAAGCGTGACTACCGTCGCAAGCTGGTCTACTTTAGAAGCCAGCCCGCCATGCGCCAAGTTGCGGGCCAGTGCCACATCACCATCCGCCGAGAGAGCATCTTTGAGGATTCGTACTCCGAAATCATGCGCTTCCCTGCTGCGGAGCTGAAGAAGAGATTGATGATCAAGTTCCACGGCGAAGACGGCCTCGACTACGGCGGCCTGTCGCGCGAGTACTTTTACCTGCTCTCCCACGAAATGTTCAACCCTAGCTACGGCCTCTTTGAGTACTCTGCCCACGACAACTACACCCTCCAGATCAACCGCAATTCCGGCATCAACCCCGAGCACCTGAACTACTTCAAGTTCATCGGACGCGTTGTCGGTCTGGCCATCTTCCACCAGCGTTTCCTCGACGCTTTCTTTGTGACCTCGGTCTACAAGATGATCCTTCAGAAGAAATGCTCCCTGAAGGATCTGGAGAGCATTGATCCCGAGCTCGGCAAGAGTCTGCAATGGTGTCTGTAAGTACTGATTGCGGTTGCAGCCGCAGGGTCATTCCATAGAGAGGCGGTGCCCTTACCTCGTTCTCGTCACTGCGTTACGCTCCATGATCCCCACGATTAATCCTCTGTCTCGCTTCCCGACTCAATCGTGCGCTGGCGCAATATAGCGACAACCCCATCGACGGCATCCTCGACTTTACCTTCTCGGTCGACTACGAGAACTTTGGTGTCGTCGAGACCTTCGAGTTCAAGCCCGATGGCCGCAACATCACCGTCACAGACGAAAACAAGTCCGAATACGTCGAGTGAGTGTTCCACAGCGCCACAGCGTCGGTCGCGGCCAATCCTGCCTTCTTGAGCTGTCATGCTATCCCGCTCTTGGCTGACGCACGCTCTCGGTTTTTGTCGACAGGCACATGGTCCAATACAAGACCTACCAATGTGTCGAGGAGCAGTGCAAGGCCTTCATGCAAGGCTTCCTCGAGTTGATTCCCCAGGAGCTGATTTCGGTCTTTGACGAACGCGAGCTTGAGCTCTGCATCGGCGGCATCAATGAGATCGATATCGATGACTGGAAGAAGAACACCGACTACCGCGGCTATCACGAAGGCGACGAGGTTATTCGCTGGTTCTGGAAGGTACCGCTCACCCACATATCCCCTTTGCCGTGCTGTGTGGAGCAGTGTCTCTCCTCTGCAAGCTGTAGAGTTGTACCTGGCCATATCCACGTTCATCGCTGACTTGGTGATTACTACTGTTCTTCAGTGCGTTGGCAACTACGACAACGAGAACCGCGCTCGACTGCTACAGTTCGTCACAGGTACCAGCCGTATCCCTGTCAACGGCTTCAAGGACCTCCAGGGCAGCGATGGTCCGCGAAGATTCACTATCGAAAAGACCGGCGATCCCAACGGCCTGCCAAAATCCCACACTTGCTTCAACCGCATTGATCTGCCTCCGTACAGATCCTACGATGGTAAGGGCGATTGCCGGCGAGAGTGTGCTCCTGTCTGTTTTGCGGAGAATGGTGCGCTTGGCTCAGCCGGAAGCTGAGATGCCTCTTTTCTGTGGCTCATGACCAACCGACTGGGCTCCTAACTATCCCGCTTCTATCACCCAGCTCTGAACGCCAAGCTCACGCTGGCTATTGAAGAGGGTGGACTCTTCAACCTCGAATAATCTCCTGCGACAAGCCTTGCCCCCCCCCCAGTGGTGACGGGTGTGCCGCATCCCACAGCCGCGACCACTGCTGTCCTTCTCGCTCTCTCCGGGTCTACTTACAAGCGAGGTCGTAGTCCACGCTACACGCCTGCGCTGCCGCCTTTCTATTCTCACAATCGCTACCCCTTGGGCCCTCCTCCGTCACCGATCGTTCATTCACTACTGGCCCTCGATTGGACACTCCATTGCTCGTTCTCGAGAGCCGCCGTTCCTGCCACTCCCTCCAAATGGCCCGGTATTTACATTTTGGGATTCGCTGGCTCAATTCACTGCTCCATCCATCACCAAACATGCGTGACGGCGCAGCTCAATTTGCGGCGTCCACCGCCTCCCACTTTGGTTTGCTATGTCCTCTCCATCTGTAGTTTCCGCTTCCTTTCCCCCCTCCTTTCTTGTGCTTGCACTTCCCTTTGCGCCCATCTTGCCCGTTCTCCTTCTCTCCTTGCTTGCGTTTGATCCCCCTCCCTCATTCATGTTTTGCTGAGCGGACAATCTACAGTCGTCTCGTTTGACCACAGCTCCTCTCCTTTATGCCGCTCTTTTGAATGATCTTGTCTTTCTTTCCCATCTATTTTGCTGTCGAGTCGCACTGAGCATTCATGAACAATCCACGACGCCTATCGGCCGGTCGTTTGGTTGACTGAATACACATAGCTTCCCGCTATCTTTACAACCTATCGTTCCGATTGTAGATGCCTCCAGGCTTGCAGAGTCAGCTCACCAAGCTGCTGTTTGGCCTATTGGAATGTGGCCACTGCAAAATGTCTCCATTCGACCTGTCCAAGCGTGTGGTTGTCAATCGCTGAACATGGCTGATCTCTTGTCCGCCGACCCTTCCCGGCGCTGGCGCTTCTTGCCATCGAGCCCACCCACTCCCGGCAAAGACAAAGCGCACCCCGAGTCGCCGCCAGATACTCACTGGTGACTGCTTCTCCAAATCGCCTTCCAGTCCTTCGCGGATGCAATCCATTGTGGCCTTGTTGCAGAGCTGGACGAGACCCGCACCTGGACAGGATGTCATGCGCACCGAGTCGGCCACAGAGCTCGTCAGCATAGTCGCCTCTCCTCACCAGCCGCACGCGACGGGGTCAAAGCTCGCATCGAATCCAACAATCCCTGTTGGTCTTGACGAACCTGTCAGTCCCTCTGTTGTTTTGGCCAGACGCTCAATATCGGTCTGGGACAGCGCGTTTGGTGTCCGGGCCAAGATGCCCTGCAGTATGGCGGCCCGGCTCTGCGGAGGTGGGAAGGTGAGTGGCAGAAAGCATGTGTGCAACTTTGAAGATCCCAGCTGCTGCTGCTCTCTGTTTGCTTTGTCGCTCTAGGGTGTCATTTTCAAGTACCAACGGCGTCTTCATAACCTACGGGTTGGCCATAGAACCCCAACCATGATTTTGCTCCTCCGCATGCGCTCATCTGCTCCCTACCTCGGGCGATGGCAGAGGAATATTGATGCGCTCATCGAGTCGCCCTCTTCGCAGGATGGCAGAATCCATCTTTTCTGGGCGGCTGCTCACTGAGCTCCTCCGTCCCATAGCCCGATCGCACATGGATGTGCAAAGAAGAAAGAACCATGAGTTTGCAACGGGCGAGACGGTGCAAAGCATCGACAGAGCAAAGTATCGACAGAGCAAGTATGTGAGCCTTTACCTGCAATCACCAGCACATTCTGTGCTGTCGTTGGAACAGCACTCCGGCGAACCCGGACGCCGTCGAGCTCTGTGCATCCCGTGAAAATAGGAGAGAATCAGAATTGCCCAAACCACGCTCTCTTGGTGTTTCAGTACCCCGAACAAAGCTCATTGCGCAGCGGCCGACCAACCTGTCAGAAAGCAAGTGATGATTCGGTCGTCGGTGCCTTCAGACGAGGATGAGCTGCCTCGAGCCTGCAACAGCACATCGGCCTGGGAGACAACGAGTCAGTGGCGGGAAGTCAGCGCCATCGCAGCCACGCAGAATGGAAACTGGCTCTGGAGAACATGTCCCCAGGGTCGAGCGATACCCTGCCGAGTTGTCGCTCGGACGCAGTCACTGCACCTGGTCGATGATGATGGCGCAGGGTTGGTCGCTGTGAGCTTTGGAAAACAGATCAGCAATGCTCTTCTCGGACTGGCCAACATTCTTGCTTCGTACTTGGGGGCCCTGGGGGCCGCAGTGGATTGGTCAGGCAGTTTAGCAGCAAGTCGGTTCTGCCAGAGCAATACAGTCGCAGCCAGACTATGCTTGAGTTTTCCAGCGCCATTCGCTTTGAGTCCGATGGCCTCACCTCGACGTAGATTGTGCTGAAGCCAAGCTCAGTTGCCAGAGCCATGGCAAGCGTCGTTTTACCCACACCTGATGGACCGCATATCAGGACACCGCGGGGCTTTGGCAGCCCGATTTCGGGACGTGCAAACGGCAGAACGACGCTTTTCTGAAAGAAAGTGGAAATGGCGGCCAATATTCAAGATGGTGCTTGCGTACCCCGGGCACCTCGGTGGTGTCGATGGTGAAGCACACTCACCCTGAGCGTTTCCAAGATCGAGTCTATTCCATACAGCCCTTGGAAGCCCTTGGCTTCTCCAGCGTGTTTGAGATGATGATGGCGGTAAATCGTGTTCTTCTCTCTTGCACTTCCTGAGTCACCGTCCACAGCCGCAGAAAGCTCGAAGAGTGAGTGCCATGTAGGTTGCGAGCGCCTGCTGCCCCCACCGAATCCATGAGCAACCCGATGGCATACGTCCATGGAGATCCGTGCTCGAAACCGGCTTGGATGCATGAGAAGCGAACTCTACTCATACCAAAGTCGATTTGCACATCGAAGCGCCCGCTGCGGGTTACGACGGTATCAAGGTCCATTGGCCGGTCCGTCATGGCTGGGAGTGAGCACAGAATGAGCATACTGCTGCACTAGGACAAGGTCGCATTGGCCGACAGGGTGGTATCCGCGCACTAGCGTATAAAGAGCGATCCGAGTCTAGACATGCCTGGACATGCTTAGACATGCTTAGACACGCTTAGACATGCTTAGACATGCTTAGACATGCTTGGTCATGCTTAGACATGCTTAGACATGCTTAGACATGCTTAGACATGCTTAGACATGCTTAGACATGCTTAGACATGCTTAGACATACCCAGAAATACCCCGCATGTTTCGGTGGTTGTTGGGCTAAAGAATGAAAGGATATACTCCAGAACCTTCTCGCGATCTACATCGTGGCATCCCGAGGGCCCAAACGCCACAAAGAGGAGATGGATGATTGTTGGTTAGCACACGTTCCTGCTCGTAGTGGGCTGGAGAGCGGGTCGCACTGGCAAGTAGTGTCCATTTCATTCGCTGGCTTGCGGAAGAGTGGCATGAGAGCCGCCCAAACGGGGTGAAAATACACCCATTCGTGTGTGAACGGAGTGCAATACGCCTGCTGCACCCGAAGGACTGGGAGAAGCGCCTCTGTACACTCGTAGACTTCTTTTGGATTGGAAAAGTACTTACCTCCGCCAGCATCTTGCTTCCTCAGGCGACCAGCAACTTGATCAAACTCCTCCAGGACAACGATTCTCTTGCCGCGGACCTGCGAAATCTCAAGCAGCAGGGGATCCAAATCGTATGCTGCAGATCGCCACAAGCAGAGTAAACACATCGATCATACGTATCAACAACAGTGATCATAGGTATCAATAGCAGCAATTGAAACAATCGCCACAGCATCGATCCTGCTACGATCGGTCTCAAGCCAACATCGATGACTCTCACCGTTCCGAAATGTGGCGCAATTCAAAACCTTGACTGGGACGGACGTATCTTCGTTGTGCCAGAGATGCCCGTGAGAAGGGCGGTGTGGTTTAGCCCATGGACTACTCGACCGATCCGCATCTGGACTGTGACAACGACACAGGGTTGCTGGGTCTTGCTGGTACCTGAAAGCCGGCGGTGCAGCTGCTGCCTCTCGCCCCAAGTCATATTGCCGACGACGATGCCACTCCAGCTCTTCTGCTTCCAGCCGTCGGGAGTCCATGAGAGCGACGATTGGATGTGATTCAGGAGCGTCTGCATGTTTGCTGCTGTCGGCGTCGTCGTTGATTCTGTCGTCGATACAACCGCTGGTGCCGCTGTAAGGCCCTCGGCGGGATGACCTCGACTCACACTCGGCGAGTCGGTTGGAGCGTCTACTGTCTTGATGTGCAGCGCCGAGGACGGTCCAACGGACCGGGGCCAAGTGCCCGCTCGGAGAGGGTCGTCGCTCCTCCCGACCGTCAGCACAAACTCCTCCGAGAACAGATGCACCACGATCGTATCGTCCAGCAACAGGGCTTTGCCAAGCAGCAATGTCTTGATGGTCTCGGACTGAGCGACAAGACGATCGATGGCTTGGGCGGGATAGCGGCGTTGATCGATGTTGAGAATCAAATTGCTGGCCAGAATAGCGGCGGCCTGCAAGCATCGAGAAAGTTTGAAAATGCCGCTGCTGGATCGTCGAGCTTACAAGTGTTCCTCCAAGCACGCCGAGAGCCACATCGATAGCAAACGTGCACAGCGAACCAAGCTGCGGCACCCACCTTGCGTATGGCCAAGCCAGTGCCATCTCCAGAGCCGAATACCGAGGCACAGGCGGTGCGCAGAGCGTCGGTAGGGTGATAGGTCCGCTTCTCGATCGCCCAGACGGCGAGGCCGTCGAGATCGGATGCTGGGCAGTATCGGATCCGTGCGTGGATGCAGTCGGCACCGCCGGCAACCGAGTTCACTGCGACGATTTCGCCAGGCGCATGGCGGGACACAGCCTCCCCAGAGATCTGCAGCTCGAGATCTGGTCCAGAGACGGGTGTCGGCGTTAGTCAAGATAGTACAGCATAGCAGCGGCATAGCAACGGCATAGCAACGGCATAGCATGGCATGGTTTGCATCTGAGACGGTCGCGTGGCTCGCTGCAAACGGCCTCGACGGATTGCTATTGTGCAGCCGCGCAATCGAGTGCAGACCTGTGCGCACGGCTGCATAGGACAGCGGATGCGAGAGCATGTCGTCAGAGTCTGGCTGGTGCGCTTGCGGGTGGAAATGCAGTCGAGATCTGGAATCAGGAGCGAGCCCGAACGTGCGACGAGGCAGCACCTTCTCGCCGAGAGGACACTCGGCGCTCGCACCATGAGACAGAAAAAGTTGGCCTTTTGCTCTGTCTCGATCCTTCACCTCCATCGCACCATCGTTCCATAGCACCATCGCACCGTCGCACCATCGCCGTTGCGTGTCCCCAGTCCACTTTGCACAGCGAATGTCTCAGTCTACACCGACCGGCCCTGCCGACCAGAGCAACTCCTCCTGGACCGACCTGAGCGATCCCGACGTCCAGCGCCGCAAGCGATCTGTCGATGCCAAGTTCGGTGTCGGGTTAGTTCCCAGTCCGCTCGCTCACCAAGCCGGCCAAAGTGCCTTTTCCACTCCCGCTCTCGTTGCGCTCAGCGATGCTGGGTTGCGCCAGAACTCGTTCGGCTGACTGACTGGTCTGCCCTCTGGCTTTCCGCTGCTGTTCTGCGGTGTGGATTGCGCATGATTGCATTCCCTTGAAATCCCCATCCGGCGCACTCGCTCAAGTGCTTGGGAGCGGGCCTCGAAGCAGGTCAACCCCCACCGATGCCATCTCCACATGCACGATGCGATTGTCTCGCTTCAGCGCATGGATTGGTCAAGCGACACCTTCCGGCTGTTCTACGAATGTCTGAGGAGCAAGCCAGGGTACGTACCCACCCAGTTTGAATTGCAGCAGTCCTCGATCTCCAGGCGACGATGGCGACTCATCCTAAAGCGCCGCTCAGAGATATACTGATCTGGGCTCGCTTGCCTGCTTCCCCATGGCTAGAGAGGAGCCGGCGAGGGCTCCCCCCGAGCGCCTGCCCTTCACCCAGCATTCGGAGCCAACCTTTTCCAAGCGAGACCCTTCCTCTTGAACCGCACCCAGCCGTCGCTGCCGACTCATCTCCGGCCAATATCCAATAAAAGGAAAAAAAGCCCCTTCTGCCCCGCTCGCCTTGGTCTTCAATGAAGGCTGGTCCATGGACTCAGGACAAGGCAAACTCGGATATGCAATGGCATCCATTCGCCAAGATGCCGCTGATCGTCCGTCAGCCAACCGAACGGCTGTGCTGATTCGACCACTTTCGCAAGCGGCGTTCAGCTTCCACTTTCGATTCTGAAAGACAGCGGCCTAGCGATAGCCCATACTAGGAGTGGCCAGCTGGCCTTGGATCTTGAGTATCAGCGCGCGCTTCATGAATTGCTCGCGGGAGAGGTTCCGAACGATCTGCACAGGCAAAGTCGGTAAGAAGCCAATGCCTGCGAGCCATGCCGTTCGCCGCCAGCCAAATCGCCGCGCTCGCTGAGGGATCGGACCAGTCGACCCCACACATACCCGCATGAAGTTTGCAAGATCGATTTTCTTGACGCTCAGGGCCTCTCGCAGTTGATAGATGGTATCGTCGATTGCCTGATCATCTGCCAGGGCCTCTAGCAGCCTGGATTGCAATGTCAGCGAGCTCGGGGTATCAGATTGCCGTCACGATCAAGGGACAGAAGACATGGACGACACGCTCTCCCCTGACCGTCGATTTGGTGGCGACAGTTTGTTCAACTCACTGGGCATGGACGGCGGACACGGGTGCCAGAATGTCGTCGACTCCTGGATCAGGCTTGTTGGACAGCTCCTGGTTGAACTGCTCGATTTCGGCAGATTTTTCCTTGAGGATTTGGATGTTCTTTTGGATTTGGTGCTAACAGTAGCCACAGGCATGACGCACAGTGGGAGTCATAGCCAGAATGTCAGTCCGCAGCCTTTGCTCTCACTGGGGTCTTGGTCATCCGTGCCTTGCGATACACATGTGCGCATACCTCTTCGCCCACCAGCCGATTGAATACATCGTCGATTCTGAACCGGCCCTCATTGAGTTGCTTGTTGGCAAGCAACAGCGACTCCATCTCCTGGCGCATCCGCTGCTGTGCTTGCGCTTGTCTGTCTCTGAGCTTGTCTCTGAGTGCATATCGAAGCTGCGACAGTTTGGCAGACTGGTCATCTGCATGGACGACGACAAGCTCGGATGGTTAGATTTGGAGCAGCACAAAGTAGTTGCGTGCACCGCCCTGATCGCAATAGCGCAGAGCAGTCGAGGCGAGGGCATCCGATATCGCTCTGTGGCTACCTGACGGCACGCTGGGGGCGGAGTAGTTCTGCGAGTCGATCAGCGACGGAGGTCGGGGCATCTGGATGAGAGGACCTGGCGGAGATGCACTCTGAGACCTGGGTAGTGCTGTGCTTGGTATCAGGGGTGAGGTATTGCGCTTGGCGAAATTGGGCGCTGGGAACGGAACTTGGCTCGCAGTGGCTTGAGGCGGCGAGCCAACGGTGCCTGCGGGATAGCTCGGCGGCGACGCAAATGAGGGAGAAGAGCCGAGCTTGGAGGCCGGCTGTCCTGCTGGAGTGCCCTTGCTGGGCGACGAGCTCGGGATCGGTACCGACTGAGACGGCTGCGGACTGAATGCTCTGGTGGCGGCAGGTGGGCTGAAGCCTGGGTTGGTGGGCTTGGAATACACGGGCGGCTCGGCTTTGAAGACATCCTGCATGGCTGCGATTAGCTGAAGCAAGTTGGACTTGGTTGTTTGAGAAGAGCAAAGCCGATGGGGCGGGAACAGAAGAGTGGCGATGGTGAGGTTGTATATCGGTGAGAACAGACACGCTGGATTCTGAGGACCACGAGCATGCCGGTGACGGAAGTGCAGCAGCAGAAGTTGGAGTGCATATGTGGCATATATATGACTCCCTGGGTCGGCCAAAGGCAACAGCAACGAATTCGGCCCCACAGCGTTTAGAGAGAGCGCATGAATCCTTCGGCTGCAGACGCAAGCTGCAGGAGCAAGCTGCAACCGACCGCTCACCTCGGCGCTGAGATGCCAGTTGGCTAGGACCGGATGGTAGAACTTGCCCTGGCTGTCGATGTGCCGCCCAGGCCGCAGCAGCATTTGTGCCGTCGGGACAACGAACGGGATCGGCGCCTGCATCGGATACGACAGCGGAATCCATATGGCGATTGGGATGTTGTAGGAGGACTCGCGGTAGGTTACTGGGATGGTGCCGTGCAAACAGAGCAGGACCAGAGTCTTCCCATCGTCCTGTCCTGATACCACCCACAGCAGCCCGGGCTTGTTAGTCCTCATCCATGTCGAGTGCCTCAGCAGCATTCCTCGCAATGCCCAGGCTGTCCAAGCCTGGTTGTCCGGGCGGCTTGCCCGGCGCTATCCATCCACGACCGCCCTGCGAGTCGGCAGCCGAAGACACCCACTGTACGAATCTGTCTTGGGCTTGAGTCCCGTAAAGCTGGAGAGAACACGATCGACATCGAAGAATGTGCGATCTTTGTTGTAGTACTGAATGGAGGAGCAGGCAGGATGATGGGAGGGGGGATTCATATCAAGAGCAAGGGCCAGTGTCAGGGCCGGCGTTAGCATCGTCGTGATGCTGAGCGAGCAATATCCCCGATGGCGATAGTTCGAGCGGCCCATCCAATGCTATCGGATTTATCGCTGTCGCGGAGCCGAGCCATGCCCAAGGACTGAATAGCGCTCAAATGTCTGCCGCGGGGGGTGAGGCCGCGAGTTGCAGCAGCACGATGGGTGAGCGAGGGAGTGAGTGAGCAATGCAGCGATTGCAAGCGCACCGGGTTCAGAATTTGGTTCAGCCACGTCCTCGTCAGGTCCATGGCGGTTTCGGGTCGGGTCGAGGCGAGGTGCCGAAGCAGGCAGCGACCAAATGCAGAAGAGGGAGGGCCGGGTCTGGGTCTCGCAGGAAACGATGAGGACCAACACTATGAAAAAATTTCTTGTTAATAAAATCAGCGAGAACGACAAAACGCGCTCTCGGAGCCACCTCGGTCGGCGAGAAGAGCAGTCTTTGGCGAGAGACCCCCGAGGGAAGGCGAGAAGCCTCTCGCCGTCACACACACACACTTTGCACAAGGGAGTCAAACACCTCCCATCAACCATCCCAAGAGGGATGGCAACCCCGAAGTGGACTGCCCAGAATATGGGCGACCCGGCATCCACTGTCGAAATACTCAAGGAACAGTGCGAGATACTTACAGTCTATCCAGAAATAAACGGGACAGTCACTTTCTGGCTTCTGAAGCCCGCTGACTGACTTGTAGGCCCAGCGGGCAGGCCATGGCATTGCACTCCTGACTTCGTTGGCAATCGAGTGGTTTTGGTTGGTTTGGGAAGCACAGTCTTGAATACACCCGGTCGATCTCCATGGGCGATGATCGACTGGCATACCGAGATCATGTTCCTTGAGGCATTGATGTCTCGATCCCACAGCGTATGGCAGCTTGCACAGCTCCGGACAAAGTGTGGTTTCTCGATATCAAGATGCTCGACCTTCTCGAGTCGCTTGGCATCCCGGCAGTGTGAGCACACCTGTGATGTGTTGAACTCGTTCACCGAGCACACATGGATCTTGGAGACGGATCGGTCTGGTGGGCGTCTCTGGTGGTGGTGGAACTGCTCAAAGTACTTGGCGAACCTGAGTCTCCTGGGACTGGATGCGTATCCCTTCCCCTGTTTCCAGGAGGCATTCCCAAAGGCAATCACGATGTCGGTCTCCCTTGGTGCCTGGTCGATGACTTGCTTGCACATCTCGTGGACGGTGCGCTGTCGCTTGCCGTAGAGATCGAGTCGCTTGAATCGCCGTCGCCGGGTCAGGCTGAAGTACAGCTGTTTGTCCAGCATGTCTCCAGTGAACACATGGTAGATGTATCGCAGGAAGGGATCCAACCCAGGGATCTTGGGACTTGGTGTGGTGCTCATCCATTCCTGCAGACCAAGGGCCTTGTGGGTGCTCTGGATCCACTTCATCACCTGGGTGGTGACTTTAGCTTGGGAGCCATCAGTGCGAGAAAATAGCGACGATGGCTGGTTCTGCCCTTGGGGAAGAAAGAATCTCCTCAAAACCAGCGCATTTTGGGCTGGCAGAGATACTGCACAGTGGCGTCCTTGATTCAGATCCAGAAACGCATCGCTCGCTCAATCAGTCGTGGGAAGACATCTTGTCAAGGTGAGTCTTGCCTGATAGCCAAATGATCATGTCATCTCGCTGACACACAGCCACGCTTGACTAGGTTTCCAACCAGAGAGATTCAGATGGTGGTGGTTCTTGTCCGCAATCGGAGTGGAGCTTCCAACAATGATACAATTGGTCATTCCTCCACACCAATCGCCCACCACCACCGTCAATCGGCTCAAGGTGATACCAAATGCCGTCAACCGACCATGGCTGGATTCCAACTTTTGCTGCATCTTGGTCTACAGCGTGTATTCATATTCGAGATGAGCAGCCGCGAGGGGGCCGGAAAAAAATTGATAGTGCAAGTTCGGGCGAGCCAGGGCGTCCAATCGGGCGGGCCTTGTCTTGGGCGAGGGGCCTCGTGATGGCTGGCGGCATGACCTGCCAACGAGGCAGATCGAGATGGCCAAGGATATATTTCTGGGCACTCCATGTGCAGTCCCCGGCAGCCGACCCAACATGCGCTCGTTACAACAGGTTCGCAGGCGACTGGGGCAGAATATTCGCCGAGTGCCGGCTACGAATCCGGGAACAGCTGCCCAAAGACGCTGCCGATCTCTTCGATCATGTCCGTTGTCATCATGGACCGACCCTTGCGTTGGAACGCCGCGGCCGAGCATTGTCTGGTCAGCACGCATGCGCCATAGCAGGCAGAGAGCTGTGGCGAGGCTTCCGATGCGCTGAGCCAGAGATCCGAGCCGAAACACAACAGAGTGGTTAGAGGAATCGTCGGCACCGACTTTGAAAGACACCCACATCAGATGATCCGATCATTGCGCAAGTACTCGGGCCTGTCGTCTGCACTGTTCGGCATACATACTTGTCGGCCGGGAAGTGAGTGCTCCAGCCAAGAAACGTCGCCAGACTGCCAGCGAGCAGATCGCCCTGCCCGCCGCACCGTCGGTTGCTTCCTCCAATGTCGCACTTGAGCACTATGCCAGCGGTACAGACATCAGCCATCGAAACAGCGATCGACACAGACATCAAAAGTGGGCACTCACGCAGACATGAAGGTAAACCTCCACGCAGACATGAAGGCTGGCCTCCACGCAGACATTCCAACAACTATCTTGGCGGCAGTCCGAATCTGCAAGCGTCTGTTACTCAAAGTTGCTAACCGTTCAATCCGTCCGTAATCACATCGACAGCGCCTTTCTGCACAATGGTCACGTTGCCGAGTGCTTTGCTGAGTTTTTGAGCCGCGGTTCCATCATGATCCACGTCAATGTCCTGCGAGCAAACCATGTGGGTTATCAGATCGCCACAACGGATCGCATCGCACGAGAATGAGGAATACTGTTTCTTCCAGCAAGGGCAGCGGCCGAGTACGACCATGCCCACCAGCCGACTCTGCGGACACTTGCAGCAACACATATGTTTGATTGCGCGCACTCACATGCTTCTCGCACAGACGCTTGAACTCATTTGCGTTGGGAGTCAGGACTGCTCGGCGGTACTGATGGATGACGGAGGGATCCTCCTGGACCAGGAAGAGTCCGTCCTGTGGGTATCCGCGAGACACATTGTCAAGTGGTTGCGCCGGGATAGCCGAGTGTGCTCGCATGCTCCGGTCCTGCCAGTTTGGCCTGAGCTGTCCTGGACCCACGCAAAAAAGTATCGATCTGGGCACTCACAGCGTCAATAATAAGAGGAAGATTGTGTCGTCGGGCCGCCAGGATGACTTCTTTTGCAGTGTCGAGCATTACACGATCGCGAGAGAGACCCGGGCCGACGACAAGTACATGCAGGCGGCCAAACAGGGCCGAGACCTTCGCGGCAGCCTGGGAGGCTTCACTGCCTGTCTCGATTGCTGAGGTTGACTGGGGCCTGGCCAGGCTGGTGAAATATCAGCTCGGATTCGGTGTGCACGCGCACATGGGGACATGACATTGCAGAACCCATGTTGTTTGCCGCAAGTCTGGGGGTTGTGAGCGGGCACGCATCGTTGCACTGATTGAGACGAACCTCTCCGTTGACAAGCAAGGATGCACGATCAGTTCCGGGGAGTAGGACTGGATCGTAATATCAAACAAAACGACGTGACTGTGAGACAGGGCACCGATTGAGCATCGAGATTGCCGGCGAGGCGTCTGAGGAGCGCCGGATCAGCGAGTCTGGGATTACCTTGATGACGATGCCTGCGCTCTTGGCACAAAAGACGTGGCACAGATCGGCGCCCTGTTCACAACGCTTGGTTATAATCGGTTCTTACTTCCGCCCGAGACGACAGCCTCGGCATCGGCCAGGGCTTGCTGTGGCCCTTGCGAGAGAGATGGCGGCGAGGCCCGTCATCCGAGCTGGAGACAATGGTCTGCTGTCGCCTGTACATACGGCCTTGAGAGCGGATATTCCAGCAAAATAAGGCGCTCCGGAGTATCTGATCAAACGAAGCGGGAGGCGTGAGACGGGAGAGCCCGGATGCACGGAGAGAGTGCGTGAAGACGAGATTCATGGAATGCCGTCGCTGCTGCTGCTGCTGCCGCTGCTGCTGCTGCTGCCGCTGCTGCTGCTGGATCAAGCCTCTCGACCATCCAAAGTGATCCGCGGAGCTATCATGGAGCCGCCATCGGGGCGCTTGAGCAGTCTCTTACTCTTCGCTTCCGCCGAGGATTCCAATCCGGCCTGTCAGAGCCAGCAGGGTGCGGGAGGGAGATGCGTGTGCGAGTGAGCGAACGAACGAGGGTGTCAGAGGACAAGCTTCAGCCGGTCGCCATCTGCGAGAGCATCGACGCACCGGCCTGGCCTTTGTATCGCTCGGGCTTCAGCGGCGGGATCAGGCGGCGGACGGCCGCTAACGGAGTCGACATGGTGTGCTGTGGACGAGCAGACAGCAGACAAGTCGTTCGACGGACCAGATGGAGGCCAAGCAGCAACCAGGATCGGTCGTTGGCTGGCTGGCTGGCTGGCTGGCTGGCCAAAGGAGACAAGGGTCCGCCCGTGGCAGTGCTCTGTGGCAGTGCTCTGTGGCGGTATGCTGTCGGATTTCGCAATCGCATCTCATCTCGTGCCACCTCCCGTTCCCGCCACCACCACCGCCGAAACAGCCCTTGGCGCCTGCCTGGATATCGCATCGCAGTGGCCTGGATCGCATCAGCCTGGATCGCATCAGCTTCCTGCCTATCGACATGCTCCTCAAGCGCGCTGCATCTTCGTCCCTCTATGCCATCGGCAAGCACTGCCGCCACATGCAGTCCTGGCGATCGGCCCTGGGCTCGCTCAACGGCCCCGTCGACGGCTTCACCGGCGCCGTCGGCAACACGCCTCTGATCCGCCTGAACCATCTCTCGAAGGAAACGGGATGCGACATTTACGGCAAGGCCGAGTTTATGAACCCCGGTAGGCCCACGTCGCTGCACGCTGCCGGGTTTCAGGGCACACGAGCTCGTGGCTCTGGGTCTGGCTCTGGGGTTGACCCTTCAGCACCGCGAGCGATTGGCCTTATGATCGCTCGCCATGCTTGCCGACGGACCCATCGATTTAGACGCTTGAGCGGGCGGGCTGCCAATGCGCCGAACTCACCTGATTGCCCACGGGCTTGCTTCTCTAGGTGGATCTGTCAAGGATCGCGCTGCTCTATTTGTCGTCAAGGACGCAGAGGAGCGAGGCCTGCTCCAACCCGGCGGCACTGTTGTCGAGGGCACTGCCGGCAATACCGGCATCGGTCTCGCCCATGTCTGTCGCTCTCGTGGATACAAATGCGTGATGTGAGTAGCGCAAGTCGTGATGGCATGCATCGGTCACAGGGAGCGACGTTAGGACGACAACAAGCCGAGCATCGGTCAGGAAGCTGCCGACCGACGATTGATCCGAGCTGGCGTATCGGTGGATGTTGGTCCCCCAAACCGGAGACATAGTCACTGGGACCTCGCAACCGAGCGGCACCGAGTCGGTCAGCAGCCACTCACCAGTGCGACTCCTTGACAATCTGTCGCTGTACTTCGTTGTGTCTCAGCTACATGCCCAACACCCAGAGCCAGGAGAAGATTGACCTGCTCAAGATGCTGGGAGCCGATGTTCGTGCCGTTCCCGCCGTGCCCTTCACCGACCCAGCCAACTACAACCACCAGGCCAAAGCCTTTGCCGAGACAACCGCGGGCGCGGTCTGGACCAACCAGTTCGACAATGTGAGTGGCATCTGTGTGCTCGACACTCCGATTCCATGGCACCAAAGGACCAACCAGCCATCGCGGCCCAGATCGTGGTGTTGTTGCGTATTGGAGTCAGCGACCGGAGGCCGGGAACTGGTTCGTTTGCTGAATTCCGTTGGTGAGCCTGCCTCTGATCGCGGATCCTTTTGTCGACTTTTCAGACTGCAAACCGCCGCGCCCATCTGGAAACCACCGGCCCCGAGATCTGGCGGCAGATGAACGGACACCTCGATGGCTTTGTGTGCGCCACTGGCACCGGCGGCACTCTTGCTGGCACCACTCGGTATCTCAAGACCATTTCCGACAACAAGGTCAAGTGCTTCCTCGCCGACCCTCCAGGCTCGGTTCTGTATGCTCTCAAGAAGACGGGCCAGCTGGAGCGAACAGGCGCCGGCTCCATCACCGAAGGCATTGGCCAGGGCCGAGTCACCGACAACCTCGCCCCCGACTTTGAGCTTCTGGACGACGCTGTGCACGTTCCCGACGAAGCCAGCATAGCGACAGTGTACCGATTGCTGGATGAGGAGGGCCTCTTTATCGGTGCCAGCTCGGCCTTGAACGTAGCCGCTGCCGCCCAAGTGGCCAAGATCCTGGGCCCGGGTCACCACATCGTCACGATTCTCTGCGACGGCGCCTACCGATACCAGTCCAGACTCTTCAGCCGATCGTGGCTGGAGAGCAAGGGACTGATCGATGCCATTCCGTCCAGCCTGCACAAGTACATCTCCCTGCAGTAGTCTACACACTACGGCGGACCGGGAGGGGCACTGTGCACTTGATGACGCGAGCGGGCATATGTGAATGGACACACTCCGTGATGCCATTCAAGACTACAGAGGCCATCTGGGCCTTCACGACGATCGGTCGAGCAACTCACGAATACACGAGGCTGATCTCCACCGGGCGATGGACTTGAGCGCAATAGCCCTGTCCTCGGTTGCGAGATTGGACTGTTCCAACTACAGAGTCTCGGTTGCAAGCGCGGGACCCATATTAGTGGGGGTAGCGGTGAAGCCGAGTGCTCATGGCGAGTGCTCATGGCGAGGGTCGCCGCGCGCAGATTGTTGGTCGTTTTGTTGCATCGCAGGACAACGACGCAGCAAAGTCAGAGCCGACGCATTCGATCTGAACGGTGTGGGTGGCGACTGTGAATAAGGATGGAGGTGTGCGTGTATTCAGGGTCGAGCGAACCAGCGGCCGTTGGCCATAGTGTGCGGGATATGCCTCCTTCTGTGGATGCAGGGCTCTGGCGTTCCTCAGCGGTGGGTCTTCTGCTCCAGCTTCCGTCCCATGTACACGACAACTGGTCAAAGGTAATGTAGAGTGAGATGGCGGCTGCACTGAGCAATAAGCCCGCGTGCAGGACGAGCTCCGTCGAGCAGACTACCGGGACGAGGCAGGGCGAATCGCTGCCCACGACAACCTACCGCCGATCGTGTGGACGACGGCAACAACGACCATGAACTTGACGTGCGTTCGGTTCAGCATCCCGACAACCGGTGAAAACAGACGAAGCAGCTGGCACGGAGCAGATAGAAGAAGAGGGGAGAGGCAGTCCGATCCAGAGTCGGTGCAGGCTGGCCCGGGCAGATGCGGGAGCAGAGGCAGGAGGAGGGGTGAGATGTCGGGCGCTGTGCTCGTCCGCAATCGCGGCTGGTGACGCTGTTGGCATGCAGACCCAGCCTCCGGTATATGAATTTCATTAGCAGGAGCACGCATTTTTTGTCCGCGACCCCAGCATCGCCCGATGCCAACACGAGCCCAGCAGCCATCGCCCGATCGACCGATCGCAGCCGCCCGCCCCGCCGACAGCAGCCATGTCTGAAATGCAGCTGGAGCAGACCAACGATGTGCGTCCCAACCAGGGCCCCAGCGAGGACGACAGCGACGACCAGCAGGACATCATGACCGAGAACCAGTTCGTGCTCGTCTGCATGGCAAGCGGGAACGCCAAGCTCGTCCAACTCAAACGAGACTCGTATGTCCATCGGCCTGCATCAACCTCCTGTCGGGGCTGCAAGGCACACAGGTGGCATCGCCCGTACACTCCTTCTCTCATCTCTGACATCCGCCTCTCGCTGGACACGCGCTCTATCTAGTAACGTGCAGCTGGGCAAGTTTGGGCAGTTCCAAGTCAACGATGTCATCGGCAAGCTCTTTGAGCTTCCCATGGAGATCTACAACAAAAATCAAGTCCGCCCGGCTACAAGCAAGGATTTGCTGGAGGCATTCGGTACGAGCGCGCTGCGCTGGGTCTTGGGGAGCGGCAGCTGCGGTCTGCGCTGACCTGCAAGCTTTATCGACGATCCCACCCATCCGAGCGATAGCAGATGTTCATCAAGCAGTATGAGCAGTCTGATCCGATGAGCCTGACATTCATGGATCGGTATATGTCTTTTCCGCTTTGGGCCTGCTTTGCTGCTGGCAGACGTCGAAGCCGATGAAGGCGCCAACAACCGCGAGATTTATGACGACACAAACTCGCAGAAGCTGTCCAAGGAGGAGATTGAGCAGCTGAAGGAGGAAGGCCTGAAGGGCAACGTGTCTGCCCAGGTGAGACCCAAGAGCCCGGCGGTTATGCCCAATCCTCAGTGCCAGCGAAGGGGAGTCGGTCGTCGTCCATCAGACTCAACCAACCTCCCTGCATCGTACACAGGACATGATCAAGAAGATCATCGACTCCAGCTCAACGTTTGACAAAAAGACCGAGTTCTCAAAGACCAAGTACATCAAGCGAAAGGAGAGAAAGTACGGATGGATGGATATCGACGCACCGATTCCCGCGGGGTCTTGATCCGGATTGGTCACTGATTCCCCGCTGCGCATAAAACCAGATTCTCCAAGATCATCCAGCTCCGAAAACCCACGATCCACGGACTGTGCGAGTTCTTCTTCAAGGAGAAGCCCGTTAAGATTCGGTACGTGGCAGTGTCTTGTGCATCTTGCGTGACTTTGCCAGTCTATTCGATCATCCAGGACAGAGGCTTATCAAGGTCTGGCATCTCCAAACAGCGACATTCGCGTCGACACGCTAGCGCAGCTGCTGGCATTCACGAACGTCCGCGCTGGCTCCAAAATGCTTGTGGTCGATGATACCTCGGGGTTGATCGTCTCGGCGCTGCTGGAGCGCATTGGAGGTTCGTGCCGATATTGATGTACCGGAAAATGCTTGATGTACCGGACGATACTTGATGTACCGGACGATGATTGATGTACCGGACGATGCTTGATGTACCGGACAATGCTTGATGGCGAGACGCAATATGGCGCGATAATTTGCTTCTTTGACCCACGCGGGTTTATATCTGTGGTCGGCCTGTCTTTGACGAAGCCCGCTCAGAAGCTGACTCCATACATCTGTTGATACGGATAGGGCACGGCCAGCTCTTTGGTCTGCATGAGTACGACAACCCCAACTATGACATTCTCCGATACATGAACTTTTCCGAGCGCGTCCGAGGCTGTCTGAAGACCCTGCCCTGGACAAGACTGGAAGCTGGAGAAGATGAACGTAGGTGTACCCCATCAGCCGGCGTTGGAGCATCACGACCACTCGGCCGCATCGCCTCTTGAACACTCGACCAGTCGCCGCTGCTGACTTGCTTTTTGTTGAAACTCGTCGCTCAAGTAACGGAGGGGCTGCCTCAGGTCGATACTCCCCGCGAAACATGGCAGCAGCGCAACACTCGGATCGAGGCCAAGCACGCCAAGTACCAGGGCTTGCGAGATACGCTCAATGCCGGAGAGTTTGATGGGTTGGTATCGCAGCGGCCCGGCGGTATCGTGGCCGCAGCTGTGTCGTCGTCATTGACAAGTTGTCGAAGCCTATCGCATGGTATCCACCGAGACTGACGTTGCCTTCACTGTGCTGCACTCCAGACTGGTTTTGGCCTCCCGCCACGACACTGTGTTGCTGTTAGAGAAGCTTGGGCACCTCGTTGCTGGCTCTAGACCAGTGGCTGTTTACTCCCCGTACAAGGAGGTGCGTTATTCAGCAACTTCATTCACGGCGGATACCGTCGCTTCTGGGCGAGCCGCTCCGTTGGTCATCTACAGGGAGCATCAACACCGGCTTACGGGACTAACGCGTACTGCTACTTTTCTGTTAGACACTGATGGAAGCCTTTATGTTCCTGCGCAATTCGCCCGACTACATTAATGCGCAACTGACCGAGAGCTGGCTGAGAGAATATCAGGTACGACGGACTGCTTTCGGCGCCTCCTTTGTTGCCCAAGATGTTCACATCTCTGTGCTCTGTTCGTCGCTGATGTTTGTCGCTGATGTTCGCGGCATCCGACTTCCCACTCCACAAACAGGTTCCCATCCAGAGCGGAGGCACGCACCCGTTCATGACAACCTCGGGCACTGGCGGCTTCCTGCTCACTGCCACCCGCATCATCAACAATCCCAACACCCATGCCGTCAACGCCAAGAATATTAGCGAAACCCACGAACGACCTGCCAAGAAACCCAGACGGCTGTAGCTGCTGCTTTGGCGGAAAGGGTGTCGGAAACTAGCCGACGCCCACTGCCGCACTTGTGCCTGCGATAAACCAATACATGCTCGAAGCTAATCGGCAAGGAGGGCCGTGTATTTGCTATGTCGCTTGGGCCAAGCGCCCTCAGGAGGTGCTCTGAGAAGTGCTTGATGATGACATGTGGAATATTCTGAGATTCCCTTCGTGCTGCTTGTTCCGATCGACTTCGTCTCCAGCATAGGCAAGGATGTATCGGTTGGGGTGCCATGCAACCGTGTTGGTGGCGGCTGTGCTGGCGATGGTATGGATCTGCTCTCCCGTTTCGACGTGGCACTGTGTCGGACAGCAGAGCCGAGTTTGTGAGAGGACAATGGGTTACTATGGGCATTGCTACTGCCTCGTTTCCAGTCGAGAACAGAGGCTCTCCATATCTCCCGTGGCAGGTCATTGCAAACACACACTGATGCAGGACCTGCGAACACTTACGATATCGATAATGTGATCCTCGGAGCCAAACGCAAGCAGCTCGCCATCGTGGCTGAAGCTGATGGTGCGCACTGGCCAGCTGAAGAGGAACACATACAGCGCCGACATGCAATTGGTGAGCCCAGACCGTTGCCATGAAGATCGTGCCAAACGCAACCACCAGAGGCACGAGCGTCGCTGAGCAGATACTCACTCCAGATTCGAGAATGTCCTCAGACAGGCGTACTCCTCCAGATCCCACAGGCTGACGATAGCGTCGGCGCTTCCGGTGGCGAAATATCTATGGACCGTCCACTGCGGGGTCAGTTTACTGTTTCGCAGTCGCATTGCCAGCGACATTTGGGTACCGAAAGCCCATCTGCGTTCCGAAACAAGCACTTTCGCGACCATTTGAGCAAGACGAGATGGAATGGATGGGAGCCGCCATTACCTTCCCCTTGGATCAAACTCGAGGCAGTAGCAGTTGGCGGTGTGGGCATTGACAGAGTGGACCAATTCGAAGGATGGGAAGCCCAGGACCTTGATTGTTCCTGGACGGGACAGTAGCGAGACAATAGCAAAGTCAACGGACCAGCAATGGAGACAGATCGGCGGGGTCGCTTGCTGGTACCTTGGCCCGTGGTAAGGAAAAACAGATCGTTGGCGTAATTCCAGCGGATCTCGTTGATCTGAGGAGTTGTGATGACAGCTATAGCGTCAGTGGTGTGGATTTCTGATGCCGCAGGCGCAAATGGGATGCAACAAAAGGGCCCGGATCTGGCGCAGGGGAATGTGAGGGGCTCATACGGCCGACTGCCAAAGACGAGCACCCCAGCCCGCACTACAACTGCCGCAGTGGCTCACCTCAATGTCGTTGTTCATCCTGTGCCATATGTACTCCTTCTTTGTCCCCGATCCTCCGCGAACATCGATGAACGAGACCACATCGTCCTACAAATCTCGCTCGGTTAGTCTTGCTCGTGGTTGCCTCGAGCATCGTCGGGTGGACGACGCATGCCTGCCCAAGCTCCGATCGATGGGACTGATGCCGGTCCCCTGTCCTGTTGCCGCCCTGCAGAGAGGCATGTCCTGAGTCCCACCTTGTTGCCGACGGCAATGTGTCGGCCGTCGGGGCTCCAGCAGATGTTGATGTTCTCGCCGACTGTCGGTATCACTAGCGCCGCCCGCGACGAGGCCACTGTCGAGGAGGATGCATGACGGCAGCAGAATAAAGCGAGCGATCAGGACAGTGAACATCGACAAAGTCTTGCGCTCGCGAGCTGAATAGGGAATGGGCCTCCTGGTGTCACTGGCGCCGGTGTCATTACATCGCATGTCCCAGATCCGAACAGTCTTGTCGACAGAGGCCGTGGCGAGTCGGTCGGCATTGGTTGGGTCCCAGCAGAGCTGGTCGACATCTCCAGTGTGTCCCTTCAGTTCAACAGAGTCCTTGCTTGGGTTCTGCAGCAATCATGGGGCATCATGAATCGTTGAGTCAGGAGTGTCATCATGCAGCTAGTTCAAGCGGAAGCCCGGACCCAGATCGCATTGCAAAGGGAAAGGTCAGCAAACGCACCAGGCGACTGTCCAGCGACCAGATGCGCACGGTCTTGTCGACGGAGCCTGAGGCCAGCTTGGTGCCGATGGAGTTCCAGGCTACCGAGTGCACTTTCTGCTGGTGCCCTCGTAGCTCCTTGGGAGGAGCCGCAATCGCGCATGCAGCCTTGTATCGGGCGACGGAGCTCATTGATTCTGTCGGATCGATCGGTGAGGTTGCGTATGGGCAAGTGATCGGTATCTGCAGGCTCGCGTCTTGGTCGAGTAAGGCTGGCTGGTCGGGTGGATGCAGGGGGGTTGTGCGCCTTGCTGTTGACCCACTTGGTCTGGCCCGGATGGAAGCTGTCGGCCGAGTGTGGATACTCTTGGTGCCGGGGGGGGGCGACTCGTTGGGGATGGTTGGATCGTCCTGGTCCAGATCGGCTCCTGGTCCTGCTGGTTGCCCAGCCATGAAGCCGCAAGCGCGCAAAGGCGCAAGGCAAGGAGAAAGACACGTGATCGATTAATTAAGCCTCTCACTTTTTTTGATGCTGTCGAGCACAAGATCGATCGATCGGCACCACGGACGAACGACAGCCTGGGTTTCTGCTCTGCCAAACGTCCACATCGGCTCTGGGTATGGCGCGCATGAGCAGCAGCAGGAATGCGTGCGGGGCATGCAGAGCATACAGAGCTGCAGCGCCGGTGCGGGCGTCGGCTGATGGGCCGGCAATGTCGACAACTAAGTCTCCCTATGCTTTGCTCGCCCTGAAGGTTATCGAGCCGCGGTCATTGCACATCCACAACTCGCAACATCGTCATGGCACCGAAGCGACCATCGTCTGCCTTGGTCGAGGCGAAAAAGCCTGCAGCTGCAACAAAGCCCAGATCCAAGGCCCCTGCGCCCCCTCCGAAGGAGTACACCTTTGACGTCGCCGAGGATGACAGCCACGATGAAGACGAAGACGAGGGCGAAGATGCTGAAGAAGACGACCAGGAGTACGATGAGATTCCCGAGATCAATGAGGACGACGACGACGACGACGACAATGATGAAGATGACGACGACGAGGAGGATGAGGATTATGAGGGCGCTGATGACGATGACGATGCTGAGGACGATGTCGAGGATGGCGATGAGGACGAGGATGATGACGATGAGCTCCAGAGCAGCGATGACGATGGTGATGACGATGAAAGCGGCACGCTCGTGGGCTCAGTTCGCAGCCGCGATTCAGCCAAACCAAGGTAGTGATCGAAAATATGGCCGTCTCTCTTGCAGCTCACAACTCGGAAGCCTATATTTTGATGGGGCGATGGCATGTGTCGACAGAGTCTAACGCCTCGCTTCATTTTGGATTCCGACCACATCGCCGTCAACGACAACCACAGGCGTCCCGAAATCGATCCAGTGTACAACTCTGATACATCAGACGAGGTGCGGACAGAATCGGCGGCCCGCTTTCCCATTTGTGAGCAGATGCTGACCCATCGATTGGACCGACCTTTCAGGAAACCGAGAACACCATCGGAAACGTGCCCATCGAGTGGTACGAGGACTATGACCACATCGGCTACGACATCCATGGTCAGAAAATTGCCCGTCCCCAGCAAGGCGACGAGCTTGATTCATTCTTGGCCAAGATGGACGACCCGAATCTCTGGTATGCGATCTCGTTCCGCCGCAACGCCAACTGCATTGTGACCGTCCCGTACTCGCAACATTTTCCAACACACGACTCTTATTTGCAACCCAGGCGGTCGGTATACGACAAAGTACAGCAGAAGAACATTGTTCTGTCGTCCAAGGAGCTCGAAATGATCAAGCGAATCCAGAACCGAACGTTTGCCGATAGTGAATACGACCCTTACGAGGTACTTGACTGTGTGCACGCTGCCTTTCCATACCGGGCCTAGATGCCGTCCGAGTTGACTGTGCAAACATTAATGAGCGCTGATCGTCACAAATTAACAACAATGATCACTGATCAACACCAATTAACACCGATTTACGCAAATTATTACCGATCAATCCTGCTCACTGGCAACCTGTGCCAACGCCATGCCGCTCATTGCAGCCAACTGTCGAGTGGTTCACCTCCAAAACCGAAATCCACCCGCTCTCCAGCGCGCCTGAACCCAAGCGGCGTTTCATTCCCTCCAAGTGGGAGGCCAAGCGGGTGCGTGCTTGCCTTGAGCTGCGACATATATGTTCGTCGCTATCCACTGCCTCTGTTTCCAGGGATCTAGCGCCTCCAGTCTAAATCTGTGGGTTTCTTGCAGATCATGAAAATCGTCCGCGCCATTAGAGAGGGTCGTGTTGTGGTCAAGAAGCCCGAAGTTGTGGAGCCCGCCTTCTTTGATATCTGGGCCGACAATGCCGAGCCCTCTACGCCGCACCCCATGCACATTCCGGCCCCGAAAGTCGCGCCACCACGTATGTCGTTCACGGGAAAACTGAGTAGCGCCAACTGCATCAGCATCATCATCAGCATCATGAGCGTTATCGAGCGTCGGCCATGTCGAATCTGATGAACCGGAGTGCGGTCGATCTTTCCACATCGGGGCTGACTGTTTCACTACACGGATGCTTTGCTTGGCCAGACCACATGGAGTCATATAACCCTCCAGCCGAGTATATCCCGACCCCCGAGGAAGTCAAGCAGTGGGAAGCACTCGACCGTGAAGACCGTCCGCAAAACTTTATCCCAAAGAAGTATGTCGTCTCTCGAGGCCAACCAGTCACAGACACGTGGATAACGATCAAATGCTCTCGAGCGACCCCGCTGATCAGTCCTCCCTCCTCGACATTCTATTAGGCACTCGAGTCTGCGCCAAGTCGCAGGATACCAGCGATTCATTCAGGAGCGCTTTGAGCGCTGTTTGGACCTCTACCTCTGCCCTCGTATGATCAAGCATAAGGTGGGCTCGACTACAGTCGTAATGTCGCTGCGGCTGCCTATGTGTGCCGGGCGCGGATTGCACTAATGTACTTGCTGTGGTCCCACAGATCAATATCGATCCCGAGTCGCTTATCCCCAAGCTCCCCAGTCCAAAGGACCTGCGACCCTTCCCCTCCTCGCTTGCTGTCGTCTACCGTGGTCACACAGACCGTGTCCGGAACTTTTCCTTCGATCCCACCGGCCAGTGGATCATTTCGGGTGCGTCTTGAGAAAGGAGCGACTTCATGCTGAGGCATAGCACCAGCTACTTGCCATCGCGGCGACGCTGGCCCTGTGGCTTATGCCACTTCTCTGACACTTCTCATGCGGATCAATCTCGTGCTGGAATGCATGTGTGTCTGCTCGCAGGTTCGGATGACCAGACCGCCAAGATTTGGGAAGTCTCGACTGGTCGGTGCATCAAAACATTCAAATTTGAAGGCTCGGTCTCGTGGGTTTCGTGGAACCCCAACCCGTCTGTCTCCATCGTTGCATTGGTTGAGTAAGTGTCTGTGGAACTTTGATGCAACCGCACACCGTCTGGAGCGAGTTAGCTGCACTACCGACGGGACTGCCTGGGGACATTCGAGGTCTTTTCCCATGCATCTCATTCCTACCACGGCTTAACCCGTGACTCGAGCCACCGCTGCATCGCTCCACGGCTACCCAACCTGGCATCATGCTTCCACGGCCAAATTGACTCTGATGCTAAATGGCCATTCGTATCGGCACATGCAGACGCAACAATGTCCATGTTTTCAATCCCGACATCACTGGCGCCGAGATCCGAGACGCAACCAACCGGCTGCTTGCTCAGGGTTGGGAGAAACACGATGGTTCGTTTCGGCTCGCTCGTCCCTGTGGCATAGCTCGCCCTATGTCGACGTTGCTAACTCGCCCCATGGCCTGGCAGACTCCAATCAAAAGCAAAGCGACTGGATCAAGGTGTCTCGGGGATTGGAAAGTGGATACATCAAAATCCAGCTCCAGAAGGTGGGTGTTTGCATCGCAATGATGGCCAATATACACGTGTGTTGCCGACGCTCATATACGCGACCGGTCTTGCAGTACGCCACAAGCGTCGTCTGGCACCGCAGAGGCGACTACTTTTCTACGGTCTGCCCCGATGGTAAGCATCGCATACTTCTTGCACTTTGCGGTGTTTCGTCGTCAGCGTCGTTCAAGAAAGCGCTGCTCACTACCAACCTTCTTCCTGAAGCTGCCCACACTGCTGTCTTGGTGCACCAGCTCTCGACGCACCAAACGCAGAGCCCCTTTAAGAAGTCCAAGGGACTTGTCCAGCGTGTGCTGTTCCACCCGAGCAAGCCTGTTCTCTTTGTCGCGGTAAGCTCGGAACTTTTGCGGGTCGCTCGCCAACGCCATTTGACACCTCGCTGACGGCCAACGACCACCGCATCCAGACCCAGCGAAACGTGCGAGTTTACGATCTGGTCAAGCAGGAGCTCTTCAAGAAGCTCCAGGCTGGCGTCAAATGGATCTCCAGCATGGACGTTCATCCTTCTGGTGAGCCCGAGCGCCTCCCGCGCTCTCCCGCTGCACGTCATGCTGTGCATTGGGTTGCCGCGCAAACCCAGTCACTGTCGACTAATGTTTACTGTGGATGACAGGCGATCATGTGCTTATCGGCAGCTACGACAAACGGCTGTGCTGGTTCGATATGGATCTGTCTGCCAAGCCTTACAAGACCTTGAGGTGCAGACCCCCTTCGCCCACGTCGTCGCATCGCAACTGGCCCACTGTATGCCATCATGTGATCTCACCGGAGTCTATTGTGGTATATCTCTTTCCGCAGATATCACAAGTTTGCCCTCCGTCACGTCACCTACCACAAGCGCTATCCGCTCTTTGCATCGTGTAGTGACGATGGCACCGTCAACGTCTTCCACGGCACTGTTTACAGCGATTTGATGATGAACCCGCTGATTGTGCCCCTGAAGACGCTCAAAGCGCACGACATCACCCAGAATCTCGGTACGCATCGACGCTGCAGCTTTGTCATTGCCAATGCAGCATCCCAAGCACAATGCAGGGGTTGTCGTGCTTCGACTATTGTCGTGCTTCGACTATTGTCGTGCCATCTCTAACACCCCTCGATCTACCTTCAGGTGTGCTGCACTGTGAGTTCCACCCATCGCAGCCCTGGATCCTGTCGTCGGGTGCCGATCACACCCTAAAGTTGTTTTCCTAGTTGCCGAGAGCCGGTTCATAGGCCAGGATTTGCAGTCGAGTCCAGGCCAGCTCGCCGCCCCAGCCAAACAGATGCAATATATTCAATGGATCACTCGCAGCTCCGCCATCGCAGCGACCGCACGCGGGCACACTGCCCACCACGTTAGAGCCGGGATACCAATGCAGACAGAGCATCGTTTGGTGTCTGAGTCTGGCATGTGAGCCGTTCTGGACTGGGCAATCCAGGACGGGCACGCCAAGCAACAGCCCGAAGCGGCGGAGAGAAAGCGGGCCATGTCCGGCCGCGCCAGCCCCCCTCCCTCATCGCCCCGCCATCCACTCCACCATCCCAGGCCGCATCCCGTTTCCGTCGGCCGGTCGACAGCGCATTTCTCTGCCTGGGCAACTGGCGACCTCTCCTGCAAGCCAAGCGGGCTCGCACCTCCCAGCAACTCATCCTCGAAGTTGCATATCGACGGAAACCGACATCCTCGCCCATAGCCACCCCGCATCGAGTCATTTTTCCTCCCGAGCTGCCGGTGAAATATCACCCACCCCCGAGCACAAGCAACATCATCTCTAGTGCCTGAGTCGCATCCAGCGTTCCAAGCACAAGCTGCCTACCCGTTCCGCGATGGTCAGATCCAAATTCAAAGATGAGCATCCCTTTGAGAAGCGCAAGGCCGAGGCCGATCGCATCCGTCTCAAATATCCAGACCGCATTCCGTGCATCGTCGAGAAGGCTGAGAAGAGCGATATTGCCTCGATCGACAAGAAGAAATATCTGTGAGCCTCTGTGTCTCTGTGGGGCCCACAGCATTGCGTCCACTCGTTCGTCCAAGAACGGGATGCGGCTCAGTTAGCGTCTGGGTGTTGGCGTCGCTCGGTCGGTGGCCCGTGCCTCGACCGCTCACCCTTCTCATTCTTCTCTCCTCCTTATGAATCGAATGGGCGGCCGATAATCTGCCAGCGTTCCAAACGACTTGACCGTCGGCCAGTTCGTCTATGTCATCCGAAAGAGAATCAATCTCGCGTGAGTGGACGAGGCATCCATTTCGGATGCTTTGGTTGGGCGCAACTTGCTGGCGCAGAGGTCGCTCCGTCGAAGCCAGGGCTTGGAAACCGGACGAGATAACAGCCGACTCACCGACTGCAATCCATACAGCCCGGAGAAGGCCATATTTGTCTTTGTCAACAACATCCTGCCGCCCTCGGCCTCGCTGCTGACACAGGTCTATCAGGAGCACAAGGATGAAGATGGATTTCTGTATGTTATAGAGCTGTGTCAAGCTCGCGGCATTTGTGTCGTGAGGGGACGTGCAATCCCGCATAAGAGTCCCAACCGAAGCAAGAAGCGATCATCTGGATGAGCACATTCTTAGCGGCATACTGGAAGAGCAGCAGGTGGCTGACTGAACACTGACTAAATAGCGTGCTGCCACCCACACAGGTACATTGTATACTCAAGCGAGAACACATTCGGCAATTAAGTACGTCATCAAGCCTTCAGTTCGCACGAAGTTGTAGCGATCGTCGCGACTCCATCTTAGCAATTCGAACCGATGTGATCGTGTGTGGGCGCTGTGCTAAATACAAATGCAGCTTTACAACGAGGATGTTCTTCGATAGGAACGAGAGAGCGGAACAGATCACCTCGATGTGAGATCTCATGTTGCCAGACGGACGACCGCTTGATCCTCTGGGGCTGTCGTTGAGTGTCCTTATTCATTCGGCGCTGATTGTATTGGATATGACGAACAAAGAATATTGGGGGTTGTCGGAGGCACACTTGCAAACATGGAGGGATATATGGAGGGATGCATGGAGGGATGCATGGAGGGGTGCATGGAGGGTGAAGGTGCTGCATGCCCAGGGATGACTGATCGTGCCCCGGTTGCTGCCTCTGGATCGATTGTGGTGCTGGGTCGGCTGTTTGCGGCTGTTTGTGGCTGTTCCGGAGAGTGCTCCGTCTCTCAGGCGGGATGCGGATGCTCTCGAACATAGGATGCCTGGTGATTGCAGGCGCCAGCAGCCAGAGCAAAGCAAACATTGCCGATCGGCCAACAGAGCCGATACCCTCAACTGCATTGCCCTCAACTGCATTGCCCTCAACTGCATTGCCCTCAAGCGCCTTGTCTCCAACAGCGACACCAACAGCGACACCCAACAGAGATACCCATGCCGAGGCGGCGCCTCCATTCCCGCTCGCCACCAAAGACATTGCCTCCATGATACCCCTTGCGGCCCGCGAACCAGCCCTGCGCAAACGCGGTATCTCGCAGCCGCGCCACACGAGAGTGCGGACGCCTGCGATTGGCCAGGATCCGGGCGCTGGTCGCGACGATACCGGCTCGGTCGTTCTGTTGCCGCGGCTTCCGCAGAACAATCGGCGCCTCGCTTCGAACACCAGATCGTCGGTATCTCTGGCCGCGTCTGGCTTGCGTGCAGCCATGATGCATCGCCGCTCCCCCCCCCCCAGTCAAGACGGATATAAAAGGTCCTTGGATGGCCGGTCGGCTTCTGTCAGCATCGTCCTCTCGACACTGCCGGGTTCTCCACCGTTCCAGCGCCTCTGCTCAAGCCATCCACACATTCTTTGGTCTCCTTTCTCGTCTCGCCAACAGCCATGTACATCAACAACACATATATCATGGATGCTGTCAATAGCACCATCACCAACACCACTGCCGCTGCTAATGCGACCTCCACCTCCACCGGCGACGACTGCAATTGGATATGTAGGTTTCCACAGCCGTGATGCATTCTCGCTCCGGTGGAGCGTCATTGGCGGCCGCTCGGCCATGTCAGTTGCGAGGGAAAGCATCCGGGTCTGACTTGTCTCTGGTATCCTCCTTTGTCTCCAGGCTGGTTGTTCCGCCCCTCGCTGGCCGCCACGTGGCTTGAGGCGGCAATCCCTCTGATCGTTTTCATTTTGGTGGTCCTTTACGTTTTTTGTGTTTATATATGCCTGTGTCTTCGCTCCGCCTGTAGTCGACGCAAGTACCGAAACTCATTCGAATCAACGAGAGTGGTTCAGATCTGAGCCGAGGGCGGTCCTGTCAGCGACAGAAAGCACCGGCTGTCGCGGCATTCAGCAGCTGTGCGGCGCTGGCCATGTATATTTGTGGTGCTCGTCTGTCGGCCCGCCCTGTTCTCGTTCGCCGTCCCCACTCTGTGGGACTGCTGCGTCCAAGTTTGATCACTTGTCTCCGGCCTCATCTCCCTTTACTTCTTCGCACACATATCTTGTGTTTCCATTGCACTAATACATACTCAGCTCTGCATCGATCTCGATCCCAATCTCATTCTGGAGGGTGTGGTGAAGTTGGTGTCTTCTTCGAGGGCCAGAGTGGGACTCGGTGGATCACACACACAGACTTCGTCGAGGCCAGCACCTCAGTCCAGTTGCACAACACATCCCAGACGGACCGAGCCTTGCCTCTCCGCCCAGAACCAGGGATATAAGGGCGGTGACGCTCTTCTTGCTTGCGGTAGAAGTGGATCAATCTCCACCGAACGCTGTCCTGGAAAATCTTTCCGAGGTGTAGTTGCTGCTGCCTCACGTAAATTGGAGGGAGCAAGTGTTATGGACAATCGTCGTGTCGCCATGTGCGGCAATCGGTATCGAAGGGGTCCCGATCGTCGATATGACCACACTGGGCTGCAGAAGGCAATCCCAGTGCGGTCTGGGAAGTTCGCTGTCCTGTCACGGTCAGTCTCAGCAAATCAATCGTGTTCACATCAGAAGACTCAGACAGGACTTGACCAAAGACCAATATCATGGAAGCGAAGGGAGCGGATCAATCGAGTGATCCGCCGTTTATAGATGAAACGAAAGGAAAAGAAAGAAAATGAAAGAAAAGACTCAACCAGAAAGGAAGAGGAACGAAACAACCTGATCAATCTATTGCTGAATCACGGTCCGCTGATCAGTTGCGGCCGGTGCGGGTGAAGATGCTGACTTCGGGATACTCGTCGTCCTTGAGCTCGCTCGACGGTTGGATGGGGTTGGGAAGGAAGCGAGCATGGTTCAAGTAGCTGAGACACTTCTTGGCGATCAGCACAGTCGAGGGACAGGGCGTTGGGTAGATCGAGCGGGTGTTGGCGTTGTCGATCTTGATGGACATGTCCATCATCATGTGCATGAGCGGGAACAGGGCATTTTGGTTGTACAAGGGGTTGGTGGAAAGGATGTACTTGAACTTCTCACGAGTTTCAAAGAGGACGGGCCAGCCAAAGGAATTGACAATCTCGAACAGCTTGGTCTCAGTGAGGACACTTTTGGAGTGAGTGAGTTAGTCAGTCGTCAGAGTCGGAATCTACCATCCACATCACACTCACACACACTCACACTCACACTCACACTCACACTCACACTCACACTCACACTCCACACATTCCTCACCTGTGCTCCGAGTCGCTGATGTGGAACACAAACTTGGACAGGGACTCCTCCGAGCCGGCAATCTCGGCGACCACCTTGGCGACGTGGTCAACGGGATCTATGGTCATCGTGACGGGAGTGGCATACGACGGAGCAACACCGAGTTGGATGCATCCCTTGACATATCGCCAGATGTAGTCATCAGAGTTGGACACTGGAGCGATGGAGGGTGTGAAGGTGTCAGTTGGTGTCAGTTGGTGGATGAGTGGCACTTGACAATCGAGACCATCGATTCATGGCCAGTTCATATGAGCGAATGAGACATCTCCATCACATCACACCACACCACACTCGACTCACCTCCGTACTGGCTGTCGCCGGCAATGACGGCTGGGCGAATGATCGTCACCGGCACTCCCCTCGATCGTGCCTTGTTGATCAGCTGTTCAGAGACCCATTTGGTCTGGCCATACCCGCCAGAGATGTTCCAGGCCGAATAGATCTTCTCCTTGAGAGGTTCGTTGGAACTCTTGGCCATCGGGATCGTACCGATGGTCGAGATGTAGTGCAGCGGCTTCAGGTGGTGGGTTGTGGCCAGTCTCAGGGCCGTCGCCGTGCTGAGGACGTTGGGTCCCTTGAGTCTGTCATAGTCGAACAGCCAGTGGACCTCGGCGCCGTTGTGGACAATCATGTCGGTCTCCTCGCTGATCTCCTTCCATCGCTCGTCCGAGAGTCCCCACTTGTCCTGTGACAGATCGCCGCACAGTCCGATGAATCGGTCGCGCACATCGTACCGCGGATCGCCAGCCATTCTCGATGCTATCACCAATTTGGAGGCATTGGTGAAAATCCGGGTGAATGCTAATTGTTCGTTCTGGGCTCGCACGAGGCAGTAGATCTTGGCACGGGGGAACTTGTGGGCCAGCTCAAAGACCAGGAAGGCACCGAGGAAGCCAGTGGCACCGGTCAGAACGATGCCACGAGGGTCATTGGGATAGACAAACGGAGGAAGACCCTCGGTCGTCACACTCGCATCGTCGAGTTTAATGGCCTCAGCGGCCAGATCAACAGTCGGGGGGATCATCGGTTTGTCGTCGAGTATGTCGACGACCAGCTGGGCGACATCGAGCGGCGTCATTCCGTTCGACAGCAGGATCAGCGGTGAGATCTCGACATCAAACTCGTCCTTGATGGCGAGGGCGAGGCGGCTGACACTCAGCGAGTCAAAACCGACACCGCCGATGTAGTAGTTGCGGCCGTCGAGGGAAACAATGTCGAGGATCTGGCTGCCGAGCGTGGAGATCTTGGCGGCAGTGCGAGACAGGGGAGTGTCCTCGATAATGAGAGGCGGATAGACAACCGACTTGCCAAAGTACTTGGCGTGCTCGGCGATGCGCCTGAGCTTCTTGAGGTCGCGCTTGTCCGAGTCGTTGAAGGGGAACTCGTGAAGTTCGAAGACGTTGTGGATCGGGAACTTAGCGACGTTCTCGAGGGTAAAAAAGTCCTCGACGACACGAATCATCTCGCTGGGAGCAGTATCGATGTCGGATCCCTTCTGAAGGACGTAAAGCATCACGATCTGCTTCTCGGAGGTTTGGACAAAGGTGCAATCGCTGATGGTTTTGGACATGTGCTGGAGAACCAACTCCTCGAGGGCGTTGAGGTCGACATAGACGCCGTTGACCTTGATCTTCTGGTCGAATCTGAAGAGGTTGGCGAGATGAATATCCTCACATGGAAGCGCTTACCACCCCATGACGCTATTACTGTCATCGACCTCACCTTCCAATCACAGTGAACTGGTTCTCGCCAGTCATTTCGACCCAGTCCATGGTGCAGACGCGGGGCGAGCCGTCTTCGAGGAAACCAAAGGGTGCGAGCTTGTTGTTGGGATCAGCGTTGACAAAGTTGGGATGGTTCTTCGCATGATGATCCTTGTCGACGGCAAAGACGAGTACGCCGCTCTTGGAGACCTTCTGGTCGACGATGTTTCCCTCCTCGTCAAAGAGGAGACAGCGCACTCCTGGCGTAACGAGTCTATACTCCAGATGCTTTGGAGGAGCCGGGACTCCTGCGGGAAGACGAAGGAGAGAGAAGGCGCCAACAAGTCCGGACTTGGAGCAGAGAGATTGATGGTCAACGCCAGCGGAAATGCTTGGCAATGCGACCAGGATTCAATTTACCTCGCTCGAGCCGTATCCCAGGTCGATGATTGCGTTGGGGAAGAGGGCCCTGGCTTTCTGCACGACACTCAGAGGGACTAGTTCCGAGCCCATCGAGACCTTCTTTGTCTTTGCCCACTGGACGTTTGGGTTCGAGGCAAGGGCGACTTTGATTGTCATTTTCATGAAGGACGGCGTCTGGTTGGGCAAGCACCGCGGGTTAGTTTATGCGCACACGGTATCGCATCGCTCTCATAACGATCGGTTTGCCTACCAGGAACAGGTACGAAAGATCATCATCCAGCATTCTGACGATCCTCTTGACTTTATCCACAGTGTTGGGAGTTGGCTCAGGAATCCAGAGCGATCCCTTCAGATTCAACACACAAAGAATAAGGCCTAGAGCTGAAAGGAAGGAGGGGGCCTTTGGAACCGAAGGAACTTTAGTGAACATACTAACGCCATATGCATGTGTTGGGTTGCTCGGCGCTAACCTGGCAGAGGCCGGCAGAGCACTGAGGGATGCCAAGTGATGGTCTGAGCACGGTCGCCACCATGTGGGAATACTTGAATCTGGAGTTGGGAGCAAGTCAGTCGCAGTCCGAAGCTGAGCCTCAAGGACTGCAGTAACGCAGCGATGCAATAACACAGCGGAGCCGGTCTATGCCACTTACGACTTGGGAATGCCTGGCGACAGGACATTTGACTATCAGTATCACATGTCGTAGGCACAGTTACTCGGTTCGCCATCGACACTTTGATGCTATATCGTGTTTGCTCACAGCTCGGTCACCAAGATTCATCACCCGATCACCCGCCCCGCTAGGATCACACACCTGTCGTTCCGGAGGTGCAGGCATATGCCACAGACCCATCAAGGGGCTCACAGACTTCGAGGGACGGAGGTGGAGCGTCGTCCAGCACTTGGAACGTGGTGGCATCGACCAACGTCACGCCTTCGGTGTGACCAGGCTTGGTATGGTGGTAGAGGATGAACTTGATTGCATGTCTGTCGGTCGGTGGTGGTGTGAGTGTCAGATCGGGATCGAGCATAGCTGGCTCGACTCAACCAGGAACTAGTCAGCCCGTCTTCACGATAGCAACCAGGGACATACCTCTCGCACAGGCCCTTGCGGGCTGCAGGAGGCAGGTTGAGGGCAAGGTTGAGTGTTTTCCTGGATGGAGGGAGGATCAAGAGACAGGTGAGACTCGACCCTTGACATGGCAGAGAACAAGGGCTGGGCATGTCCCTTGCTTGAATTGATGTTCACGACTCCACATCAAAACATCACACCGACAGCTGATACTCACTTGCCCAGCATCCACACAGCGAACGAGTAGATCACCCAGCTGGCTTCGGCCTCGCAGAAGGTGCCGATGACTTCATGGCCGTCGTCGTTCCAGCCAGGGAGAGCCTTGAGAGCCTGGGCGACCGAGTATGCCTGCTTCCACACACGGAGATAGCTGAGTCGCTCCGAGATGCCGCTCTCGTAGGTGTTGATCAGGAGGGCATCGGGCTCGTCGCGGGCAGTGTTAATGAGACACTCGACAGGATGGAGCCAGGGGCCAAAGGGATCGGTCGGAGGGGACTTTGGCTGCTGGGAGACAGGGGTCTGGGTCTGGGTTTGAATGTCAGCGGGTTGGGCGGCCGGGGGCTGAGGCTGAGGCTGCTCGGAGATAGGAGGCTGGGCTTGCGGGGTTTGGTGGGAGACAGAGGACCCCGTCTGCTCCGAGACAGTGGTGCGCTCGGAGACGCCTCGGTCCTTGGGCGGGGTCGCGAGCCCTCCAAAACAACAGGAGATGGCCCGGAGCATGGTGGAGAAGCGGGACGGGGGAGGTGGAGGTGTGCCGATACCAAAGGAAACCCGGAGGGCGACGAAGGAGCCGAAACGACAAAAGGAGACGAGGGGAAAGGGCCAAGCGACCCATTATACCCGCCGAGCGGCGCCTGTGCTTCGAGGGTGGGCAGGACTGAGCGGACTCGGTACTGCCCAGGACGAGTCCATTGGACACAACCTTGCTGCTCTGGCGCACCGAAGACATAACCCACTTTTATGGGGCCTGCACGCGCTCCGCTGTTCGCCCCATGGCGAGATGTGCTCGTGGCATCTGGAGGGCCGACGGCTGGTTCGACATGAAAACCTTGAACCGATCACACTTTTGAATGGAGCTGTCCAGGTCACGTTGAATGTGAAGACTGTGCTCCCAAACAAACAACTGGGGCGTAGAGGACCGCAATCGAGACCGTGGCATTTCGTTTTGACAGCAAGCAACTATGAATCGACAGGCTTTCCGCTGAGATGTCGACAACATGAACCCAGTCAGTCCTTCGTCACTGCGAACCAGCATCCTGTTCGTGCCGGGGATCATCCTTGCTTATACTCCAAGCGGATTGTTTGAACGAAGGATCCTGGAGTTGAGCAAATGGATTTGTCTAAGCCGGATCTGAGCCACGAGCTCGCCGGATCTGGTTCTGGGCGGAGAGGCAAGGCTCGGTCCGTCTGGGATGTGTTGTGCAACTGGACTGAGGTGCTGGCCTCGACGAAGTCTGTGTGTGTGATCCACCGAGTCCCACTCTGGCCCTCGAAGAAGACACCAACTTCACCACACCCTCCAGAATGAGATTGGGATCGAGATCGATGCAGAGCTGAGTATGTATTAGTGCAATGGAAACACAAGATATGTGTGCGAAGAAGTAAAGGGAGATGAGGCCGGAGACAAGTGATCAAACTTGGACGCAGCAGTCCCACAGAGTGGGGACGGCGAACGAGAACAGGGCGGGCCGACAGACGAGCACCACAAATATACATGGCCAGCGCCGCACAGCTGCTGAATGCCGCGACAGCCGGTGCTTTCTGTCGCTGACAGGACCGCCCTCGGCTCAGATCTGAACCACTCTCGTTGATTCGAATGAGTTTCGGTACTTGCGTCGACTACAGGCGGAGCGAAGACACAGGCATATATAAACACAAAAAACGTAAAGGACCACCAAAATGAAAACGATCAGAGGGATTGCCGCCTCAAGCCACGTGGCGGCCAGCGAGGGGCGGAACAACCAGCCTGGAGACAAAGGAGGATACCAGAGACAAGTCAGACCCGGATGCTTTCCCTCGCAACTGACATGGCCGAGCGGCCGCCAATGACGCTCCACCGGAGCGAGAATGCATCACGGCTGTGGAAACCTACATATCCAATTGCAGTCGTCGCCGGTGGAGGTGGAGGTCGCATTAGCAGCGGCAGTGGTGTTGGTGATGGTGCTATTGACAGCATCCATGATATATGTGTTGTTGATGTACATGGCTGTTGGCGAGACGAGAAAGGAGACCAAAGAATGTGTGGATGGCTTGAGCAGAGGCGCTGGAACGGTGGAGAACCCGGCAGTGTCGAGAGGACGATGCTGACAGAAGCCGACCGGCCATCCAAGGACCTTTTATATCCGTCTTGACTGGGGGGGGGGAGCGGCGATGCATCATGGCTGCACGCAAGCCAGACGCGGCCAGAGATACCGACGATCTGGTGTTCGAAGCGAGGCGCCGATTGTTCTGCGGAAGCCGCGGCAACAGAACGACCGAGCCGGTATCGTCGCGACCAGCGCCCGGATCCTGGCCAATCGCAGGCGTCCGCACTCTCGTGTGGCGCGGCTGCGAGATACCGCGTTTGCGCAGGGCTGGTTCGCGGGCCGCAAGGGGTATCATGGAGGCAATGTCTTTGGTGGCGAGCGGGAATGGAGGCGCCGCCTCGGCATGGGTATCTCTGTTGGGTGTCGCTGTTGGTGTCGCTGTTGGAGACAAGGCGCTTGAGGGCAATGCAGTTGAGGGCAATGCAGTTGAGGGCAATGCAGTTGAGGGTATCGGCTCTGTTGGCCGATCGGCAATGTTTGCTTTGCTCTGGCTGCTGGCGCCTGCAATCACCAGGCATCCTATGTTCGAGAGCATCCGCATCCCGCCTGAGAGACGGAGCACTCTCCGGAACAGCCACAAACAGCCGCAAACAGCCGACCCAGCACCACAATCGATCCAGAGGCAGCAACCGGGGCACGATCAGTCATCCCTGGGCATGCAGCACCTTCACCCTCCATGCACCCCTCCATGCACCCCTCCATCACCCAACCAACCGCCAGCAGCCAGCCATGGACTTTCCTCAGCGGCCCACCTTCCATCGACACGGCGGCAGTTGATATTAGGCAATGGACAGTGCCATCAGCGTCATCAGGAATCACAATATGGAGTATCCGTGTTCTTTATAGGACAGGTGCAAGATACAGGCAACCTCGCACGACAAAGGCCAAGTACAGCACGTGAAACAAAACAACAGCCTGAAGCAGCCCCGATCCTGTGAATGACATTGCTGACGGCCGGGAGCGCCAACTTCTATTCAGACACGCCAGTGCAACTTTTCAATTGAGACTCTTTCGGTTATCCTTCCATTAGTATGACCATTGTGCCACACTCTATACGTATATCATGCCTCCGTTCATGCCCTTGCCGACGATCAGCGCGCTGCTCAGCGAGATGCTGGGAGGCGGGGACAGTTGCACCAGATCGATCATGAACGGCGTCAGGACAATCGACGATACGAAATAGAACAGCACGCCAAAGGCAATGCTGATCGGCAGCGCAGGTAGCGCTCTTCGGTAAATCACCAGCAGGAAAATGGTGGTGTTGAGGCCAGTCAGGACAGCAACCATGCAGGCGATTGTCGTGATCCAGTCGAAGAGCGCTGGATGCATTTGAAACAGATTTGGGAGTTGCAATGAGTGAGTGCCATCAGCGAGTCGGCGCCCAGTGCTTGTCCCGTGGCGGTGGATACCACACTGCTCAGCATCGACAACATCCAAACAAATCGGGATTGTTCCCAAGTGCAGCAACTCACCTGCTCGGCCGATCAAGACGCTGTAAAAGACAAAATCGCCGAGACCGAGCTTGAGGCCGTTTTTCTCGTCGTCTTCCTCATCCTCGTCCTGATTCTCGGGCTCTGCGCCTTCCTCAACAACTACTTCGCCATGACGAGGAGCTTGGCTTGGGGCGGTGCCGGCCGGCAGCGGGGAAGTTCGTCTCTCCGATCGGTCAGTCACCGGCAGAGAGGTTAACTCGCGGTCCTCGTCATACTCCGAAAGTGAGAACTTGGATTTTGGCGACGGGTTGGCGAGGAACCTGGTGTCGTCGACCGAGTGCAGCACGGCTTGTGGCGGCTGGATTGGGGACGGCCGCCGCTCCGAAGGCAGTGTCTCGGGAGGACTGGCCATCATCCAAACCATAACTGAAGAACACAAGTCGCAGTCGAGCATTGTCAGTGGTCGGAAATCGCCGGCGACACGGGAATGCCTGCGTGCTCTCTGCCATAATCCCGCCGCTGGTCGATCAAGCCGCTCCGTCAACAGTAGAGGCGGCGTTTGCGCTGCGGCAGCAAGCCGTGATACCTGAATACAACAGAGCTGGAATCTCCCGATCTTCCTTCTTGGCCGTTTCTATCAGCACACGGAGCGGACCAAACGGGCACAGCACCGCAATCAAGTCTGGAGGGTTTGGATGGACAGATGCATGGAGGTCAGCGCGAGTTCGTTCAGGAGTCGTAGAATCCAGGACACCGATCCGACATACCCCAAATCGCAAGGAGCACAAGCAGGATCCAAGTAGTCAGAGCGGGAGTTTGCGGGGTTGTCAGCGAATAGGCCTGTGCGAATGATCGGCGTGAATATGGGTCAGGAGAGACCACACCGTCGGCGCAAACACGATTGGATTACAATCAAGGCATGCGGAGAGTTTCGTCGGGTCGATCTCCAGCCGATCGATCGATCAAGCCGCAATTGACAGGGCGGTTACTTGAAGCGTACCATCATGCTACTCATCAAGACCAAGTAGATTTGCTGCAGATACAGCGGCCCTTTCCAGAAGATCATGGCGAGGCCGGCAACGACCAGATTCCAGAGACAAAAGCCGAAAGTGATCCAGTCGAACGGCACATTGTAGACGATCAGCAAACTGCTTCCGAGCAAGTATCCAAAGAGTCCGAGGAGACCGAGGACAATGACTCCAAAGATTGCATATAGGATCTGGTGTGCATCGCCCGAGGTTGTTCCACAGATCAAGGTCACATTTGGACGAGGCAAGATGGGTTGTTAGCACAGCCGTGGCCCTGGAGCAAATATGCTTGTGCCCCACTATCCAGACGAGTATATCGCCCTCTATAGTCTCGGGCCGCTATCATATTGTAATGTGTCACATGGCGGCGTATGGGGCCTAATATATACCTTCATGCATCCGTACTTGAAGAGCGCCACAATCACGAAGGTGGCGCCGATGATCTGAGCGAGATAGATGCCGGCGGTCTTGAGGGAGGCCAAGACAGCTGCGCTCGTGTCCGACCCAGACGATCCCGTCAAGTTGTCAATGTACGATGAACTTGACGGAGCTTCGTTTCTGTAACAAGTAGCAGCGGATACCAGCTTGGTTTAGAGGACAGCTCGGACATCATCAGCCCGAGGGTGTTCGTGAGCATCAGCGCATGCATACCCGGTGTCGTAGTAGTCGTTGGAGACCCGTGTGATCTTGACCCAGAACATTGCCAGGATGATGCATGCCACAACAGGCTTGATGATCATGTAGACTTGGTTTGTATAAAATATCATATCCTCGATTTGTTCGGCCGCGGTGTTGGAGGTCATTGTTGGACTGGGAGGCTGGAGGCGGACGATGGGTTAGTTTAGAGGCCGGCCGAGTGAAGCACATGCTTCCCACACAGTCGACATCATCGCAACCTTGAACATGCCTGATTGTCGATATCTTGCGAGCTGGAGTTGTTCAGCACATCCATTGGTATATCTGGGAGATGAGAGGGCGCTCAAAAGGTCAGGCATACTATCAGCCGCTCAAGGTCGGGCTTACTATCGGCTGCTCAAGGCAGCGCATAGCAACATGTACGAACGGCGGCAGGCCCAATCACACGGACCACAAGCCCCGGGGTCATGCACACACCTCCGTGGCTGGGATGGCTGTTGATGACCTGGGCAATGTTGCCTCGCCCGACCACTTTCTTTCCGACTCTGCGTTCGAGCGATGTTACGCCATGAGTCGACGATTGCTGCGAGACCGACAGCTCCATCGAAACCCGGGCGCTCTCGGGATCCGGCGGGGGCTCGGTTTCAGACTGATTCTTTCGCTTGACGCCACGGCAGACGAGCTTGTGGGACTTCCAGTCGGCGGTCTGGCACTCGGAGGAGCAGTAGTGGTATCCCGGCCCACAAAGCGAGCACATGTAATGGGCATCCTTCAGACAAACGACGCACTTTGGCGGCAGGGCACTGAAGGATGTGCCGGAGGAGGACGAGCCCTCGCCGTTGCTTGGAGCAGGCGACGACATTTCGGCGTCGATGGAGATCGATCCAAGTAGAGAGGAGAGTGGAGCTTTCTGCTGTCGGTTTGGATCTGTCTTGATTCGCTTGCGCTTGCCCCGAGGCTGTCGTTGGCAGCGAGGGAGGCAATATCAACTGGAGGGGCTGCAAGGGGCGAGCGCCAGGCCAGAGGCGACGACAGGACCAGAAACGGATGCCGAGGAGCTGGCCGGTGGGAGCGCAGGGGGAGAGTGACGACGATGTGCTGCTGGGAGAGGCAAGCGCTCGGATCGAACGATGCTTGGACCTGCTTGGACCTGCGTAGGCCTGCTCGGGATGCTGCCCAGGATGCGGCCCGGGATGCTGCTGAAGCTGCTGGTGCTTGGGTGGTTGCGCTGGCTCGGTTTTTGGACGGGGAGAACGGCGGATCCAGCCCGAGCCGAAGACCAACAAGCGGCGGGTCGGCGGCCTCGCTCGCCCTCGCGGCCTCTCGGCGAGAGCAAACAGCCGTGCGCTCTGCAGTCTGTGTGCTCTCGCTGTGTGGTCTCGCCGTGTTTGCGCCAAACACACGGGCGGCGTGGTGGCGGTGGGGCGGCGCACTGCCACACCACAGCCGTCCCGGGTTAGTACCGGCTGGCGATTGCAGTTCTCACAGTCGTCGCTCTGGCCCAGAACACAGAGCTGTCTATGGCCAAGGGTGGTCGCAGGCGATGGTATTTATTCACTTTGCCGTCGCCGTCTACATCGGGCGCCGTCTGTTTCGGGCTCTGCACGGCCCGAAAGACATCGGTACTGGATGGCATCCGGCTCTGATGCCGCCACTCACAGATGCTCCTCACGACAAGATCACGGTCTTGAGCTCGACATACGCCTTCTCGACGTCGTCGTTGACGATCACGGCATCGACAGAGCCAGGCTTGAGGCCCCATTCGAGCTCCCGCTTGGCCGCATCGAGGCGCTTGGCCAGGCTCTCTTCGTTCTCGGTTCCGCGGCCCTTCAGTCGCTTCTCCAGCTCTTGGACGTTGGGCGGGGCAATGAACACAAACAGCGGCTTGCCGCTGAGCTTTTGTTCGCCCGAGGCAAGCTGGCGCTGCAGGATCAGCACACCCTGCATATCGATGTCCAGGATGACGTTCTTGCCGGACGCCAGCACGTCCTCGATTGCGCGGTACGAGGTGCCTGGTTGATTGATTGTGGCAGAGGAATTGCTGTCAGCGACTGCATCGGCCGCGACAAACCTGCATCGCTGTCGGCCTCCCTCCTGCTGTTCTTGAAGCGCTGCTGCCAATGCTGATCCGCAGCGAATGATTTTTCGCTGGGTCGGTCCAACAGGCGACCGGATTCTCTCAATATCCTGGTGCATATCCAGGCGCAGATGTGATGGACTGGTTCTCCAACCAGACTCCTGAGTGGAATCACCGAGGGCTTCGTCAACGCTCCCCCCCTCTGGCTCGCTTACCGTAGATGTTGCCAGAGAACTCGGCGCTCTCGATGAACTTGCCGACGCTAATCTCCTGGAGCATGACTTCGCGCTCGACAAAGTGATAGTCTTTGCCGTTAACCTCACCGGGTCGGGGCTTGCGGGTCGTATCTGTTAGCAAGACCAATAGTGGGTTGGGGGGCTGTTAGACCAGATGAAGACGATGCGATCGTCGATCCCACCTCGCACGCCGCGCCGGCGGACAGAGCAAACTCCTTTCAGCCAACACTCACGAGAGACGCTGAAGCCGAACTTGTCTGGATACTCGGCAAAGAGTCGTTTGAGCAGCGTTGACTTGCCCGTGCCCGAGGGGCCGCACATCACGATGGGGCGCGGAGTGAAAGCGGCCTGGGGAGCGTGTGCAAGCGTCGTCAGCTGTGATATCTCTGGCATGTTGCGCTCCGGCTCCCTCTGGTCGCCGTTGGCATTTAACGGCCTCGGATTGTGGCTGGCCTGGGCGAGAGGTGGCCGGCTTTCCAGAGAGTCTGGCTGCCGGCCTCGGGTTGTCGGCTGGGACGTACCTGTTCCTTTCCGGCGCACTGGCAGGGCTCCGTCGACATTGCTGGCGGTGCGAGTTGAATTGAAATCGGTGCCAAGATCGAGAGAGAGGGCAAGGGGCAGCACGGGTGAGATGCAGCCGATAGATCTGGTCAAGAAACGCGAAGGCAAGGCCCTCGACCAGCCACGCCGGATCGACGTTCTCGGATCGACGGCCTCGAGATATCGCCGGCCTGGACCACCGGCTGATGCAGCAGCGCAATCCAGATCGCCGGCGGGCCGAGCCTACCCAGTGCAAGTACTGCTCCTGCCGAGCCGAGCCCAAACAGCGCCGCATGAGGCAAGATCCGAGGAAGCACAGCGACTGCTGGGCTAGCTCTGGGCAACTGGCGCATCCAGGACCTGACATATTGATGGACCAGGCGATGTTTTGGGAGTCGGTTGAAGCGAAAGAACATGGCTGGGGGTGAGATGTGGGCTCCCGAGGTTTCTGAGAATGCTGCTGCCCAAGATATTCGTTTTTTCTTCTTATTTTTGGACCGAGCTCAACGCAAGAGGAGCTGCGATCACTTCCGGGCTCACTGACGATATCGGCAGCAATCATCCAGAAATGCGATCATCCAGAAATGCGATCAGCCAGCATATGTCTGGCGGCCTTTGATTGGCGTCCCGTGCTATAGCCCTCGGCTGCATCTGCGTTTGAGACTCGGTCTTCCCTCGGCAGTGCTCTTGATCCTCCAGCGGCCTCTCTTGATCCTCCAGCGGCCTCTCTTGATCCTCCAGCAATACTGCCTTACGCACTCAGCCGCTAAATACGGTGTCGAAACCAACATGGCCAGCATCTACCACAAACCTCTTGGCCCCAAGGAGATGACCGAGTGTCTTGCGGCGACACTTCCGCCTCACGTCGACCCGACCAAGTTCCAGCTGGCCTACGGACGCCGGGCTGTTCCCAAGCTGGTACGCAGGCCGCTTGGCCATCGGCAGGACAGGACAAGACAGAATAGGACAAGACAGGACAGGACAGGACAGGATTCCGTTCGGAGGGGAAGCCTCTTGAGCTCTCGACAGCGGCACTGACGGAGTTTTACGCTCCATTCCCCATGTTGCCCCTGCCAGATATCCGAGCTGATTGACGAGCAGCTTTTTGAGCGTCAGCGGGCGCTGGTCTTTTTATCGGATCTGTTCCATAATCCGGAAAACATAGCGTCGGCCCTGCATGAAGGTGAGCAAGCAGAGGCCATCCGATCGATACACATGCTGAGCCAAGGAGCAGTAATGGGATCTGGAGCAGTCCTGACCCGCGGCCGTCGCCTCGCTGCCCTGTGGCGCAAAATCTCACTTACCGACAATCCAGGGATTGTACCAAAGCTCACGAGGCTGCTGGGAGAGACGGATCTGACGGTCAAGCAAAAAGCGACCGAATGCATGAGGTCGCTATGCTGTATGTATGCAGGCGGGCTCCTCCGCACCAGCAAACACCATCGTGCAATTTCCGCAGCGGCGAGGTAGCATTCGCACCCTCAAACGATCGACGGTACTCGGGGTCGATACAGAGTCCGATATCCGTTTGCGGTCATAGCGGCATTGCAGAGTCCGTGCAGGACATGAGTGTTGGCACGCCGTATCGAGGTCGCTCACTTTCCCACGCCGTCATGCATCTCGCACATCCGAACCCGACCTCCGCTCCGGATGGGGATCTTGTTCCCGCGATTAGCGCATGCCATCGGCCGCAAGAGCGTCGTCGACAACGGAACCCTGGCAAAGTTGGCCAAGCTGGTGCGTCTCTCGATGTTGACGCCTGCTCCAGTCCATCCAGTGCCATCCCCGGCGGCTCTTGATTTGTCATGTGGCCAGGCTCGCTTCTAACGACGGCAAACTTTTATCTGCAACTGCAACTGCAACTGCAACTGCAACTGCAACTGCAACTGCAACTGCAACTGCAACTGCGCTGCCCATCCCCACCAGTTCGATGATGCCGATCCGCTTGTACGAAAGCAGACTCACGATATCTTTTGCCGGGTCACTTCTCAGCGCGAAGGTTGGTCGTCCGAGTCGAGACGACTCACAGACGTCGGCAGGTTTTGGTCGACAGGTTGCACGACGGCGACTGACGGCTCATCCAACCAATTCGCATAACGACACTGGTCTTGTCCAGGCAGCGACAGCTGCCTCTCTTTCTCGCTACTCCCGGTGCTGATCAAAAAAGTCCCAACGGAGCGCATGGATATCCAGGTCGTCATCCTCGAAACCCTCTACAACTGCATCCGGCACGGCTCGACCCCATGGGTTCCCCGCGATGCCGTCAACAACTCGGCCCTCGACATCTTCACAGACCTCATTCAAATCGAGCTCGTCACGGACGTCAAGGTGGCGGCATGTCGATGCATCATGGCGCTCTGGCAAGTATTTTTCTTCTGTCCATGGGGGGGGGCAACATGCATATTCGATGAGGTTTCAAGAAACAGCAACCAAACATCAGCGTTAGGATAGGGCCTTCTCCCTCCGAGTACCGCCCCCGATCTGACCGTCCGTGCCTTGCCAGCTTCCATGCCGAGGTCAAGAAGCTAGCCGTCAAGAACCCCCAGACGATTCCCCGACTGATGCGGCTTCTGAAAGACATCAAGCCCGAGGTGCGGGCCGCCTCCGCTGGGGCGATTATGAGGTGCGACCATCTGGAGCAAATCTGATGCGAGTCTAGCAAGCGCACAGATGGACTTGCATATGCTGAAACAGCAGCAACAATCGCCATTCTTCATTGCATCTCCCCCCCAGTATCACCATCGACTGCGATGCAAAGCGCATTCTGGTGCGAGAAAACGCTGTTCCGATCTTCCTGGAACTCATTCAAAACGACGAATCCCAGTCCGTACTTCTGAATGTGATCAAGGTGCGGGTTTATGCACGCAGAGATCCAGGCACTGCGGGCACTGCAGGCACAAAAGTGTGCCCGCTCAGATGGGAGAACGACGGGAGTGCAGCTTCCGGGCGGCCGTCGACTCAAAGCCCAATAGGGGTGACTCGGACTCACCGAGATATACATCCTGATTTGCTCTATCGGTTTGTTCCTCCCACCACCACGCCGCAGTGCATCACCAACTGCGCCGAGGACTACCGAGGACGGTTTCAGCTGCATTCCGCCATCAAGAAGGTGCGCCGCTTGATGGCAGTTTCTGTCAACTCACATATGCCGCTCACTGCTCGCAGTCTCGGTCAATAACTGTCTGTTTGTCCTCTTCCAACCACGTTTGGGCCAACACGACCCGATGTAGCTGGAGAATATCAAGGAAAGCTCGCCGAACCAGCAGCTGAGAGAAGTCGCCGAGAAAGCCATTCAAGTCATCACCTGGCGCCCTTGAGCTCCGCGGCGATTCTGGTCGCTGCTCACCACAGATGCGAGCCCTGAGTCTGTTGTGGGTCAGGGCGGTTCAGGCTGACAAAGTGGGCCGGTCGATGCTGCAGCGTACCCATATCCAAATATACAGATCAGTCATCGACGACGTCCCTCCCCGTATCGTGTCAAGGCCCTTGATCCCTGGCCTCCTTCACGCATCGCGCACTTCAAAAAGCAGCTTGCTCGCCATGTCCTCTTCCCTCTTGCCCAGTCACCTCCAGCTCCACCGTTTGCGGGCACTCATCCAGAAATGGACTTTCTCCGCGGTGCCTCGGCTAGTTTCCATCTTGGCAAGGGCGGTCGCCCTCTCTGGTTCCCAGCCTGGCCCAAGTCGCCTTCGGCCGCTTCCCGCGGTGCTCAGCGACACATCCCATCCGATCTTCCTTGGACACTGACCCTCCGAGAGCGTCAAAGCCGTGCCTTTGCCAACCATCAAATCTTCTCGCTGCTCCTCGTTCTTGCCAATCTGGTGTCGCTGCTGTTCGTCGTCGGCGACTACCGCGATGCCGCCAAGACCGATCTGTCCTCGGCATGCTGGTCGCTCGAGTCGGCAGCAACAACGGTCTCATCCTTCCCTCACTATGCTGCAGCATCCACAAATGAATTGGTGCTGTCGGCATCAAACGTGGCTCTCAATCGTACGGCAAGCCTCGTCCAGGGCGGCATCCAGCTGCTGCACAATGTGCTGCTGTATCTCATCCGCCGCTATCAGCGGCTGCTGCTCTGCACCATGGATACGGTGCTGCAGGCCACCGTCGGAACGCTCGCTCAGCATGCCGAGGAGATCCGGGCATTTCTGAACACCCAGATCCAGGCGGTCGATCAGGCCCTGCAGAGCGGACTGAGCCATGTCAACGCCGTTATCACCTCGACGGTCCCTGGCGATGTGCTGGCCCTCATCGTGCAGCCGCTCGGCGGCAGCATCCAGGATCCCATCCAGCTCTCGGGTGTGATCCAGGCCCTCAACTTCACCATCCCCGAGACACTCGTCCAGGCCCTCCAGAATCTGTCGTCCAGCATCCCGAGTCTCGACCAGATCGAAGCCACGATCGAGCAGAGTTTCTCGGCACCCTTTCAGACAATCGAGGATGCTGCCCGGGACAAAATCTCCCAGCTTGCAATCTCTCCGACCCTTCTGCCAGTCCCGCCGCTCGCCAGCCCGGTGTCCTTCTGCTCGGACCTGCTCGACCTCGGGTGGATCGATCAGGTTGCCGCCGACCTCCAGCTCTTGCTGCTGGTGGCTTGTGGGGTGGTGCTCTTCCTGTCGCTGGTGTCGATTGCTGCCGATGTAGTGATGGAGAGTCGCAAGTACCAGCAAGAGCAGCGCCAGATTGCTGCGTTCCACTCGCTGCTGCTCAACCTGGACGTCATTCCGGGCACCAGGTCCGAACTGGCATGCTCATGGTCGCTCAGCCAGTCTACCGAGCTGTACACCATCGCCAGCCATCCCCGACAATCTCGCTTCCTCTCGGCCCTCTTTGCTCGACTGGAAAGGCACTGTTCACTTTCCCAACCGGCTCGTGCTCGCATCAAGTGGCTTGTCCGCTATGCATCTCATTCTCCGTCCGGGTTGTGTTTTCTCACGGGTCTGCTCGGCGTCGCGAGTATCTCGTGCCAGCTCTGGTTGATCCAAGCACACCGCCCAGATCTCGTCCGCACTGTCGCTGCCGGGCTCAATCAGACGCTCTCATGGGTCGAGCCCAAGATTGTACAGGTGGCCAACGAGTCGCTCGGCAGCTATCTCTACGACATCGACACCCGCATCCAGCAGATCGAAAGCGAGATCAACGGCGATCTCTTTGGCTGGGTCGACAATACCCTGGCCATCCTCAACACCACCGTCGCCGGCTTTGCCACGGGATTCTCAGAGGCCCTCAGCGCTGCCTTTGCGCCTGTCCCTCCGCTCCGGGACGCCGTCATGCAGTTTACCGAGTGTCTGCTGCAGATCAACCTGACCGTGCAAGAGCTGAACCAACTCCAGACCGAGGCCCGCTCCCGGCTCCGGATCGATTTGCCGTTGGCCAGCAGCATGACCTGGGCCCTGAACGAAAGCTCGGTCCGCGACATGTTGCTGAGGATCCAAGGCTCCTCGCCCTCGCTCTCGCAGCTGTCGTCGTTATCGTCCTCGGACAGCCTCTCGGCTGGACTGGATCTCATCTTGGCAAAGTACTTTGATACGCTCTGCCGCCACCGATATGTCTTTGCGCTCCTGATGGCATTTGGAAGCCTGGTCTTTTGGCTTGCGTGTCTCCGGTTGCTGCTTTCGTGGGCCATTCCCGTCATTGCGATTCCAACGCCAAGTCCACGAGCCGATAGCCAAAGCGTCGTCGCTGGCCCGATGGCAAAGCTCAGTCTCGACCTCAGCGATGGCAGCCTCAAAGACAGCAATCGGGAGCGATATCACCAGGATCCGTTCACGCCCTCGCTCATATCTTTGGAGAGCTGTCCAGGATCACCGCACCCAGGGGACAGGACCCTCAACGATCCTGCTCCAGAAGCGCCATCGACGGAACAAACGATGGCTGCTACTCCAGGCAGAAATGGCCTCGAGCCGCAGCCAGTACCAAAGCTCCCAGTCCTGGAGTCGGAGTCGGAGTCGGAGTCGATGTCGGTGTCGATGCCGCCGCCACTTGTCCAGCGACTTCGAGCCCGCATCTCGTTCCGGGTTCCACTGCTCCGTTGTCCTCAGATTCGAACGCAGGCCCTTGGGTGGCTCGACAGAGTGCGTGATCGACGGCTCCATCCGTCCGACTCGCGATCGGAGTTGCGAGCATCGTGGCATTCAAGCATCATGTTGCTCGAGCAGCCGACACACAGCGAGCACCGTGACAGCGACCAGGATAGCCTCGGCAGTAGTGGCGAGACGGAGTGGCCATAGGCCATCCATTCTGGATGAGGGAGCGAGGGAGGGAAGGAGTTGTTTGGTCCCACAGTGACAGGGGCATTTCGTTTCAAACTGGGAGCTCAGCATACGATAAGAATAAAGAAGCGGAGGCAGGAATAACAACGATAACAAATGGAATAAAGGCGGACGAGGGGATTCAAGGAGCAAGGACCATATCCTATCGCGGATGGATCGGATGGACCGATGGCTCCGCGCGGACCATCAAGTATATGTACCGCGTAAAAGTATAGTCTACAGGGTTATCTACGAAGCTGGCGTGGAGAAGAGAGGGAAGAGCAAAGGAATATACAAGGTGCGCCTAAGAGTGACGACACGGAGCCGATGTCTCTGGCTCGGGCATTCAAGATAGACAGAGGAGAGGAGGGCTTGTAGCGTGGAGGATGGGGGAATCAAAGTCTACGGCTCGAACACAACGACACTGGCTCGTAGGAACAGACGGGTGGGGATCGCGGGGGGGGGGCGCTGAGCCGCGGATTGCAAGCGTTGGCCGTGCTCAGCTGTTCCACCAGTAGTCGTCGTCGCTGCTCCACTCGTTCTCGACGGGGCTGGGAGGGGCAGGCTTGTGGTCCCACTGCACCGACTCGATCGAGCTGATGCTGTTGCAGTTGGCCGATGATCCCGGTCTGTGCGATGCCGCAACAGGGCGAGCCCCAGCTTCGAGTTCAAGGTCTGCCGGCTTGCCACTCGTGGCGCCGGTGCGCGCAGAGAGCTGTTTGCCAAGCCTTCGCAGTAGTTGCTCGATCCGGAGCCGGTTGCTGATCATGTGGAGCTTGGGCCAGCACCGCACCTGGCCGTGGCTGAGATACCGCACCATGCGGTCGCGGGTCGGGTCTGTGAGAATGCACAGGTAGTCTTCGAGAATGGGCTGGGGCAGAATGGTGACCGAGCCCTCGAAGCGCTGGAGCCAGAGACGCGACAGGTCCGTGCCCATCACTTTGGGCAGCAGATCGAGGTCTCGGAGGAGCCGGAGCCACTTGAGCAGGTCGAGTTTGAAGTGCTGGATGATCGCCGAGGCGAGGAAGCCGCCGCGCCTGCGGGACGACAAGAAGGTCGAGGTGGCTTCAGTCTTGTGGAGACCAAAGGCATTCCATGCGCCTCCTCTCGCTTGCCAGAGTCTGGAAACCAGCCCAGCAGCAGCATATGCACCCACTGCAAACTTACCATCCGCGGCCGTGACGGTGAGCGACTGGATAGCCCGGGCTTCCGCGGCCCTGGTAAAAGAACACAAGGATATGCGGATTGCACTGGCTCACGATCGTGTAGTTGATGTTGAAGAGCTGGTGCAGCTCGCGCTCGGGGATATCCGTCCGGAGCGAGCCATCGCGCCATCGCTTGCCGACACCGCGGAAGGGCACATAGTCACCCTTCTCGGTCTTGCTGATGAGCTCCACGGCGTCGAGGATGCCCGGGATGGCGGCCGAGGCGAGGATAGCCGAGGAAATGATAACATCGGGCGCCTGCAAGCCCAGGGCTATAGGGTTAGAACCAGCCTCCCGAAGAAAACAGAGCGGTCCGGCAGTGGGCACTCGCTCAGCAGTATACTTCAACGCAGCCGCGGTTTCTGTGGATATCGGTCAGACACAGGGGGCGGATTTGCGAACGGCAGGCGGCGGCGCTGTCCCTGACTCATACCGTAATGTAGTTGAGGAGCTTCGGGGGCGAGTGCGGCTCTGTGGCAACGACGGCAATGTTGAGCACGCGGCCGGTGCGCTTGTAGGCCTCCATGAAGGTCAAGTGGCCCTTGGTGATCCACTTGACCTTCTCATACCAATCCTGCGAGTTGAACATCGAGCCGGTTGTCCAGAAGCGCTTGGTGCGGGTCCACACCGAGTCGGAGCACGGCCTCAAGTGTCTGTAGAGGTCCGGGGTGAAGATTTCGCTGCGGAGCTCGTCGTCGGTCCGGGTGCAGATCATGGCGGCTGATGCAAGTGAAATAGCGTGAGAACAACAGCTTTGCGACCCACAAGTCGGCCAAGCGACCGGGCTGGGCACACATGATATCCAGGGCGGTCCTTGAGGTGCGGGAGTGTTTACGCCAGCCCAGGACTGTCTCTGTGTATGTGAATGAGATGCTCACCAACCAAGCTACCGGCACTAGTGCCGGTGATGACGTTCGGCAGCAGGTCGTGTTCGTGCAATGCCTTCACAACGCCTATGGGTGATGAGCGGCGGGGTTAGCGGGCAAGCGATTCCAGACACAGACCCAATCGCCATCGTGCAGACAACGGTCGGCCAAGGCTGGCCGCGAGAACATACCCACTGTCCATTGACAAACGCAGCCGCCGTTCGACCGGGTGGCAAGAAACACGATGCAGGAGTGTTAGAGGCTACGTTTCTGCGTGATAGCTTTGTCGCATCCAGAAACGTACAGGAGACACATGATGATGTATGCACGCATGCATACACAAGGCAGATGATGGGGGCAGAGTGGTTTGGGTTGCAGACGGCTCGAGAGCCGTCCAGGGAGATCGCCAAATACTGTGTTGGCCTCGCATCCAGAGCCGCGGCTCGTTTGTGCTCCAGCCTTGTTGGAGAAAGGGGTAACGGAGCGAGGCCCGAATCACTCCCGTGAGCCACGGCCACTCCAGCGACTTACATGAGTAGTATCCGAATGTAGCGCCTCCGCTGAGACAGAATGCCGTCTTGCCGTATGTGCGCGAGGCCGACTTGAGAAAGATGCGCTTCTCCTCCAGCGACAGATCCTCGGACTGGACAACAAACTCGAGCGAGGCAAGCACCTCGGCGACAAACTCTTCGACCAGGCTCTTGGTGCCCAGGTAGGTCCGCGAGTACAGCGTCTCGTTTTCGATGCCACCGATGTTGGCTTTGCAGGCCGAGTGCTGCAGGATCTTGCGCATCTCCCTGGCGGCACCGGGAGTGCCAGAGAGTCGGTGCCTACAGAAGAAACAGTCGGTGCGATGTGGGCGAGATGAGGGTCGATCCAGAGGGTTGCCAGAGTCGGGTCTGGGTATCATATGCTGCAATGCTCATGCAGGCTTACCGGCGGAGCCTTCGGGAGATCTTATCGATGAGCTTGTAGTCATAGTAGGAGCACTCCTTCTCCTTCTTCCACTCGTCGTTGCCCATGATATCGTCGAGCTCCTTGGCGGCCGACTCCCACTCTTCAAACTGGCGAGCCTTGTGGATACGGTCGTGGACCTGGCGTTTGTGCCCGCGCCAAGTGACGAGATACTCCCACCATGACACCCAGTTGCGGACGGTGATGTAGAAGATCAGGTCGATCAGGACGGCGCAAAAGACAAAGAGCTGTGCAATGGCGTGCGGGTCGGTGTGGAGTGGAGGGTGAGTTGGTTGGTGCAAAATGGTCAGTGGCGACGGAAGCAGGAAGCCAGTCGAGTCGATGGGATGCGGATGGAGATCGATACGGAATAGCTGACGGCTCATTCAGGGAGCCAGCTTCCAGCCGCGGGTGGCGCTGGGACGCATTGCCGTGGTGGAGAGGATGCCGAGAGCCACCAAAGAACCAGCACAGAGATATGCACAGGGCTTGGACAAAACGACATGCTTACCAGCAACGGCCACCGAGTGAGGGCGTGCATAATGCTTCTCCGGGCGCTCAGGCTGCCCTTCATGACCTTGGCCTTGAGCTGCGACGAGCTGAATCGCTTGTAGCTGGCGGGCTCGGGTTGGTCCTCGGCATAAGTATGCATGGGATCGCCATCGGCGTCGACGACAGGCGTGGTCTCCGCGGAATCCGTAGCAGAGTGCCGGTGCTTGAGCAGCGGAAAGTCGAGGTCGTCCTCGTCGGTGGAGGAGCCGGATCCGTCAGACAGTACGGCCGAATCGCCGAGCGAGGGAAAGTGGGCCTTGGCGCTCGGTAGGGCAGACGAGCGAGCGGGACGACGGGGCGATGAGACGGAGACGGGTTTGCGGGGACGATGCCGCTTCGATGCGGCAGTCGAAGGCATGCTGATGCGAGTGGGTGGCGTGAACTGGGCTGGATTGAGGTGGACTGGATAGGGCTGGATAGGGCAGGGCAGGACTCAATCGAACTGGGTCGAGTCAGGCAGGTTGAGCTGGACCGGGTGGAAACGAAGCGATGGCCGATGCAGGGAAGGGTCAGGGGCAAAGGAGCAGAATGGGCGAGGCTGGGAAGCGACTCTTGGCCCAAGGGCGCTGAGAGGTGGGGATGCAGCAGGAGTCGACGAGGGCCGGAATATCGATGGCGGGCTGGGCAGAGTGGGGTCTGCGTGGAGCAAATGAGGCTGGGGCGCTCTGGTGAGCCACTGGTTGGAGCAGCGTTTCGTGGCTTGGACGAGCCTGATAGGCGACGAAGAGAGAACCGAATGTCGCAGGCCGAAGGAAGCAGCAAAGGAAAAACTTGCCCCAATTCATATGACAGACCGCCTGGTTGGCGGTGTCCTTTGTTGTGTCGTCCAGTTCATTCTGAGCAACAACAACACCGTCGGCAGCGACAGGGAGTCAGAGCGGCACCAAACCCAATCCCTGCATGGGCGAGTCGAGGCGCCCGGGATCGGCCGAGATCGGTCGAGATCGGTCGAAAACGGTCGAGATCGGTCGAAGGGTATGGCAGATTTTCGATACGGTGGGAAGCAGGAAGAGGGCCGCATCGAGACCCGCAAGTGCTTCGTTTGCACCGTATCTCAGATCGCATTGGATCGCACCGCACCGCATTGGATTGGATTGCACCGCATCGCATCGCGCCGGGCATGCAAGAGCGTATGGAAGATCAGCCAGCCAAGATGCGCTGAGGCTGGTCCCTAAAGACTGGACCCGGCCCAGCGGCCGACGGCCATGTCGTTTGCACGCCGGCAGAGTGTCGTCACGGAGGACACTCTGAATCTTGCCCTGGCGACAGTGTCTGCGCTATCTCGGACACGGCACGCAGCCCACCGGGCTCAATCGAGGACGTGCATGCGAACAGGTCCGGGGCGGAATCGCAGCAGAAGATGGCAGCAGATAGCAGCGGCAACAAGTCCAGACGCCGCGGCAACGAAGCAAGACGCAGCGGCAACGAGACAAGACGCAGTGAAAGTAAGAGATGGCCGATGCAATAGGACAGCAGCGATAACATGATGTTGATCGCGGCGACTCGGGCCAGAGCGGACTTTGGGCGCCTCTGGGGTCTGCTGGTCCAACCTCTGATCTTCCCGGGTTGCCTTGGTGGGCCAGAGCTCTCCCTCCGCCGATCCAGCCCTGGTTGTGCCCGGATTTCCCGCGGCAGATCCCCGGCGGCAGAGAGCGAGTCTGATCCGTGGAGACATGGCGTGGACTCGCAGAGACCGTCGCTCTCCGGCCAGCACAAGCGACGAGGAGCGGTGCCGGATCTGGTGCTGCAGAGCTCGTTGGAGCAGGTATTCGGATCGTGCTGCGCCGGCTCCCGCAGGACATCCCAACAGGTATGGAAGCCCTCATGGCCAGGGCCGGCGACAGAACAGCCCCAACAGAGGCGATGGATTCAGACGGAGGCCAGTCCAAGGGCGCACGTTTCTGGACCTGCCAAGGCCTGGGCGAATCGGGTTTGGCCTTGGAGGAGAGGAAAGCACCCCGTGGGAAACCTCCGATCGAGCAGGCGGTCGGGAGGACCACACAGGGGAGCCATGGTGGGAGTCGGTCCAAAGTGCGGACCAGCCCAGACTGGAGGAGCGGTGGATCGGGTTCGATGGAGCGGGTTCGATGGAGCGGGTTCGATGGAGCGGGTTCGATGGAGCGGGTTCGATGGAGCGGGTTCGATGGAGCGGCCAGGCCAACGCCGCGGGCAAACAGATCGAGCATCGAGTATCGACTATCGAGGGCGGGTGCATTGGACATGATCAGCAACCGAATGAATCTCGCGACACAGAGGTGGTTGCAGCAGCACACATCTCACAGCGGAATGCACATCACACACGTGTCACGCTGCGTGTGACAGCGGGCACCGCCACAGTCTCGCGGCGCAGCGAGAACAGGCGAGAGCATGCGAGAGCGCGCGAGGCGCGTGCGAGGACCATCGGCGCAGCAGGCAGCGTCCCTGGCCAGCCGCTGGCTGGCTGGCGTCACGCAAACGCGGGTGTCCGCGCACACGTCGCCTTGCGGGTGGATTGCTGCAGCCGGTGATGGCGCGTGGTCTTTGTGTTGGCTTGCTGGATCGGCCTTGTGACCGGGTCTTTGTGGGCCGGTGCTGCTGCTGAGCCCACGGGCGAGAATGCGGGGAGAGGAGAGAGGGCGAGGGAGCGAGGGAGCGAGGGAGCGAGAGCGGGAAGCGGCCGGGTTCTGTTCGGCTGGCTTGGGACAATCGCGCACCTCGAGGGCGAACAGGAGATCCACGGGGAGAGAGATCCAGCCGAGACTTGGTCCAGAATCCAAGTCTGGCCAGCAGCCACCGCAATCGCGAGGGCATCGCTGCAAATGCGACTGTAAATGCAAGAGCAAGAGCAAGAGCAGCATCGCGCAGTGCTGGACCAATTGCAGAGCACTGCCCAGCCCCCCCCCGCCCCGACAAGCGACGGCCTCGGACAAATCGACACCAGCCAGGGACACGAGGGGATACAGCAGCAACACGGGCGAGACACCCAGGCCAAACCGCTTTTGGGCGATATTGATCGGTGCAGCGCACAGGGCGCACAGTCGGCCTGCCGATCTCGCTGCGGCCTCGCTGTCGGTTCGCCTCGTTCTCTCCCTCTCTCTCCCTCTCTCCCTCTCTCTCCCTCTCTCTCCCTCTCTCTCCCTCTCTCCCTCTCTCTCCCTCTCTCTCAGTTCCACCTTGCCCTCTCCCTCTCTCCACCGCACCTTCTCGCTCGCTCTCGCCGCATGCTCCTCTCCCAGCAACCCTTTGGCTTGGTGCCTTGCCCTTCCCGAGAGCCCCCTTCGTCGCCCTTATAATTCGCCCTCGTCGCCCCTTCCCCCAAGCCTCTTGCGCCGGCTCTGCCTTGGAATTCCTGTCTGCTGTTGCACCAGTCGCCCCTTTGGATATTTCACCGGCCTGGCCTGGCTCTCTCTTGGCCATTCCCAACGCCTATCCTTCCCGCCCTGCTCGCCCATCCCCCTCTTGGCTTGCTGGCTTTACCTGGCACACCCCCCGGTCTCCAACTCGGCCAGCTGCTGTTCTCTCTCTTCCTCTCGCCCGCCTCCCCAGCTGTCCCCAGCCATTCCCGCTCGCTATCGATATCGATAGCCGCATCGGCCCCAATCCCGCCTCGTCTATCGTCTTTCAGAGCCCGCTCAACGCTCCGCTTAACGCCTGCTCGGCCCGCTCTCATCATCCAAAGCCCTCGCTCCCGCTCCGGTCCCCTCTCTCCTTCCACCCACGAGCCCCCGCTTTTCTAGCACCATCCTCGTCTTTTCCCAGCACCACTCTGCTGGACAAGTCCATCTCTTTCGGTAATCGACCAACTCGACCAACTCGACCAACTCGACCCGACTCGACTTGCCAATCTCTGCTGCCTCGCCCAGCTTCAGCACTGACTCTATCATCTGGCCACCACCACCACCACCACCACCCAGCAATCCTCCGCCATCGTCCAAACCTTACAGCCGCACATGCCGGAAATGACCATCTCAAACGGCCCGCTGCCTCGCAAATGTAGGCGTCGCTTTGCTTTCTCGCCTCTACTCCGAATGCCACCTTGATCCCATCCTCTCAATCACTGCCCCGTTCTGTTTCGATGGCTTCCTCGATTCTGTTACATCGGCGTCTGTCTCGATTCCTTGACATCGATGTTCGTTGTTTGCTGTTTGCTGCCATTACTGCCGCTCTGCCCCAGTCTTGCATACAACCCCCCCCATTCTCCACCATGTCGTCTTGCGTCGGCTTGCGCTGCGTGGCCGTTGTCTGGACGGACACCTGTCATTGCTGCATGCACTTTTGCTCTCCTCCATTTCACTCTTGCTCTCATGCATTGCACCCAGTGCACTGATGGAAAGGCGCCAAAGACCAAAGGGAGGGGTTCACCTCTCCGCATGGAGGGCCCACAATGCTGACGGTGATTGCTGGTCATTGCTGACGGGTGCGCTACTTGTCAATATGCTCATTAACCGACTATCTTTCGGCCATGTACACCCGCTTGCCATTATTCTGGACTGCTCTCTTCCCCTTCCCTTCCCTTCCCTCCTTTTCATCTTCCGGGCGAAAAAAAAAAATAATCGATTGCCTCGCCTCGCACCTAAATGTCGCCATCGCTCAGATCTGGTCGGAGTTTGCGCTATGGAGAAGAAAGGTGAGCTCTCCCCCCCCCTCTTTCTCTCTTGAATCCATCCCTGCGAGAGTATTCGACCTCACCCCGCCCCCCTCAAGAGCCGATCAGTGTCGGACGATCCGTTCCCGCACTCAGGACAGGCCCTTTCTGCTGCCTCGCCGAATAAGAATCCCCAACCCTCCCTCTCGACGTGATCGAGATGCAGGCGGCGAGGGTCAAGCGAGGCGAGACGAACAGCGAGACGGATGCTGCCACTGGGTGACGGTCTGGCTGGCCGTGAGCCCGGCCAGCCTTGATCACCAGATCAGCGTCCGGGCTGCCAGTCCAGCCATGGGTGCAACACCCTCCTGCAATTCCGCCAGTGAATCACTCGCGCAACCCTTGGATGATTGCGCCCGTCGGGCTGGGCGCTGGCGGGTTCTTGGGTCTGCGTGCTTGTCCCTCGGCTGTGACTCATGCGTCAGAGTCGATCGCCTTTGTCGTCGATTCCACTTGATCATATCCCATCGCACTCCACTTGATCATATCCCATCGCATTCCACCACATCCCAATATCCTGACCCGATGGCTCGTCCCACCGATTGTCTGCGTGACCGTTCCGAGCCTGGATCAACTCTTACCGAAGGAGCCATCCCGTAACCACGCGTCTAATCGATTGCATCTCTCGTTATCTATATTTCCTGTTGGATCGCGCTGGCGATTCCTTTCATGACATCCTCGCGTCGGCTGTCCCGTCCTTTGCGACTCGGCGCTACAGCAACCTCCAAATCCATGAAGACCCTCCTGTCGCATCTCGAACACACTTCCAACTATGAGATCATCACTTTCCCGGAAAAGACGATCCTCAATGAGCGTAAGTCCTGTCCAGGAGACGCTCCCCCCCCAGCCGACTGCCCTGCTCGTGGCCATCCTGACGCTCGGATCAAGGACCGCGCGTATACAATCCATGCCATGCATATCGGAGCACTGACCCCACATTCCCACTCCTTTCGTGCATCGACTTGACGTCCTGCCCTCGGGCCTCGGCACCACGGCCTTCATTTCCTGGATACTCTTTCCTCGTCGGAAATCTCACACACATGCCATCTCTCGCGCTCACAGCGATAGAATCCTGGCCCCGTGTACACTTCCTGATCACCTTCCACTCCTCGGACTTTCCCCTCCACAAGGCCGTCGCCTACGTGCGTCTGCGCAACCCCTACGTCCTCAACTCGCCCATGTACCAACATCTCCTGCTGGATCGCCGTGTCGTTCTTGCCATCCTGGACTCGCTCAACATCCCGACCGTACCCCGGATCGCCATCAATCGGGCCGGCTCGCAGAGCATCCCCAGTTACGACGCCGATATCGTCCAGGAAGTCCTCGAAAAGTTTGGCGTGGATGTTTCAGTCTCATCGTCGCTGTTCTCGCCCTCGACTTTGCCAAGCAAGGACGGCCCAATCCTTGCCGACGGCATGCTGACGCCGGAGCCCATGTGTCGACCCTTTGTCGAAAAGCCCGTCAACTCGGAAGACCATAACGTCCACGTCTACTTTAAAAACAACCAGGGCGTCCAGAAGCTCTTCCGCAAGGTATATGCCGCGGCTGGATGGCGGGTGACCAACGCACGCACTGACGACTCTTGACTTGTCTAATGCGCTTTGATGCCGTTCGTATCTGGCTCTCACCGCCACCACTCCTTCTGGCATTCGCCGTCCCCCCCCCAACATACTGGAACGTAACCAGGTCAAGAACCGCTCGAGCGCTCACTCGGAAAACTGCAGCATCCGCACCGTAGGCTCGTATGTCTATGAGCAGTATCTGTTTCCCGACAACGCCGTCGATGTCAAGGTCTATGCTGTTGGCGAGCACTACGTCCATGCCGAAACCCGCAAATCGCCCGTCATTGACGGCGTCGTCGAGCGGACCCCGGATGGCAAGGAGAAGCGCGTCGTCACAGCCCTGACCCCCGAGGAGACCGAGATTGCCCGTCGCCTGACGCTGGCCTTTGAGCAAACGGTGTGTGGATTCGATCTCCTGCGCGTCAACGGCAAGTCGTACGTGATCGACGTCAACGGCTGGTCGATGGTCAAGGGCTCGGACGAATATGCCGCCAACTGGACCAAGGTCGTCGACCGCCTGTTCACCCAGGCCATCGACAAGGGCCTGATTCCGTCGCTGGTCCCGACGGACTCGGGTAAGCCATCTGCCGCCGCGACGGACCCACCGCCCATGCCGCACGCGGACGCCTGTGCCGACCAGGGAGCTGACCTGTGCGTCTGCTCTGTGTCCGCAACTGCCCCAGTGCGTGTGCCTGTTCCGCGGGCGCTGAGAGACGACGCCTCGAGCTCCTCCAACGGCGCGCGGTCCAGCCCCTTCTCGATACCAAGGCCCCCTCTGCCGCATCGCAAGAGCTTCAGCGCCATCGCCCAGCCCCTGATCAACGTCTTCAACAAGCCCATGGAGCTCCTCGGCCGCCGCCACAGCTGTGACTCGGCCCTCGTGGTGCCCTTTCAAAACGGCCCCGAGCCCAAGCCTAGCAACCCGCCGCTGCTGCCCAGGCGGCGGTCGATCATCCCGCGCCCGCCTTACTTCAACAGAAAGCGTCAAAAGACGACGCCTCCATTTTTTTGATCGAGGATCATCCGAGCATGTCTGCTCATGGCACCAGGACCAAACCGAGCGCCCCCACGCCCGCGCGTCCAGTGATCTTCCAGCACCATCTCTGCACTTCCTGGTCAAGCTCTGACCATGACACAGCATCAGCTGGCATGCCGCACATCTAATCTCATTTTCGCACGAAGGTACACTCTCAATCAACTCTCAGCCCACGCCGATTCTCTCCTCCTCCTCCTCCTCCTCCGCCTCCGATCCTGGCTGCACTAAGAACCGCCCAAAACTACTCGCAAATCCGAAAGGGAACGCCTTGCCTCAGCCGCGTTCCTCCCTCCAAGGAATATTTACAAATGCCGAAGCTCCCGGCTTTCCCATATGATTCCTTTTATACTTTTAAACCTTATATCCCTATATTTTTACTATCGTCAAGTATCCCTTCAAAAGTTTATTTACTGCTTTAGTTCTCTGCAGCGGCACCCTCTTTCCTTCGTCTCCTCTTCCCCCCTCCTCCGCTCTACGAGTTGCTCCCCTAATGACTCCTCCCAACGAGCCGAACTTCCCCCCCCCTCCAGCTGTTTCGTTTCGTGCTCCCGGTCAAAATCTCTCGACATTGGTTCGAACAAACACACATTAGCTTCCCAAGCCAAGTCAAACAATAAGCCAAAGGAAGAACCAAAAGGCCGCGTCGGGTTCTATTGATGTCTCCTCTGTCCTCTCAAAACCAGAAGCAGTAGCGTGAGCTGTCGATGTACCAAGACACAGTATTAATTCGCTTCACTCCTCCCATTTTCGTCTTCTCCTTTCTTTCGTTCTATCTATCTTTCTCTCTCTCTCTCTCTCTTTCTTCCGTTCCAATCCAGCGAACGCCGCCAGTGCTGGCTCCTCACTTTGCCTCGCCCATTACTTTTTCCATCCCTCCTTGCTTCCTCGCTGTCTTGCACCTTTTGTGTTCTCACTCTTGCTATCCCATGTCCGTCCGCCCCTTCTCTCTCCTTCCGATCCGCACCCTCCTTTACGATAGCTGAATAGCCGCCCGTATTCTCAGAGAGCAATCATTCTCGCCTCAATCCTTCTCTCGCTCTTTCTCTCGTCTCACCAATCTCCGCACATAGACTCTCGCTCTCTCGTTCTTTTCATGCACTTTTGCTCTATCATTATTGCGCCATGATCGCCACCGCCTTTGCCGGATGTCTTTTTTGACAATGTGTTTCTAGTACTCTCTTTCTCCCTCTGCTGTGCTCTCCTCTGATGTGGTCTCCTCTGATGTGGTCTCCCATCCCTCCCCCCTCCCTCCCCTCCTGCCATTTCTCCCAAACTCCGCGTTGCTATATCCCATCTTTGTTTGCAAGAAAGCAAAGAATTTTGACCCTTGCCCCGGCGTGAGCTTTGCCACTCGTTTCTTATTTTCTGCTTGCCGCTCGTCTGCCTCAACGGCTGCTATTGCTATCGCTCTTGATCCACCCACCCACCTGTCCAATCCATCTACTCACCCATGAACCCCCTCCCCCTCGTTCCATATATTTCATTTTTTCATATTTCATTTTATTTCAAGGCTGCTTTCTCTCTCTCCAACCAAATAGAGTTTATTATCATTTTTGCGTCAGTTCTCGAGAAAGCAAGAATAGTTCATCCCAAATATGTGCATTGTGCTCGTTCTGTCGGCGCATGGATGGATATGGGGCTCTATTCTACCCTGCCCACGATCGATGAGCAAGCTATAGCGCCCGATGGGGGTATTCATATGTGGTATATTCATCGGCAATGGAGACCCGCTGGTCAGAGCTGGAGACCCCCAGGGATGCGATGCCTCACTCATTGATACAAGTGGGAAGCGAGGAGCGAGAGGAAGGGGCAGGGAAACAAATACATGCACATCCAAAGTCAGACGACTTTGGGGCTACATCGAACATGCAAGAAACGAAGACAACAGGAGACAGCAAGGCGGGAATATGGGTATCGTGCTTGCTGCGTCTGGTGCGTCTGCTGCTGGCGACCGAGCAGACAGCTGAATGGACGACTGGGCTAACGATTGAACCGGGAGCCGAAGCTGCAACATCGGGAGCCAGCGCGGAGGATAGCGTCAGTTTATCGTCCCAAGGCGGAGGTGGTGTATGCCCCAGCAACAGAACGGAGTGTGCCCCACAGTTACTAAACCTGGCTGGTCCGGCTCTCCTCGCTTCTTTCTCACACCTTCTTCCTTTTTTTTTTTTCATCAGATGGGTCCCACCTTCTTCCTTCCCTCCTGTCTTCCTTCCGCCCACCCTCCCAAAGCCTCACCTCATCAGTATCCGAATCTCGTCTTGTGGGCCTGTGCATTCGAGTGCATCATGTAGGTGTCCATGGTTCTCTGGCGGGTGGTGGTGTGGGCGCTCGAGTTAGACGTGGGCCTGTGCTCGACCGGGTCTGGGCCGGCGAGGTGCATGATCGAGTCGATGACATAGTTCTTGTTGAAGTGCTTTCGCTCGCTCAGGTCGGCATGGGACTGGACCGGCGTGGGAAAGAATAGGCTGGCGCCGCAGCGGGACTGGGCAATGGCGGACATGGCAGTGTGTGAGACGAGGCGAAGCGAAGCGAGGGCGGCAAAAGGGGGGGGGTCGGGATCGCTCGGGTCAGAAGAAATGCAGGTGATTTGGTCGGAGAATTGAGTAGGAGAGGGGGGGGAGGGAAATCAGTGAACGTTCGCAGGAAGAACTTGAAGATTCAGCGGCGAGTGTTCGGTGCAGAAGCGGGAAGATCCAGCGATCAGGCTGTTGGTGGATCGGCTCAAGATGCAAGTCCGAGTGAGATGGGTGATGATCGAGAAGTGGGATCGGGCCGGAGCCCTCGATTATTTAACACCGGCGCATACGGCGCATGCGGCGTATCATCGAGGCGTTTGTTTGGCAACTTGGAAGGACTTGTTGGGGTGGGCAATGCGCCTCTCCTCTCGTCCTGATAGTGCACCGGCTGCTGTGTGGTAGATCTAGGGTGAAGGACGTGGAACACACCAGCCCCTGCCTCTCTTACGGACTCCTTGTGCGGCAGTATCTTGGGGGAGGAGGTGGCGAAGTATTGTTTTGGCTGCAGAGTATCGGGGGGAGGCCTCCAATCCAAACAAGGGCGTGGCCGCCGTGAAGGTGTGGCGAGAGTTGTGGGCACATGCAGGGCACGAACTATACGGAGTATGCAAGACAAATGCAAGGCAAATGCAAGGCAAATGCAAGACAAATGCAAGGCAAATGCATGGCAAATGCATGGCAAATGCATGGCAGTGTTCGTCGCCGGTCGCTGGGTGTGGGAAAGCACGTCTGGATGAACATCTTGCTCTGATGGGATTTACACTGGACGAGCACCACGGTCGATTAATCCCACAGCCAGAGACATGGCCAGGACGTGCGAGTCGACCACTTTTCCCATCCGCATCGCCCACATCGTCCGCATTGCCCACATCGCCCGCATTGTTCGTCTTGCCGGCATCGCACCGCTGTTCTGTCCGCACAGCCCTCCGCGTCGCCTGCGTCATTGTCCGTCACTTTCCGCGCAGCCGATCCTCGGCCTTCTGGAACCCCGGTCGTCCCAAAAGAAGCCCACCCCGGGCCCGTCCCCGCTGCCTGCATCTGCGTCCATCTGCGTCCATCTGCCTCGATCATCGCCGCAGCTCTCTGCGCACCCAAAACCTCTTGTCGTCGGCACATTTGCCTCGCTCTTCCCCTCCCGCTGCGCTCCTCATCTGCTGCCTGGCTCTGCTGACCCCGCTTGCTCCCGCTTGCTCCCGCTCGTCCCTGTCGCCTCTTCGCCTCCATGAAACAAAAGTCGCTCAAGCCCCAGTCCCCGGCCTACCACCCCCCTGGCCTTGGAACGTGCCTGGAGCAGCTCAAGACCAAGCTGCCGGCTGACGCCGTCGTGACTGACCAAGGCGACCTTGCCTCCAGCTCGCACGACTTTTCCTACCACTCGCCTCGCCTGCCCCACGCCGTCGTGACCTGCTCGAGCGAGAGCCAGGTCATCGATGTCCTCAAGACCTGCAACCAGCACAGCGTCCCTGTTATTCCCTGGACCGCCGGAACCTCGCTCGAGGGCCACACCATCCCCTCCCGCATCGGCGGCCTCCTCGTCGACGTCTCCAAGATGGACAAGATCCTGGCCATCCACCCCAAGGATCTCGACTGCGTCGTTCAGCCCGGCATCGGCTGGATGCGACTGAACACCGAGCTCAACAAGCACGGCCTGTTCTTCCCTCCCGATGCCGGAGGCGGCGCTTGCATCGGCGGCATGTGCGCCACGTCGTGCTCCGGCACCTTTGCCTGGCGATACGGCACCATGAAGGAAAACGTCATCGGCATCAAGGCCGTCCTGCCAGACGGCACCGTCGTCAAGACCAAGAGACGGCCCCACAAGAGCTCGGCCGGATACGACCTGACCCACCTCTTCATCGGCTCCGAGGGCACCCTTGGCGTCATCACCGAGATCACCCTCAAGCTCAAGCGCCTCCCGGTCGAGACCCAGATCGCCCGTGTCCAGTTCGAGACCATCCGCGAGGCCGCCCAGCTCGTCGAGGCCATCGTCGCTGCCGGCGGCATGTCTGTCGAGCGCCTCGAGCTCATGGACGACCTGACCGTCAAGAGCGTTAACCTGGCATACAAGACGACCCTGCCCGAAAAAACCACGCTGCTGATGGAGTTTGCTGGCTCGTCGAACGCGATCAAGGAACAGTCCACCAAAGTCAAGGAGCTCGCCCAGCAGTTCCGGTATGTAGCCGTCTGGGCAGAGCAGAGCAGGGCTAGGCAAGGCAGGCTGGGCAGAACAGAGCAAGGCTGGGGGCTGCGTGTGTGGTGTCGTCTCTGGCATGTGCTGTCATGCACGGATGGCACTGCAGAGGACCGAGGTGTAGGCTTGATCCGTCCGCCTCAAGCAGCGTCTCGGCGCCTGCAGAATGCGCCTGCAGAATGCGCTTGCAGAATGCGCTTGCAGAATGCGCCTGCACACCCACTTTCGTCCCTGCGCATCTATCCATGCTCACCATGCGTCTTTGCTCGCGATGAATGCAACGTATCTCCTGCAGCTCCATCTCCTTTGACGTGTCGTCCAACCAGAAGGAGGCCAATGAGCTCTGGTCCGTGCGCAAGCGTGCTTTCTTTGCCAGCAAGCATCTCCACCCGGACCCCAACTCGGTCTCGATCCTGACCACAGATGTGTGTGTGCCGCCCTCTCACCTGGCCGAGATCCTCGAGATTACCAAGAAGGACCTGGTTGAGTCCAACCTCATCGGCAGCATCGTCGCCCACGCCGGCGACGGCAACTTCCACGTTTTCCTGCTGACCGACAAGCTCCATCGCGACCAAGATCAGCTGCGACGTGTCGAAGAGTTCCGCGACCGCATGGCCAAGCGAGCGTTGGCCATGGACGGCACCGTCACTGGCGAGCACGGCATCGGCAAGGGCAAGATGAAACTGCTCGTTGAGGAGCTCGGTGAAAACGCCATCGAACTCATGAGGAAGATCAAGGACGCCGTCGACCCCAATGGCATCATGAACCCGGGCAAGGTCTTCTGGACCAAGAAATGGCTGACCATCCTGGGAGCTTCCAAGCTCTAGACACCGGGCAGTCTGGGCCGGCCGGACCATTGGCGTGAAGCATTGGCCGCAAAGCACCGATGCGCCCTGCCAGTCCTCCCTCCCTCTCTCCCTGTCTCTCTCTCTGTGCCTCTCTTGGGATCAGACCTGCGCTTTGTTGTTTTCTTTCGCTTCTCCTCTCTCTGATCGTTGCTATACAATACCTCACCGCTATTTTGAACGTTCTTCTCCAGTCCTCCTTTGATTGCAAAGCCGGTGTCGACCAATCCACAAACCCTTGCTCGATACCATGCTTCATGCGATGGCATATGCTGCGAAGGATTCTGAAATGGCTCGGCGGCACAGCGCACGCCAAAATGGAGGCTTGCCAGTGCTCAGTGTCAGTGCCAGTGTCAGTTGTTGAATAGCCGCTTGTACTGACAGGCATTGCTGCCTGTCCTTTTCAGCCCCTGTCTCTGTGACCGCTGTTTCTGAATTATACCGGGCTTTCTCCAAAGACAAGCAACATCCCGTGGGGGGGGGAGATGCTGCACCAGCTATTGGTGCACAACAGTCGCCATCTGCAAGGTATCCAGCTGCTTGGTCTCGTCGCCATGGGGGCCAATACTTTTGTATTGTTCGATAGTGAAGCCCCTTCAGTCCCGCGTGAACTCGCTCGTGCACACAAATCCTTGGCACGTCATGGAGTCTAAAGTCGGCAGAGTTGGTGGTCTGAACCGCATAACAGAGGAATCGAGCATGGAGGTAGACGTGGCAACAACAAGAATGACACCACAGTCACGATGATATCCTAGGCGCTAGTGACTGATGTGTCGCTTCACGATGGACACGGAGGTGGGGCAGCGGTTGCCTTCGACCCACCCGGACAGCTCCGGCTCGGTATGATAGCAGTCCCGTCCAAAGACAATCAAATCCGAACCCGCCAGGCCCAAGAACGTCGCATGGTCAATGATGTCGTCGATTTTCTTGCCGATCCGGACGACCGTGCGGTTAGCGATGCACTTGAGGATGTCGCAGATGAAGGCCTGGTCCTCGGCCGAGAGGTCGATGCACTCCTGAGCCAGATTGAGCTGCGAAAAGTCCATCTCGATCGTCGAGAGACTGTTTTCGGACAGCATCTGCACAGGGACACCCTGGGGCAGCGTCTCGGCCATCCCGCAGCGCAAGCATAGGACGAACTGAGATGGGGTGGCGTGGATGATGTGCGTGGCATAGATGAGGGCCTCGCGGTCGTCGTCGCCCCCGAGAAAGTACAGGACGATGCGATGCATGTCACTTGCGGTTGCGGTGCCGTGGAAGACCGGGTCCTTCCTGGGCACGAGTGTGCGAAACCCGCGGTCGACAAACAGAACCGAGGTGCAAGGGGCGCCCTCAAAGACAGCCCGGATCCAGGGCGCTTCGTCATGGTTGCTGTTGTAGCTGGTGATGGACCCGGTCGGGCTTGGGGACGGACCGTCGTTCAAGGGCGAGTTTGGCGGTATATACGGAACGACGATCAGTCGACAGCCCACCTCAAAGGCACATTCGAGGATCGGATCGGCATACTCGGAGGCGCGCGGTACCACGGCGAGGCGGGACTCGATGCTATGGCCGCTAGTGATGGCCAGCAGCCTCAGAAGCATGTTCATGACTAGGTCCTTGGCAGCCAGGAACTCGGTGGGCTCGGACGCCAGCATCATGAGCGACGAGTAGCGGTCCGAGAGCGCCCTCAGTCGCAGCACATGGACGTCAGCCTTGCCGGTCTTGAAAATGTGCACAAGCGACAGAACCGTGGGAATGGCCTGCAGCGACGGCAAGCAGAACAAGAACGTCCTCTCGTTTTGGCTGAACATGGCTGTCGACACCGAGAAGCGACGCTGGGCAGGGCCGAGGGCATCAAAGTCGACCCTGGATCCCATGCTGGGATCACGCTGCCAGAACTGTTTCTGTAGCTGGGGCGAGGACACGATCCTTGGCTGGATGTCGGTCTGGGAGATTTGGTTCTGCTGGTCCTGAAACTGGATCTTTTTGTACGGGCTTGGCAGCGACAGGTGCGACGAGCCCGGCTTCATTTCGCCCATGTGGTACTTGTGTGGGTAAACGAGCGAGACAAGCGGCGAGCTGAGCATGGTTGTCAGCACCGCCATCACGACCATAATGGTAAAGGTCTTTGGGCTGATGATGTTGGCCTCGAGGCCAAGGTTGAGCACAATGAGCTCGACAAGACTGGATCGATGCACCGTTGTTGTGGTTGTGGATGTTGTTGTGGTTGGTTAGCACTCATCAGAAACAGCGCCGAGTAGAGTCGGCCCCATATCAACCCGGACCTCGATCTTTGAGGGCTATCTCGCCCAGCACTGACTTACCCCTTCGTGTTCATGAGGATGCCGATCGTGAGCGATTCTCGCCACGGACGCCCGAGCAACCAGGCCGAGCCACCACATCCCACAATCTTGCCGAAGCAGGCGACAACTGTCACCAGGACAACGAATCCCCAACTCGTGCCGTCGTTGAGCAAATCAAGCCGGGTGTTGAGCCCCGAGTTGGCAAAGTACTGCAGGATGCGATAGGAGCCAGCGGTCAGTCTGGGTCGCATTTCGGCATTCTGCAAGTCGATTGCCAGCACTTCACGCATTTGCAACGTCTTGGTGGCATTGCAGAATACATCACAGCGGATAACCCCATCTTCCCATTTGCGACCCACGATCAACGCCAGCTTTGCTGAAACATCAAAGAGCGACATCCCGATACGAACCAGAGGCAGGAAGATGATGGTCACGACATCCTCAATCTTCTCCACCAGCCGGTACGAAAAGCCGTTTGCGTGAGGCATTACAAGCCCCACCAGGAATGCCCCAAAGAGCCCGTGGATTCCCAGGATCTCGGTGAACCAAGCCGATACGATGATCAGCAGGAACGCAATCGTCACCAGATGGTTTGGCACGGGCTCGCCCTCCTCGGCCTTCTCCTGGGTATAGCATCGGGTCACATACCACTCCAGAAAGGGGCGCAAAACAATCACCAGAATGACAGCATATCCGCACACAAGCAAAAAAGTGTACAGTCCTGTCAGAGAGCTGCCCGAGTTGTTGATCTGGAAAGAATTGAAGCGCTTTCAGCCGTCAACAGGATATCAGCGACTGGGCAGTTGCTCGACCATCACCCGCTGCATGCTTACCAAGGAAACCACCAGAATGAGCATCGACCAGGCAACGAGGTCGTCGATGGCCGCTGCGGACAGCGTCATCTGGGCCACCGAGGTCGATATGAGCTTGCGGTCTGTTATGATGCGAGCCAGGACAGGAAACGCCGTGATGGACATGGCCACCCCGAGAAAGGCCATGAATGACGCAAAGGGTACATCCAAGCCGGCACTTTGATCAGCATCGTACAGCAGCTTGGAAACGCCAACGCCGCAAATAAATGGTAGAAGGATTCCGCTCAGAGAGATGACGACGCTCTTGGTGGCGTTGGTACAGAGCAGGCGGATGTCAAGCTCGAGACCGATCTGTGACAATGTAAGGGGGGGGGCGAGCATGAAGATAGACGAAGCAATGTCGTGACAACGCGGGACTTGAGTACATCACTCGGCAATAGCAGTGCGTTCTCAAATGCCGCCACCTGTCGCCATGATATGCAGTTCGTGTCGCAGGCATATTGACAATCCGGCCTCCGCTGCGGTATTGTCACGTCCGCGGCGCATACCGTGAATATGAACAGAAGCAGTCCAAAGTTGGCCAGCAAACTCACGAACCCGAGCGACGGCGCTGGGAACAGAGCATTGGTGAAGCCGGGGATCTTTCCGAGGGCAGACGGGCCGAGGCATATTCCGGCGATAATTTCGGCAATGACGCGAGGCTGGTGGATGTGGACGAGAGGAGTGCTGAGCAGCCGCACCAGAACGATGACGACAAAGGACTGAGCCAGAAACAGGCTCAGGGGAGAGATGCCCAGCACATAGGCGCCGTCGAGGATAGTGGTGATAGCGCCTTGAGGCGGGACGGCGGAGGAGTTGGACGGTAGAGGCGCCATGGCCGTGGTATCGAGCTGCAAGACGATGTGGTTTCGGCTTGACTGAGCGTGGGAAGTGCGTAGCCGAGCGGCCGAGGTGAGAGGGCATTCTCTGGAAACCATAGCTAGTCAGGCCAAGGCATGATTCGAGCACCGATGCGACCCATTGGGACAGGAACGCAACCCTCAGAGCTGCAATCAGGCCGGTAGTCCAATCACAGAGTCGGCCACATGGCCGCAGTAATCCTTTCCACTTGCTTGCAGTCGCCCCCGAGCGACACATGCCCGGAGCATGCGTGCCGCCGATGCAGGAGCACGGATCGGCAACACATAGCATTGCATTGCGATGCCACGGCAACGAAGGAGGCACACCGAATGATGCAAAGTATGGAGCCAGCATGCGCGTCCTGTCAAGGTTCACTTGCATCCTGCTTTACTATGTACAAAGTGTGTTGGCCACAGACCGGCGCCAGCAGCTTGACCGTTGCAGGAGGCAGCCATACCGCAATGGATGGAGCCATTTGTGGGCAGCGAAGTGGTAGTGACGACGGAATAACTGCACTGTAATAATTCGCATCCAGATGGGAGTCAGGCAGACCAATGCCCTGTTGCACTCGGCCGTGACAACCAAGGCACCGCTGCGCTACTGCTTGGCGCGGGCAACGAGCTTGAGAATCAGCTCCTTGTAGATGTCAACAAGTTGAACCAGGTCTTTCTTCTCGACATGCTCGTCGACAGAGTGGGCCACTTTGATGGAGCCTGGGCCGATGAGGAGGGGAAGGTGGTTTCCTTTCAGGAAGGGGATGTCTGAAGAGACGGTGCAGCGGAGAGAGTCACAACGCCGTGAGAGTCCGCTCGAAGATGGTGGCAACGGGTTGAAGACAATCGCACATGCAAGCTAACAGATCGACTGCGCGGATGCCCGCTGCGTGGTCCCCAGATGGCCTATCGAGTCCAGAGAGAATACAGGGCAGCAGGGACCCACCTGTAAAGTACGCGGCCGTAAAAGTGTCGACACCGGTCAGCTCGACCGTTTCGCATCTCACCGGCTCCAGAACACCACCAAAGTGCACCGATGCATCGACACCGGCAACTTGGTGGCTCTGCACGCCGTGGCGGATCCGCTCGACGATCTGCTGCAGCTGGGCCGAGACACGCACAGAGATTTGTGCTTCGGCATGCTCTGGAATGACGTTCGCAGCGACGCCGCCGGACACGATTCCCAGGTTGATGGTTGTGGGGCCCAGGCGCTCGTCCACGGGCCAGGTGTTGCTCTGGAGATCGTGGAGGATCTTGACGAGGGCCTCAATGGCCGAGGCGCCTCGCTCGGGATAGCCCGAATGGCCGGCCTTGCCCTTGCAGACAACCGTCGCTTTGATGATGCCCTGGATCGGCGAATGGCACCAAGAGCCATACGACAGCCGATTGCGTTAGCCAGCCACTCGACTCGGCTCGAAAGTGTACAGCTCAAGCAGCCTGCTCCTCGAAGCAGTGCGGCAGTACCTTGTGGCCGTTGGCAAGACAGCTCTCGGTGGGCTCTCCCACAATGAGGAAGCGGGCATCGAGACCGAGCTGGTGCAGAGATGTCGCCAGAGTCGTGGAAGCAAACAGCCGTCGGATCGGATGATCAGAGATGAGAACCAGGTTCAAGGGAGCGTCGGTCTCTTACAGTTTCCCCCCCCCCAAACTTTGCACAGGAACACAAGCATGACGATGCCAGAGGCAAGTGAGCACATGCGAATATCCCGAACGCAGGCATTCCTGCGGCTGGGACACCAGGCAGGAGAGGCTGGTGGCTGACGGCATCGACATTCGTCTGGGCAATCGACGGCAGCTGAGTGAGAATGCTCATGAGGCCCCTACCTCGTTGGCCTTGATCATGCCGGCATGGTCGGTTTCCTCCCCAACGACATAGAGCAGTGCGACATCGCCGTCGGCGAGCTTGCCTTCCTCGATCAACTGGCTGACCGCCACCACCTGCGAGGCAATCGAGCCCTTGGCGTCGCAGGAGCCCCGTCCATAGATTTTGTCCGAGTCTTCGGAGAAGGGGATGTAGGGCGGAACCGTGTCGATATGGGAGTTCAGCAGCACCACCGGCTTGCTGCGGGAGTCTCCACGATGGGCATAGACGTTGCGTCGCTTGCCATCAGCGTCGACCGGCTGGAGCTCAACCGTCCACCCGCGCTGCTGCAGATACTGGCCAAGAGCCACAGCCACGGGGCCTTCGTTGCCGGTGGTGGACTCGATTTGCATCAAGTGCTTGAGCAGGGCCGTTACTTGCTCCATGGTGCTGGGTCTGGTGCGTCTGCTGGATCTGCTGGATCTGGGCTGGAGGCTGCGGGCGAGAGGAGAGAGAGACAGGGGGCGGACAAAACCGGGCCAGGGCTGCCGGGATCGATATGCGCAGCACCGAGTCGCGTTCTGCCGCTGGGCTGTTCTTCGATCTGCTGGCGGTTTCGATCGGCCGGTGGTTTCGATCTGCGGCGATCCAGCTGCCATCCAAAAGCCGAGCCCAAGCCGCCGTCCTGTCTGCAAGCACGGCGCCATGGACTCTCACAAGGCACAGCGGGAGGCCATTCGGCGAGAGTCCCGATCGCTGTAAGTGTCCGAGCAGGGCTGTTGCTGGCCGTTGCTTCTTCTCGACAAGACTCCGCAGACTGGGGCGGATTCGTCTCGTTGCGTTTCGTTCTGAAGCTCCGAGGCCGTCTGGCTTCTGCAACCCCAGGTTCAACCGCCTCAAATCTATCATAGAAGATGCCCAATTCGTCACGGAGGTCGCCGATAGTCTGTCACAGTTTCCACTCGTCGCCAACGAACGGTGCGGCTCGTGGTATATCGACCCAGAACGAGTATGTCTTTGCCTGTTGTCGAGGCTCACTGCAGCAGAGAACCCCTGACCAAATATCAAATGCATCAACCGTCTATTGGTATCATCTGCAACCGACATCCGAAACGGTACTCATGCTTGTGTGGTCTGCCGATCGTAACGATATGTGCCACTGCTACCGCAACTGCTGGCAAAGCGAGCCGACCAATCCGTTTACTTCAAATCCACCGACGGGCATTTTGGCAAGTGGGACTTCAACATGAAGCGTCTCAACTGGCACATCCTCAAGCTCGTAGGCTCCAGCGGGGGCTGTGTCATTGTCGATTCGACCCGAAACGGCAAGCGCATTCCCGACAGCCTCTCCAAAACGGTGCCGATCTGGTGTTGTGTAATCAACAGCGCCATCGAACGACATCGGTTGATGGCTCTGCCAGCTCCGCTGGAGAATGCGACACAAGAGGCAGGAGTCGAGTGGGACACTCAGTTCCACTCCCTACCATCGGTCGTCTCGCGGTCCGAGCACGCACAGATTCAGGAGCGGATCCCGATGTTTGTCGAGCGACTGATGGTGAGGACTGCATCGATATAGTGGAGAATGCCCTCCAAAAACATGTATTCGTTGGCGTTGCTTCCCGGTGCCCAGCACCGCCCGAGACTGTATGCAGTCCGTCGTCTGTGTCCGCGCCTCGGTCTCATTCAGTTCCACGCTGCTGTCGATGCTGCCGTCGATGCTGCTATCCGTGCCCCAGAGCTCAAGCGTCAACATGGCTTTGGCCTCTGCTCTACTTGCAAAGCCGCTGCGCCCCATCTGGATCACCCATCAAACCGACCTTTTGCATCTCAAATCCATTTGGTCCGATTACAACTCCAGATCGGACGACAGCTTTCCCTATCTTCCAATCTTCCTGGTCACTGCATCGCAAGCTGTGCCGGATGGCCAGGGCGATCGCGAAGGATACACATATGTACAAGGATCCGCAGACGACCACGAAATGTGGGGCCAGGTACAATGATGCGGGCCAGTGGGGGTTACCTCCAGGGTTCACGCGGGACCGCTGGGGCGGCACAGCATGGCAATTGCTGACCCGGCTTGTATCTGCGGCGTTTCCGATGGACAGGGTCTGACGGTGCCGCTTTTCTGGAGCAACATCGAGCGAATCGCGGCGATAGCAGACCAGGACGAGTGTGAAAGCACCGTGCGCGAGATCGTTGCCGCTGCAAAGCAGGTCTTGCGCGAGGACGATGCAGCTACGATCGGCGCTGGAAACTTGTTTGACTGGATCGGCGACACAGGAATTGCAATTGGCCGTGTGCGTAGCGGTGAGTTCTGGCCGAGTGTGGCATGGTGCCGGCGAATAGGTGAGGCAAGCATCTCGGATCAGCCGCCGAAGCCTCCCGAGTGTCATATGTTGATGCTTTGGCTGCTGCTGGTCCACACAGGCAGGTCACCAGGCTGCTGGGAGCACTTTGATGTGGTTGTCAACTGCGGGGCTGCTGAAGACCCTGACAATGCCGGACGACCAAACTACTTTTACCTGCCGATCCCGGAGGGCAAGAAGGGCCAGCATGACCTCGGCGCCCAGATTCCACATATTCTCCGGATAATGGCCGAGTGCTACTCAAAATCGCGGCCGCGGGTGCTGTTCCACTGTGCCCAGGGCAAGGACAGATCCGTTGGGATTGCGCTCGCAACCCTGCTGCAGTTCTACAATAACGGGGACCGCAGCCTGGTGCTCAACGATCCACTCACGACTAAGCCCCGGATCAACAAGAACGATATCCAGAACGCACTGCTGTTTGTCCAGTCGTTTCGGCCGGTGGTGAGTCCAGTAACAGCCAAGGTGCATGGAGCGCAACTGTGTCAGCACCGGTCTCACATGCCGCCTCGCTGTTTCTGACCCCGACAGGCCCGCCCATCACGAGCAACGATCAAGCAACTCACAACATACTTCATGAGCAGCAAATAGTCGACTACAGAGCCTTCGCAGCGCTGCATGTTATTGCATGTTGTTGCATGTTGCGTTGCATGTTGAGGTTTCTGCAAGCACTAGCAGAGCTTGCTTCCACATATTCAATCCGGCGCAACGGATACTGCCCATGTCTCACCTGGCGACCACCTAACAGATACAATCAGACACGCTCGCGCACTCTTGCTCTGCACACTCAACAAGTGCGTAGTATTGTCGAGGGTGCAATGGATGATCATGGTGAATGATGGATGAGCATGTATTCCCACCAAAATGAAGGCTATACAATCGGTCCATAGGGAAACGGGACAGTCCTTCTCTGGCATCAGCGATGCAAGTCTGCTGATCCGTAGGCTCCAGTCGGCGATTGTCTCCCGTCCTGGTTGGCAATCTCTTGTGTGGTGCATTCACTCGACCATCTGGACAGTTCCATACTAACTCGATACCAAGATACTCTGCCTTCTCGAGTCGCTTGCGGTGAGCCATCTGGGCGAGAAAGCGTCCTTGATTCCGATCCATAATTCCATCACTGGATGGTCATGGCCAGCGGGCGATGTGTTGAGGCAACAACATATTTGATCAGTGGTCAAAATCCGGGATGTCCCGTTTTTTAACTGGATAGGCTATAAAACAGTGTATTCCCGTTCAATTTTGTTAACGCTGTAAACAGACATGCTCATACACACACATCGAAAGCCTGGCGGTTTCGCGCCGCTTGTTTAGCTCAATAGTTTTTTCGGTGGCCCTGGCCACCAGCACCGCCCTTGCGAGGGTTGTTGCTGCGTCCACCGGCCTGGTAGCCTTGTCGTCCTTGGCGCTGGTTGCCGCGGTTGTCGAAGCGCTGGCCCTGGCCACCACGCGACTGGTTGGCGTTGCCGCCCTTCTCGTTTCCACCAGAGACCTGGTCTTGGAGACCCAGAGAGACACTGCGGCTCTCCAGCAGCTTCTCGTTGTACTCGACAAAGGTGCCGATCTTCTCGGAGTAGACGCCGGCCAGATACTCCAGTCTCGACATCTCGACACCCTGCGACGATCGGTGCAGCACGATGGTATTCGTGGGCTGGTCGAACGAAGCATGGAGCTCCTCGTTGATGATCATCTTGGAGACGATCGAGTGGACGGCGCCGACGGGCAGATCGAACATGGACGACAGCTGCTCGAGGCCAAGCGAGTCGTAGTACGGAGCGTATGTGAAAAGATAGGTTCGCAGACCCTCCTCCTGGATTTTCCTGTCGATACAGAACGGGGGATCATGAGAGTTAGGGCACAAGGCATCGAGTCTTGCCTCACGCACTCGGTCTGGGGGAGCCACGACAAAGGCTATCGACAGCATCACGAGTCTTACTTGGCAAGCATCTCCTTGATCTTCTCGGCACCTGGCATCAGATCCCAGATCTTGATGGCGTGGATCAGATCGCGACACCGCTGCCACTCGCCGCCGCTCAGGGCCTTAGCAGCAGCCATGATGTGATCGCGAGTGTTCTCGGGGGGACCGACAAAGACCTGGCGCTCGTTGTAGTCGAGCATCCTTCTGAAGGGCTTGGAGATTGTTTTTCGGCGCGAGTCGTGGGGGTGCATGGCCATGTTGGGAACCTCGAGTAGCATCGAGCAGGTCAGGTACACGCACTCCAGGAGCTCGAGGTTGATGTGCATGTGGAAGGGAAGCTGGCGCTGCTTCTCGAGCTTCTCTTGCTCGGGAGTCTTCTCCGAGTGCCGCTGGGACTGGACGCCCTGGGCCAGAAGCTCTTTGACCTTGCCGGTGGACGAGATGTCCTGCAGGGCGTTAGCACACTCGCGGATGAGACCGCAGCGGAAGGCGCAGAGGCCGATCTGCACCATGGTGCGGTTGAAGAGGATCTGGGTCTGCACATCGGCGTTGTAGATGGTTTCCTGTAAGTGAGACATCAGCATCATGTCGCGAGCCTGGGGGAACCGGTCATGGAGGGCGTGGTGGTAGACATGGCAGAGGAGCGAGCGGATCCGGACGGGCTTGATCGAGGTCTTATACAGGCTGGTGCAGAGGGTCTCAACGAGGCTGGACGGCGGGATGGTTTCGGCAGGGAAGCTGGCCTCCTCGTGGAGGGTGGCTGTGGCGCTCTCGATCGTCTCGATGACGTGGTCAGGCTTGTAGTACAGATGCTCGACTCGTCGCAACACCATGTTGGGCACGTATGCCTCATCGCCGATGCGCTCGAGATATCGTTGGCAGCGCACAATCAGGGCATAGAGGGCGCTCTCGTCCTTGAGGCGGTCGACGTACTCGGTGGTGTGAGGGTCGATGTTCTGCAGAGACTTGGTGAACTCATCATCGAGGCGGTCCACAAAGGTGGACAGGTTGCCCAGGAGCGAAACCTCCTCGCCATCGTTGATACGCTGGTCCAGGACCTGGGGCTCCACTTCCTCTTCTCGGCACTCTCGAATCACAATGTTGGTGTGTTTCTCGCAGATTTCAAAGAGCTGGTTGACTTCGACGACAGTGCTGCGGGGATACAGATGGGCGGCGACGGACGAAGCCAGACGAGAAGGCATGAGTGGAAGCCACGACGAGTGCATTCATAAGCATATAGACCGAGTGCATTCATACACGCATATATCTCGAGCATGCTGCATGCGTATCGAGCAGCACCAAAGCTTCCGAGAACACAGCACGCACACGCACACTCAGTACGCGACTGTACCTCTTCCAGACTTCAATGGGCAAGAAGCCGGTGGTGGTGGTGGAGATGACATCAAACTGGGCAGGGATCAGGGCCAGAAGGACACGGACACGCTGGAAGGGGGTAGAGGCAGCCTTGAGGACTTGTTGCATGGAGGAGACATGGACCGACTTGTCGGTGCTCTGTAGGGCCAAAAAAGAGACAAAGGGATGAGTGTGGAGTAGTAGGCCCAGCGCTGGACTGACACCCGTTCGGCAGCGACGCTGACCTTCTTGCCACGCATCTCCAGCAGCTCGGCAAGCTTCTTGAAGAGGTTCTCTTGGTTGATCTCCACGACTTTGCCGCCAGCACCAATGACGGTAAAGCCATCGTCCTCGTTCTCGGCTTCCTCCTCATCGCTCTCGACTTGCTTCTTGCTCTTCTTCTTGGCAACGGCGGCGGCCTCGGCAGCCTCTTCCTTCTGGATGGCAGCATTCTCGGCCTCCTCCTCGGATTCCTCGACGGTGACGGGGTTCTGGAAACGCAGAGATGAGTTAAAGTCGGAGCCGGCAGAGACCATCATCAAAGACGATCAACGAAACAAAGAACCATGACGCACCTGTCTCCACGCCTCGATCTCCTTCTCAAAGGTCTTGTTGTGCTTCTTGATCTTTTGCTTCATGGTGCTGAGGGCCTTTGCGCTCGAGGGGCTCATCTTTTTTGTGGCATCCTTGTTGGCCGATGTGTTTTTGAGGAAGTCCTCGAGCTCAGCCAGGGCACGGAAGTAGAATCGGGGGTTGATGCCTTCGTAAGTGAAGATGTGCTTGCTCTTGTCGTAAGCCTTGTTTAGTCGCTCGAACTCTGGAGTCACCAGAGGCACAGGGAGAGCGAGGACAGAGGTGGCGTCAGGGACTGCTCGGGATCGGGACAGATGGCTTGGGCATCGTGCATGAATCAGGTTGCAAATCCGCACGGCTGGGTCCATTCCCGCCGGGTGCATCATGCCGGCGGCATCGACGGCCGCATTGGAGGCACGATCGAGCAGCACCTCTCCGTCCGCGGGGTTCTGTCAGCGCCACGGCATGCATTCTTGCCGGGCAAAGAGCTCAGTGCCCACAACCAGGGCGGAGCCGCAGCGACAATGGCGGCGATGCCAGCTGGCCCGCTGGCCGGCAATGCCGCACGGTTGAATGGCCAGTGAGACGGATACGTTACCATTCTGAATGGCCACCCAGTCGCTGATTTTCTTTGCATTGGCAAGAGTGTTGATGATCGAGCGCATTTCCTCGAAGCGCTTGTCCTTTTTCGAGGTCGAGCGTCCCTTCTCGCCATCATCCGAGAGATCATCGTCATCGTCATCGTCGTCCTGCTTGGCACCCTTCAAGAAGCGGTTGAAGCCCAGAGACTTTGACTTTTGCTGCTGGTTGTCGTCGGACTCGTCAGAGTCGTCAGAGTCCACGTCGGAGCTGAGATCAGACTCGGAGTCGGTGATCTTGTCATCGGAGTAGTCGTCGTCGGAATCAGAGTCCGATCCTGCGGCGAAGAAGCGGGACATGGTTGCGGAGCACGGGGGTGGCTACTCGGGGCGATCTACGAAAGAAGGCGGCACGCAGGCTGCAGCGGGGGCAGGCGGGCAATCGAGCAGGCAGCGGGGGGTCAGCTCCTTGGGCAGGAGAGAGAGACAGATGCTGGAGGGAAAGCGCTGCCGGGCTCGCGACTGCTCAAAAGTGGGCAGAGTCGTGTGTCCAAGCAGGACAGAAAAAAAATGTTTTTGGAGTGCGGTTCGAGTGCGCGCGGCGAATGAATTTAATATGGGCGCGTGTGCGACGCGCGCCGGGTGCGGGGGCGAAAGCGTGGCACGGTCTGTGCTGGGACATGATCCTGGCGTGCTGCAAGGCCGTGGGAACCGGCCGATATGGCCAAGCCGACCACGACTGAGTGCATACTGCTGGCGGTGGTGCCGGTGGTGCTGGTGGTGATGCCGAGTCGATTGCAGCCACCGAGGAGACCCGCATGCACATGTTGTTTGCTGGCTGGCTGGCTGGCTGGCTGGCTCGGCGTTCGGCGGTTCGGCCGGCTGTCGGGCGCCAGGTGTCGATGGGACTGGGTCGCTGGCCCTGGACTGAAGCGCACCATCTCTGCTTCTCCTGGCGCGACGCCTGCATCACCTTGCTGGCTCGCCCTCTGCGGTCGCATCCGAGTCCACTTTTCCATCACGGCCCTCTGCTGCCGCTCATCGTGCCGCTTGAACGAACGACACCCGGCTGCGACATGCAATGGATGCAAAGGCGTATCTAGGCGGCTCGCGAGCCGACTCTTCATCGCCCTCCAAGGCGCTTTCCGTCTTGGAGCGTGCCCAGCTGCAGCTCCGGGGCGAGAAGCTCTCGAGGGCGACTTCGGCCCGAACAATCTCCTCGACCCGTCTGCAGGTCGATGATGCAACTGGATATCCAGGCTCCGCAACCTCGTCGGCCCCATCACGCGGACTTCGCGGAGCCAAGCCAGTCTACCTCGACGACGACAGCGACGCCCTCGGCGATAGTATCAGCATCACCCCCAGCGAGTCTTCTCTTGATTCCTCCGATGAGGAGCTTGAGGAATATCTGTCGCGCCTCGGCAACGCCGCCAAAGAACCCAGCGGAGGCTCGAAGAAGCCCAAGAGCCACGCCGCAAGTGCGACCACATCCAAGACCTCGCTTGCCACAACAGCGGCATCCGCCTATCTCAAACGACCAGTTTCGCACCAGAGCAAACTCGACGATGCTTCCACTCCAACACGATCGACCTCGGTTCCTCCCACGTCCTCGCCGTACCTCAAGACTAAAGAAACGTCGCAGTCCCACGAGTCCGTGGCTCAACAGCGCCCCACTTATCTCAAGGCCATGAAGTCCTTTTCGACCATCAAGTCCTCGGTCGAGATTGGAGACGATGCGAGGTTTCTCGAACAACCCCAAGCGCCCAAAGACACCGCGGAGAGATCAGCCAACAGCTCTACCCCCGGAGCCGGCCATGGGCAGTCCGAATCCACATCCGATACTGACGACGGCAGCTCCATCGGCAGCGACTTTGAGCGATTCATGGGAACGGGTGTGGCCAAAGACGCAGCCATGTCCCCAAAGGCAGCTTCAGAGCCTGTCGAAAAGGAAACGATCGAAACAAAGTATGGGCTTTCGTCGGATTCGGATCTCCAGTCATCGCCCATAAGTATCTCCGTCTCTGCCGCTCAGGTCGATCCGGCGATCCAAACGACTCCAACAGCGATAGCTTCGGAAACAGGACTGAAAGTACCCGGGCCAACGAGTGTATCACTTCAAGCGAGTTCAGTCACATCTCATGTCGGCGGTCGAGCAGCCGATGGAGTCGCAGGCACTGGATTCACCCCCGACCTGCACAGCCAAAGTACTCTCAGAGGTGCCACTACGGCTTCCAGCACCCTTGCCACCCTTAATGCGCATACCGGCCCGAGCCCAGCGATCACCACAGTCGCCCAACCAGTGCCTGTCAACGCCGTGATTCCAAGTAACTCGAATACCAGATCGGCAGTGCTGTCCCCGGTGCAACGAGATGCGTCCCCCACGCCATACAAGCCAACACGATCCAGCGAGCCAAAGCCTCACGCCGCCCAGATCGAAAACGAGTCCCAAGTCCGTCCAGCCGAGGCCCCTCCAAATATGGATGAAAACTCCGATAGCGCCGCCCTCAGGAAATTCGGGCTGCTGACCCTCCAGGATCTCGATAACCCCAAGAGCGAGTCCGTCAGCGGGTCGTCCTCGCTGGCCTCCAACCCGGAGAGCGAGAGTATCGAGGGCATCTCGCTCGGCAAGCAAGCCCACTCATCAATTCCGCGGCCCGAGTCACTCGGTACGTCAAACTCAAGCTCACGCCAGCACAGCAAGCACGATAAAAGACACCCTCAATCTCACGCATCTCAGCCGCGCCTGGACTCGACCAAGCAACGTAAAGATGCCTCGAGAACACCGTCTTCTGAGGGTGCTCATTCCCAAACTCCACGCACCAACACTGCCCCGCCACCTGGCTCTGCTGATTCGCCTGGACGACCCTACCCCGAGAGCATTCCTGCGCAGCCTCCTGGATATCCTCCGTATCCACCGTACATGTACCCGTATATGCCCATGCCATTCTATCCCACAGCCTTCCAGCCCACCATGCCACCACCAACTCAGTATCAAAACTGGACACTGCCGACACATTCGCCTCAGCCTCAGTATCGAGCACCTCCCGCGGCATCGTCATCAAGAGGACCTGCGTTCTTCCACGACGGAGCACCAACAGGGTTGGGCGCAGAGTGCCATCTGTGTTCCACATGTCCGTGTGGCTACTATGGACACTCCTGCCACCCTGGCCACTGTCATGTATGTGAACACTCGCACTCGCATCAAACCTCGCATTCGCACAGCCGGCGATGCAGCGAATGCAGACGCCGGCGCAAAAAAAAGCACAGAAATGCTCGAAGCGAAAGCTCGCCATCCAACTCTGCATCTCAGCAAGAGTCTCGCAGCAAACGATCCTCCAAAGGAAAGGGGAAGGTCGTATCGCCGACGCCGTCCGCCGACGAGGATAGTATTGTCGAAGAGATTATTGGCGCTCCTGACTCACACTCTCAGAGCGAGTCACAGGAGCTTCCTGTTCAAGATCGAAATGATCCGCCTCGACGCACTTTGCCGAGCGAGCCAGAATCCAGCAAAAGTCAAGAGCTGAGAGGGTGTCATGAGCGGCGGTATCGATGCAGTACCTGCAGTCATCACGGGCGCTCAGATCGCCCCTCCAAACAGCAGCAGCACAGCACAGGGTCATCCCCACAACATTACCAATCCTACATTGAGCATGCGCAAAGCACCTCGCTCTTGGGTGACGACTCTCTCTCATGTATGTACCGTTCGTAGCATCTCTGTCGCCCACCCCAGCGGTGGCGGCACGATAGATTCTGATTCCAACATTCTCACCCCCCCGTCGCTATGGCTTCGCAGTGATTGCCACATTCCATCCGAACATATTCGTTCTCAACAATCTATTAGCAAGCCATCTGCGGTTGATCCAGGACTTTGTCAAAATGAACCAGAAGCTGAACGAGGATGAGCAAAATGCATCGCACTATGTTCGATATACGACACTTGAGGACACCAAACGGGTATTGTTCTCGATGTTGTTGGTGGGCCAAATGGGGTGACGGCAGGCGAGGCTGTCGGTAGACCATTGCGAAGTGTGCGGGGAGTGTAGGTCTTGTCCATCATTCGTTTGCCGTCTTGCGTTGCAGTGCCGATTGATTGAGCTTGGCTTGCATGCGCTAGCTATTACTTGAGCGAGGCTCGGGCGAAGTGCGCTGCACAACGCAAAAGCACTGGCATCCGGATGATGCTGGGGGTTGCTGGCCTGGCCAATATCTAACGATAATAATCTTGTGGGCGGGTTGCATGCTAGGAGATCGAGTCGCGGCGCAAGCCAGAGCTCACATTCGAGGAGGCTCTCGAGCAAGTCAAGCGAGATTCGTAGCGACAACGGCGCTCCGAATGCATGCGAGTGTGTCGTTCCGTATTACCGGTCCTGGGTACTTGGCATATGAAACAGATGGTCAATGGCACCCTGTAGCACGGCCATCTACAGAGGCAGAAGTGCCATGCGAGGATCCCACCGGATCCAAAGAAGCTGAAGAGCGATTCGACACAGCATGCCCGCGGCAACGATAGGAATGACGCTTCTGGGCTTGTGCTCATTTAGCAACACTGCGACCAGCAAAGGAAAGTACAGAGTTGGGCAGGCATCAGATACCAGCCATGCAATCCGAGACGGTCTGGCTCGGAGATTGCCTGGCAGACCGGGAGAGAGAGAGAGAGAGAGAGGAGAAAGGGAGCAAACGGACATCTCAAGGCTCGGCCGAGAGCAGCATCGACCACTGACTGCCATTCGAGGGCCGCCAGGATGGTGCTCACCAGCAAGGCCCTCCGACTGGCTGAGCATCACAAATAATGAAATCGTCCACGAGACATAAAAGCTGTTGTAGTTCCATACAGCCATCGGAATCAGCATGAGCTTCCCCATGGAGCACGCCACGATTCCGACATTGATGCGGTTGAGCCTGAGAAACGGACAGAGCAGGTCAGGACGGGGGCGATTCGAGGCAGGCGACGGCACCCTAGCAGAGCAAACACCGCAAATACCCGCCCAGATTCACTCACGTCGGTGTCGGGCATCGGTAGATCAAGTACACCGAGGAGCGCACGGCGCAATGGAACAGCAAGATTTCTTGCAACAACGGCACAATTTGTATCCGGGCATGCAAATCCGAGCATGCAAATCCAAGCAGAGTCAGATGCGGTGTCGTTTCGGATGCAAGCAAGGATGGCGACAGAGGCGGGTTTGGTAGCGGCGTCAGTCGGCAACGATGCATCAAGAACGACGATCGACAGCGAGGCAGGCGCTTGGATCCCAACCGCTCGGCAGCCTAAACCGCCCAGATCCATACCTGATGCGCAAATGAAGATCATATAGGCATACTCCCGAGCGAGTTCGTGCGCGGTGTATTCGAGCGGCAAGCGATGCTGCAGATTATACCACTTTACATCTGCCGAAAGGAAAGTTGGAGGCTCAGAACACGCTTGGGTCCAAGGCTATTCAAGCACAACCTCCGTTGACACTCACAGACTTCGAACAGGATCAGCACGACTCCGAATTTGAGCAGATCGGTCTATTGTCAGCAAGATGCGTCAGCCCAGAACCAATGCCCACCAACCACTGCAGCAGCTGAGCAGCGCATCAAAGCAGAAGCCAAACGATGGTCAACCACAAGCCAACCAGCCAGGCCGAATCCATCCAACGTACGTTCCAGCCCTGGTTCTCGTATCGAATCCTGTTGAACAGCAGATGGCGATATGCCTCGGGCTTGAGGAGGATCATGTCGATGAGCACGATCAAGAGTTCGTTCTCGATGTATCTGTCGGCAAAGCTGCCACAGAGGCTCTGGAACGAAGCAAAGCAACGAGCTGACTTCAGCACTGGTTGGTCGATCGAGCAACAGGCATGTGCGGCTGGTCCAAAACGCCGATACAGATGCAGATGCAGGAGACTGACGCAGTGGGTTCTCTTGATGGCCGAAGCCTTTCCGTCCCGCTTTAGGCCATAGATGGTATAGAGCGATGGAACCTCTGAGCCGCACGAGATGCAGACGGGCATGGCGGGTGCTGGGGGCTGGGCCGATCGTGGGCAGAGAAGAACCAGGGCCGGGATGGGCAGATGAACGCGGCGTGTGCAGTCTATCCATAAGGGAACGGGACAGTTACTTTCCGGCATCAGCGATGCAAGTCTGCTGATCCGTAGGCTCCAGTCGGCGATTATCTCCCGTCCTGGTTGGCAATCTCCTGTGTGGTGCATTCACTCGACCATCTGGACAGTTCCATACTAACTCGATACCAAGATACTCTGCCTTCTCGAGTCGCTTGTGGTGAGCCATCTGGGCGAGAAAGCGTCCTTGATTCCGATCCATAATTCCATCACTGGATGGTCATGGCCAGCGGGCGATGTGTTGAGGCAACAACATATTTGATCAACGACCAATGTCCCGTTTTTATTGGATTGGCTGTATTGGTATGCCAAAAATAACCTGCCCTCCTGAGATATCGACACACTTGCGCCGAAGATAGCAGCTAGTCCACCTCTGCATTGCAGCGGAGCTCAAGTTCGTCCTCCAGCGTCACGCACTCGCAGTCGTCGGCATTGGCAGCGATCTTGCCAACACCACGATGGATTGGCCGGATCTTGAAAATGGCGTTCTCGCCCAGAGACTCTCCGGCCATGGGCGACGGCGGATGGAACGATTGCGGCACAACGCCGACACTGTTGTCGGCATCGAGCAGCACGACATTAGGTGCGCCGGTGCTGCCTGCCAATGCTTGCGATCGCTGGAGCTTGCTGGACCGCTCGACGGCGCTCAAAAAGTGCGAGTGCAAAAGCTTGTTGTACCGGTCTGAAAACTGCACCGTGAGTCCATGGCCGCCGCCGATGAAGATCTCGGTCCGAGCCTCGAGAATGGCAGAGAGATACAGGGTGTTGGTGGGCCGTATTACCTATGCAGGCACATGGAATCAGTTCCGGGTGATCAGGCCCCACTGGCGAGGGAGATGACACCGCTTCGCCAGCAGCGACATCAGTATCCGATCTCAGTACCATCACACTCCTCACATCAAGCAGTAGCTTCCACAGATACAGGCGCCCCCCGATGAATTCCGGACACCTACGGCATCGCAGTCCCCTGCCACCAGCAGAATCGGGATGTTGGTGTGCTTCAGCTGAAGTAACCGCCTCTTGTTGACGAGATGAGTTGTGCATGCCCATCGCTGATTTCGCAGGCCGACTTCGGAGGGCTGGGGATGCCGAAGCTCCTTCTCATAGAACCACTGCCAGCGATGCTTCTCACGTCAGTACTGTGGCCTCTGCCTTCCACTATGACCCTGCCTGCCAAGATACCCGAGAATCCCCACTGGCCTCTCCGCACGCCGGCCCACCTTGCGCATGACATCCAGATTTGTGACGCAGCCCTTGGATTCTTCTGTCTCTGGAAGCGGGCACCTTTGGGCAAGCCACCACTGCAGTCAAGCAAGATGAGGGTAAGTATCCGGGGCAGAGGTAGATGTCACCCAATCTTCTTCCCCCCTTCAACCACCGCTGCGGACCCGACGATCGGCCATACCTCTGGATACAGAATCTTCATCAATAGCTGGAACTTGGTCTCCGGCCTCTTCTTCATCCCCAGAAACGACATCTCGACCAGCAGGCCAATCTGTGTGGTTGGTTCGAAGGGCGTTAGCGTCGCTCGCATGATACCACGGCTGTTCAAATACAAAGTATCAACAGCAAGAGCCAGCCAACGGAGGGACTGACTGATGCTGCAACCCGTACCGGAGGAATCGCCGGCACCCCGCCCGCACTTGTGGAGGTCAGGGTGAGGGAAAGAACCCTATCGGGGCACAGAAGCGTCAGCTCCTGCGATATCATGCCGCCTGGTGAGGTAGCAATGGTTAATGACTGTTCGGAGCCGCCCCAGCTATATCCCGGCGCATACGGATGCAATGTATAGCAAGCTCATTACCCATCGACGATCCTACGATGTGAACCTTGTCCCAGCCGAGATGGCTCAGCAGCTCGTATGCGTCAAAGGCCATCCGCTTTGTCCTGATGAAGCGTCGCCCAACGCCAAGACCACAGCAGAAAGGCACTGATTAGCCGGCTTGAATATGCAGTCGAGTACCAGTTAATACTCGGCTCTGACCAGGCTGCAGCTGTCGGCAAGAGTGCGTTCATGAATCCGGCTTACGTGTAGCGAGCAGCCGGCACCGTCGAGTGGCCGACACCTGCATATCAGAGACAGGGAGTTGGATCACTGAGCCGAAAGAGCCACATCCTACTCTTGTTGCGGCTGCCAGAGCAGGATCTCGCACCTCGGTTGTCAAAAGCCAGCACTTGGAACTCTGGGAGCCGCTTGAAGTATTCGATCTGGTGGTCCCGTTCCCGCAACAGGCCAATGCGAGGATCCCGTCGTTTTCAAGCAATAGTCAGCAGCCGGGCGACCAACAGATAGCCGAATCGAGACACATCGAGCTGCATCCATGTCTTGGCCATATCTTGACGATGGATCCGTGGGGCTCCAAGACCTCCATCGCAGGCACAATCCAGCTGGTGCATACCTGCGGCTCCCACCGGGAATGATCCGCTGCCAGTCCTGAGACCATCATACCAGAGAAAGCGTGAGACGGGGGATCTCGGCCACAGCAGCGACGTCATCATGGAGCCGGGGTGTCCAGGCCCTCCATACCCATTATCAACACGATCTTGTTGGGACCGTCTCCGTAGACTTCATAGAAGAGACGAACGGTGTCGCTGTCGACGAGGCAATATGGCATCGTGTAAGTCGGTCTTGCACGGATAAGTCTCGACGGCGGTCGCTGGAGCAACCCGAGACGAAATGGCTTCTTTGGCGGATCAGCCGGGGGCAGCTCGGGCGCCCAAGCTGAAAGCGACGCCCCGGCAGTGGCGGTTTCTGCTGGACCAGGGCTGAGCAACGGCAGGTCACCGTTGGTTGATTGGGTTGCGGCGTCCGCAGATCCAGACTGGAAACCTTGTTCATTCTAGACCTGAATGTTCATCCGGCGAGTTCGCGAGCGCCGTTGATCGACGGCTTGTTGTCCTTTGGCTGAGTGGGCGAGCGGTATGGGTCTGGTCTGGTCTGATTCGGTCGCTGCATCGCCCCGCCTCGTCCTGTCGGGGATTGTCGGGATGGCAAGGTGTTTCCACCCCGGTTTCGGCTTGCTCTCATGAAAAGCTGCCCGACAAACTCGACCAAAACCTTCGGGTGCCCATTCCGCCACGAACTGAAGCCAACATCATCCCGCCGGGCAACTGTATGCTGCAGTGTGCAAAGAGCAAATCGCCATCTATTTGCTGGACAGGGCCGCAGTGACGACAATCAGAAGCCCGATTTGCGTTTCTTCTTGGGCGTAGTCTGCGATCCTATCTGGCCGCCGCCCACGGACATCCTCTGCTGTGAGCCCATGGACATCCTCTGCTGTGAGCCAGACTGAGATCCCCTCTCGGATGCGATGGAAGCTCGGCCTCCGGTAACCTGCGAGAGCGAGAACGAGCCTGGAAACGGATCGTCCTGGGAGGCTGCGTCCACAGACCGCTGGCTTTGGGACAGGACCGACCGTTGGCTGCTGACGACCGCCGGGGCGACAGAGCGGCTTTGCTTGGCCTCCAGGAGCTCCAAGACCTTCTGCTGCGACAGCTCGTCCTCGGCCCTTCGGGTGCGGTTCATTCTCTTGTGGTGGCTCGTGAGCGGGCGTGAATAGACCAGCAGCTCCCGACCCTCGTGAGAGTTGTAGTATCGTGTCGAGTTCATCCAGCGATCGCGCAGCGACAGAGCCGTTGAGGATAGAGGAGTCGGCTCTCTCATATGGGGCGACGACATGATCTGGGGAGGGAATGCCTTGCTGACGGTTTTGTCGGCCCGGCGGGCAGCAAGTGAGGCTGCGGAAGTGGCCGATCCCATCGAGTTTGTCGAATCCTCGCCGGAGGATGCGGACGGATGGGACCTGTTGCCGGACTGGGTCTTGCGTCTCCAGCGATTCGAAGACTGCGACAACCGCGATCCTGCCGATGCGACACTGCTGGCTCGTTCCGGCTCGCTCTCGGAGAACGGGGCTTCACTTTCGTCGCTGAACGGAATGGCTTCGAGGGTGGTTCGCCCGTGGGAGCAGACCCGGCTTGCCAAGTACACGTCGTGGGCCACCCGGGCGAGGATATCTTGCTCTGGGTCCGTCATGTCGACTGCAGCAAGACTCTCTCCGCCGAGGTGATCAGTCGACTGTGGGTTGCCAAAGAAAGCTGCTTTGAGCTCACGCCGGATATCATCCAGGGACCTGCCGCGAGCATGCGCAACACCTGCGGGCTTTGGTGATGGGACACGCCAGTCGTAGCATCGTGTGATGACCCGCCGAGTGGGATCGTCGATTTCGATACCCGCTTGAAGCTCCGCCACCATGTCGTCGTTTTCAAGCAAGTAAGGGGTGGATGCCGACGGTATGATCGGCTGGTGATCTTGGTCATACGATACAGCTGTGTTCCGAGACGCAGCCTCGGCTTCGAAGCTGGACGGGACAGATATTTGTATATCGTTAGGATGCGACCGAGCCCACAGACTCAGCAAGCAGCTCATGAACTCGTCTGAGTGGAGAGTAAATGGTATCATCAGCGTACCCTCGGAGAGCGTCGCGGATGAAAACTACGCCTCAACGTCGACCGACACGGCCTCAAGCAAAGTGCATCCGAGTGAGATATCGACTTACAGAGTTTGGTTGTTTGCGCTGGAAAGCAAGTCCACGGCAGCATCCATACGGTGGCCTGAACTGAGTGACCGAGGCGACGGCGTGCTTGGACTGAATAGTGCAGCCTCTACAACTGAATGTGCAGAACAATCCATGGGTCAGTCGGTGTTGCGGCAGAATGACGGTTCGCAGCAGGTAGGACTGCGAGCCGAAGCGCCGCTGCTGCCGGTGACTGGGCACTGCAGGCTCAGCACAATCGCAGCCGAGTAGACTGAAGATGCGCAAGGCACAGCAAAGCACCCTCGATGCGAGTTTAGTTGTACTCACACTGGATCGAGTGCGACACGCTCACGATGTTGGCGCTTTGATCTTGAGGCGACGTGGGGGTGGCCAAATCCTTGACTTCGTGTGCGCAAACAGCGGCCTCGATCTGGTGGGGCGAGTATTCGCTTGGGTCGTCCGGTGCTTCAAAGCCGGGTTCTGTCAGCCGGGCGCTGCTCACCTCCGTGTGGCTCCCGACAAACACAGACCCGTCGAGGGCCATCTGGATCACTAGATTTCCACCATCTCGACAAGACGGGTCGCGGGTGGCAACGACACCAATGAGCGGAGGAGAGTAGATCTTGCTGGCCTCCCGCAGGTAGCCAAATCCTTTGGATGCTCCTCCATATCGCTCAAAGGACGCGTGTCCGTGAAGCGAGGCCAGTCGCTTGCTTGGCGACAGGAATCTCAGAGGTGCGACCATCCGATCGACCGTCGATCTGCCAGCCACGAAAGGGTCGGTCTGTTCCTGCGACATGCCGTAGGATATCGTCGAGATGTCGGCGCCGTGACGGTTCCACATGATGACTCGAGCTGTGTAGGAACATTGTGGTCGGACATGGTGTCAGCCTCGGATCGAACTTCACACCCGACAAAGTGCGATCGAGCTCAAAAGTGCCCCTGCGGATGAAATCGACACAGCTAAGAGAGCCGTGTCCAGGATGTGGAACGCGTGCGCTACGTACTCTTGACCTCATGCGGGTTTGGCGGCGTCTGATAAAGTTGCATCCCCGAGATTGGATCGTCCTTTGGGTAGCTGTGTGCCCAGACAAGCAGCGGAGCCTTGGTGTATCGCTCGTCGATGACAACCAGCCTGGACTCGGTCGCAAGCGTGGTCTGGAAGGAGTATGATGGGTGCCGCTTGAAGCATGTGATTTTGTCGTGCGGGAAGCTCATAATCATGTTGGAAGAGGCCGAGGTGGGGGGTGTCTGGTGGAAACGCCAGAGAGTGACGGGTCGGTAGTCAGCCGCACGGATCGTCGATAGCATAGCCGCATCAATTATTGCCGATAGAACTGCGTCGTGAGCACGACAATGCCTACCCGCAAGTCGATTGCCCGCAATGTACTTGCCGATGCCACCAGCACCGATCTGGGATGCGATCCATATTCTAGACTCTTCCAGCCATCCCGCTTCATGAGACTACCCTCGACGGCCGAGTACTTGATTCTCCGGGATTGGTTCATGTCCCATATGTAGAGGCAGCCAGATCTAGACAGTATTGCCGATTCGCGTGCGATGACGGGACTGAAGGCAACATGGGCCGCCTCTTCATCAAGGGTGGCATAGTCGATCACTGTCCAGTCATCCAGGCTCTCAGAGCTGCGTCGAGCGATGGCGGTCGATCCGTATGTTCTAACAGCGGTGAGAGCTGTGGGAAGAATGAGCCCCCCACCCGAGTCAAAGACAGCAAAAGCAGGTTAAGCTCGAGCCCAAGGCAGTCAGGTCGAGTTTCAAGCGAGTACAGCGGTACTTACGCACGGATCCAGGTGTTCGCTGCACAAGAATCTGTCGGATCGGTGTCTTGAACTTGAGCACCGGAGGGCGCGCATGGAAGTCGGCGAGCCGCAGTGGACTACCCCGAGTCGAAGGCTCAATCGGCAGGGCATCTGGTGGATTTGACAGATGCGCATAGTCAGCAAGCCCATTCTGTCCCCAAGCATCTGCGATATTGTCCGTCGACGGAGCCACATACGCATCTGGTTCAAGAGTTCTCCGTGCGGATACAAAAGGTGACAGGAATGCGAGCCATCTGACGATCCCGGGTCGCCAAGGACATCGACTGCGTTGCCTTGGAGCACATCTTGTTTCTCGAGGGTGTCGTCGCTCTCCAGGTTATCGCGGAGCAAGTCGATAAGTATCGGCGTGGGTATATAGTCTTCTGCGAATCTATCCTGAAAGCTCTTGATCTGAGAAGAGAGAGGGCCTTGGTTGGTTGCGACAGAGACCCCAAGCGCTATCCACAGTGCTCCTCGATGTGGTATCCTGGCGGCTTCACAACCAAACTGTCGATTGATATCGCCAGCAAGTCCACTGAGGCTCTCGAATGCAGGCTGGCCACTTTGCTGAGGTGCCGGAGCGCTGGGACCTGGACTGTCTCCACTGCTCGCACCTGAGTCCGAATATACCGGGTTTTCAGCATGGGTCGGTCGAGGAACCGTTTCGGGAGTGGATCCCAGATGCTTGTCCTTGGCAGGATCTTGATCATCGGACTGGTGGATATGTAGTCATCTGCAACAACGCCGAGCCGCAATGGGCAAAAACGGATGCAGATCAGTGCATGTCCAGACACACAGGGCGACGAACGATCGTAGCCATCGCGGCAGAGAGACACCAGGAGACTCAGTGGGATGCACGTTATGAAGTCCACGATCAGTCCACATTCAAACAGCAAGCATGACCCCAGATCGAGCCAAGCAGGATTGAATCGCTTGAGGAACGCATCATTGCGCTACGATCCGCTGATAGCGAGGGCACAGCTACCTTTTCGATTATCGCCCGTAAAATGCAGCTCAACCGATCCGTTGGACTCAAGAGCGGCAACACTGCCCACGAGCCCGTCTTGACATGGCCCGGCGGTGCTGGGGAGCCCGAAGGTCTGGATGTCAAAGAGGCTCATGCGACGCAGCGCCAGGCAGTGGCGATATCAATCAAGGGGGTCCGCTGACTTGACGCTGATCGGTGAGGGGATCCGGGGGTGCTCGATGGCGATTAGCAAGAGCCAAGCTTGGTCGATAGGATGCACGGAGCAACAATCGCCTTGAGACAGCCGACACTCGAGATGGCGGCCGAGGATCCACTGAGCTGCTGGATCAAAGGCGGCAGGGGGGTCAGGAGGATGCTCATTACGGACACATCTGCAGTGAGGGTGGCGACGGATGGTGCGTCTGCAGTTACCGTTCGAGGGCAGGGTCAGACGCAATGGTGCGAGCTGGCCAGTATCGATCTGCGATCCAACCAGACAGACAAAAGCCAGATCGCGGAAATCGAAGCCGGAGAGAGCTCCGGGACGGATCGCGCAGCAGGCGGCCACGTGGACTCGAAGCCATCCTGGCTTCCGGATGGACAGCACAACGACAGCACAACGACACCACTACGGACAGCACAACGACACCACTACGGACAGCACAACGGACAGCACGATAGCGAAGCAAGCAGGGCCAGGATGGGTCTTAGTGGGGCCAGACAACCCCTATCTGAGCCACAGTGCATCTCGGCGGGCCACGATGTCCTCGACGGGCCAGCATTGCATTGGGTGACACTCCAGGGAGTCCAAGGCACCGATCAGAGTCCCATTTTAGCGGGCTGATCTGGGAAACGGATGAAGAGAGCACTTGCCCCCGACCGCCCATGCGTCTGCTGAAGCAGTGGGCCCGCATACGCTCTGGATGATTTGATACCATAATTCTCCTGGAAGAGCCCGGCGGAATCGTACGAGGGAGATCCTGTCCGGACCGCCACAGGTCTGGGTGGGTGATTCCCACGCTCTCCAAGCCTGAAGGGCCGTGGATTGTCGTCTGGATCAAGGAGCACACAACGCTGGTGCCCATCTCCGTGCAGGCTTTCACAGATACGTCCCGTTCAGGATCCATACTCTCTCCTATCCAGCTCCTCGTGGCCTATCTGGTCCTGATACAACCTCCCGTGGCTGCGAGTGCATCTGCAAGCGGTTCCCCGATTGCATCGGTGCATATCCACCGCCGCACTTGCGAGCCACCGTCACCACTACGGTGCGCCGACGTCGACGGCAAACGCCCACGGCGAACCGCCCAAAATGGAGGAGCGGTCTTACCCCTCAGAAGGAGAGGTGCCCTCGCGGCCTTGCGTCTTGTACACAGAGAGCCTCAACAGCGTGCGACGGACAACTCGCTCAGACAACAACAGGATCGAGTCGCTGTTCACCACCCGACTGGAACCATATGATTACGAGGGCCTCTACACCCATAGCAGCAGTGAGTCCATCAACAAGAGCGATTCGCTCGATACCTTCTATGCCGCTCGATCTCCTCAGGGGCTCCCGACGCGACAGCGACCGCTCCCATCCTTCTTCAAGCGCTGCTTCCAATACATCCTGGACAACTTCTCGACGGTCTCGCTGGTGGTCAGCGTGTGCGTGTCTATCCCCGTGGCGTTCTACAAATGGCACATTGCCAGCCAAGACGAGATTTCCATCGCAACCATCCAGTTCCAGGAAACAGCTGCAAATGTCGCCACCGCGTGTAAGCCGCTACTGACGATCGATTGGGGAGGGGTGGGCGAATCGACGGTAATGTGGATCCAAATCAGCATGACTGACGGCCCATCCGACCGGTTTGTGTTCCGCGGTCGCCCACATGCGCACCACTCGATCTCCAATGCACAAGTGAAAGCCGAAATTAACACTTCAACATTCTACACCAAGGTGACTGGCGGGTGCTGTTGGTGCTTGAGCTACATTTGTGGGGGATTCGCAGCATGGTTTGGTGGGGTGGAGAGAATCCCCGTCAGCGAGATGCGCCAACAACCAATCAGCAAGTAACGCGATTGCTCAAGTCGCCTTGGCCTCAACGACCTTCATGAATGTTGTTGTGTCCGGAGCCATTGCTGTCGTCTCCTCGATCATATTGACTGTTGCGGTCTTGCTCTCTGACGGGGTTTAGATGATGGCCAACTATTTCGTTGCCGAGAACAACACACTTGGTCGAGTCAGGTTCCGGGTTGCCACGCATACATCGTTCTGGGCCAACGATTTTCTCCAGGGTATCGCCTTCTGTCCCTACGTCGTCGGCGATGAGCAGCGCCAGTTCTGGGAAAACGAGGGCCGGGCCAACTACAGCCCCAACTACACATTTACGGAAATGACCCCGAATGGCACCTTGATTCCGGCAAATCGCCACCCTGCCTATGTGCCGGTGCAGGTATGCTCTCGGACTGAACCCATTTTCGATTGCGTCTGGGCTTGCGGTGTGCAGTGTGTGATATCGCCGTCGCAGGCACTCCTGACCATTCTTGCTGGACTCAAACTCTGGTTCATAGTACGAGGAGCCTGTCGAAGCAAACCGACCAGCGATTGGTTTCGATCTCTATTCTGAGCCATCGAGGCGGGATGCAATCGACAAGGCTGCTCGAACGGGCCGACTGACTGTCACAGCCCGTCTCGAGCTTGTGCAAGTGCCGAGCCGGACGGAATACGGTATCTTGGTGTTTGTCCCGCTCTTCCGGGTCAACAATACGGTGGTGCCTGTGGTTGCGAATCAGCCCCAGTCGTTGTGGGCGTTGATAGCGGGTGTCACCAGAATCGACCGGTGAGAGTCAGGCCACTTGCTGTGATGCCGCACCCCATTTATGCTGCTGTCCGTGCGGAACTGGTGGCAGCAACTGGCCACTGCACCCGGCATCGATACAGTCGGGCTCCTGTATCGCGATTGGGCTACAGCAAGATTGAGTCGGCTGTGTGTCAAGTGGGGTTGCCGAGTATACGATGTCAGCTTGCTTACAGATGGATTCCTTCTGTGGGCAGCGTCGTTTATCTGGGGGCCTCCAGCCTCACGCTCCCATCCAAGTCTGTGGTGCTCCTCTTTGATACGAGCTCGCCGACAGGGCAGCAGTATCTCGGCCATTACAATCCCAGCAACGAGAATCCAAAGTTTGATAATTTCACATATCTCAGCACCCTCTCGCCCGACAACCTGCCTGCCGATCTGCTGTACACAACGCCAATAAGCTTTGTTGACCGGTGAGCATCATTTGCACACATGATCGATCGCACATGATCAATCGAGACGGCTGCCGGGCTGCTTGCATTGCAGTGGTGCTCACGCGCAGCGGGATCTCTCTTGGCTCGAAAACATGCTCTCCATCCATTGAACGGGCGGCGCTGGCATGTCTGCCGACACGATCTGAACGAACTCGGATGCAGTGACTGGTCTCTGGTGGTGATTGCGACACCCGGTTTCCTGGACTCGCAGCGGACGTTTGTGCCCACTCAAGTCTTCCTGGTCTCGCTCATCGAGCCCGTGCTTGCCATTGCCTTTCACTTCTATCTGCTGGCGCGGCAGCGGATGCGCACCACCCAGCCGGCGCTTCCGTATCAGGTATCGGTTGGTCGGCTGTAGCAGACGACTGCAAGGACGAGGGATGCCTTGTTTCAAATGTCCCTGATGCAATACAGTTCTTGCACGAGGGTATGTGAGGCCGTGACGAGCGAGCAACATCCACCACCGTGAGATGGGGTTGGATCGGTGTCGGCGCCAGCCGCTGTTGTCACATCGGTCTTGGCTGGAGTACCCATCGCGGGTGATGGATGCGAGCATTCCCACGTGGCCACCGAGACAAGGCCCGGCGTCACGGGACGACGCCAACGGCGCGCTGATCCCACCAGCGAGGACACAACCCTCGCCAAGCCCTCCGCAACCCCTCCCCTTTCGCACAATTGTTCCGCCTCTGGCCCAGCCCCGCTTGGTTATCCGTCCTCCGCCCTGATCGCATCTGCCTGCCCTGTTCCCGTCCCCATCTCGCCCACCTCCTGACCCCGCAGGCTTGCTCGCCAGCTCAGTGTTATCGGGCCCAGCTACTCTCTGCAGCAGCTTTATTCTCAACTGATCCCACAGCCCACTTGCCTGTCCAGGAGCACCTGGAGCCGTCACCATTTCTCCCGCCCATCCTGTGCTGACGTCTCCCCCGGCCTGCGCGGCCTTGGATGCCGATCCTTCTTCGGCCCGCTCACGACAGCGAACCATCATGCAAAAGGGCAACACAAAGCGGGTTGCCCCACACCGCATCAACTTGATCGCCCATCAGAAGGAGCGCCTCGACTCCCTCAAGGATGTCTACGACACATATGCAGATTTCATCGAGACTCTCCTCGACAATCTGCTCTCGCTCTACAACACTGCCCCGGTCCGCTTCTCGTCCGGTGCCCTCCAGCGGCTGCACTCGATTGGACTTGCCATTGGGCAGAAGGGCGCCTCGACGACCCTGACCCTGAAATCATCTCGTGAACAGTCCGAGCCGGCCCACCAGGACGGGTGCTCTGGCGACCTGCGCTCCAGCCCGTCGTCGGATGCAAACTCATCCACGGACCTGTCCACAAATGCCAAGTCAGCGACCACGCCGTCGTCGCCGTTCTGGCGCATCTGGATTCCGGCCTCGACCATGGCCAAGATGATCGTCCTTCGAGGCCGGTGCGCCCCAGCAGAGGCCAAGAAGCTGGCGACCTGGGAGTTTGTCGAGATGATGCTGGATCTCTTTGAAATGAAGAACGAAGGTGCCCTCCAGAGCGGATTCCTAGAGTCTGCCGTCGACACCACCGGCTTCGATTCGGCGAGCATGTGCAGCGACGGCGGCAGCGCCAGAGCCACGCCTTCCCAATCCTCGTCACTCCCGAGCGACTTTAGCAGCCCCGTGGAGCCTGTTCTGGCGCTGCAGGCGCATCCCGACACCAAGTGGCCAGCATGGCTGCCCGGAACCAATCAGTTTGCTGTCTCGGACGAGCTTGTGCACGATGCACTGCGGCACTTTTTCAAGGTGGGCTCCCGGCCGGTCGTGTGTCTTGGAAGCGCGACGGCTCGGCTCGATATCTGAGGCTCGTGTGCATCCTGCCCTGCTGTGTCTAGGCCAATGACGCTGCGCAGAAGCTCGTGGGAGTTCGCTCGACTGCATGACATGCTGCATCGAACTGATCTCATATCCTTGTCTGTCCCACGATCGGAAGTCTGGCACCATTCTCGCCCCATCCACAACCAAACGTCTCATACTACCTGATCTTCCCCCAACCGGCATTGCTGACCCACACCTGCTTGCCGATGGGCATCGCATGTGATCGCATGTGCATTGCATGTGCAGTGCGGTGTCGGAACGTATGTTTCCATGGGTCTTTTATACGAGCCCTACCTCCGGGCTAGCTGGGGCTACCAGCCAGAGCACCTCAAGTTCACGCTTCTCACCGCTGGACTCTGGATGAAGCGCCAAGGCAGCGCTCCCCTGTCCTTTATTATGCCGCTTTTTGCCAAAGCCCGGGAGTTGACCATGGAGGCCATCGAAACACCAACGCTGGAACTGGTCCAGTCTCTGCTTCTGGTCGGTCGGCAGGCTTTTTGTAAGTGAAGCAGCCATCTCAACCGATGTTCCTCTCGCCCGGCCTGCACACCGGTACTGACTCTTTTGCACCAAACTCGATGTGCACTCGCTCCTCTGTTTCCAGATATGGGCGACTGTAAGTGTGACGGCCCTTCTGCTTGCGTGTTCGCATGAGGCTGCTATTGCCGAACTGCATTCCGAATTTCTGCAGCCCATCGGTTGTCGTTGTGCTCATCCCACCATCGCTCCCCCCCCTTACCCACTTCACATCCGCAGTCAAGCTTCTCTGTCGCTTCATCAAAATGGCCATACACGCAGCTCAGTTCCTCAAGATAGATCGTCCGTCGTGGTATGTCGGCAAGACCTGGCTTGAGGCCGAGCATGCCCGTCGTGCCTGGTACCAGTGCGTGTATCTCAACTACCTGGTAGCCAGCCACATCATGGCATACCAATCGCCCGAGTCGGAGCCGACGCACCTGACCGTGCATTCGCCGCCGACAAACGAGTACCTCTGGACGAATCTGTCGGACTCTATGGACTTGACTACTGTGCCAGCGGCGCCGTTTGCTGTCGATCCATATATACCCACGTACGCCATCGATCTGCTCAAGTTTGTCCAGATCCAGCAGCAGGCCATACAGTACCTCTCGCTCTTCAACAACGGCCTGCCCGAGTTCAACGCCGAAACATACGAACTGGAAACGGCCCGGATCGAAGAATATCGCCTGTGGCAGAGCCTGACGCTCACGACCCTATCCAACTGGTATGCCAGCCTGCCCGGCTGGATGACCAACCTGGACAATGTCCTCGACGACAACAAGAGAAACATCCTTGGCCGGCTTTCGCTCGAGATCATCCACTGGAACACCATGTTCTACGGCACCATGATGCTCGTCAACTATCCGGCCGCCATCGAGGGTATGTTATGTTGACCCTGGATGCTGCCCTCGCTGTGCTCCACGGCTGTCGCATTGGCACATCGATGCTCTCAAGCATCGCTCCGGCCCAACTAACCCGTCCTCCATGTGTACATTTTCGTCCGGCGACTTGCCCGTATGCATCCGGACTTTTCCAAACTGTGTTGTTGCTCACGCCATTTGCCACGATGGCTGACAGAGCTCTGGCGAGACGAGCACTCTAACAGCCAGACATCGATCGCAATCGGGACCTGTCTTTCGACCAACGAAATCTTCCGACATCTCGTTGGCATGATCTACACCCTGGAGCGAGACCACTGCCACGACAAGTCCTTTTTGCTGAACAACTTTATACCGATATGCCGAATGGTGGGGACTGGTTCGATGACGGCACACCGACAGATGAATGGGCGAACAGAGCGATTAGGAAATGCGGCTTTGGTTGCATGGGTGATACAGCGGATTCTCCAGCCTGACTGTGTGTGTCTCCATCCTCCACCCATCCACTATCCATCCACCCATCTACTATCCATCTATCAGATCAATATCATTTCGTACCGGCTCAACCCGGCCCAGCCGATCGAGCCGTTGATCATGAAATGGATCCGAAACGACCAGTACAGCCACCAGCCCCGGCCCCAGTTCACCGAGCACCCGTCAAAGTTCTTCAAGGACATCTTCCGCAAGAGCATGATCCGGATCTCGCCGCGGGTCCGCAGCCGCGAGATTGCGCGCGAGGCCGTGAGGCGCTACCGGTCGCTGATCTACTCGGTCTGGGACCTGGCGATGGGGCCGTGGGTGCCCCAGGACCTGTGGAATCAAGTTGCAGCCGACCTGGGTCTCTCTCAGTTCATTGTACAGGGATGCACCGTCAATATCCAGGAGCTCGATCCGATCTTCTTGAGCCAGTTTGACGTTATCCGATCCAAGTCATGACCCAAGTCATGACCAGCCCCCCTCCTCCCACAACCGATGCGACCCCCGTTATGTTGTGTTGTGTTGTTCCTGCCGCGACTGTGCGTCCTCCTCACCATGTATATAGACGACCCATGCTGTACTGCACTGTCGATAGCTGTCTCGCTTTTGCTCCCATGGACCGTGCACTATGGTTTGGTGCACCACAAGGCCGGAGGAGAGCCGATCCAGAGACAACTAACTGGGTGAATGTATTCGGGAACTACAGCCGGGGTGGATCTGGAGATCCTGCCGCTTCGCTTCTCTGCGCAGGATCAGCGATGCGTCCACACACAAACGTGCGCATTTGTCAGTCGGGAAAAACTAGAGCTTTTGTTCCTGGAGCGGAGAGGAAGGAGTTGGAATCGGTGGGAGGTTGAGGAGAACGGCTGGAGGTTGAGGAGAAAGGTGAGCCCAGCAAGGTGTTTAGGCCTTGACGTGGAGCTTGACCCAGGCCGTGACGCTCTCGGCGTCCCGCTCGACCCACTTGGTCTTGCTGCGGACGTGCTCCAGGGTCTGGTTGAGCTTCATAGAGGCAGCCTTGACCTGCTCGACACGCAGGCTGCGCTCCTCCTCGGGAAGACCAGCGCCGCTGGCCCAGTCCTCGACGCGCTTGACAACCTCGTCGCCGATCTGGGCGCCGACGGGGGCGGCAAGGACGTGGCCCATCAGCGACATGGTGGCGCTCAGGCGCTCGTGCAGGGTGGTCCAGTTCTTGACGATCCAGTCCCAGACGTACGGGAGGACTTGCTTCTTGAGTGGGCCGCTGCAGAGCGAGATGATGGGGTAGTGCAGATCCTGCGAGCGCACCAGGTTCTGGTCCAGGGTGAGCTCAAGGACGCGGTCGACCAGCTCAAACTTGGGAACATGGCCGATGGCGCCAAGAGCAACCAGGCGCTGGTCCTGGGCGGGGGCGGTCTTGTAGATGTTGAGGATGGCCTCGAGGTCGGCCTCGGGCTGGGTGGAGTTGGAGAGGACAACGGCGTAGGCGGTGCCACGGAGGTTGGGGTGCAGGGCCGACTCGTCGCCGGCAATGAAGCGGGCAAAGCGCTCCTTGAGATCGGCGATGACGACAGCATCGTCCGCACGGGCGGCAGCGCCAACAACCAGGCTGCGCTTCATGGTATCGAGATGGTCCTCGCTGGCGGGGTAGTCCAGACCGACTTGGGCGGCCTTGCGAGAGAAGATGCTGCGCTGCAGAGCCTTGAGGCCATCGACAACATCCTCGGGCTGGAGGTAGAAAGCGTTTCGCAGGCCGGCAAGGTGGGTGTGGATCTCGTCGAGGACGCTGAGGGAGCAATCGACCGGAGCGTCGCAGGATGGGGAGGAGCAGGATATGGTCAGCGGTCTCGTCCGATGCACATGCTCGCTTTGCCTCTGCTTTTGCTTTGTTTCGTCACGATCGGCTGGCTACGACAGAATCTGTCGATAAACCAACACACATTCATCCCCGCCAAGCCATGGGGGGGATGGGTGGTGCGCGCTCGACATGCGGCTCCACTTACACAAAGTTCTGCTCGGCGTCATAGCCGGTCAGGACCTCAAGAGCGACGGTGGTGCTGGCATAACCGGCCTTGGCAAGGGCAAAGGCATCGTTGACGACGCCGACACGGTCGGTGGTCGAGAAGGCGTTGATGTTGGTGGAGATGGCGTGGGCCAAGGCCTTGATCTGCGACTCCTGGAAGCTTGTGCGGTAGAAGCCGGTGGATCCGCTGTTCAGCTTCCACCACGAGCCCTCGGCTTGGGTGTAAGGGATGGTGACGGTGGTGTGGCGGTCGGTGAGGATGTGATCCGAGGGGTGCGAGGACAGGTGCGAGATGATCAGGAGCGGGATGGTCCAGAGGGTCTCGTCTTCCTCGTCCTTGACGTCGCCCGAGGACAGGAAGCGGTTCTGGCGGAGGGTGATGGTGAGCTCGTTCTTCTCGGCATCAAAGACCTCGGACTCGACCGTGACGATAGGGAAGCCGATCTTGCGGGTCCAGACGTACATGAGACCCTCGACATCCTTGCCAGAAGCAAGACCGAGGTGTCTCCACAGATCGACGGTGCTGGCGTTGCGGAACTTGAACTCCTGCAGGTAGCTGCGGACGCCGTTCATGAAGGTCTCCTTGCCCAGGTACGAGCTGGTGGTCATGAAAGGCGAGTGTATCCACCATGGAAACAGGAGAGTGTCAGTGCTTGCTGGATCCCAAAGCACACAGTATGGCATTCACGGATGTGCGGGAGCTCAAGATTCGCATTCAACGAGAGCCCAGAGGCCCAGCGAGAGCAGCTTGGGGCAGTCCATCGGGCCGGCACGCACCTGATCATGCGAATGACCGATCCACCCTTGAGGTACGAGATGGCATCGAAGATCTGGTTGATCTCGTGGGCCTTTTGGACCTCGACCTCGATGGGGTGAGAGGAGCGGAGTCCGTCCAGGTTCTGGGCGGCAGTGAAGTCGCCGAGGAACTGGGTCCAGACATCCCACTCGGGGAAGAGGTTGTCGACAGCCATCCAGCCAACAAAGGTGGCAAAGCCTTCGTTAAGCCAGAGATCGCTCCACCAGTCCATGGTGACCAGGTTGCCGAACCATTGGTCTTTTGGAAATGTGGTACGGGGCGGGGAAGTGATAGCAGCGCGGTGCAGAAGATGAAGCAAGATCAGTGACACGGTCTCTGAAGCAGCGAGTCGGAAGCAGATAGAGCTAGCTGGCTGGAGAGACTACTTACGGGCAAGCTCGTGGCCGACGACGTAGGCAATCTGCTGCTTGGCGCGGACAGAGGAGTTCTTCTCGTCAAAGAGGAGGGCAACGGTTCTGTAGGTGACCAGACCCCAGTTCTCCATGGCACCGGCGCCAAAGTCGGGAATGGCGATCATGTCCATCTGTCAGGCGCGATTAGGGTTTAGTTAGAACCAGGATTGGTACTGGGACAGATTGATCTGAGCCGATCCACGGAGCCTGGAGCAGAAGCAGCGGATGGGAGGTGGGAACGCACATACCTTGGGAAGAGGGTAGGGGGCGTTGAAGTACTGGCGGAATTCGAGCATCGGAAGCGTTAGTTGGCCATGCAGAGACAGAGACAGAGACAGAGACAGAGACAGAGACAGAGACAGAGACAGAGACAGAGACAGAGACAGAGACAGAGACAGAGACAGAGTGCTTAACGGGTGCAGTTAGGGCTGCTTACCTCGGAGAAGTACTCAAGAGTGCGGGCAGCAACGCCAAGGGCGAAGCGGCCGCGCTCAACCTCGCCAGGCAGAGTGTAGACACGGACGGTGATGGGTTTGGCGCCCTCGGGCTTCTTGGGGTATGAGGTGGTCTCGATGAACTCAAAGTCACCGACGGCGAAAGCGACGAGCTGGAGGACGCAGACCAAGGGCGGTACGCAGGTGTGTCAGAGAGCATGAATCCACACAACAGGAACAAGCTCGAGGTGAGAATGGCTCCAACGCTCGAGCACAATGGACAGACACAGGAGAGACAGCGGTGCCGACGACCACGTTTTCAGCTGCCGTTTCTGCCGCCAGCCAAACTGATGGCGCCATCCGGGAGAGACGGGAGATCAAGGCTCTGCATCTCGGGCCGTGCGCCTTGGGCACCCCTCCCCGCCGCACAGCAATAGAAAGAGAAACAGAAATAGAGCTGGGAGCCGCACTCAACTTACGTAGGTGCTGACGATGGGAGTGGTGGCAAAGTGGACAGCCTTGAGCTCACGTCCATCAACCTGGATGTGCTTCTCCTCGATGACATTCATGTTGGAGAGGGCAACGAGGGCGAGATCGACGTTGAGGATGACGTCGAAGGTGGCCTTGACGTTGGGCTCGTCCCAGCAAGGGAAGCACCGGCGGGCATCGGTGGCCTCGAACTGGGTGACGACGAGATGCCTGCAGGATTCGAGGAGGGGGGGGAGCCGGCAAGAATTAGCACGGATCAAGAGCGCCAGGGCGAGTGCGCACAAACACTCCGGCGGAGCGACAGCGATCGGAGACAGAGAAGTTGCGGATACCACCGGCCAGGAAGACTCACTTTTTGCTGCCATCGGCGCCGGTGTAGGCACTGCGGTAGAAACCAGCGAGCTTATCGTTGTGGACACCGGTGAAGGCGAGCTCCAGGGTGGCCTCGGAGCCGGCAGCGAGGGCATCGGCAAAGGTAAAGGTAACTCGCTCGAGCTCCTTCTCATAAGTGATGCTGGTGGCCTCTTGGCTGGCAAATGGAACAGGAGATTGAATGTCAGCCATATCGCGATCGACGGCCACGACGGAACAGAAGTGATCCGCCAATGCAGGCGCAAACGCAGTGCTGCTTTCGCATCAGGCATGTTTGCTGGGGACTGACCTGACGCCGTCCACGGTGACCTTGGCGGTCTTGACGTCGAGCTCGTTGGCGTTGGTGACGATGGAGGTGGTGGCTTCGTTGACCTTGACCCTGTCGAGCAGAAAAGCATGATTAGTGACCCAGGCGGCACCAGCAACACCGGCAGCATCCCGAGGCAACCGCATCTGCAGCACCGGGCATTCGATCGTGCGGGGATCTGACGCCGTTGCCCTTGCACAAGTACGTACTTGATGGCAACGGATCCAGCAAAGACAAAGTCGCCGCCGAGGTTGGGGGTGATGTTGATGGCATAGTGAACGGGAGTCACATTGCCGGGGAGAACCTCGCGCTTGGCCGAGGCAAGATTGGCGGTGGTTTGGCACATGGCTGCGGGGAGGAGGAGGAATACGAGGTGCTGGGGAGATGAAGTGGAAGACGAGCAGGAAACGCAGGACCGCAGGAACCGCGGGCGACCGACGGCTTTTGAAGGGCCAGCGCGGGGCTGGATCTCTGGCTGGGGAGCCTTGGCGCCGGGGGTGGCCCTTGAAGGCCGATGGTGCGATTGGACGGACGATGGGCGACGCAGCCGGCGGCGATTGGACGGGGCCGGGTGGGCTGGTAAGCAGCCGCCCGAGAGCAAGGAGCACGAATGGGAAGTGGGAATGCAAGCGCAGCGACATGAAGGAAGGGGGGGGGCAAGATTCAAAGGAGTGGTTGCGCAAGACACTGCTTTGGTCGAGTGTCCCACACAGCGATCGACAGCGACAGCCGAGCAGGTCGTTCGACGACAAGCAGAGCAGCCATGGGGGACGGCGTCAGCTGCCCGGCTGAGCTGCTGGAGGATCAGCAGGCGGTTACAGCGAACATCTTTGAAATGGGGACACCTTCACGCCCGGATGACTTGCGTGGGCAGTGTGGGCAGTGTGGGTTGCATGGCTTGTGTGAACAGACGACTTTGATCGGCATTCGAACTCCATGCACTCGACCGGGTGTGTGATATGATCGACTACGCCGTGTTTGTCCCATTGTTAGTTTAGCACACTGTACAAATCGGTGTGCGAACATCAGGTTGCTGTAAAATGTAAAGTCGGCCGGCGCAAGACCGAGAGACGTTGGACATGTTCGGCGCCATGCAGGACCATGAAAGACATGTCCGAAGTGGTTTGGCACTGTGGGACATGTCTCGGTCTTGGTCGGGCCAGCGCAACCTGTTGAACCCACCTGTTGAGCCCACCATCCTGCGGCATGGGCCAAGCAGCCAGCAAGGCCCGTCCTGCCAGGCAGGAAGCGCATCCCGGTCGCCGATCCCGGCGGTCGCGCAGCCAGAAGCTTGTGCCCAAGCGACGGCTGTGCGGGAGGCTGATCCCGCAGGCCGCGCAAGGAGTGTTTTCCACCACACCTCTGATCATGCGGCCCTCGATCCATGCGAAACGGCCATGTCTCATGGCGATGGTGGGGTCGAGTATCCACCCAGCATCGAGGACGATGGCGGATTTGCTCGCATGATGAGGCGAGTGCGGGGCGGTGTGGCACGGGGCTGGTGCAGCAAGGCGCTGGCAAGTGCAGCCGGCAATGCCCACCCCGGTCGCTGCCCAAATGCATCCAAAAGCTTCGATTGCCAACAAAGACGGGAAGCTGGAAGCCAGCAGGATCACACCGCTGAGTTGCTATCTTCGCTGAGCTGCTTTCTTCGCTGTCTTTTACTCTCTTCGCTGTCTTTACTTCTTTGCTGTCTGTTGCTCTTCACTTGTGCCACCCGAGTTCCCAGTTGCCGCCAATCACCAGCCGTGGCGCACTGTCACATGCATGTCATGTGGACCGACGTGACTCGCACGCTTCTTCTCCTCGGCTCTCTCTCGCCACGCGCTCTCGGCTGCTCTCGGCCGCTCTCGCTCCTCGGTCCTGGCTGTGTCGCCGTTCGATCCGTCTTGTCCCGTTCTCCTCCTTTCCCTCCATCCATCCATCCATCCATCCACTCGTCCATCCACTCATCCATCCATCCACCCATCCATCCAGCTCGATCTTGCTCGGCGCTGTCTTTCCCGTCTTGACTGCAAACCCCCATTCGCGTCGCTTGCTGCTCCCGCAATACACATCGCTGGGGCCAACCTATCCATCTCCATTGCACTTCACGCAATACACGCCTGTCTCGCCGACCAGAGCACGCTGCCAGCTGTCTCTGTCCCCTCCCTCCCCTTCTCTGCTCGCTTGTCTATCGGGCTGCCCATCCCTTAGTCTTTCCTCAAACATCCCGCCCGCACAGATCGCCGTCCTCCATTCTCCTTCTGCTACTCACCAATGGACCTTCCTCCAGTCTCTTCCGATTCCCTGCTTGGGCCGGAGCCGCGCATGATTCCAGCCAGTTCTGCGGCACTGCTCGCTGAGGTTTCGGGGTCGCTCGTCCAGCCAATCCCCACGGCTGGCGATCGGCAAAGCGGCCCCGATCATCTGCTTCCACCCATCCACTTCGCTCCAGGTCCAGGTTCAGGTCCAGGTCCAGGTCCAGCTCGCGACTCCCATCTGGATCCGTCCGATGTGTATGAGCCAGAAGAGTATGAGGAAGAAGTGTCGAGCGGGTACATTCTGCCGTTGCTGATGCAAACGCCCTCTGCTGTCGGCACTCTTGCCCATGGCCCCGCCGACGCCTCGCTCGGCTGGGCCGCCGGCAATGCCCCCGGCCAAGCCTATGCTGCCAGTCACGGCCATGCCGGCAGCAGCAGCCAGAACGGCGCCCTCCTCCCAGCAGGTCGCCAAGGAGGCGGACTCTCAGAACCCCCCGCTGCCCCAAAACCACGACCTCCTCCCCACGGCGAGCCGAGTGTTGTCTCCAATGTCCAGCCCCGTCCTCGTCCCGGCACCGATGCCCATCTCAATGCGAAGCCGCCGGGCAGCGATCCCTCCGATGCAAGCGAAACGTGTGATCCGCACCAGTTCCATCCCCACCACACTGTCCAATTCGTGGCACCGCCCGGAGTCATCTCCACGTTGCCATACGGCTGCAGAATGTTTATCGGAAACCTGGCCTCGGAGCACACCAGCAAGAGCGAGCTGGCCTTGATTTTCGCCGAGTACGGCAACATCATTGAAATCTCGATCAAAGACTCCTTTGGCTTCATCCAGTTTGACAACCCAGAGTCCTGTCGCGCTGCCATGGCCGGTGCCAATGGCCGGATCGTGGGCGGCCTGAGCCTAGGTAGGTTTCGATCGATCTGCCCGCCTTCTACGCCGAGCGGTGGCGATTCCATCCCGAGGCACGACTTATGCCACCCTCGGCGGTACTATTCCGCCAAGCGAGCGACCGTCGCCCTCGATCGCCGTCACGCAACAGCGTCCTGTCTTGTTGTTATGCTCCGGCGTATCCAGCATCCTTTCCATCGCCGCCAACCCGTCGACAGCAGCAGATCGGGCGATGCTCTTGAAATGCCCATGGAACACCCGTCGTTGCGCATCTGGCTCACCCCTCCGGATCGCTTGTTCTTGTTCCTGCGTCAACTGCCCATTCACCACCGTGTCCCTTATCCTGCCATACTTGCCGCAGATCTCAAGCTCTCCAAAGACAAGGGGCGCCGTCGCCCTCCGAGCCCCCTCCGCCATCATCGCAGCGATCGACCAGAGCCGGCTCCGCGTCGGCCCGACCGCGAGCGGCCCCGGGACAACCGACCAGGTCGCGAACGAGACCCCCACGACTATCCTGAGCGCGACCGGCACGCTGGCCCGCGCGGACGGGTCTATCGGGAGGACTCGGATTCGGAGCTCGACGATCGGCTGCGCTACGAACGGAGGGACAAAAGCCCTCGAGGCGGAGCCGGCCGTCCTCGTCGGCGCAGTGCCTCTCCGCCGCGGTGGGGCAGCGGACCCCGACGAGACCTGAAATACGATCGCGACGTTCGTATCTCCCTCCCCTCCGAGTTCCCGCTGCCTCGGCGATACGGCCCTGACGTGCCGGACTGCCAAGTGATTGTCTTGGATGAAATCGATCGGTATGCGTGCGTTCCAGATAGCCGCTTACTCGCAGACCCGTAGCTTTGGTTTTGAGGGCCCCGCCAGTCTCATGCGAACGTGCGCCCGCCATGGGATCCCGTCCCTGCCTACATTGACTAATCCTGTCGACTGTGTTGTCCATCACCCCGCTTAGTAACTTTATCTGGCAGCTCGAGGGACTCATCAAGAATGCCCGGTTCAAGGTGGATACGCTCTTTTTGTCCCCCAAGCTGCCGCTTCGTGGCGTGATCTACCAAATGAAGGCCGAAGGCGTCCGATCCGTGATTCTTCTCGAGCGCCAGCACGAGCGGAACGGCCTGTTTTCGATGCAGCTGTTCCACGACAACGGCTCGTTTACTTCGCGTAAGTGTCGCTGCCACACCTTTTCGGAAACGGAATGGCATGGACGCCTTAATCTCGTCGACCCGCATTGCATGCTTCCGGTTATGCACGATCGGTGTGTTTCTAGTGTCCCCAAAGTCAGACACTCTCAGACTCACATCGACCCCCAATGCCCATCGTCTGCCCTCGTAGACGAGCAAATCGACGGCCCCACAGCCGTTCGTATCCTTCAAGATGACCGCAACGCCCGTCAGCACCCGCGGCTCCCCGGTTCTGGCGCAAATCTGCCCAATACTGCCGCGCCGCCTGCTGCAGCCAACCTGGGCGGTGTACCGCCAAGCCTGCTCGCCTCTCTGAACATCGACCCCCAGACCTTCTCGGCTGCCTTGAACATGCTGCAGCACATCCAGTCAGGCACGGCCAATGCGTCTGCGCTCAATCCAAGCCCACTTGGTCCCGGCGCAGCCAGCACAAATCCCCTTGGCGTCAATCCCGTCAGCGCGCCCATCAATCCAAATCCTCTGGGTGCCAGTCTTTCCGGTGCTAGTCCAGTCGGTACCAATCCCTTGAGCCAGTTACTTGGCGCTCTGGCTCCCGCAGCCGGCAGCCAAGGCAGCATGCAACCAGTGGTTTCTGCGCCTCCGAGTGGACTGCTTCAGCCCCAGCCTATTCCGTTGACAGTGCCCATGCAGCCTCGGCCATACGCAGCACCGAGCAGCAACCTGCCACCACAGCCGGTCACATCCGGCCCCGCTAACCCGCCCGATCTGCAGGCAAACATTGCATCGCTGCTGTCCAATCCAAGTCTCAAGCAACTTCTGCAGAGCGCCTCCGGTATACTCGGCCCTGGTGCTGCTCAAGATCAGCGTGGCTCGTCAGGTCCTGCAGCCGTACCGGTGTCGCTAGGGATGCAACAGCAGCAGCAACAGCCACAGCAGACACAGCAGACGCAGCAACCATCTGGCCCTGGCTATCCCGGGGTGTCTCTGCCCCAGCAGCCGCAGCTGTCGAATCCATATGCCCCGAGGCCACCGCTCCCAGGACAGCCCGGCGTTTATGTACCACAGCCAGGACAGCAGCCACCAGTCTATGCCAGTGCACCACCTGTACCAGGACAGCCAGGATTCCAGGCGAGACCTGGACCTCCTCCGCCCCAGACCGGCTTCAATCCACCCACAACACATGCCGCCGCCGCCGGGCTGGCAGCCTCCGCTGAGTCGGTCGGAGACATTCTCGAGCGGCTGAAACAGATCCAGAACATGCGTACCGGCACGCCGGGAACAGTTCCGCTGCTTGGCAAGCCTGGAGGCGATGTCCCGCTGGGTTTCCAGGCCGCCCAGCCCGCCCAACCTCCCCTCGGCTCCTCGCTGTCGCCATTTGGATCTTTCCAGGCTGCCCAGGCGCCGCCTCCACAGCCGCTACAGCACTCTCAGCAGCAACAGCAGCCACAACAGCCGTTTCCGCAGTATCAGCCGCCACCACCGCGCCAGCAGCAGGCCGGAATGCCAGGCTTTGCTCGGCCGCCCTTCAACCCAGGCTCGGCACCGCATGCGCATGGGTACGGCGGCCGAAATCCGGGCGGTCCATATGGCCGCCACTAAGCCGGGCTTGTCCGTATACGATATATGGAGGGAGGGAAACTCACCTGCATCCGCCAGCGTGAGAAAGAGAATGACAGACAGGGTTTCTGATGAGAAGAAATACAGCACTAGATCGTTTCCTTTTGACAAATCGTTGTGGGAATGTGTTCGTTTGGCGATCAAGGTCAGTCGGTTGGGCGACAGGGCTGTTGGCATCGGGCCGAATCGGATTCAGATCGCACCAGATTGGATTCGATTGGGAATCTCGGCGTGAGCCAAAATGCTTTATGCGGCCTGGGCAACCGACACAAACGCCCCTCTCGCCGATTCCCACGCTGCAACGCAACGATGAGAACATTCGGGCCATACTACCGGCCAGACCACGGCGACATTATCGGATATTCGTCTCATGGCAGCAAGGAACACACCCAGGCATTTGCATTGACTGGCCCGCCCGCCCTTCCAGAGCCCCTCCCGCCGATAGGATCTCGGCAAGTCGATGAAAATGCAAACACCGACTCAGCCCCACCACCAGCACAACTGCTATCCCGCCCAGCCGCAGCACCCCAGCCGTCAGACCCAGCCGCCTCTCTATCGAGCCATGCTGTCGTCACTGCTCTTGAGCCGACCTGGTCACGCCAGAGCAATCCCTTCGAGCTGCTCAACATCCAGATGATCCACGAGCGGCTGATGGAGCTGGAGCACGCCGCAAGCGAAAACGAGCGACGAACGGCGGCACTCACAGCGCGAGTCGAAGATCTGCTGGAGATGCATTCGGTCGTGGCCAAGGATGTGGCCACACTGCGAGCGTATGTTGCCATGCAGGGTGTGCTGACGGATGGCCGAAAGGCCGGGAGGCAGAGAAGGCGAGGTACTTATTGTGGTCGAACCTCACTCCCACGCTCACCCTCGCTTTCCCAGAGCACTCGATACAGGTCTGCGGAATGCACTCGCCCTTTCGTCTGCCCAGCAACAAGACCTGCGTGCCGATCTCCAGCAAATCTCTGGCGACTGCCGCTTGCTCGACGCTCAGCTGAGCCAGCTCCGCGACGCCCAGACCAGCGACCGGGAGCAGTTCCTGGCATCGTCCTGTGTCGTGCGGCAGGAGATTTCCGAGACCAACCGGAACCTGGCCGATCTCACCCAGCTCCAAACCGAAGCTCGGGCCACCGTCCAGGAGCTCGCACAGCAGCATCAGCAACAGCAACAACATCAGCAGCAGCAACTCGTCGCATTTGACCAAAAGCACGCCCAGTCGGCCCAGATCTTGGACCATAATCTGCAGCAACTCTCAACGTTCGTCAAGTCCTTTGCCACCGAGACCCGCGAGCAGCATGTCCGTATACTGGAGACTTCTCGGGACGAACTCGCCAGTCATGCCAAGACCGAGGAGGATGTCCGCCGTGCGGATCTGAGTCTGTGCTATTCAACCCTCTCCGAGGCCATCGAGGCGGGGCACAAGAAGCTGGCGGGACTGGAAGGCACCGAACTCCCGGCGCTGCGGAAGCAGCTCGCTCAGCTGGACGCTGCTCTCGACAAGCGGCTCGAGTTTCTGCGGACTGACTTGACCAAGTTGCTGGATGACGTCAGCCAGAGGAGCGAGATGCAGTGCAAGGCCACACACGCCGAGCTCTCTGCCAATGCCGAGTCGATGCAGCGGGAGCTACGGACCGAACTCAGCGAGACTCAGACCTTCCTGGTGCAGGAGATGAGGAGGATGACCAGGCCCCTGGTTGTGATTTGATCTGGTACTGTGGCAGGCAGAGCGATCCTCCCGATAAATGAACACGACTCCTCCAGGACCAAGGAGTGCGCCTACATCTCAAGAACTATCTCGAGCAGCACTACCTGATCGTATCCACTGAAAAAATGGTATTGTTTATGATGCTGAGGATGTTGGTGCAGATGTAGGGTGACGTGCAATGGATAGTGCCGTTGTGCAATGGATGGTGCCGTTGTGTAGTGAGGATGCGACGCAGTGCTCGACAGACAGGAATCAATGGGACAGACAAATGCGGGTATTCAGACTTGCTCGCCGGTCGCCGACTGCTCTGCGGTTCCGGCTGCTGGGACCTCATTGACGGGTGGATCCTCGGCCTTGGCTTCAACGGGGGCATCCGTGGTGTCGGCTGGTCATTCAGGACAGATGGACAAACATGGCGGTCAGTTCGCTGTGACTGCTCTCATGGCAACTGTCTGGATGGTGAGCGGGAATACATACCCCGATCGTTGCCGTGTGGCTCGCTCGTTGGCTCGCTCGTTGGCTCCCTCGGAGCAGTGTCTTCAGCGATGGGTCCCAAAGACGACTCTGGCTCAGACTGCTGCACTTTCCCGCTCTCATCCAATGCGGTGTTGGCATCGGACAGGGCACTTTCGACGGTCTTTGTGCTTTCCTGCATGCCTGGGTCTTGATTCCGTTCTCCAGTCTGTGTTTCGCTTGCACCAGTAGACGGCGTGACGACCTGGGTCTCTGATATCTCGACTGACGATTGGACTGCTTGGCTGACACTGCTCAGAGCGTTGGCCTGGTCTTGGCTCGGATCTCCCGCCAGTACTTGCCGAGGCTCCATCACAGTCGATACCGACTCTGCATCCATGGTCGCGGCAGGGTTGCTCTTAGGCTGCTCCTGTTGGGCCGGCGGCTCGGCGTGGTCTTGGTTTTCGGCAGGCGGATTTGGTCGACCCATCGGATCCTGCTGTTCTCCGACAGGACTCGGGCCTGGCGGCACAGGAACAGCCGAGCCATCGGCTTGGGGTGGGCTCACCTCGGAGTGCGGCTCCTTGCCAGCGCTCGAGTCGACTTGGACATCGCTCTGTGGCTGGTCTGATAACCCTGTGACTCCGGGCAGAGACAAGGGCTCGGACTGCTCCGGTCGCTGCTCAGACGCAATTATTGGCGGATCTGCCTCTTGTATCGGAGCCGGTACATGAACAGGCTCCGAGGGCTTGGGGGGCTTGGGGGGCTCGGCAGCCGCGACGACTGTCTGTTGCTTACGAAACTCCATGATCTCCTCGTCGACTTCTTCTTCCGAAGTGCCCTCGTCGCCAAAGTCCTTTGGATGCTTCTGGTGCTCCCGAACAGGGCAGTGCGCTCGCTGGAAGTTACTTTGCTTCCTCGGCGGTGGATAGGCCGGCTCGCTAAGCCGGCTGTAGAAATTACTGTCGATCGGCTTGAAGCGCACGCCGGTCCGGCCCTCGAGGGCTGCCGAGATCCAGCGTCGCCGTTGCTTCTCCATCTCGTCCTTGGGATCTTCGAGGTTGCGTGACGAGTGCAGCTTCTCGCTGGCCAGGCGTGTGAAGAAGCTTGGGGAGGCTGGCGGAGGTGCTCGCCGCTGGAACATCTCGCGCGGAAGCTGGAAGGGCGGCGGCCTCTTGGGCTGTTGCAGTCGGATGAACAGGTCCTGGGACACTGGGCCGAGCTCGGGCTTTTGGTAGATCTCGGGCGGCAGCTCGATCGGGGGCACGGCGCGGGGTACGGCCAAGCGGTCAAACAAGCCCTTGCTGGCGATCTTTCGGCGCCTGTATGGCGGCCGGGTGTGGGTGGTGCTTGGGCGAGACGGATGAGCAGAGGATGTATAGGTGAGCTCGGTCTCGAGTGCCCTGGCCTGGGAATTGTCCTTCAGGATCTTTGGCAGGTTGGAGTAGTCGTACATGGGGCTCTGCATCCAGAAACAATTGCAAGGCGGTGGCCGTTGTGGGAGGCCGCGACAAACACTCAGTAACGGGTTGCTCGAGTAGACCATTGCCCTCCAGACAACCAGGCTCAGGCCATCTCGACAGCAGTGCAACGGTGCAGCATCTAGTGGGGCGAATGTGATGTGCGCTACAGCAACTGCCGCTGAGACATACTCCCGCTGTCTTCTCGTGGACGCGGGCATACTCCTTGAACCCGTACTGCTCCTCAGGCGGGGTGTAGTCGAGAGGAGGCAGACAGAATCGCTCCTGGTCCTTGAGGCTTGGCTTGCAACCTGCCAAACAGACGGCACCATTGGTGTGCTGATCCTGGGCAGTGGTGCCCACACAATGCACTCCCAAAAATGTCCACCAGCGGATGTCTGGGTGTCCAAGGCCAGGCCAGTTTGCGTGGCAAGATGCAGGACCAAGCAAAAAGCGGATTGAAAGCAAGCCTACCCCTCTCGGCCGCGGACTTCCATAGCTTCCGCTGCATATGCCAGTGGAGCTTGCCCGCGGGCATCTTCCTGGCATCGTCGATGTAAAACTTGACCTGGAGGCGGTACTGGCTGCTTCCTTCCTCGGGCCCGCCACATGCGAATTTGGACTTTGGTAAGAGCGACTCGGTCCACAGCTTGGCGACCCGGCGCTCAACCGGGTCATCTGCGGTCCGCGCATACATCTTTGAGGGCGATCGGTGTTGCTGCTGACTGGCCAGGTGCTCAGCGGCGGCGTGCGGCCTGGTCTCGGATGAAGAGTGATGGCGGAAGCTGGCCAAGGCGACAGAGAATGCGATCTGATGCAGACGAGGGGGCGGCTCCAGAAGCGGCGGCTGCGGACAGGACTTCTGCGAGGGTTGGCAAGCAGCAGCAGCAGCAGCAGCGAGAAATGCAATCCATAGCCGGACCCTGCGCCACTCTTCGACATATGTGACCGCTGCTCAGGGTCGACGTAACAGCGGGCGACGTCGGCCCCCCTGGCGGAGTGCTGCCCAATCACGGCGCAGCTACCCCTGAGACATCACAGTTGCATCGCTGCATTTGCACATCACAGCTGCATCCGCACAACATCGCTGCACTCCCGCTGCGGCGCCCTCTCGCACATCTGCTCTTGGGCTGTGCTTGCACTCTTACTCTGCGCTCTTGGGTGGCAGTGCCACCGCTGCACCCGGCCCCGCCGCAAACACCAGTCTGCATCTCATCCAGAGTCTCTGTCATCCTCCCACCCCGCAGATCGCAGGAGCTTCCTCTTGTGTTTCTCGTCCGCTCAAGATCCACCACCACCCCAGCTGCGACCCTACATCAACACTATCGAGACGCGCACGATCGCCGCTGCCATGGACCAGCGCCGCAAATCCAACTACGAGTCCTTCCTCGAGATCATGAACCGGTTCCCGTCGCCGCCAACGTCCGAGCCTCCTCCTCTGGCCGGCCACCGGACCCGATTCTCTCTTCCGATCCAGTCCGCCCGCGCGCTCCCTCGATTCAATCCGCGGAGGAGCTTGCAGGCCCTCATCCAGCCCAGTGCCAGCGAAGCAGCCGGCCCCTCGTCGCCATCGGGCGAGCGTCCAAAACGAACAGGAATCCGACTGGCCCTGGTAACTTCGAGACTCTCGCCGAGAAGATCGTTGCCTTCACTGCTCGGGCCGCTGTCCGAGAACACACCGACGGATTCTTTCGCGAGAGACAAGCTGGATCTCGGCAGGAGGTAGGGATGGGCCTGTCCGCTCTCGATCGCGATGATGGTAATGACATCCAAATCCAACGACGGCAGCACAATCCGATGATAGCAGCACAATCCAATGATCATCCCTGACAGTCACAACTTTCACTGTATCTAGATACTGCACCGAATCGCTCGCAACCGAGGAGTTGGACACTCTATGGGGCTATTTGTTTTCTCTCTCTGGGCCTGAACTTGTCAGGTTCCAGCAACTGGTTCAGGCAGAAGTTGCAGGTAATGAGGTTGGTGGCGCAACGAGGCGACGCAACGAGGCGACGCAATGGCTCTGGCTGCCCGGCGTCGAAGCACCGGTACCAAGCGAGGTATTCAAACCGAGCGGCACGTACATCCACAGGGACACCGCGATGGCAATCGGAGCAGTCCGGCCTGATCGAGGTATCTGCCTTGGGGGTCGGATTCTGCGGAGGTATTCGAGCCGTGTGCTTCCTCCAGCTCGACACTGCGCCTGGGACCTGTCTTTTGCTGTTCGTTACTTGACATTGTCTCGGCAGTGCAACAGATACCGGATCGACTTTCGCCTGCCGCAGAAAACAGTTGCAACTGGCATCTTGCTGATTGACTCGGTCGAGATTGCTCTCAAGGGTTAGTATAAGGGGTTCGGCTGCTGGACGGGATTATCTTTGGGTCCGGCTCATGCCCGAGACGCTTGAAGCTGTCAGAAACGAAGCAAGTGCAGCAATCGCCAGGAACGAACGGGTCAGCTCGAAGACCTGGCACTAAGCATCAGGAATAGCATGCCATTGCTACCTGATCGGCTGCTTGATCAAACCCCGCGGTGATGAGATGGCTAACCAAGAATGTACCCTTGAACGATGTTGGCCGTGTTCACAGGCGGAGGACAGTGTCGCTACGAGCTTGTGAGTCCACCAAGTAACCCAGACTATCTGCTCAACGTCTCTCCGACATCGGGAAAGCTCAAGGCAAGTCGCGGGGGGGGGGATGAAACAGCACCGTCATATCACCGAGCGTGGTCAGCAGGCTACGAGGGCCATTGGTCTGATTACTCACACATCTGCGATTGCAGGCTTTGAAAGGGTCCGAGCTCATCACCTTCAAGGTGCTCTGCCATGCTCCTTGCAAGGTGCGCCAAGTCGTCACACTGCGTGTTGAAGGTGGGCGACCGATCGCAGACGACGTCTGAATGTGATAATTGGGTTGGGCAACAGAATGAGGGCGACAGGGACAAGCGAACTAACCCAATGGTGCTGCTGCTCCCTGGGGTTGCAGGTGGTCCAAGCCATTGGTTTCTCGTTGGTCTGGAAGCCGAAGGCGAGACCCGGCCCCCATCGGCACTACCCGAGGAGACTTCTGGGCTGATCAACGAGCCGCGGCAGCTGTCGCTGAGCTTTGATGTGTTCCGAGATCCCTCGCGGCTGGTCCGCAGCTGTGTCTTTGTCGGTCATCCGCATGAGTATGTTTTACCAGGCCGAGCAGCTGTATTCTGGACCGTGGTGCTGCCTTACTGATGGCTGGGGTGTACGAAGAACTCTGAGCACAGCGATCCTCTGGGCACTAATCCGAGATGCTGGCTGCCATTTCAAACACCTTGATAGGATTCCTGGGGAGCTCGCTGTCCTGAGCAAGACGCTCACACGAGAGCCGTCATATCTGAGAGCCGAGGGACTATTCTACGACAATGGCGACGTGACTGAGGTGCGGCGGCTCCTGGAAGGCAAGGGGACATACAGAAGCCACGACTGCTTTGCAACGGCGACGGCCATCAAGGTAAGTGTGCGGCTCGCCACTACAGCGCCAATGCTGTACCAATGCTGTGCGATGCTGTCGGCGATGTGGATGACACGGAAACGCACAGAGATCTAATTAGGGGCGTGGGGCATCAGCGAATGCTTCAAGTCCATCCGCTTCTGCAGCCCCTGGCGTCGGAAGTCGTAGCGGGGTGCCAGGGCGAAGGAGACGTCATGTCGGTTCTGTCACTTCTGCCGCCAAGGTACCAGGACTGGCTCCTGTGGGTGGTTGATTTGATGATCGCAGTTGGCGATGCCCGGGCCGGGCAGTCAGGAATCTCCTCGGTCGCAGCATACAAGGGCGTCGGTAAGTGCGGATAGGTTCTGGCTGCAGTCCAAAGGTCTGTCGTTGCGCAACACAGTACCGGAGTCCGTCTCACCAGGCTCTGGTTTGTCATTTGCTCCCCCCTGGATGTACATGTCCCCACTCGATAGCCGCTGCGATGATTCCGAGCCTGTGCAAGCCGGGTGGGCCTCCGCGGCAAGACACTCAACATATCGCTGTCGTCCAGAGGGCGGCCGAGTTTCTGTACCTGGCGATGATTGTGCGGGCCCGGCAGACAGAGCCCCGACGGCTGTGTCTGGATGCGTAGATATTAGCGATGATGCGGGTGTTGTTACCAGCATCTGCAAATGCGCCGCCAGCACTATGGCATCCAACACGACCTTGATGTCTACATCGCTGCTGCCCGTCCACCAACACCTTCGCCAACACCTTCGCCAACTCCTTCGCCGATCACACGACACCGCGCTCGATCCAACGCCCCTTTGTTGGCTGACCCCCAAGCTGGATTGCTTGGGATGCATGCGGCGGCCCCATTGTGCTGTTGTCCTTCTGCGGCCCTGCGTTTGATCTGTCCTGCTTCTCGATCTGGCTCCGGCCATCCCGATTTCGCCCCCCCCCGTCCTCCTCCATCTCGGTCCTGCCCTGGTCTCCTCCAGCGTGTACGGACTTGGTCTGCCTCGTTTGTACAGGTCCGCTCGTGCCCCACGCATCGCCCTGCTTGGCGGTCCTTGCTCGTTCCCTTCCCTTTCCCAGCCACCCGCATCGCCGTCCTCCCATCGCCCCTCGACACCCTCGACACCCTCGGCGCAAGCCATCTTCCTGCTCGTCGTCTTCGTCCTCTCGCCGCTGCCCTATCGTTTCTCTTCCCGCTTCATCTCCCATCGATCGTGTCTCTCCCATGGCCCGGCTGTCTGCAACCGGCTGGGTAGCGCTGCTCCTCGTCGCCGCACTGGTCGAGGGCAAGCCTTTCCTCAACAAAAGTAGGTCCAACTCGCTCTGCTATCTGGGCTTGGATCGTCGCTGGCTCTACAGTCTCGGACTCTTGTGCAGCTGTTGAGGTCTTGTTGATACCAGCACCAGGGCCACGGCTGCCAATTACCTGTATTGCCATCACCCCAAGCGCTGAGCTACATCGCCGGCACTGACCTTGGCTCTATCTCGCTTCGTCCTTCCTTCTGTCGACCTATCCCTGCGCCGACGCCGCCTCTTCCCAAACAGTCAACGACTTTGATCTCAGCGGCAATATCTGTCCCAACATCGTCCAGCAGAATGTCCCATGCCCCAATCTGTGTGTCGCTGACATCAAGCTTTGCCCGTCGTCCTTCCGCCCTTCCTGTCCCAACGGCCAGAGCTACTGCCCCGACGGCACTTGCCAGTCGTCCTGTGCGAATGTACAGTCGACCTGCTCGTGCTCCTACGGCTACAGTGGCATCGGCAACTCGTCCATCAGCAGCGGCAGCTTCCCCTCCAGCCAGCTCACTCTGTACCCCTGCCAGCCCATCCGGATCAATGTCACCGAGCCCAAGCAGGGCCCCACCTCGTCCCAGACGGTGCTGGCGGCATTCTGCTACTCGGCTCTGGGACTGTCGGCCAGTCCCACGTTCAACGACCCGTTCTTCCAAGTGTGCCTTCCTCGCCTGCAGCCCGGCACCTTTTCGGTCTTCTCGCCCGATTTTGCCAGCTTCTACATCGTCCTTGGTGTCGAGGTCATGATCCTCGCTATCCATGGCTGCTTCAAGTTCTACGACAGCACGGTAAGGGCACCTGTCTCTGCCGGCCCAGCCACTCTGTCGGCTCCCAGCCAGCCTGGCCGGTTCTGTGCTCCAGCTTGTTTGTCCCGCTGCATGCTCCGTTGTCTGGTGGCGAAAGGACAGGGTTCCGAGACCACACAGCCCAGCCCCCTGACCCACGCTGCCAAAGTCTTTCTTGCGAGGCCGTACTGCCGAGCCTGCGACACCACGGCCATGGGCGACAAGGCTGTGCTGCAGCAATCATCCTGCCCCACTGGCGCAAGACTAATTCCTCCCCTCCTCGTTGGACTTGCAGAGATATCGTGACATCCCGCCCACGACAAAGTCGTCCTTTTCCTCCGAAAAGACCTTCTTCACCATCACCGACGAAAACAACGTCGAGCTCCAGGATCTCTGTGCCCCCGATTCCTCTGCATCGCTCCGCTTCCTCGGCTTCAAAACCGACTGGATCGGTTCCATCGTGCGCTACAGCGTGCTGCTGACGAGCGTGACTCTGATGGCCCTGCTGGGTCTGCTGATCGGCGACTACTACGGCGTCTTTGCCCAGTTCACCTACAAGGAGGAAACCATGATCTTTGTGAACCACGACAACCTGAGCCAGGTCTTCATCCTCATTTGGCACATTTGCATGATCTGGTTCTTCTCCATCCGAGCCACCCAAAACAAAACCGGCACGTACTTTGGCCGCCGCTGTTCGCTGCGACAGGCCACAATCGTCCAGGTCGAGAAGAAGGTCGAGAGAGCCGTCTACCTCACCTCGATGGGTCCCCTGGTCAACCGCTGGCAGAAGATGGAGCGCCGGTTCAAAAAGTTCCTCAGGTCAGCTGCCTGGCGGAGTGCCGTGCTGGGTCGCAATAGTGCCCATCACTGCCACAATTGGCTGTGTTGTGCCTAAGCCCCTCGGCTTGATCCAAACCATGCATCCGCATTGTCTTACCCATGGGTGCCGCAACCGCCCTACAGGCTCGACCGCTCTGTCTACGTCGTACCGGTCAAGCACACCCCCAACGGAATCAAGTACATCGAGATCGAGTGCATCCGATACGTCTTTGACGAGCGTGCCGAGACCTTTGAACAGCACCAGCCGCCCATCGCCTTGACCAACTCGGATCTGCATGCCTCGCTCGAAGGGCTTGCCGAGGGCGAGGCCATGAACCGCGCCAACCTGATGGGCCCCAACGCCGTCGAGTTCCGAGGAGACACTCTCTTCACGGCCGTCAAGAATGAGTGCGTCTCGGTCTGCTTGCATTGCTGATGCACTAGCGCAGGCCCTTGTGGATCCGGCTTCGTTGGCACGGTGCGCTGACTTGTACTGGCTTCTCTGTCCGCTCCCTGGCCTCCATACAGATTCACGGGATACTTTTACATCTACCAGTTCCTCACCCTCTCGATCTGGTACTACTACGCGTACTACCAAATGGGCCTGGTCCTGACGATCGTCATCGTGGCATCGGGTCTGGTCAAGGTTATGGTTGGGCTCCGTGCCCAAAAGCGCGTGCTCGAGATGGTGACGTTCTCCAACATGTGCAAGGTTAAGCGAGGCGGCCGCTGGGAGACCGTCAACTCGATCGAGCTGGTCCCTGGAGACGTTGTTGCTGTTGAATCGAGCGAGCATGTCTTGAGTGTCGACTGTGTCCTTGTTGACGGCGGTGCCGTTGCCGACGAAAGTTCCTTGACAGGTGAGTCCATGCACTGGGGACCGCGTCGATTGAATGCGCCCAGAGCGGCTTCAGTTGAGCGTGCACCAAGCTGCATTAGTCGCGCCCGCAGTTTCTGGCCCTGCGGGCCATGCCACACTGCTTCCTGACAGTGCGTACTTCAATTCCTGCCCTTAGGCGAGGCCCTCCCCGTGGCAAAGTTCCCCATCAAGAACGATGCCAAGACCTTCTCGGTCTCGGAGCCTCCCAAGGCCAACACCCTCTACGCCGGATGCCACATTCTCCAGACCCAGCCCGACACCGAAAACTCGCCCACGATGGCGGTTGTGCTGGCCACCGGCCCGAACACTTGCAAGGGCCGCCTCGTGCGCGACATCCTCTACCCCACCGCCATCTCCTTCACCTTTACGGAGCACCTCAAGATGGTCATCCCCGTCCTGATCATCTGGGGCTTTGTCATGCTCATTATCGGCGTCAAGTTCATGGACGTCGAGGGCGTCGACTCGTGGTTTTACGGCATGTTTACCATCTCGCAAGTGTTGTCGCCGCTGCTGCCCGCAGTTCTCGTCATTGGCCAGAGTGTGGCGGCCGAGCGTTTGGCCAAGAAGGGCATCATGTGTGTTGATCTGGCCCGCATCACCCTGGCCGGCAAGACCAAGATCTTTTGCTTCGACAAGACCGGCACCCTCACCAAGGAGGGTCTCCAGTTCCGTGCCATCCAGCCTGTCGATCGTGACGGCTACACCGGACCCGTGTTTGCCCCGGCGCTCTTCCAGTGGACAAAGTTCCCCCGTGCGATCCAGCTCGCGATGCTGACCTGCCATTCGATCACCTCGGTCAACGACGAGTTTGTCGGCAACTTTGTCGACGTCGAGATGTTCAAGTTCACCAACGCCACCCTGGGTTCTGGAGAGGCTGGCCATTCGTCCACGATTTACCCACCCAACGACCGACCGCTGCATATCGTCAAACGCTTCGAGTTCATCCATGCCCACGGCTACATGACGTCGGTTATCCGCGACGACGACGGCCACCTGTATGTGCAAATGAAAGGTACGATGATCTTGCCTCTGGCTGCGGTCGCCGCCAATGACTTCATTACTGCGTGATCCACGACCCAGTACGGCACAGGGCTAACGAAATGGCGGTGGTGGCGACGGCTCTACAGGCTCTCCCGAGAAGATCCGTGAGCTGGTTGATCCTGCAAGCATCCCCAACAACTTTGAGAGCGTGCTGACAGAGCACACCGCCTCTGGCTGCTACGTACTCGGCTTTGCCGTCCGCCAGCTGCCTCCCAACCTGTCCGCTGCCGATATTCAGTCCTGGGACCGCGACCGCATCGAGCAGGGCGCCGAGTTTGCCGGCTTGATTGTGTTCCGAAACGAGCTCAAGGAGGATACCGTTGCGGCCCTGCGCCACCTGCGCGACGGCGGCTGCCGCACGGTCATGATCACGGGCGACAACCTGCTCACGGGCGTGCATGTGGCCAAGCAGTGCGAGATGATTCCGCTCCGTGGAGCCATGGGCACGCCAGAGCAAGGAAAGCCGGTTGTGGTGCTGTATGCCGATGTGAACGCCAGCGGACAGATTGTCTGGAAGAACCACGACGACGATTCGGCCGTGGGTCTGGCCACGGTCATGAACCTGGTTGAGCTGAGCCACACCGGAGCCGGCAACCCCGTGGAGCTCGCTGTGACAGGCAAGGCCTTCAACCTGCTGATTGCCGATGGTCTGATGCGCAAGCTCCTGCTTGGTAAGTGCCTGCTCTGACCGCCTGCAGTGTTGGCTCGCGGGACGCGGCGACATGGGCGACTTTCAAGCCGGAGACGGTGTCTGTGGAAGCGCGATATACCGAACTGGCGCTCGTGTTTGAAGCCCAGCCCATTGTTTGCGACGAGAGCATACATCGGATCAACGCAGGGGTGTGGATGGATGCGGGCTTGTCGCTGACAATGTTGCCATCTTCAGACATCCGCGTCTTTGCCAGAATGTCCCCTGAGGACAAGATTCAGTGCGTACGCCTCCACATGCAGCACGCGGTCACAGCCATGTGCGGCGACGGCGGAAACGACGCCGGTGCCCTCAAGGCCGCTCACGCCGGCATTGCTCTGAGCGAGGCCGAATCCTCTGTGGTCTCGCACTTCAGCAGCAGGGACCGCTCCATCAACGCATGTGTGGAGATGATCAAGGAGGGCCGCTGCTCGCTGGATGTCTCCTTTGCAAACTACAAGTACCTGATCATGTACGGCGAAGTCTTGGCCTTCTCGGGCCTCGTGCAAGCCTACTTCACCGTCAGTCTGAACCAGTGGACGTGGATCCTTATCGACGGAAGCACCATCCCCATCAGCTGGGCGCTGACGATGGCCAAACCGGCCCCAACGCTTTCCGAGAGCCGCCCTACGGCCCGACTGATCGGTGAGTCCATGTGCTGCATCTGAGAGCGGCATCCTCCGTGCACCCATATATCATTCATGTATCCGCGCATCCCTGTATCATCAATGAACTCATCCATCATCGCGGGCTGCTGCTTGCCGCACCGAGACACGGCTAACCCGGCGCTGCTCCCACGCGATAGGCGTCGAGACCATTACATCAGTCGTCGGTCAAATCTTCATCGACCTGGTCTTCCTGGTCGGTGCGGTTGTGATGCTCTTCCGCCAGCCGTGGTTCGTCTGCCACGAGTTCAATGGAGCCAACGCCGATGTCCGTCGGTGGTGGGAGCTCGGCGACAACTTTGAGGCCGAGGTCATCGGCATCCTCTCGATCTTCCAGATCTTCCACGCCGCCGCCGCCTTCAACCTGGGCTCGCGCTACCGCTCAGGCTTCCTGAAGAACTACATCTTCATCGGCGTCTACGTGATCCTTGCGGCGCTGCTGTCGTTCCTGACCCTGGGCAACCCCAATCTGTTTGGATGCATCTTCCACATCAACTGCGGCACGCCCGAAGCCCTGCAGTCGCTCGGATACTCGTCGTTCTGGGGGGCGCCCTCCGAGTACTATTCCAACGACGGCCACAACGTCATGCCCATGGATTTCCGCTGGAAGTTCTGGGCGCTGTGCATGGGCAACCTCATTGCCCTGCTCCTGTTTGAGGGTCTGGTGGTGCTCGGTCCGATCCGCAACTGGGCCAAGCAGCGCTGGCCCCTCAACCGGGAGAGCTATCGTCTCTGAACGGCCCGGTGCCAGTGGAGGCACACCCGGCACCTCCCACGAGTCTTTTCTTTGATTTCGTCTTTGTTGTTTCCGCTGTTTGTTCCTTCGATGTTCTCTTTGTTGTTTCTTCCGTTATTGTCCAACTTTTGTATATGAGCGGGTTGCCGTGGCCGCTGGGCACTTGCTCTGGCAGAGCATGCCCTTCCAGCCACAGCAGCGTCGCAGTTTCATCCCATGTGCGGGACACCCGGCCCGGATCAATACACCAGCCTCGAGCCATCACCGCTGTGGTGCAGCGAGATTAACACAGGAAAAAACCGGTGCAGTGTCGTCGCTGAGAGCCTGCGTCCAACAGGCCATCAGCAACAACGAACGATCGCTTCGGCAGTCGGGATTTTTGCAGTGCCAGGCAGAGTGAGGATTCTCTTGGACAAACTCGTCGCAGTTGGGTCGGACCACTCGATCATATACTATCATCCACTCGATCATATACTATCATCCACTCGATCATATACTATCATCCACTCAATCATATGCTATCATCCACTCGATCATATGCTATCATCCACTCGATCATATACTATCATCCACTCGGCCAGCAGCGATCAAGTGGGTCGCATTTCAATGACAGAGTCCATCCGCGTGAAGCAACGGTTTCAAAATCGACACGCCAGAGCCGCCCCGTGGCATTGCAGATTGACCCCGATCAAGTCTCCTCATGCCCATGCCCATGCTCGCGGCCGACGTCCTGGACAGTCGCCTCGATACGGACGAGCGGGTCCGTCGGCTCGAAGATCTGTGCAAACAGATCCAGGCCCTCACCGGCGGATCGGCCGAGCTGCCACTCTGCATCCAAGCTGCATCCGATATCCTGCGACGGACGCTGAACCCTCTCTCCGACACACACTCCAAGCTTGTGCTTGCATCGTTTGATCTGCTCGATGCGCTGGCTCAGCTGCAAAGGACCTGCAACAAGCCGATTGGGTTTGAGCTGACATGTAGGCCTCCCTCTGGTTCCGTGGCTCATGCATTGTCTCGGCTCGGAAACCTTTGCATCGTCCCGATCATGTCCGCACTTTCTCCTGACAGCGCATCCTTTCTGCCATGCTCCGGCTTGCCATCCCGGCTCACCTGCAGCAATCGATCTGATTTCACTCTACGATCATCAAAGCTGGAAGGTCCGAGAGAGAATCGTCGTCTTTCTTCAGCAGCAGATCGAGGCACTGTCGCCAACACAGGACGAGTTGCTCAATCCCTACAAGCTCGTTGTGCTCATGGCCGTGGCCGACGACGTCCCCCAGATCAGCCGAGCCGCTCAGACCACTGCTGCCAAGCTGCATTCACTGGGGACGGACTGGATTTTGTTCTACCAGAAGGTGGGGAATTATGCGAGCCAAGGCCATTGGCAGAAATGAATGCAGGAATTGGTGGTCGAATCAATCTCAGGACCCCGAGTCGGGAGCCTCCACACTGATCTAGGTCTGGATTATGGCCATTTGCAGATCACCACTCTGGTTCGAGCACATCTGTCGAACGACACAGCTGCGGAAAATGCATCGCCCCAGCCAGAGCAACTTGTGGCCAAGAGTCTCAGGGCATTGCTTGGGTATCTGTCGATATCGCCGCTGTCGGCCCAGATCCTGTGCGAGGTTCTTGACCTCCTCACGCCGATATACGCCGAGGACCAGCGAAGTGATATGGACCAGGCCTGCATGACCGATTGCAAGCGAACGGCAGCCTCGATCATCAAGCATCTGGCCCGCCGCATGGCCGCGCATCCAGACAACGATGTCTCCGAGTCAATCGCTGCCCAAGCGTTCGCCGGTCTGCTGGGCCACACGTTCGCCGACTGTCGAATCGCATCGCTTGCGCTCTGCCAGATATTCCTGGATGAGTACTATGCGCCATCAACCGACCAAGTATCATTCACAGGCGAGGTGCTGACCGGCAGCGATTCCGACTTGGGCTCAAGTGGGGCGACAGCACAGCCAGTCGAGCTGGTGACCTGCTGGACAAGTCTGCTGGTAGTTCCCGTCGAGTTTGGAGGGGATGTCGAAGAAGGTGAGCGTCTTTGCCGGTGGAGATCAGTAGTGCCCATGTAGACCGGGGTCGCTTATAACTCTGGCGCCATGCTTGCAGCCCCAGACGATCGGACTCTGCGATGTCGAGCCGCATTCAAGGAGCACGCAAGCGATATTCTCAAAATGCTTGCGATGTGGATCTCTCGGGCCTCGGCTGTCAGCGCCCGCAAGCACGAGTTCGAGGTGCTGACAGTCATCTCGAGCTTCCTGGGCGACCGTTCTGGGAGATGGACATCGGATCTTTCTCGCACCACGGTCGAAGGTACGTGTGGGTGTTGGGCACTCCAACTCCAGTGAGATTGAGAATGGCCATTCGTATGGCCATTGTAGGTAGTACTTTAGTCACCATATACATGGCTCTCCTCTTTTGATACGTCCGCGATCGTTTGCTCCCATAAACCCTGCAAACCAGCGATTTTGAAAGCGCTTTCGGGGGACTCGGCTGACGAGATCGTCAAACGCAACTTTGGCAAGACGCTGCGACTGCTGCAGCCACACTTTGCGAAATCATCGCGTATCCAGCCAGCCAACCTCGAGGCGCAACTTGCCAGACGACAGCCTGTCGAGATCCAGAAGAGTCTTTTGGCGAATACCAGTGTCGAGGATGGGTACTATACTCTTCAGGACTGGAAGATGAAGAGAGTTGACGCAGTCGAGATCTTGGCGTGGCAAGCTCAGTTCTTGGAGGTAGGTCGTCCGGGATATGGGGCAGAGGGGTATGTGGCAGGAGGATATCCACCCAAACGCAAGCGCCAGCTATCAAGCCAATCGAGCTATCCAGCCAGCAGCTAACAAGTATCAACCGGTTCTTTGATCAGCAAACCGAGTGCGACGAGCACCTCCATGAGCTTGTGCCTATTACGCTAACGCTGATGGATGACCACCAAGTGCGCTACAAGCTCGAAGGCACTCGCATTCTGAGGCGCGTCCTGCAACATGTGTCTCCAGAGCGATTCCGACGCATGGGCATCGGCTCAGTATTCTCAGAGGCAAGAACTGCATCCATATGCTGCGCAGCGCCCAAGTTCTGAAACGGCGATGGCACTGGTTCGCAATGTGTGTGCTTGGCGTCAGTGGGTTTAATTGAACTGCTCACCGATGGCGTCCCATTCAGACCCTTCATCTCGGCTGGAACTACTTTAACGAACACGATCTCATGAATGAGTCGCTGTGGACAAGCTACGAGCTATCAAGCGTGATGTTTGATGCTGGATCGATGGAGCAGTATGAGAGTCTGGAACGCTTGCTGAAAGACGGGATCATGACAGGGCTATCCATGTCGGCTGGAGGGAAGGTTGCCGACATTCAGGTACGTTCATGTTGTCGAATTCAAAAATCTTTGATCGCCAGATGTCCGAGTTGATCCCCGTCTCTCTCGCTCTCCCGCCTCAGATGTACCTGCGGATCCTGCAAAAGGTTCTTTGGACACTGGGAGTTACCGGCATTCGGTTCATGAAGCCAACTCTGGGATATTGCTGTGATCTGCTCAAGACCCATCGCTTCGACTTGCAAACACAGCTGGTGGCGAGCGAAACGATCGTCATCGTGATCCGGCTGTACTGGATGAGGTGCGTGGATGGAAGCAGTCTCAGATCGATGGCCGACCGATTATTGCTAGTGACTCAAGCATATTCCACTTGACAGGGTCAAGGACTATCGCGGCATGATCTATGCCAGCGTCGCCGAGAACTGGAGACAGCTGGAGGTGGACCAGCACAACTCGCTCCTCCGAGCAGCACCTGAAGGTACTGTTGCTCGTCGTAACATGGCGGCTGGACTGGATTGGGCATCCGCAGGTTCTGCTCGTTCGCTGGTACTGGCTCGAGTGCAGCAAGACTGACCAATTGTGTCTGTGACTGTCTCCTCAAGTGCGTGAAGCACTGCAGGCGAAACTGAGGCGTATTCTTGCCCTTCTCAAGGACTGTCTTGGCGACGTCACAAAGGTACGATCCTCGATCCGCCTACAAGCAGGGCACTGGTGGTTGCTGCATTGAGATGATCGGCGCACATGAATCTCGCCTTTGCGTCTCTGACAACGTCTCACATCCATTTGGAACCACATCGATGTGAATCAGCCCGATTTCCTCGCACTCCTGGCGCTGGATCAGAAGATGTTTGGCCAGCTTTTATATGGCCTGTAGGGATTGGTCTCTGTCGCAAACAAGACTGGACCAGAAGATACAGATCAGGGTGCGACTTGTTTTGATCAAATAAAGTAAATACAAGCAACTGCTCGACGCAGACTTGGTCGCCACTGCGCTGCCGCATCTTCTGCCGAGCTCATGACAGGGGCTATGTCATCGCTGAAACCAACGTTCATCAAATAGGAGACCTCGGGGATTGCTCCAGTGTGTCTACTGGCCACGTCGCCCGTCAAAGTACGCCTTGGCAAGGGTCTCGGCGACGATCATTGGAAAGACAATCGAGGCATCAGCATAGACCTTGACGGGCTTGGCCGTCAGGCGGATCTTGCCCCACGAAACCGCCTCGTCAGGGCGGGCGCCACTGTCGCTGCCGTCAAACTCCTGGCCCGTGTTGATGTAAACGGCATAGTCGGCACCGTTGCGCTAAAGATGAAAGCCGGTTCAACCGGGCAGCGATGCCAGAACGAGCCGTTAGCTGATACTGAGCGGCGTGTCCGATGACTCAGAAGCGATACAGGCCGCGACCGTTGTTCGGACTTTGGGCTGCTCTATTGAAGCGCCTTGCTCCTCGCGAGCCATGCTTACCATCAGATTGGCATTGCAAATGTGATGCTTGATCACGCCACCGCCAAGAATGATGATGCCTGTCTTTTTGGCATACACGGCTTCGCTGTTGATGGCGCGGATGTCGGCCGCAATGTCGATGATCAAGCCGGGATTGCGGAACGAGTGAAAGTAGATCATGTCTCCGAGCGATCCATCGGTCAAGGCTGGGCAATAGACCGGAATGTTGTTCTAGTCGAGATGATATGGACAGGCGTACACGGAACAGAGTGTCAGCGAGCGCAGTGTCGCTGTGGAGGTCGCTGGGAGAAGCAAAAGCTGCAGCGATTCAAGTGTTGCCTCGACAATTGCCAGTCAAACGCCAGTTACATGCGCAACAAGCAACGCCCACCTTCCATGCCCAGTAATAGATGCTCTCTGGGTTGTTGATGCGCTCGCCCAGACGATGGATGATTTTGGAAGGAGTCCAAATAACGCCCTGTTTCAGAGAGCCGCAAAACAGAGAGTCAGCAACCAGTCGCGGTGGTAGCATCAGCTCACATCCGAATGGGGTGCTGGCACACCGTCCACATCGGATTGGATGATGACGACAGAATAGATCCGATACCTTGTCTTTCTGCTCGGCGAGCAGCTCATCGAGAATGGGCATGACCCAGTCCTCAAATAAGCAGTAGTTGTCATTTGGCACCAGCAGGTTGCCGATGCGATTCAGTCCCTTTTTCCGCAGCTCTGCGCCGGAGAGGCTGAAGGAGCCGGCATAAGTAGGAGCAAGACACTTGATGAAATCCTCCTCAATGCCACCAGCGGAGGCAACAATGCAGTCGACCTAGATTGCAGAGTGAGACATCGATCGTCGTGAGTCCCAGAGTCGAGAGCAGGAACGTCCGTCGGGAGATCCAATGGTTTATTTGAGAGGGTGGGCAAGGGGACAGCCTGGGTGAGCCGGGTGTCTCGAGACACATTGTTCATGATGTTGCTTGCAGCCAGGCAATCGGGCCGCTTCTTGTGCTCGGTACTCACCAACTTGTGCTCAGCCAGGAACCGGAAAACCTCCCGCAGGCCCGATGAAACCATGTTGGAAGTGTATCCCAGGAAAATCTTGCATTTGACCTGCTCGCGGTACTTGGGGTCCTTGTCGGATTCGTCGTCATCGGGCAGAACGGGCTCGTCGGCAAGCCTCCAGTTGATCTACACCGACGAAAGAGGACACCGTTAGAGAATGCCACGGCGAAGCGCGAGTGCTTGCTGGCAACTGATGCTTACCATCCGGTTGATTTCGGCAATGGCCTCGCCCACATGGGTGGCCTGGAAGCCCGAGAACAGCAACGAGTTGACAATCTCCTGGTGATTGATTCCTTTGTTGAAGTCGTATCCCTGGATCTTTGTGGCGGTTTCGGGCATCTTGACGGAGTGCACCAAGACGGCCTCAAGGGCAGTGCTTGGTGTGGCATTGGTGGGGTTCGATGTGGGTTCGGAGCTCATGTTGCCTTCGTGGTACGGCTGATATGAGGGGGCGGAGAGGTGCTCAAATCGAGTGCGTGCGTATCCGTGCGAGCGAATGCCGGTGCCGGTCGAAGGGGTCGTTCTCGAGCGAATTCGCGCAAGTGGGTGCGTCTGGGGCGGCCAACAGATGCGGGTTTTGCAGACTCGGAAGGCCGGTGCGCAATCAGGACAGGCAGATGGCAGCAACACCCAGGAGCGGAGGCAGCCCAGCCGCCCAAGAAGCCGGGCCGGATGGACGTGCTGCCGAAAAAAAGGACGCGCAGCAACCGTGCGCAGCGGGCGGAGATCGAAAGCCATGTGCGCAGCCGTTGACGACGAAAAAACACGCCCTCCGCCGATTGGCCAGGATTGGTCCCAGCAGAAGCAGCGGCGGCAGCGTGCTCCCTTCGTTGCAGGGCAGACCCCTCCCCTCAGACACCACCGCCGGCCGCCCAAACGGCTTCATGCTCCATCTCACCCCACGCCCGCTCGGTCGACTCGGTTTGCCCACTCTCGCCCGGATACCCCCCTGGAGCAGCAGCATTCCCGGCATGGCAAACAGGCGATCCGTGCCCATCGTGGTGTCCAAGCGTGCCCTCGTCGAGAGCCAGGAAGCCGCAAACAAGAGACTCAGGCTCGCCAATTCGCCCAGCGCCTATCTTGTCGAGGACCAAGTCGGCATCACCCAGTTCCTGGACCCTGACCGCCCGTCATGGTCGGGCATCATCAAGCAATGGTATGAGGCGCTCGCGCACTGCCGTCAGCGCAATGCCACCTGTGCTTCCTGGCTTTTGGGACCGCGGCCCTGGCGCTCACTTCAACCCTTCCCTGGCTTCGTCGACGGATTAGGACAAAGGATTTCTACGTTTTTGAGGTCGACAAGTCTGGCGAGATTGTGCGGTATACCGGGCAGTCTGCCTTGGTGACTGGTACCGATGGCGAGCAGGTCGCCGTTGCCGAAGATCCGCTTCAACATCTCTCGCCCAAGGAGAAGGGATTTGTCTTGCTTGAGGAACTGCTTGCAGATGACAAAGTGGCGTTCCGCGACTTGCAGGGTCTGGTTGCCCAAGGCGGGCCCAACGAAGACGGCATCGAAATGGTCATCACCAAGGTAGCCTCTCTCGCAGGCCGGAGATCTGTCGCACCAGCAGAGTCGAGCTCCCTCTGACTCTGTATCTTCTCCCCGACTCTACTTCTGGCCCGATATCACCGCCGATCGGATCGCGGCTGTGAATCCGTTCTCGAACTCGCTCCTGCTCCTGCTCTGCTCCGGGGCCTGGTGCGGGGGGGGGGCGGTCGGACAGCCGATCCTTGAGAAGGAGCACCGCGCCAACATCCATCGGACCACACTCGAGTATTTTGGCGAGCTGATCCACACCGAGACGACTGGCGATGCCAAGAATCAGATCATGTTCCGATACGCAACGGACGAAGACAAGACCAATCGCCTCAACAGTGCGTTTCTGCATCGATCTTGAAGCCAATGGCAACAGTCGCGACAGTGGCTGATGAGACTGGGGGAATACAGCCATCCGAACCGCATCGCAGCCACAGCCGGCGCTTTGGACTCGCATCTGTCCTGCCTGCCAGCGGCTCTGTTCTCATATCAGTCGTTTTGTCTCCTGTGGTCCGTCTCTCTGCCAGTGAACTCGAAGCGACCCAAGCGCAAGGCCAACCGGAGACTCAACAACAGCATCGACTGGGACAGCATTGGCCACTACTGCCAGTTTACGCTGCTCAAGGAAAATAAGGACACTATGGATGCGCTCTCGCTGATCTCCAAACTTGCAGAGTAAGCACGTTGGTGTCACCAGTGGCTTACCGCCACCAGCACAGACACCAACTCCCCTCGGTACCATGATCATCTGTAACCAATATCGTCGCCTGCACACAGGGTCGAGAGCAAAGCGTTTTCGTTTGCAGGCACCAAAGACAGACGAGCTGTTACCACCCAGAAGGTCACCGCATTCCACGTCAGCCACAAGGTCTTGCAGAACCTGGAGCTACGACACGGCACTGCCGTTGGCGACTTCAAGTATGGCTCCACCATGGCACATTCCGTATATCGCTTGTTGGTCTCGCTGCCCTGGCATCGCCCTGAGCACGACTCTAGCATACCCCGGTGTCGAATGCAGTTGTCCATCGTGGACAAGATGGCGTAGTCCGGCCATTTGCTGACTCTGGTTCATTGACACAGATATGTCAACAAAAAGCTGGAGCTGGGCGATCTCCAAGGCAATCACTTTGTCATCACTCTCCGGTACGGCTGGTGCCCGATACCTGCTTATCCCTTCACAAAGCAACGAGCCTGACAGTGGACACGCATCTGACTATCGGATGCACCACCCTTGCAGCAATGTACTGGCCAAGTCCATGGATGATGTCGAGCGGTCTTTTGCTGCCCTGCGGGATGACGGGTTCATCAACTACTATGGAATGCAGCGCTTTGGCACGCGATCTGTCTCCACCCACCACGTCGGCATCCAGATGATGCAAGGCAACTGGGAAGAGGCTGTCAACATGGTCCTGGGCGTCAAGAACGAAGGTGGGTAGGTGGCTGCAAATTCGCTGGCCGAACCATACGTATACATGACACTTTATGGACAATGTCGAATCGCAGGGAGACGGGGGAGGGAAGCCAGTGATCTCGTTCGTCCGTGTGGGAACCAGCTACAAAGACTCAAAGCCTGATTCTGCCACAGAGACTCGTTACTGTACTGACATGCGCCGATATCTGTCCCAGAGCGCCAGGACATCCAACAGGCTCGTGAGATCTGGCTGACCACAAAGGATGCATTCAAGGCCCTTGCGGCCTTTCCGCCCTTTTGTACCGCGGAGCGTGCCATTCTCAAGTACTTTGTCAGCAACGCCCGCAAAAAGGAACGATTGAACGACCACTGCGGCGCCATGAAAGCGGTAGATATGCAGCCCCATCTTGCATTCATGCTGCCTTTCATCCATGCCCAGGGGTGGAGCTACGGCTGTTGATCCAGGATCTGAACCCAGTCTCTTGCCTCGCCAGATCCCAGTGAACATGCGACAGATGTATGTCCACGCTTATCAGAGTTTTGTCTGGAACCAAGCCGTCAGCGAGCGAGTGCGACAGTTCGGCAACCGAGTCGTCGTCGGCGATCTGGTACTGCCAGAGAACCTCCAGTTGAACGACAGCAATGATTTCAGCGAAGGAAGTGTTCGCGCGACCTCGTCCAAGCAGCCCGTCGTCGTTGTCGACTCTGAGGAGGAGGCGGAGAAGTACACCTGTTGGGACATTGTCCTACCCATGCCCGGATTCGACGTCACCTATCCAACCAACAGCATCGGGCAGTTCTATGTGGATGTGATGAAGAAAGACGGTCTTGATCCCAAGGACATGAAGAAGAAGGACTGGTGCGTGGTTGCTTGCATCTATGGCCAACAGGCTCTCTGGCCCACTGTTTCCGCCTTTTGGCTGCCAATGCGGCCATTTGATTTCAGATCTCTGACACGGATGGATCGATGGATGGATGTTAGGGATGTCTCTCTGCCTGGTTCGTACAGGAAAGTCTTTGTGAAGCCCAAGGATGTGTCGTGGTAAGCTGCGGGCGCTGATTGAGCATCGGTCACAGGCCCGACATGGGCAGGTCCAAACGAGCATCGGCTTCTCATGACGGTGCTTGTAGGGTGGATTGTGTGTTGATTATTGTGGCGCTTCAAATCTGCTCTCGTGCATCGTTGGTGTCGCATTGGCTGGATGGGGTCACCTGCTCTTGCTTCTCGTGGCGGTCCGATGGCCTGTGTCAATGGTTCGCTCAATGGCCTGTCCAATGATTCATTCGATCCGACAGGAGAGCTCTGCGCTACAATGACCTCCAAAGCCAGCTGTGCCTGTCCGACCTCGACCGAGTCAACAATGTGCCCGAGCCTCAGAACGTCGAAGGTTTGGTCGTTTTGAGTCCCGGAGAGGCGCAATCTCGCTTCCACCCCACGCCCACCCTGTTTTCGTCCGTCTAACGGCCTGTCGCTCCCTTGCCCTCTGCACTGGTACTTCCAGGAGGAAGATATCTTGGCATCGTTTGTGAATTCACCCTGCCCTCAAGCTCGTATGCCACCGTCGCGCTCCGTGAGATCATGAAGATTGGCACATCAACCGGCCATCACACTGCCCTGGCTCGCGAGCTGGAGAGCGCCCATGTCAAATCCGAGCCAGCTGAAGAAAGAGCGCCAGAGTAGATTCAGTCGCGGAGGATCCGCTACCATTGTTGAGGATGCTCTCATCCACATCGGGACTGGCCCGGCCGATTCCACTGAAGGACAGCAGCCCGTGCTGCTTGCAGGATTGGTCCCCCCCCCTCTTTTGCGGCTACAATACAGTGCCTTCTCGAAAAGCGCCATTTGCGACGCGATGGCTCGATTTGCCCATGTGGCGGCTGTTTTATTATCGGCCTCCTCCTGTGCGCTGCACTACTTCTTGGCCGCCGGAGTGGATGGCTCCGCCGTGGTGCCTGCTGGCGTGGCCTTCTCGGCCGCAGGAGCAGCAGCCGGGACGCTCTTCTCGCCGTCCTTCTCTTTCTCGGCATCGCGGTTCTCGAGCTTGTTGGTGATGAGGTTGTGCAACGCAATGACGGCGCGGACCAGCGACGAAATATAAATGACCAGGTACTCGTCGTTCGTTTTGATCGAGAAGGCCTTGATGGTGTCAGGCACATCCAGGTTGGGCAGGAGGTTGAAGATGTCCTGGAGGTTGTACATGATCTGGTGGTTGACTGGCAGCTGGCCCTTGACGACCTTCTCGAGGTAGTCCTTGATCTCCCGCAGTCGCAGGTGGAGGCCCTTGAGTGACTCGAGCTGGTTCGTGATTCGTGTGGACAGCGTGCCGACGGCGTTGTCCTTGATGTCACGCAGGAGATGCTCGACGCCAATCTCCTCGGCCTCCTCGGCCTCGATCGACGACGGGACATGGTTGAAGGTCTTGGTCGTGGCGGTACCATCCTGCAAGTGCATGGACGATGTGAAATTGGCGGCGTGAGTCACTCGGGTCGGTGTAGGGTATGTTCCGGGTCGGAAATCAAGGCCCGAATGCCAGTCGAAGCAAGGCACCAGCCATCGGACAGATCACCACCCCCCCCCGCTCGATCCAGAACAGTTGAGGCGACACTGACGGTCACATACATCGTGGATCTCTTCTACTGCAAAATAGGCATCCGTAGGCAGCTCGAGATCGTTGGGCTTGACGTCGATGATGACCAGAACTGGGTTGGGAGTGTACCGCTTGAACATCTCGTTGATCTCGAGATCTGAGCTTCGCAGCTTGGGGCCGCTGTGATACCATCCGATCATCTTTTCCTTGGCTGGCGAGCGAGATGCAACAGGGAAGGCCACGATGGATGGATTGCATGCAAGAGAGATGCAGCACGAGTGAGCGCATGGCAAAGGACGAGAGGGGAGTGTGAATCCCGGGCGAGTTGAGAAAGATATTGCCGAACGGGCAAGATGTCCGCCGATTATACATCCGCAGAGCCGACCAGATCAGAAGGCCTGGCCAGCGTGTCTCTGCAGATGCCCAATATCGAGCATGTCATGTGGCGGCATGGTTACCGTTGACTTTCTTGAACATGTCATACATGGCTTCGTGGTAGTTGTGGTCAAGGAACCAGACCGAGGGGTCCTTCTCATCTTCCTCGAAGGGCACTGATGCAGATCGAATCGCGGTTGCCATACCGTGGCGTATGGGAATGGGCAAGAACGAGAGCAGGTGTCAGTGCCGCGACAGGGCAACAACAACGGATCTGCAAAGAGGGATGCATAAACGATGCATCGGCGGAATGAACTCTGGCCACATCCAAGGGAGGAGGCGGACCGATCTACACGTCCTTTCCATGACCGAGTAGATCGGGCCCGGCTCCCATAGTCAGCCCGCAAAGTTGACGGTCCTTTTGCGGCTCATCCCATTGCTTCAGAGGAGAAATCGGCTACATACAGGCGTACGAGTTGGCGACGTTGACGACGCCTCCCGAGTTCTGGCCGAGCAGCACGCCGACGACACGCTTCTTGGTGTTCTTGGCAACACGGTTGTAGTGGTCGACGACGGACAGGAGAACGAGCGGATGGATCACCACGTTCTCGGGGACGGACGTTGTGATGGGCATGGCGGTTCGGGATCAGCGGGCTGGTTTGTGGGTGCGGAGGCAGATGACGATTGATGTGCACCACTGAGCTTGTGGAAAGGCAACGCAGATTATCCAGATCGCTGCAAGAGGTCGATGCTTGTGGGTGTGCAGAGCCGTCGTCGAGCGATGCTATGCAGTCCGATATGGTCCGGGTCCGGTGCGGTGAGGCGAGGTGCTAGGCGATCGGGTGCGAGATGGACAGCGGGCGAACAAGCAGGCAAGAGAGCGCCAGGCCAGGCGCACCCTGGTCAAAGTGCGCGTCACGTGCGTTCAGCCAGGCAGCCGGATCGAGCCAGCCCGCTGGCCAGGACATGGCTGGCCAGCACGTGGCCTGCCATCACCACATCCACTCGCCAATGAGTATTGCACTATCAATTTTTTCCGGCCCCTCGCGGCTGCTCATCTCGGTCACCTGAAAGTCACGTTGTATGTGACGCAGCAAAGTTGGAATCCGGCCATGGTCGGTTGACGGCATTTGGTATCGTCTTGAGCCGATTGACGGTGGTGGTGGGCAATTGGTGTGGAAGAATGACCAATTGTATCATTGTTGGAAGCTCCACTCCGATTGCGGACAAGAACCACCACCATCTGAATCTCTCTGGTTGGAAACCTAGTCAAGCGTGGCTGTGTGTCAGCGAGATGACATGATCGTTTGGCTATCAGGCAAGACTCACCTTGACAAGATGTCTTCCCACGACTGATTGAGCGAGCGATGCGTTTCTGGATCTGAATCAAGGACGCCACTGCACAGTATCTCTGCCAGCCCAAAATGCGCTGGTTTTGAGGAGAATTTTTCTTCCCCAAGGGCAGAACTGTCATGAACCGCGTTCCCACGCCCGGTGGATGGTTTCATGGGCGCCCCAACCCGTGTCCTGTTTCCTTGATGTGCAATGTTGGGTAAGGCACTGACATGAAACCTCCCGGCGGGCGAGGGAAACGTTCGGATCTAATCTCCCCCCGTCGCAGATAACCAATCTCCCTTGTAGTGGAAGAAAAATCTGCGGCGAACAAGGACGGCGTTTAGAGATATAAACGAGGTGCTGTGGCCTCAGAACCAGCACCTCACCTTGCCTCTTGTATCCTGCCCTTAGGCTATTGAATACACTCCCCTTCGTCCTACGACCGTCCGTTCGACTACCATCAGCTGTCTGGTGCCAAAGTCCAGCTCCGTTCCTGACAAGAACCAGCCATCGCTGCTATTTTCTCGCCAGATGGCTCCCCACAAACGAAAGACACCCCCCGATCCCGACCCGGGATCACCCAATGACTCTCCTGTGGCCAAGAAGTTCACCATCAAATCGTGTCGTGCCTGTGGCCTGACCAACCATGTCAAACCCTTCACCAAGAAGTGTACAGCCAGAGTCGACAGCAGCCCTGCCTCGGTCGCTGAAATGGTCAGCCAAGCACCCAAGGTCCCTGTATGTGCCACGTGCGGGGAAGAGGGTCATGCCAGAAGCAACACCCCAAAGTGCCGTTTCTATAACCCACTCTGGAGCTCTACCTTGCCTGACTGTGGCCCCAACGAGTATGCCAAGGCCGAGTACTCGATCGTCAAGTGCACCCTCGACGCCATCATCAAGAACGGCGCCTTGCACGACAAGATCGAGGAGACTGTCCGGGTCATGACACAAGTCCAGTACGAAGCATCTCGTCTCCTGGAGCTGCATCTCAGGCGATGCTTGGACAAGGGCATCACCCTCCCCACTGTGTCGTCGAGTGAACCCGCGTTTGTTCGAAAGTGCTTCAGTATGGTGCAGACAGGAACAGTGGGTGCCAGGACGAACACCCCAGAAGATGACAGGCACATCATCAAGACCTATGACATGTATCGACGTGCATGGGGAAAGTCGTGTATCCTGCCTCCTGTGTCCCTCCCAAAGGGTACTGGGTCACAGGTCCTTGGTTTGGCTGTCAAGACCTATGCTGTCAACTGTGAGACCCATATTCTCGATCGGTATTGGTCCCTTCTACGTCGATTCTGCAATCTGGTCCTGGTTGCTCCGAAGGATGTCAAACGGCATACACACGTCGATGATTGTGTCAAGCTGATGGAGAATCCCCTCTCCAAGACACTCCTCGTTGATCTGAAGAGAGCCTACGCCACACATGCCGACCAGTTGTATGAGTTTCGGTACGAAAGCCACCAAGACCTGTATCGATTTGTATCGAAACTGGCCAGTGAGGTCTCTCGGCTGACCCACCTGAAGGAGGCCCTCTTCATGGTGGTCTTTCAGAAGATGATCATTCCCAGGCTCGTGAGAGAAACCATTGGCCTGAAAGGAGAGCGTGGGCGACTGAATGAGGAGATGTGTCGCGCCATCGAACGAAGGCTGCCTGACAAGCACAACGCACTCCAGACCCAGCATGATGAGGTGGACAAGCAGATCGCTATCAACACGAAACGGATCAAGCGCCTCACCGACCGGCTTGCCCAGACCAAGAAGCGACACAATGTCCCTCGAGCACAGTGCACCTTGGTCCCGCTCTGCGATGCCCGAGCCAAGTATGTCAAGCTCGACACCAGAGCATTGTGGGAAATCCTTGGATACCAGACTGGCACTGGTCTCAAGTGGGACGACCTGAAGACCAAGGTCAATGACACCACAAAGCAAGAGACCTTCTGGCAGACCAACTTCAAGCTGGATTCGAGACTCTTTGGTGCCAGGGAGGAGGGGAAGCAGCTCTTTGGTTGCGAGATCACCACCGATGGGGTCGGGTGCTCAATCACCACGCTCAAGTACAAAGTCCTGAAGAAGGACCCCGATGCCAAGCCGGTACCCAAGACCAAGGTGAACACACTCACTCCCGAGAAGAAGATCCAGGCCAGGGTCGGTCCCATTGACGACTCTCGGACCACATGGATTGGGATCGACCCTGGTGTGGGATCGATCTTCACCGCTGTCATTCGGGCACCCGGTCAACCATCCATCCAGGAGCAAGACGGTGTCAAGGTGACCAAGGCACAGCGTGCCAACGAGAAGATCGTGTCGTTCTCCAACAAGGAGTACCAGCATCGATGTGGCACCACCCAGGCGACCAAGTGGATCCAGAGCACCCACAAGATCCTTGGTCTGCAGCAATGGATGAGCACCACACCAAGTCCCAAGATCCCTGGGTTGGATCCCTTCCTGCGATACATTCGCCATGTGTTCGATGGAGACATGCTGGAGAAACAGCTGTACTTCAGCCTGACCCGGCGACGGCGATTCAAACGGCTTGATCTCCACAGCAAGCGACAGCGCACCGTCCACGAGATGTGCAAGCAAGTCATCGACCAGGCACCAAAGGAGACCGAAGTGGTGATTGCCTTTGGGAATGCATCCTGGAAACAGGGGAAGGGATATGCTTCCAGTCCCAGGAGACTCAGGTTTGCCAAGTACTTTGAGCAGTTCCACCACCACCAGAGACGCCAACCAGACCGATCCGTCTCCAAGATCCGTGTGTGCTCGATGAACGAGTTCAACACATCCCAGGTGTGCTCACATTGTCGGGAAGCCAAGCGACTCGAGAAGGTCGAGTATCTTGATATCGAGAAACCACACTTTGTCCGGAGCTGTGCAAGCTGCCATACGCTGTGGGATCGAGACATCAATGCAGCCAGGAACATGATCTCGGTATGCCAGTCGATCATCGCCACAGGAGATCGGCCGGGTGTATTCAAGACTGTGCTTCCCAAACCAACCAAAACAAAGCGATTGCCAACGAAGACAGGAGTGCAATGCCATGGCCTACCCGCTGGGCCTACAGTCAGTCAACGGGCTTCAAACATCTGAAGCCAGAAATGGGATCTGTCCCGTTTCTTTCTGGATTGACCGTAAGTATCTTGAGTACTTCGACAGTGGATGCCGGGTCGCCCATATTCTGGGCAGTCCACTTCGGGGTTGCCATCCCTCTTGGGATGGTCGATGGGAGGTGTTTGACTCCCTTGTGCAAAGTGTGTGTGTGTGTGTGTGTGTGTGTGTGTGTGTGACGGCGAGAGGCTTCTCGCCTTCCCTCGGGGGTCTCTCGCCGGAGACTGCTCTTCTCGCCGACCGAGGTGGCTCCGAGAGCGCGTTTTTTCGTTCTCGCTCATTTTTTTAACATGAAATTTTTTCATAGTGTTGGGTTGTGGTGCTCGCCGATTGCGATCGATCTCGCTACAGCCGACAGCAGCACCCATGACAGCACCGCCAAGCGACCGTATTGCCAGAGACAGCCACTTTATGCAGCTGGCCGTCGATGAGGCCAACAAGTCGATCCCCGTCGAGAGCGCCTATTGTGTCGGAGCGCTGCTTGTCAAAGATGGCGTCGTTCTTTCAACCGGTTTCTCGCGGGAGCTGCCTGGAAACACCCACGCGGAGGAATGCTGCCTGATCAAGCTCAAAGACCAGGGCCGGCTCGAGCAGGCCCGCGGCTCGACGTGCTACTCGACCATGGAGCCCTGCGGCGAGCGACTCTCTGGCAAATGGCCCTGCTGCAAGCGGCTGGTTGAAGCCGGCGTTGCCCGCGTTGTCGTCGGGATAATGGAGCCCACACATTTCATCCAAGGCTGCGTCGGCGTGGACGAGCTCCGAGAGGCCGGGATTGCCGTCGATGTCCTGGCAGGATGGGAAGGTAAGGATTCCCCGCTGTGTTGGCGGGAGTCACCTAGGTTCGCTGTTGCGACACAGGAGCCAGATGCAGACAGAGGCTCTCGGTCCAAGCACGCCTCTCGTTCAGGTTTGCAGTCGTTTCTACATGAACTATGCTGCCTCGTCTAATGGAGTCCCTCCGTACTGTCTCGCAGAGGCCTGTCTCTGGCCAAATCGACACCTGGGCGACAAAGCCTGATGTATTCTTTTGCAACAACACGATTCTGTTGGATGGAAAGTCGGCCAGCACAGCGAAGGCGAGGAGTGCATGGGACAGCGGGCGCCGTGATATCGATGAATAGTTACGAGGGGAAGCTTGCAGCAATGGTCCAAGGCGTATGCATGCACACCGGACTGCAGACGAATGGATGCGCTTGAGCTGCCTGCTTGGCAGTCGGGAACTAGACCGACCTGGGCCGATGAATCCGGTCCGCAACAGCCGGCACAAGCACCGGGCGACAGAAGCATTTCCACAGCCAGCACTCGAGGTTCCAGAGGCAGAGCAGGCCGGAACCGTATCGTAACGCAGGACCCAGGACCCAGCAGGCCCACGAAGGCACCGCGGGATCGGCGCAGACGGGCTGCCAAAGGAGCATGTTGAGGATGAACGAGAGGGCCAACGAGCCGGCGAACCAGAAGAAGGCCGTTGCGTCAGTCAGGCCCGGGTATCGAAGCGGATCGAGGTAAGTCCCGAGGCATGTCGCTCGCAGAGCAAACATGTGAGCCAGCAGCAGATCCGGATACTCCTGTGTTGGCCGGACGCAGCGGGGCCAAAGCCGCCCCCACAGAAGGTCCAGGATGGCAGGAAGCAGGCCGACAGAGACGACCAGCGGCAGGGCGATGCGGCCGAGGAGCTGCTCCAGTTTCAAGGCATCACCAGCACCGGAGGGGCTTCCTGGGAAATCGGGCGGCTGGAGCTGGAAGGAGCGCACAAAGAGCCAAGTGCAGAGGGCATCATTGGCCAGCAGCACCAGGACGGTGAGAAAAAACAGCAACGACCGGAGCGGACGGGCCGAGGCAACCATGGCGAGCACACGATCGACCGAGCAGTCATCCGACCAGGATGCCGAGCAAGAACGCAAAGGCCGCTGCAAGGGCATCGCCCGGTGCTGGTGGCGGCTCGCAGCGCGCGGAACGAGGAGCCCGAGCCGCCAGCATGAGGAGGGAGCAGCATGGGTATGGATCAGCATGGGTATGGAGCAGTGCTGAGGGACAACTCCCCCCCCCACGGCCATGATCATGATTGTCTGGTCCCTTTGCTGCCCACGCAGCCTGGTCATGCTGGCCACTGGGAGTCCCACCAAGTCGGCAAACGGGAAAGGCTGGGCGACGGCGACAGGCACACCTCCTGTAACGTCCACTACTGGGACGTTGGGGCAAGACGGGGAGGGAGGGGGTACAAGACAAGACAGGACGGGGCAGAACAGGGCGGTGCTAGGCTACTCTAGCGGACGGGTGAGCTCGGGGAGCACTTACGTTTATTCACGATAAAACCGAACTCCAGACAAACGGGGGGAACGGGGGCAACCCGCAGGTATACCCTGCGGTGGCCTGCCTGCGGTGCGTGAAAACGCAAAGCGCAGCACAGGTCACGACCCACTGCGCCGCGCAGTACGCGCAGTACGCGCAGCACAGCGTCGGAGATACCATCTCCTACACTCCCACACTTAAGAAGGCTTCCTGCGAGGAGCCCTGCGTGTGCTCTTTATTTGGGGCTCCTCGAGGTGTTTACCGTATTTACTCAGCTCCTCGGGTGCATGGGACAAGTCCTCCAGTGTTTGCCATGTGTTGCCCGAGTGTGGGTAACCAACCCACTTGACATAAAACCGAAGTGACCCATCAGCCACTTTCTTGTGCCTCACGATCCTTTCGACTTCATATTCTTGAGTATAGTATTGTCCGAGGTCGTCTTCCAGTGGTGCGTCGTCCGGGACACCTTCGTCGGCGTCGGGGAACTGTGCTGGACTGCGGGTCGTGTGGCGACGCAGCTTGGACACATGGAAGACAGGATGGAGCTTGCTTCCAGGTGGCAAGTCCAACAGGTAGTTGAGGGGACTGGGTCGGGCCGCTATCTTGAACGGTCCTCGGTACTTGGGCAACAACTTCTTTGACTGGGCTTCGGGGACCTTGATGTTGTCGGCGTCCAGGTAGACAAGGTCTCCAACTTCAAAGGAGACATCCTGGTGTCGGCGGTCGTAGTACTTCGCCATCACTTGTTGCGCATCCGTGAGCGCGTCGGCGATCATCTTGTGTCGGACTTGATGATCTTTGACAAAGGCACTTGGTTTGGGAGGCAATCCAGCCGTGGACTCGGTCAGTGTCAAGGAGGTGGGAACATCAGGCTGGAATCCGTAGAGCGCCTCAAAGGGGCTCAAGCCAGTTGTGCTCGACTTGGCGGTGTTGTATGCAAACTCTGCATGACTCAGCTGTATGTCCCAGTCGTCTTGGCTGGTCGAGGCGTATGTCCTCAGGTATTGCTCGAGGGTGCGGATCGTCCGCTCGGACTGTCCATCCGTTTGTTGGTGGTGCGAGGTTGACATGTTCAGCTTGGTGCCGAGATGGTCGAACAGACTTGTCCAAAACAAGGAGGTGAATCGGGGGTCTCGATCACTGACGATGGACTTTGGGAGGCCGTGGTGCTTGAACACATGCTTGAAGAACAGCAGTGCAAGGTCAGGCGCGGAGCATGTCGTCTGGCACGGCACAAAGTGTGCCATCTTGCTGAACCTGTCGACAAAGACAGCGATTGCATCGTGGTCCAACTTGGTCGTCGGTAGATGCGTGATGAGATCCATGGACATGCTGGTCCAGGGGCGGTCGGGAACAGGCAGGGGTTGCAGCAATCCTTGCTCTCGGGTCGTGCGTGACTTGACCATCTTGCAGGTATGGCAGGACTCGATGTACTTCTCGACGGTGCGCTTCATTCCAGGCCAGTATGCGACTTTGGCCAGTCGGTCGTATGTCTTCTCGACTCCAAAGTGTCCAGCGAGGGGCGAGTCGTGGACCTCTTGGAGCAACTTGGTCTTCAACGACGGAATGTCCGGCACACAGACACGGCTGTCCTTCTTCAGGAGGAGCAGGCCATCACGCACTGTGTACTCGGATGATTCGTCGTCCTTGGGGAGCTTAGACACCTTTCGGAACAGTTCTCCGAACTGTTTGTCGTTGGCGATGTTGTCTCGGACAACATCCAGCATCGTGTTGTCGACACTGACAGTCGACTCGTACAGTGACGCCAATTGGTAGTCGGGGCGTCGGGACAGTGCGTCAGGCACCACATTGAGTTTGCCTTTCTGGTATACAACCTCGTAGTTGTACTCGGCGAGGAACTCCATCCATCGCGCTTGGCGTCGGCTCAGGTTCTTCTTGGTGTCGAGGTAACGCAGTGACTGGTGGTCCGTCACAATCTTGAAGGGCTTGGCGGTACCGTGGAGGTACACTCGGAACTTCTGCAGCGCGTAGATGATCGCAAGCTGCTCCTTCTCGTGCACGGGATAGTTGATCTCGTGTTGGGACAGTTTGCGCGACTCGAAGGCAACGGGCCTTCCCTCCTGCATCAAAACAGCTCCCACCGCAAAGTCGGAGGCGTCGGTGTGCACGGAGACATCCGTGTTCGGGTCGAACACAGCGAGGACAGGAGCGTTCGTCAAGGCGTGCTTGAGGGTCTCGAACGCTTGGCGTTGTGGGTGGTCCCACACGAAGGGGCACTCTTTGCGGAGTAGGTCTGTGAGTGGACCGGCAGTGCGCGCCAGATCGGGGATGAATCGGCGGTAGTAGTTGACGAGACCGAGAAACGACTGCACGTCAGAGACGCATGCGAGCGGCGGCCACTCGACCACAGACTTGACCTTGGCGGGGTCGACTTCGATTCCTCTTCCTGAGACAACGTGTCCCAGGAACGGGACTTGATTCTTGAAGAACTCACACTTGGACAGTTTGGCATACAACTTGTGCTCGCGTAGCTTGGCCAGCACGCGGGCGACATGACCTTCATGGGTCGCTTCATCCTTGCTGTACACAAGGATATCATCCAGGTACACGATGACAGAGTTGTCGAGCTCTTGGCGGAACACATCGTTCATCAGCTGCATGAACGTGGCAGGTGCGTTCGTCAATCCGAACGGCAGCACTAGGAACTCGTACAGTCCGTAGCGAGTCCTGAAGGCGGTCTTGTGGACATCATCCTCGTGGATGCGGATCTGATGGTAGCCTGAGCGGAGGTCTATCTTGCTAAAGACCTTTGCTCCACTCAGACGATCCATCAACTCGTCGATCCTGGGCAACGGGTAGGTGTTCTTGATGGTCTGTTTGTTTAGTGCGCGATAGTCGACGCACATCCTGAGATCACCTTCTTTCTTCTTGACAAAGAGCACTGGTGCACCATACGGTGACTGGCTCGGGCGGATGAACCCATGGGCGAGGAGGTCATCCAACTGGCGCTTGAGTTCGTCCATCTCCGTCAGCGACAGTTGGTACGTCGGTCTTGACGGAGGCGACGAGCCTGGTTCGATGTCGATGCGATGATCGACGGTGCGTTGGGGTGGCAGGCATTGTGGCAACTGGTCGGGGAATACGTCCTTGTACTCGTCGAGCAGCTTGGTCACCACAGGCGGGGGACCGGGACCGGCTTGGTCGGTGTCGTCGACCTCACGCACGACACAGAGGAACGACGTGTCCTTCTTGATCAGCCTCTTGAATTGCATGGCTGAGAGGAGAGGTGGCATGTTGGGTGAGGCCATGCCCTGCAGGACAATGTCAGGGCCAACACGGACAGTGCGGCCTTTCCAGTCGACGACTGGAGTCGGCTCGGCACGAGCAAGCCAGCTCATGCCGAGGATGGCATCGAACTTGGTGTCGATCACTTGGAACAACAGGACAGGATGGTACTTGGGATGGAGGGCCACTCGCAGGACCACTTGGTGTGTGCACTGCTGCACACGATCGTCTGCAAGCGCCACACTCATCGGCGACTTCTTCTTGGTTGCATGTATGTTGAGCTCCTGGAGCAAGCGTCTGCTGACAAAGTTGCAGCTTGCTCCAGAGTCCACCATCATTCGGACGGTGTGACCTTGGACGGTGGCAGGGAGGTACAGCAGGGACTCTTCATGGTCCTCCTGCACAGCCTCCTGCACCATGACTTGACTTGGGGGAACGGGCGACACTTGGTCTTGGTTGGCTTCATCACGGCCACTCGGACATTTTGGATAGGGTTCGGCCATTGCGGGGGCCTGCGGCGTCAGCACGCCATTGCACACGACGTCCACGGCTTGCGGACACATGTCGGAAGCATCCGACACACACGACTTGACAGGGGTGAGGGCACAGGCGGTCCTGTCCCTCAAGGGTTCTTGATTTTCTTTTTTGTTTTGGTTTTCAATTTTGGTTTTCTCTTCACGTTCGTGGAGAGGCAGGCGGCTTGCGCCACCATGCACCTCTCGCACGACGCACAACACTTGGTTTGTTTCTCCTTCGGGGGAGGGGGCGAGGTGAACTTCCTCTGGAGACGCGTGGACTGCATTGAGCAATCCACGGCGTTGGTCTCCTACTAGGGCTCCAGAGCCACCTAGTAGGGTCGGCCGTTTCCCGACTTCATGGGGCACTCCTTGGCCTGGTGTCCCGGTCGGTGACAGAAGAAGCAGGAACCATGGCGGAGGTCCTCCTGCTTCTGTCTGTCCTTGGGGGAGACAGTGGCAGCTTGCTGGAACCGGGAGCGGGGAGGGCCACGAGCCTCCATGGCGTTGACGTCAACGTCCATGGGCTCAGGCATGGGTCTTGCGGGCGGGGCCGGGCGAGGCGGACGGGCTGGGACGTGATGAGACCGATGGCCGCCTGCCAGCTGCGGGTAGAACTGGCGGCCATGGTACTGGACGTTGTCGAGGTTCTCGGCAACGTCCATCATCACGTCCAGGGACTTGCGGGCATCAGGGTTGCTGGCGATGTACTCTCTGATCTTGGGCTTGAGGCCCTTCTGGAAGAGGTACATCGCATCAGCAGAGCCCAGCTCCTCAATCTGGGAGGAGAGGTCTTCAAACTCCTCGATGTAGCGGGTCACAGAACCACGCTGCACGAGAGAGTATAGCTTGTCACGGGCAATGAGTTCAGCATTGGGGCTGCCGAAGCGGCGACGGAGGCGGTCCTTGAAGTCGTCAAACACACCTTCGCTCTGCTCGTCGAACCCTTGGCGGCGGTACCAACGGTACGCCTGGTCCTTTAAGCAGAGCTTGGCGGCGACGATGTGGTGGGTGGGGGCGACTTGGGCAGCATCGAGGTAGTCCTCGAGTTGCTGCAGCCAGTCCTCCACCGAGGAGGAGCGGCTCTTCCCAGTAAACACTGGGGCACGGAAGGTCTTGAGGAAGGCTTCCGGAAGTGGGCGGGGGTTGCTCATGGCAGGGGCAGGCTCCAGGGACAGAGAGGAGAGTCGGTCGGCAAGAG